GCACGTATACGCCGGACTCAGCAGTTGTTGACCTGGTGTGGCCGTCCAAATCGAGTTACTGCCCGAGTCAACCCCCGTCAGCTCATTTCAACATCCGCTTTGCCAATGGCATGACGCTCACATGTTGGACCCTGGCTCGCCAGACAGGATCGAAGCCATCCAAGTCTGAGAATTTGATTTGCACGCACGGCGTTGAGCGCAGGCCCGTCTGCCTCCAGTGGTGCGTGGAGCACTGTCCGAAATGCGTACGATATGCATGTGCTCCGTACTATGAATCTCGCTTCCACCATACATCTCATTTTGCATCTCACCATGTACTTTGTACCACACACACAAGAGCTGCATGCCACGACCACCACGACACAATCTACCGGAGGCTCTCACTCACCGCTGAAAGCCGTCTGAGTCTGAGGCGCTCCTCGCCTATCGTTTGGTCCTTTATCCTTCACAAGCCGCGACGCCAGGCCTTCCGCTGCCACCTTGGGTTGCATCATAACAGACGTCTATTAAGACGACAGGACGCGGACAGAAACAAATAGTGGCGCTTTTCCTAGCTCTGGAATCCCATCGCAACGCACCGAAGTCTGTTCCCATCCAGTAGTCCTCTTTTGCTTTCCTATTCTTTCTTCTTTTGCTGTTGGCTGTTTCCTCGGCACTGGCCCCTGTCCTTCTGCTGTCTGCTGTCTCCTCTCCTCCCCCCCCAGCTAGTCGCCTTTTAAGGCAGAGAGAGGCAAACCCGGGGCAAACCATTCTAATGCTTTCATGCCAGGTCAAAGAAAGCCATGGATTACGCACAAAAAAAAATTCGAGCGTGATTTAATGGTACCAGCGGAAGGGGCAAAAAGTATGAAAACTGACGTGGGGAGGTCTACAAGGAGGAAGGGAACAACTGGCCGTGACGTTTTTTTTGTCGTTTCCTCTGACAGCTACGTCCCGCGTCATCCCCATCTTCCCGCCTCTGCCATTGCGGGAGTACTTGTCGCCACCGTTACCGCTCTTGTGAGAGCAGTCTGTTCGTCCCAGTCGGCTTCTATCTGTCCGGCAGCGAACCGCACGGAATGCCCCAGTTGGGGGGTGAATGGGATACCTTCCGCAGCCCTGCTCGCCTCCTCTGCCCGCTCTTCGCTTGCGGGCTCTCCCTCGTCACTCGTCACTCGTCCCAAGTACAGGGTCGAAAGTGTTTCATGTTACGATGGCCAATCCGACTGTGTGTGTTTTGCATTCTTCTATGCGTTCTCGATTCTTCTCTCTCAGTGGACTGGCCCAGGACGCTGCCAGCCCCATCTTCGCCCTCCATGATGCTTCTTGTTGTTGTTTTTATTGTCTTTTGTTCGCTCTTCCAACTGACCTGTGACTTTTTGTTGTTCTTCCCTTTTTGCATCAGTCTTGAACAATTTACTCTTTTTTGGCTGGTATGCATCTATCTGTTCCTGGCTTGGTCTTTCTCTTGACTTCTTTTCATGGCCGTTTTACCAACTCGAGACCCCCCCTCCCTTCCAGTACACACCCTAGCATCTTCACCCCACCCCTGTATTGTTGTCTTCTGGGGCCGGGGCCTAACCGTTTCTATATCCGGCATGCAAGCCATGGCATAAGATCACCAAATTATGCTACCTCATCGGATGCTGAGCAAAGGAAATGCCAACCGACCCCCCCCCCCCCCCCTCCCTTCCTCCCCTTCAAGCATACTCGACGTGTTCTCCGTCCTGCGTATTGCGTACTCAATAGTAGTGGCAGACCAGGGGAGGGGTCGGATTCCTGGATGCTGACCCCATAAATCCTCTTATTTATTTTTTTATAAAGTTGGCCTTTCCATTTCCAATACCGTCCACTTAGCCCATCCTACCTACCACCGTCCGCCACCCACCGTGCGCTCTTATATGGGCTCTTATAAGTATAAGAAAGCCCCGACACAGACTCACATGTACCACGGCGGGGAATAGCTGCTCGTGTTCTCTATCCGCACTCGGCCCCTGAATACGTCGTTTTGCTCTTTACCCTTTGCCTTGACTACGAAGATCAGACGATAATGCGCTCCCGCCCTGCCCAGATCGTCATCAGCTACACCTCGCCTCTACCGTCGACGGATCCAAGGACATGAGAGCAGCACACGATCAGCCAACACGCCAAACCCAACGATCTCCCCGGCACCAGACGGATGGAAGCACAGCAGCCCCTTCTTGTCCTTGTCGCGTTCTTCCGTTCTTACCCTTGTAAGAGCTTGTCTGCGTGTTATTGAAATACTCCGCCGCTCGCACACACGCCTCCCTCTGGCAGAGTCTCCTCTGTTTCTCTCTCCTCCCACTCAGTCCTCCCACTATTACACTCTTTATCTATTTGGGCCAAAACACGAAGCCCATACACCGCACTTCTATTCGTCAACCGCACTCGCTGTCGCCACTTTCGTTTTTTGTCCAGCCTGTACCTTGTTCAACATTTTTTCTTCGGCATTACCAAGCATCAAGCATCACAGACGGTCCCATTCTAATCGACAAATTCTCAACAATACGCATGCGGTCGTTTTTCGAGAGCCACTTTAGTCACTCCCTCACGGTCCGTAACGCGGAGGACGTACACCAGGCGGCCGAACGCCCGCATCGACGGCAGAGCCAAGCCTCTAATAACGGCAACAACGTGTGCCCGGGGTCCAACACGGTCCCTCCATACACTTTCGACGCAGCCGCCCTCCGGGGCCCCGGTCTATCAAATTCTTTCCCTTCAGAGTCCGGCGACCAGCCAGAGCGGCTCGCTCTGGCGGAACCCATGCATAGAAGACACGCTGGCGAGCAACTACAGAGTAGGGTCAGACTACAATGTCGATTACTCTCCCCAGGACTCGCACCCTGGCGAGCAGCAACATAGTCAAGCACCGCAGGTTTATGAGCCGCAACAGCATCACAGCCGGCCGTCGCTGCACCACATCGGAACCGGTACTTCTTTGCACGACACAACCGCGGCAGCGCATCACCATCAGCAGCAGCAGCAGCAGCAACAACAATCACACCACCACACCATGTCACACCACCACGCGGCCGCCGCGCACCATCCCCATCAGGTGCTGATGGACCCGAGCCAGATGGGCGCTCACCATGCCGCCGCAGCTGCCGCCCGGCATCTTGGGCACCATCCGGGCCAGGCTCACTACGGTGCGCCCGTTCCTTCGCCACATGCAGTCGTCACGCCACTCTATCCAGGTTTGACCGCCGGACCTGTTGGTACAACAGCAGGAGTGAAACGGACGCGGCCCGAAGACCTCGATCTCTCTGTGTCAGGGATGCCGGATCTGGAGCAGAGTGATCTCGACTCGATGGGCGCATATGGGCAGCCAACAGGAACACCACAACAGGCCACGCCACAGTCTCTGCCTCCGACCCACCATCACCACCGACTACCAGATACGGGACCTCCTTCGAAAATGATGCGCCGTGATGGGGAGGGGGGAGGCGGCGGCGGTGGAGGCGCACCAAGCGTCGTGGGCCAAGCCGGCATGCCACCACCGGCCCCCCGGCCACGGGGCCCCAAGCTCAAGTTCACGCCGGAAGACGACCAGCTCTTAATCGACCTGAAGGAAAACAAGAGCCTGACGTGGAAGCAAATCGCCGACTTTTTCCCGGGACGCTCCAGTGGGACGCTGCAAGTGCGGTACTGCACCAAGTTGAAGGCGAAAACGACACAGTGGACGGACGAAACGGTGCGTTTGCGACCTCTTTGTATCCCTCATACCCTTTTTTGCCTCGGGGGCGGCGTGGACTAACAAGGCCAGGATCAAAAACTACGAACGGCACTGCAGGACTATGAAAACGAAAAGTGGCGTATTGTGGCCAACAAGGTCGGTACGGGTTTCACGCCGGCGGCGTGCCGGGAGCGTGCGGCGCAGATGATGGGAGGGCCCTTATAGCAATCAATGTCTCCAGCAGGAGCCAATCCTGGGTCTGGGGACACCACGATCTACGCTGAGCAGCAGCAGCAGCAGCAGCAGCAGCATCATCAACAGCACCTTCATCAGCAACAGCAACAGCAGCATCACCACCCACATCAACAACACGCACATCAGCTGTCACACCAGCAACATCATCCACAACAATCTCCCGGACTACCCGGCAGCATGTTCTCCCAGCAGCTGTAGTCCGTCCACAAGCGCCATGCTCGCATTTAATCTCACGTTTGCAACAAGCCATACGCCGACTTGATCGTGCCGGCTTCTCACGCCCATCAATGGTAATCTCCCTTATTGAAGGGCCTTTCCTTTGTCTCTTTCTGCTTCATTTCATTTCATTTTTTTTTTTTTTTTTGGTATCAGCGTGGTAACTTTTCACGTTTGACCCTCTTCGCCATTACCATTTATTGCCATGTCCTTGTTTAGAACTTACGCTGTCGAGCCTTTTCTTTTCTTTTCCTTTCATCGCACGGCAGTATCATACCCCTTTCCTCTTTTGGCAGCATCATGTACTCCCTCTTAATCATGTCTTCTGGGGCGACGTTTATTCTCTTTTCTCGTTTCGTCCTTCGCCTTTTTTTTTTTTTTTTACATTTTATTTTCCACCTATTTTGATTTCCGGCCTGATGTTATGACCATAGAAACGCGGAAATAGAGACGAAGCGACGCGATCGGTATATGAACGGTGTAATTGTATCGCGCTTGGGCTGCCGAGCTTTTGCCGTTTCGCTTGTGATGGGGCGTGCGGGCGTTGGATTTTTTTTGGTTTTTGATCTTGACTTCTCATTAACTCTCCCCCTCCCCCTTCTATTTTTTTTTTTTTTCGTTCTTTGTTTACATGGGCTCCACACGTCGGGCATTTCTGTAATCCATAAATATAAATAAATAGTACACGTATTAGTCTCACTCAGCTTTCTCTGTTGATAATAATTTAAGCCGCCTTAATGTTTCTAGCCAATCTCTATTGTTTTTATTCGAAGTATAAATTAAAACGACCATTATAATTTCTCGCCATATCCATCACTGTTGTAAAACTCCGATACATGTCATCAAATAATTATCGTTAGAATTGGGTTTCCAGCTCAACCTTGCTAAGAGAGACAGCCTTCTCTACCAGGTTTACCATCTTTTCGTGCGCCGCGACCTTGATGGACCTCCCGTCTGTCGCATTCACGCTCTCCAAGTAGCGAGCCATCTCGACGATCCAGCCGTTAAACTCGCCCACCTCGGTCGTCTTCCCGGCCAGCGCGTCCTGGAGCATGGAGCTGTTGTTGTCCTTGACGAGGTCACCCACGCGGTAGACCATGGTTCGTAGACTCGCAAAGGAGAGTCTTTCGATCAACGCTTCTTTGTCAATATCGCTATTGGTATCGTTCCCCGTCTGTGCAAAGATGCTGCCGCTTTCCATCTCGTGGAGGACAAGCGCGCGCAACACGACACTCGCCTCTTGGAGAAGCTCGTCAATAACCTGCGGCACCGCCGATTCGCCCCCTGGAACAAAAAGAGCGCCATTCTTGCAGCGCAGGATGGCGGTCAGCGGATTGATGACGGCGTTGACCACGAGCTTCTCGAGCTGCAGCACCCACAACTCATGGCGCGGCGCCCAACGGGCGTTTAGCTGAGATGCCGCCAGGATCTGCCGGACGAGGTAAGGAAAGGACTCCTCTCCTGTGAAGTCGGGACTGTCGTCGCCTACGGCTCCCAAAACAACATCGGCAGGCGATGCGTGGACGCTGGCAAACGGCCCGAGCGAAAAGACGCCATGGGTCACAATGCAGGCGAGCCAGAGAGGCGTAGCGGCAGTCCCGGGGTAGCGTGCCTTGTTGTAGACGGCTCCGTACGGTGGCCACAGTTTGTTCATGCCGTTCTGTGCAAAGGCGACAGCCGAGTCGGGCCCGAGATATCGCCGCAGCCAGTCTGCCGTCTTGAGCGCGTCCTGGGCCTTGGTGGAAACGACAAGATTGGCGATATTGCTTATTTCTGCAGATTGCGCCCGTGCCGAAGAAGACGGAGGCGCCTCAGACCACATCTCGACGTCAAAGCCGGTGGTCCGAGCACTGTCGTCCAGATCGTGTTGATCCTCAAGGTAGCTCGGCGGGTGTAACACAACGCCGGGTTTGGAGCGCCACTGTTCTAGGAGGCCGGGACGGTGGACGACCAATGTGATCGGCGGACGATTCGGGAGACTGGCGAGTGAAGCAGCAAAAAGTCGGCCCAGGTTTCCCATGCCCAAGATGTAGATGCGCCTCTGCTCTTCTTCCGCCGAAAGCTTCCGGCTGGTCACTGATTTGGCCGTGCTGGAGCCACCCGGTATATCTTCCGTGGTCCACTTGTAGATTTTTGGCCCTGGTGCCTTGTCCTGAAGCACATTTGACAGCCAACCCGGGATGGCAGCTTCTCCCAGCCCATCTGCTCCAACGATATCTGTCATCGGTTTGGAGCTGAACCATCTCCTGGAGGGCGCCGCTGGCACCAAACAGGCGCTGCGCCAGTATGTACAAGACACTGCAGCAGGGCAGCGAGACTTTAAGGCAAGAGAAAACATACCCGAGACATACCGAGAGCTATGAAAGAAGTGGCTCGATGCTTCGCTTCACGTTGAGACCGTCGGCAATTATGTAAGCATAGGCGTTGGGCTAAACGGCTTTAGTGGCGAGAGAGACGCCTGGGGAGGCGCTGTAGCCTAGCGGTAAAAACCACTTTAAACGGCGGTAGCTGTCACGTGCTGTCGTGGAAGCGTCGCGATTCTCCAACTTTCTTCGGATGACGTTTGAGAAAGTCGATCGCCACCAAGCTGTCACACTACTACTCGACAACCTGCTGTTTTCTCGCAACTGCTCACTTTCTGAAACGCAGGCTGCAGGACGGCAAGTGCGGTTCCTTACGACGTGTCTTGAAGCGTCGACATCTCATTGCCCTTTTCAGAGACACAGCAATTCTCCGTCGCTTCCGTTCAAGGTGAAGCGGACATCGAGACGATGTCGTCTCCGTCTCACACCCCTGCGGCACCGGACGCGGTGTCCGACAACGCCGCCATGCTGGACGAAGAGTCGGCCATCAAGGCCCTGACGGAGACCGTGCGAGACCAGGACGACCTTGAGCGCGACATCACCTACCAGGCCGAGCTTGCCCTCATCGACGCCGAAGACAAGCGCGACGAGAAGCGCATTGAGCGGCTCGAGGCGTCCAAAACGAAGCTGGAAGCGCAGCGCAGCACCTACCAGCAGCGGCTACGGACGACGTCAACAGGTAACCCGGCGCTGCGGCGTCGTTTCGAGTCGGAAATTGCCAAACTGGCGGCCGAGATCGAGACGGCCGACAAAGACCTTGCCGATTTTCGCCGACGCATCGACCAGCGACATGTGGGCGACGGCGGACGTGGAGCGGCGGGTCCGGCTTCAGCGACCGACGACGACAAGAGTGCCGGCAACCACCGGCTGCCCAACGAGACGCAGCGCGAGTTCCTGATTCGCACTGGTAAAATCACACCGTTTGCCAAGATCAGCGGTGCGCGGCCCGACGGCGTCGAGGGTGACCTGGCCGATGTGATTCTGGAGGCTGAAGATGAGGCCATTGCAGAAGAGCTGGCCGGCAGTGCACGCGACGAGCCCCACTCGCACCAGAATCTGCGGCTTCCAGGTTTCTCTGAAGGTGTCCAGGCCGTCAAGCTCGGCCGGGCGGATGCACAGCGGACAGCAAAGCAGAAGCAGGAAACAGAAGCCCAGGCAGGACCAAGCACGGCCGCCGAGGCATCCGTCGAGTCCGAGTTTTCACTACGGCCGCGCAAAAAGCGGAAAACAAGACCAGTCGATGCTGAGCAAGGTTCCGACTACGGTGGTGGAGACGGTGACGAAGATGAATGGAAGCCGGCAGCAGACACCTCGGAGCCGGGAACGGCACCAACGTCCGGAGATGAGAGCGACGATGACGACACGACCGACTTCACCAAGCTCACGCGACCCAAAGCAAAGAAACAACGAGGGCGCAAAGGGCGAGCATCCACACTAGCAAGCGAGACGGAAGGCGACTCGGACGCCAAGGTCAACCTGAGCGGCGTCGACGATGGAAACGAGATGGTCTACAAGCAACGCTTGGACAACTGGGTTACCCGGAGAAGAAATGCGCGGCGGCTGCGGAGGCAGGCCGCCGGTTTTCCCGCGGATGACGACGACGACACGCCCGAGTGGTTCAAACCATCGCCAGACGAACCCGACCATGTCTTTGAAAACGGCCTTCGTCTGCCGGGCGACATTTACCCGTCGCTCTTTGCCTACCAAAAGACGGCCGTTCGGTGGCTCGCTGAGCTGTACGACATGCGCGTTGGCGGTATCATTGGCGACGAGATGGGCCTCGGCAAGACGGTGCAGCTGATCTCGTTCGTGGCAGCCCTGCACTACAGCCGGCGTCTCGACAAGCCCGTCATTGTTGTTGCACCGGCCACCGTCCTGCGGCAGTGGGTCAATGAGTTCCACCGCTGGTGGCCCGCGCTACGGGTGTCCATCCTGCACTCCTCCGGCAGCGGCATGCTGAGTGTCAAGGGCGAAGACCGCATCGAAGAGGAGGAGCTGCCGTGGGACAGCCGGCCCGAGAAGCGTGGATCGAGTGCGGCGGCCAAGAAGATTGTCGACCGCGTGGTGAAGCATGGCCACGTTCTGGTCACGACCTATGCCGGCCTGCAGACGTATGGCGACGTTCTGATACCTGTTCGTTGGGGCTATGCCGTGCTTGACGAGGGCCACAAGATCCGGAACCCAAACACCGCCATCACGGTCTACTGCAAGGAGCTGCGGACGCCGAACCGCATCATCCTGTCAGGCACGCCCATGCAGAACAACCTGACCGAGCTGTGGTCCCTGTTTGACTTTATCTATCCCATGCGCCTGGGCACGCTCATCAACTTCCGCAACCAGTTTGAGATCCCCATCCGGCTGGGCGGCTATGCCAACGCGACGAACCTCCAGATCATGACGGCCCAGAAGTGTGCCGAGACGCTGAAGGATGCCATCAGCCCGTACCTGCTGCAGCGCCTCAAGGCCGACGTGGCCACCGACCTGCCCAAGAAGAGCGAGCAGGTCTTGTTTTGCAAGCTGACGGAGCCGCAGCGGCTGGCCTACGAGCTGTTTCTGAAATCGGACGAAATGAACGCCATCCTGCGCAGAGCGCGGCAGTCGCTCTACGGCATCGACATTCTGCGCAAGATCTGCAACCACCCTGATTTGCTGGAACCGCCGCTGAAGCACAAGGAGGGCTATTACTGGGGCAATCCCAACAAGTCGGGCAAGATGCAGGTCGTCAAGACGCTGCTGCAAATGTGGAAGCGCTTCGGCCACAAGACGCTGCTCTTTTGCCAGGGCACGCAGATGCTGGATATCCTGGAGGCGTTCGTGCAGCGCCAGGGCGACATCAACTATCTGCGAATGGACGGCAAGACGGCCATCAAGGACCGCCAGACGCTGGTCGACCGCTTCAACAACAGCCCCCACATTGACTTGTTCCTCCTCACCACCAAAGTCGGCGGTCTCGGCACCAATTTGACGGGCGCCAACCGCGTCATCATCTTTGACCCCGACTGGAACCCGTCGACGGACGTGCAGGCCCGTGAGCGTGCGTGGCGACTGGGCCAGAAAAAGGAGGTGACCATCTACCGCCTCATGACGGCCGGCACCATCGAGGAGAAAATCTACCACCGCCAGATCTTCAAGCAGTTTCTGACCAACAAGGTCCTGAAGGACCCCAAACAGCGGACGACCTTTGGCTTGCATGACTTGCACGACCTGTTCAGTCTCGGCTCGTACGAGGACGGCGTCACGGAGACGAGCGAGCTGTTCCAGGGCAGCGAGGTGATGGTGCCCACCGGCCGCAAGCAAGTCATTACACCCGGCCCGGACTCGGTCCCCATCATTACCGACGGCAACAAGGGCAAGGCCACGGAGGCTGCTGCCGCTGGTGATGGTGATGACGCCAAGCAGTTGCGCAGCATGCCGGGTGTCGCCAAGCTGGAAGAGTTCCAGCAGGCCGACGATGACGGTGCCAATGCCAATGCCAATGGCGAAACCGCCGACACATCTGCGTCGGCGCAGGAAGACCGCATTATGAAGGGCATCTTCGCACAGTCCGCCCTCCACAGCGCTGTTGAGCACGATATGATTATGAACGGCGGCGGCAGCAGCAGCAGCAGCGGTAAACGCACTGTCCAGGCCGACCGCCGCATCCTCGAACAAGAAGCGCGTCGTGTCGCGTCCGAGGCCGCCGCTCATCTCCGGCAGGCCGGCGAAGAAGCCGGTCGCGTGCCGATTGGTACGGTCACTTGGACAGGCGAAGTGGGCGAGGCCGGTCGGCCACGGAATGTACGGAACGAGCGTCGCGGCCGTGCTGGGCCGAGCTCGTCCGGCATTCTGGCCTCCATTGCCGACCGCCAGGGTCTGCGGACGCCGACCAGCAGACGCTCACCCTCTGGCACACCCGACCGAGGATATGCTTCGTCTGCGTCTGCGTCTGCGTCGGCATCGGCCGGCATCACGGTCGACGATTTTGAACGGATGATTCCCAACTTTATTCGGAGACACGGTGGCAAGGTGCCGTCAAAGGTGCTTGTGGATCATTTTAATCAGTATTGCACGGGCAAGCAGCAAGCAGCCGATTTCAAAAAGGCGCTGGAAGTGGTGGCGCGAATGGAAAAGACGGGCTCGAGCATGCGTGCCATTTGGTCATTGAAGCCCAAGTTTCAGCAGGCATGAGGGCACAACTTTGCATTGTATATAGTATGACAGTTATGTGACGATTGACGACGACACAACTTTTTTAAGTTTTACTATTTTTATTCATTGTGTCTGAGGCTACCTATAAAAGTGTGTCCTTGTTGCAAGCTCGTACCGTTCGTTTTTAACCCGTTGTCAAGCCATCCCATGACTGCGGTTGTGCCAGAAGCAACATGCGACGTAGAAGAACTGTCAATGGGGACCAGGCAAATTTGCCGTTCCCCTCGGAAGTGTCAACACCACAGCGACGTCAAAGAGGCAGAGGAAAAGAAAGACAGAGGGAAGAAAAGAAGATCAAAAAAAGGAACCGTAATACTTTTCAATGTGCGCAAACCACACCCGGGGTGAGGCCGCAAAAGGAGAAAATATACTAGGTCTTCTTCTGCTCCTCTATCCTGCCCGTCTTTTTTCCGATGCCTTTGATGTCCGAGAAAAAAAAAAACTACAAAGGGAAAAAACGAAGCGAGGCGTGCCTCAACAAACAAGAGACACCGTCATTATCGAACCAAGACGGAATCGACAATTGGTTTGTAAAAAGCCAGAGACAACCAGTGACGCCGAGTGATGCAAATGAAACGACGGCAGAGACAATCGGATCGACGTCTACAGACGACGACCACGGCGACCACCCTTGCGGCGGGTCGAGTCGGAGGGCGTGGGGGTGACGTCCTCGATGCGGCCAATCTTCATGCCGGAACGGGCCAGGGCGCGCAGGGCCGACTGGGCACCGGGGCCGGGGGTCTTGGTGCCGTTGCCACCGGTGGCACGGATCTTGATGTGCAGAGCAGTGATGCCCAGCTCCTTGCAGCGGGCGGCGACGTCCTGCGCAGCCAGCATGGCGGCGTACGGCGAGGACTCGTCACGGTCGGCCTTGACCTTCATACCACCGGTAACACGGCAGATGGTTTCGCGACCACTGGTCCATGTTAGTTGCCCTCCTCTGAAAGTGCTTCTCGACTTGTATTCTCTCCCTCGTCCCCCGCTGGAGCGTATTTACCTCAGATCCGTAACGTGGACGAAAGTGTCGTTGAAGGAAGCGAAGATGCGGGCAACGCCGAAAACGAGCTCGCCTAAAAGTCCAACGTTAGTCTTGGTGTCCATGTCCCAACGCAATTGCTTCTGCCAAAGATAATTCTTCGTGTTGCGCATCGATGTCTCTTCTTGCTCCGCCAAAACGTATCAAACGTACCCTCGCGGACCTGGGGGCCCAGGGAGATGTTCTCCTGGGCGGGCTTGACAGTCTTCTTCGGGGGCATGTTGGCGGTTTGGTGGTGTTCTGTGTTGGTGAACGGTGTTGATGATCGTAGGATGTCAGAAGAGAGACGGCGAAAATTCCAAAACGAGGGACAGAAAAGCCACCAGCAAAATGTTAGCCTGGAAAAGAACACCAGTCTCTTAGGCCCTGTGTCGTCGTTTTGGTGGGGAACAGGTCTTCAGCTGCACAAAATTTACGGGCGGTGTACGACGGCAGAAAGCCGCCCAAACAAAATTGGTCTCGAAAACAGCCAGGGCTAGCGTGCCCTATAAAATTTGCGCTGTGACGACGGCAAACTCGTGACTGTGGGGTGGGCCGTTTTAGCGCGGATTTGTGATTTTAGGGCAACTCTTGCCAATTTTCGCTCGTCTCACTCTGGCCCCCATATTTTCCCGCCCAATTTCTGTGCTACACCTTTTCTCGCCTGAAATTTTCTATGTCTCGAAATCTTCCTTCTCCCTCTTCACTCGACCATCGACAAGTCATCGACAATACTCGACAACCGACAAGCATCTCGACAACCAATCCTTCGCAATGGCGTCTACTTCTACGTATGCATCACCCTCCCTCCCATCGTCCTTGTCTTGAACGCCGCCTCTTATTGCCGCCTCTGCGCTTCGTTGCGTGTGACGAGCGCAAAAAAAGGCGGTCGCTTCACTCAAGCAGCAGATTTTTTCTTCTAGATTGTCGTGGTCCCCATTCGCTGGATGCCATACGTGCTCTTCTTCGGTCTCGCATCTGTGTGTTCGGAGCAGACGTTGAGAACACGGCATTCCAGTCTGATGTTTCCCGCACGTCTCTCCATCTTGCGGAGGGCAGCTTCGCTCTCCCCAATTTGAAAGGCAGCTGTGCTGGGTGTTGAGTCTGAACGACCCGGTGCCGAAAGGCCGACGTTCTTCTCTAAAATAAGTGCCTATTACAGTGACAAGCAGCAGCGTCGTGTCTCGAAACGAGTGTCGCACCGCTCTCGTCATCTTGTGCAAGGAGCAAAACGTTTCTTGAGCGAACTTGATTGTTTGCCCGAGGTGTTGTCGGCTTGAGTGGTGCAAGGAGTCCGCTTGGTTGACACATTCATTTGTTGTTCGTCCCTGGTCTCCACGCGATCTCACCGATTAAATTGAACAAGCGAGCCAGCCATCGAGAGAATGTCGCACTTGAGCAGCAGTTCTCCACAGGCGCTCCCTCATACCGTTGGTATGCTGGACTACGTACTAATCTGATCGCAACAGTTCCGTGCCTACGCACGACCACATTCTGGTCCCCGAGACCCTCCTGAAGAAGCGCAAGAGCCAGGAGAAGGCCCGCGCTGAGCGCTCTGCCGAGATTGAGAAGAAGAAGGCTGTAAGTACAATCTCGCACACTCTCATTTTTTATAAAAAATTGAGCGGGTGTGAATATATAAAAGAGGAAGAAGTCGATATGATGCATAGCTATATCTTGCCAACTAGACTTTGTCGATGTCGTTGCAAAAATTACCATCTTTCGGGTCTGATATCGAATAAGGAAATGGGCATTTGTTCTGGGATTTGGGTTACACCGTATGTCCTCGCAAGACAACCAGCTGACAGTGTTTTCCCATCAGGCCAACAAGGAGAAGCGCACCGTCATCTTCAAGCGTGCTGAGAAGTACGTCAAGGAGTACCGCGATGCCGAGCGCGAGCAGATCCGTCTTGCCCGCCTGGCCAAGCAGAACAACTCGTTCCACGTCCCGGCCGAGCACAACCTGATCTTCGTTGTCCGCATCAAGGGTATCAACAAGATTCCCCCCAAGCCCCGCAAGACCCTCCAGGTCCTGCGTCTGCTGCAGATCAACAACGGCGTCTTCATCCGCGTCACCAAGGCCACCCAGGAGATGATCAAGATCGTCGAGCCCTGGGTCGCCTACGGCTACCCCAACCTGAAGAGCGTCAAGGAGCTGATCTACAAGCGCGGCTACGGCAAGGTCAACAAGCAGCGCATTGCCCTGACTGACAACGCCATCATCGAGGAGTCCCTCGGCAAGTACGGCATTGTCTGCGTCGAGGACCTGATCCACGAGATCTACACCGTCGGCCCCAACTTCAAGCAGGCCTCCAACTTCCTGTGGCCCTTCAAGCTGTCCAACCCCACGGGCGGCTTCCACACCCGCAAGTTCAAGCACTTCATTGAGGGTGGTGACCTGGGCAACCGCGAGGAGAACATCAACGCCCTGATCCGCCAGATGAACTAAGGCTTCTGCCCAACGAGTTTTGTTTGCGATGGAACATGGGGCCGTTGTGTGTTTGTCTTGAAAGAAATGAAAATATCTGTTGGTACTGATGACATGGTTGTTTTAAAATTTTGCGTAATGGACAACATTAACGTTGCGCACGGCGTTTCTGGGTGGAAAAGCAAAATGCTACGGCTTATTTTACTCCAAAGGTCAATCCACAAAAAACATCATAAATATGCCACTGTTCATTCTTTGTCCTGCAAGTGACCCCTGCTCTGTAACCAAGCCTGGGAATGTGATGATAAAATGTGTTCTATTAAGTCGTCATAGAGGTGGTGATGTTATATGCCACCCTTTGTCGTTATAAGAAGTGCCGTATGAGGTAATGCATGAGTTGAGTGTGGCTCTATAAAATAAATTACGTCTATCGAGGGCGTCGCTCGTGTGTGTATTGTGCGCAAAGGCAATAACGACAACACGTACCAATGATCTCACTCTCACGCCTTGATATCAAAGCTTGTTCCACAGCCGCAGCTGCTCGTCGCCAGCGGGTTGTCCACAATCTTAAACTGCGAGCCGATCAATTCCATGGTAAAGTCGACCTTGCTGCCTTTGAGCAGCTGGAGCGACGGCGTGTCCAAAATGATCTTGGGCGCCGCCAGCGGGTCGGCCGAGCTGGCTCCAGAGTCTTCGCCGGCATAGGTGAAAATGGTGTCGTCGTCTCGAATGACGGGCTCGCTGCCACCCGCATCGGCCCCCACGTCCGGCTCGACGGCCGTATCTGGCCCGGACGTCGTCGGCAGCTGCTCTGGCAGCGTCACAAGGCTCATGAGGTACTGGAAGCCGTGGCAGCCGCCGCTCTCGACCTGGATGCGCAGGGCCAGGCGGCTGTTGCCGTCCTTTTCCATGACCTTGGCGAGGCGCTGGCACACTGTTAGCAGGGAAGCAAGGAGCGAGAAACAGATCCGCCCGGTGAAAATGCTAGCATACCTTGGCGGCACGGGAGGTAATCTCGAGACGCATCTCATTGCCTTCGTCGTCCATTTGCGGGTTCAGCAGGGTCTGTGTCGTGCCTCGCGGGGCCGTAGTAGCAAAGCTCCTGGGTTGCGGCACGTTTGTTGGGTTCCTTGAAGCGGTCCACGACGACACGTTTACGCTTGGTCTTGATAGCCGGCTCGCATAGTGGCGTCTACTCGACGCCAGTCTGTGCTGCCTTGTTCTTGCCTGTGACTCGGCTGAGCTCGGTGTCGTAGCATAGCCTCGGCGACGACTGCTGGCATAAGCACTCGAGGCTGACGGCGGAAGAAGGAAGTCGAGAATGGGTGACGAGCTGGGTCCGCTGCCCGGCGCAAGGCACAGGGCCCTCCAGAGGTGTAGGATGCTCCTCGGGGCGGACGATGCGGCCGCAAGTGCGTGGGAGCATATTGGTATGGAAGCCATTGCGGTGGAGAGATGTAGAAGGGACGAGACTTGTGTAGGTCGCTGTTGTTGTTTTCTTACAAAATAAGTGTTTGAGAGAGAAGAATGACGTTGAAGGATAGGCGCGGCTCAATTCGGGGTGAACTGCCCCAACAGCGGTACCAATGTCCGTTCCTGCTCCGACAGCAGATGTACGGTTTTCGTTCCTGTCATCAAGGTCCAATTTCTAAGCAGAAACAGGCGCCGTTCGGTGAAAAGCGACTACTCAAGCGTGTGGGGGCAAACGAGTCATACTGGAAATTTTCCTGGTCTGATTATGTCATCCAATGTTTTTGGCCAGGAATGGTCATATGCCAACGATCGATGACAGTAATCAAATAAGGATATGTGATTGGTTGTCTGCTGTCTGTCCGAAACAGTCACGTGACACTTACACGAGGCTAGTGTCTCCATTTCAACGTCCCCCTCCCTTAAGAGTTCCTTTGTCACCGCTAATAAGCGTCGCAACTCGGCTGGATACGTCCGAAACAGGGCATCCACCGGCGTGAAGCCAGCCGCGCATCCTAGATTTGCAAAGTCGGATGCATGGATTGGTGGATGGTTGGAGACGGAAATCCTTTTGTTGGTCTTTTTGGGACTTGAACCGCTGACGAACCGCTGACAAGTCGAGAAACGGAGAACAAGTGTTGCTGTTCTCTTGTTCTCACAACATCATCCAGAGACACAAGGTGGGTTGAGACACATACTTGTGTGTTTGATGTTTCTCTGACACCTGCCACGCGGTGGTACACTTCGCGCACCTGTCGTCCCATCTCCGTTCCGTTTCCGCGTCTTGGGATCCCGGAAACCGCGACACTTCTCTTATTTCTCCTTTGTCCCGTGTAGAAGACAGGATGCGACGCAACCGTCTTGGTGATACTCCTCACAGTACCCAAACCATAAGGCTTGGACATGGGTCGCCATGCTGACAGCGATCTGACTGTTGAAACTCTCCATTCCATTTGGGGCCATGGCCTGTTGGGCCAGCTACCGATGTGGAGGGTATACAGACGATTGTTGGAGTTTGGAGTGCGGAGATGCTTGACCAATCTTTGACCAAGCGAGACCGTCGAAGAGCTGCGGACCGTCCTGTTGTGTCTTTTTGTGGATTCCTGTGCGTTGGTCGGTTATGGATGCACAGGTTTCTATATCCGCGATGAGAGTAAATTCGGCGGTCTTTGTACACACGTCTCTGTTTTGGAGTGCCCAAAGACTGGCTCAAGGATTTGTGCTGCAATATAGGAGCAAAATCAGAAGTGCACCAGAGCCGCGTGGGTTGCCCCAACTATCTGATTCCTCCTGCCCCATTTCTTTCTCAATGGTGTCTTTGGTATGGGACGACCCATTCGTCGTGGATGCAGTCGGCACTTGTCTGGTTGGCCGGCCTTATCAGCCAAACCTGCAGTTTCCGCTATGTCTTGGTGGTTTGCTCGACCTTCGGGAAGTTGGGGTAGGTGGGCCATGTCAGGGAGGCTTTCGATTAGTCTGTTGTTAGTGCACAAATGGACTTACACGGTTGTCACGGTCCCCTGTCCATCCAGCCGATGGCCATATCGGTTCGGGAGCGAATGGTTGGTGGAGGAGCCGACACACCAACGTGGACCGCTTTTTGGGCGACGACCAACACGAGGGTTCACGTCAAAATACACCAGATAGATACCAAGGCAGGTGAGGAGATATACCAAGAAAATAATGACAAAAGAGGGGGTTGTGCGGACGGTCGTGGTGAGCCGTCTTTTAAAAGCGAAGGCACCTCTGTCGTCTTGTACCGGCTTGTCATGCTGTCTTTTGGTTTTGCCTGATATCCTTTTTCTATTGTATTTTGTACATGGCAGGCAAAGCCAGTCGGCACCGCATCGAGCTTCAACAGCGCACATAGTTTTATCGAGGGCCGACGTCCGATCGCCCCCTTTTTCGTTTATCTCATCCTCTCATCCACTCATCCTCCTTGCTCCGTTTCAAGTGTCCTGTCATCTCTTCAGCCACCTCTCTCAACCTCACCCTCGACGCTCTCAACGACGCACTCAACGACGTCATTCGTCCCCTCTTCCCCAACGATGGCTGTCACATTCGAATCCTCCGACTCGCAGACCGTCTCGCCGGTGCGTCTGGTGCTGGGCCAGCTGGTCGCCATCTGGGCCGCGCACTGGCCGGTGCTGCTGCCGCTCCTCTTCATCAGCCGGCTTCTCTACAAACGCTACGCCTCACCGCTGCGGAGGTATCCCGGTCCCTGGCTCGCCTCCGTCTCGCGGCTCTGGAAGGTGCTGAGCACGGCGTCCACCAACACGCAATGGCAGCACATCGACCTGCACCGCAAGTACGGCCGCATCGTGCGCATCGCGCCCAACGAGGTGTCGATTGCATCGCCCGAGGCGGCACGCTTGATTCTGAGCGCGGGCAAGCACTTTTACAAGACCAACTTCTACGGCGTGTTCCCGCCGCCCGAAAACCCGGACATTTTCACCGAAGTGCGCGAGCACGTGCACGCGCAGAAAAAGAAGGTGGCCAACGTGCCGTACAGCATGGCGGCGATGCAGCAGCTGAGCCCGTTCATCAACGACGCGGTCGAGCTGCTCGTGGCCAAGCTGGCGACGCAGGCCAACGGGCAGGCACACGACGCCGCCGGTCCGCAGGTGGACCTGGGCGCGTGGCTGCACTACTTTGCGTTTGACGTGCTGGGCGAGGTGGCCTTCAGCCGCAGCTTCGGGTTCCTGGAGCAGGGCCGCGACGTGGAGAGCGCCATCAAGACGATTGACGACTCGCAGCGGTACAACGGCATCGTGGGCCAGGTGCCCGAGCTGGACTACGTGCTGCGGCGCAACCCGCTGTGCAAGTACATCCCCGCGCTCGACACCAAGAACGCGCTCATTACGCGCATGGCGCTCGAGGAGCTGGGCCGGCGCAGGCCGTTTGACAAGGAGAGCGAGGGCAAGTGGCGCGGCGGCGACGGGCGGCAGGACCTGCTGGCCAGTCTGATCAAGGGCCACCTCAAGGACCCGGAGAAGTTTGGCGAGGGCGACGTGTTTGCGGTCGCGCACGGCGCCATTTTTGCGGGCTCGGACTCGACGGCCTCGACCATGCAGTCGTTTTTCTGGCTGGTCCTGCACGACCGCCGCATCTACAACAAGCTCGTGGCCGAGATCGAGGCCGCGGTCGCCGACGGCACCATCCCGCCCGCCGGCAACGTGTCCTGGTCCGAGGGCCAGGGCCTGCCCTACTTCCAGGCCTGCCTGCGCGAGGCCATGCGCGTCCGCCCGGCCGTCGGCCTCAACATCACCCGCGTCGTCCCGCCCGAGGGCGCTGAGCTGGACGGCGTCTTCTTCCCCGGCGGCACCCACGTCGCCGTCAACGGCTGGGTCATCCACCGCGACCGCGCCACCTTTGGCGAGGACGCCGACGTGTTCCGCCCCGAGCGCTGGACCGAGGACGAGGAGCGCGCCCGCCGCATGGATCGCTACATGGTGCAGTTTGGCGGCGGCGCACACGTCTGCATCGGCCGCAACCTGGCGCTGCTCGAGATCAACAAGGTGCTTCCGCGCCTGCTGCGCGACTTCCGCTTCGCGCTTGTGCACCCAGACCGCCCGCTGAATGCGCACGCCACGTTTTTCGTTGTCCAGGAGGGTCTGGACGTGTACATTGAGAAGAAATCGACGTAGTTGAGAGGTTGGTGTAGGTGAGGATGAGGATGTGAATGAGGAATCGGGACACTTTTTTGTGAGCGCTTGTAGTGTTACTGAAGTAGCCAATTTATATTTTCTAAATCATATTGACATGTTATTCATACTTTGGCTGAGTCTCCATAATGGAAGTATTTGCATCAATTTTGTCAAAGTCAGGAGCTGTACGATGTACGCCGGGGCGTATGCCGTACTTGGTTCCACCAAAGCCACCAAAGCACATCAATTGACGCCACATCCCAAACGACTGATGTTCGCCAGCGACGGCGAGCTCCCTGGTGCGGAATGTCTTGCGTACGACGTCGCTGGCCGTTTTTGGCAGGTCAGTTCATAAACAAGGGTTCACGTCCGTGACACAATACCCATGGGCCAGGGCTCATGAAACTCGAAAGGGACGTAGTGTCGCACCACATTCCACATTTCTGGCCGAAGAAGTGAAGACAAAGGAAAGACGTTGGCTGTGGCGAGTTCGTCGGTGATACCTCTGAACCTGAAATAAGTACTGAGAAAAAGGTCGAGGGGAATAGGTTGCCTTTGAAATAAAATAAAGTCAGAGGACACGGCCGTCGAGGAGACTTTCATCGTGATGAGATGCTACACGAACACTGCCCCTTGTTAAATGCAACTCGACTTCTTCGTCTATTTCGTAAATATGCCACTCTCTCCCATTCGCTCGTCCTCTTTTCACAACTCGGAGAATAGCGAAACTCTTTGCACATCCTCGAAAATCATTGATCCTCGCCGGATTCACGCCGTACACGGCGCTTCTCCCGTTGATGTTCAGCAGGGATTAAGGGCCGTCAGGGGCTCTCAATGCGGCCAATGGGCCAGGATACAAAACACTCAACGAGGGGCAGGAGTCAATATGAGGGCGTTCTTAAGGCGTTTGTTAAGGGATTAAATACTCTGTAAGATGACAAGGTGCACTGCGGAATACCGGAGATCTTATTTTATTTATTTTTTGGCCTATTTTTTGGCCTTTTTGCCTTTCGTCCCTTCTTTCAGATTGAGACGACAAGCTCAGTGCTGTCCCTCCTGCGTCGCATGAAATGCACGGTGACAAGGTCGCACTGATGAAGGGGGTTGAATAACTCTAATTCTCCAACATGGACCGTTTCAGGCGCACAGTTGCTACCCCAGCGCCTCCTGGCCATCAAAGAGGTCGTCTGAACCGCCGCGCATTTCACCACGTATTATTCTGTATTATCCATTCTTCTACACCTGACTGGCCTCTCGACCGCTCCGTTGGGCCTGTTTCCCAATGTTTCCACTTACATGCTTTTGGAAAGGCTTGGAACACAACGTCACAAAACCTCCTGTCAGACGAGTCAGGTCGGACGGGCGGCTCAACTAAACCCTGTAAACTGATTTTTTATGTTATTATTTTATTTTATTTTTCCTTTCGTTGACAAGATGCATCTTCATTCGTTGTGGCTGTGGTCAACCTCGAAGCGCCTGTGCGATGCTGAAGAGGGCATACTCCGTGCACCACGAGACAACTCCAGAAATGGACATCGTAGAGTTTCACTGGCCGCCAGGGAATGCAGCTGCGGGGGCGTTTATGTAGCAGCTCAATTGGCGATGAACAGGGGGCATTCTAACCTGGAGAGTGTAAATACATATAACGACTGCATCTACCCAGGTGTTCACGATGCCCCCCTCTCTCTGTCTCTTCAACCTCATCTTTCTTTTTCGTGAGATTTTACATTCATTTCTTCCTAGGGCTAGCTCCCGTTCTTTCTTTTGCTTTTCTTTCAACGCTCCCTTCCGTTCCTTTCCAGCGTCATTCGTCGTCGTCTTGATATCATTCTTTGCTCTGCGAGCCCCCCTTTTCATCACCCCTTCTCTCCATCATGACGCGAGCACTCGCTCTTCTGGCGGCTTCCGTCCCCTGGACCACGCTCGTCGCCGCCAAGTATGCCCACGTTGCCGAACCTCTCCTGCCACGCACCGTCACGTCCCTCGACGCTGCCGCAGTCGCCGAGGCCCAGCAGCGCGACGACACCGCCACCCGCGCCTTTTCCAACGTGCAGATCACCACCGCCGACGGCCGCTGCCTGTTTGTCGACAAGCTCTCGGGTGACTTCCGCGAGAATCTGACGCCCGTGCAGGTTGCCGCCTGTGGCTCCACCGACGGCCAGGGCTGGGACGTCATCACGGCCGGCAAGCACAACAACGTCGCCAACGCGGCCCTCGTTGTCAGCACCCTCACCAATGCATGCCTCAATTTCGACCCGCGCCGTGCCGCCGGCAACCAGGTCCTGCTTTTTTCGTGCGGCGGGCGGGCCGACGGCGGCGGGCTTGTGACCAACTCGCAGCTCTTCTCGTTCAATGGCACCGAGACGGGCCCCATTCCCTTGGAGCCCGAGAACCAGCCCGGGTCGTGTCTGGCTGTCAAGGGCAATGTGGTGGACATTGCCACTTGTGACGCCGCCGACGCGAACCAGTCGTTTGTCTTTGGGGCAGCGGCCGCCGGGGTTGCGCCTTCGGCTGCTTCATCCCCTGCATCTGCTGCTGCGTCGGCTCCAGCAACAGCAGCAGCAGCAGCAGCGTCGTCGTCCTCAAACTCGTCCGTCACGTCGGCCGTACTTGCAGCGACGTCTAGCATTGCTGCGCCAGGCACCCTGCCGTCTGCCTTGCAGACTGCCTCGGCCTGCTCCGGCCGCACACGTACCGTCATCAAGACCGTGACAGCATCCGCCTCCGCGGCGAGCAGCAGTGGTGCCGGCGTCGCTCTCGGCGCTGCAAACCCTGACCCACTATCCTCGTCGGCTGCCACGGCTGCGGTCACGGGCACGGTCACTGCCATCCCCCAGCCTGATTCCGCCGTTCCCGTCTCCCGCGGCGGCAACCTCAGTCCCTCTGCTGCCGCCGAGGCCAACCCCGTCGACAACACCGCGAAGCGCAACTTGACCAGCGTCACCATCCGCGCGCCCAACGGCCAGTGTCTCTTTGTCGACCCCACCGCCGGCGACTTCCGCGAAAACCTCATCCCCGTCTCGCTCGTCGACTGCTCCGGCACGCCCAACGAGCGCTGGGACGTCGTGACGTCCGGCGCCCACAACGACGTGCCCGGCACCGCCCTCATTGTCAGCACCCTGACCAACGGCTGCATCAGCTTCGACGGCCGGCGCGCCGCCAACGACACGGTCAACCTCTTTTCGTGCGGCGGCCGCGCCGACGGCACGGGCCAGACGAATGCGGACCAGCTGGTGCCCTTTGTCGGCGCCTTCAGCTTTGCCTTGGCACCCTCGGGCGAGAACGGCAAGGTATGCATTCTGCCGGGCGCAGACAATGGGCGCCTGATTTCGGGGGCGTGCCCGACCAACGGCGCGCAACTGTTTGCCGTCTTCCCTTGAGATCCGCTCAACGGTCACCCCCACGTGCCTCCATTCGTGGCCTTGTCATGGTCCGTGGCGGAGCGATGTGAGATGAGATCTGACGCGTCTTTCGATGGCCTATTCGGTCTGACTGTCGCGTCGTGTCCTGTGTATTTGTATTGCGCGCTTCTTGTGCGACGACCTCATTGCCTTCTCTGTACATATAGCATTAAATTCTTGCTGTCTTTTTGTTTCCAAATCTTTTTAATGCTTTTTTGTTCGTGGTTCCCGGTCTTGTTGTGTAACGGCTGTCAAAAAGACAAAATAACAAAAAAGTCCCGTACAATTCTCCGTATTGTTTTGGTTAAATATAGCGCTCTGTCGCCGCCAACAAACAAATCGGAACATAAGCTGAGCCAATACAAACAACATTGACGTCTGAGATAAGCGGTGCCGTGTTTCAGCAGCCACAGCCCCTAGTCGCATTTTTTATAACCTGGATCGCGGTCGATGGCAATCGTACTCTGGATACGTGCGTAATGTCGTAGTTTCATTAGTGGCTGAGATGAGTCCTTCCTTTCCCGCAACTATCGCGTGCGTCGGTCGCTCTTACCTCAACTTTGCCAATTCTTCTCGGGCTTAGCATTGCCTGGTTCTTGCCTTGCATCCTGCGTTTCGCACATTTTGTCACACTTTTTGGCTTCACCTGGATTCTGTTCTTTTCTGTGCCCCTTTCTTGCCATCGTCCATCCGTCTCAACCTGCGCGCCTCCGCGCCTTCGCGTCTGGCACCCGCGCACGCTAAATCCCCATGCCTTGGCGCACGTCACACGTCAACTTCGACCTCACCCGCATCTGACGATGTCGTCGCCGCCCGAATCTGCCTCCGCAGCCGCAGAGCTGTCCATTGAAGCTGCCGATGAAGACACACGCACACAACGTGCTCCTGCTTCTCCTGCACGGCATTTATCGCCCACATCGGCTGCGGCGCCACCTCCTCTGCCTGCCGCGTCGCAACCCCATATCCACTACGCCGAAGTAGGGACTGGGCCCAGCACATTGTCGGCGCCTCCGGCTCTGTCTGTCGACGCGCAGCTCGCCAGCAGTCATGGCCACGGCCAGAGCTACGGCCAAGGCCAAGCCCAGGGGCAAGACGGCAGGCGGCCCCTGTCCGAGTCGAATGTCCCCGTCCACGGCGCCATGTCCGCAGTCGATGGTCCAGGCAGCCTCTTGTCGCCGACCACCCCGGGCGGCGGTCTGCGCCGTCGAGGCACAAAGCGTGCTGTGACCTTTCGCAATGTCGACAACTTTTCCGAGTATGACGTGCGGCCTGGGTGGCAGCCAGGTTCCGAGCCGGGCATCGACACAAGCAAGCCCGATGGCGGGCGCGCGACGCTGGCGACAATGATGTCGCCGAGCGAGATCACCGTCGTCGACTTCAGCCAGGACGACATTATGACGACGCGCCTGGACAATGCGACCCTGGCTGGCTTCCTGGCGGTGCCCCAACCGCGCCACATGAAGTGCCGCTGGATCAACGTCAACGGCCTGAGCTGGGACGTCATCCAGATCCTGGGCAACCACAAGCGCCTGCACAGGCTGGCCATTGAGGACCTGATCAACACACGGAACCGCACCAAGGCCGATTGGTACACGACGCATATCTTTATGGTCCTGACGCTACAAAAACTCGTGCATTTCGACTTTGCCAAGAACCGCATCAGCCGCTCCGACGACAGCGACAGCGACAGCGGTGAGAGCGACGACGGCGACGACACCACGGACGATAAGAACGGCGATAGTGTCAAGAGTGGTCGGTCCAGCCACTCACGCAAAAGCGGTATCTCTCGGCGATTTCGACGCATGTTCAGCCGCCGGCACCGCAGGAGCAGAGATGCGAGCAGAGGACAGGCGGCCGCGTCTGCACCGACATACGCGGTATCGGCGCGAAATGTGGAAAGTGGACCACGGCCACCGGTACCACGGACGGCGTCGATCCGGGATGCCGAGGACCTCTCTCACGTCAATTCCTTTCGCACACTTCAGCGGTACCACTCTTCGCCCAACGATGCACGCACCGACTTTATGGAAAGCCACTCCGCTTTGAGCTCCAAGAATCTGGCCGTGGCTGCTGAGCAGGTGTCCATCTTCATTACCGACGACAACACTGTCATTTCCTTTTTCGAACTCTCCGCCCAAGACGTGGAGCAGCCCATCTTAAAGCGGTTGCGCTTGGCCGACACCAGCTTGCGGCGATCTTGCGACGCATCTCTGATTACCCAGGCCATTCTGGACGCCATCATCGACCTGGCCATCCCTGTCACGGTGTGCTACGGCGATGTGATTTCCGACCTCGAGCTGGATGTGCTCACCAGTCCGAGCGTGAGGCACACCAAGAGTCTGTACATTACCATCACCGAGATGAACAAGGTGCTCAGTTTCATCAATCCGGTCATGAACCTCATCAACACGCTGCGCGACCATAAGACGGACAGCGTGGCCCTTGACGATTTCCAGAACCCAGCCACCGGCGTGACCATCTCGTCGACAACGTACGTGTACCTTTCCGACGTGCTGGACCACTGCGTCCTCATCACCGAGTCACTGGACCAGATCCGCGGCCAAGCCGAGCACATGATCTCTCTCATCTTCAACACGATCTCGGCGAACCAAAACGAAAGCATGAAACAGCTGACGATTGTCACCATTATCTTCCTTCCCCTGACCTTCTTGACCGGCTACTTTGGCCAAAACTTTGACGGGTTTGCCGACCTCGAGCTCGGTATTCCTTTCTTGTGCGTTGTCCACCCGTGTGTCAAACGACATGATGACACGTTTGTACTGACATCCATCCAGCTGGAAAATCGCCGGTCCCGTCATCTTCTTCACCGTCGTCATTATGATGTACGACATGATTCTGCGGTATTGCAGATCGCTTATTCAGCGCCGCCACATTCTGCGCCTTCGAAAACACCGCCGCAAGCGCTCCAAAGCCAAGAACTAATTACTACTAACCTTCGCTTTTGTTTTGCGTCATGTCTTTTGGTTAGCATTCTTGATTGACACAACGACGGTTGCCAGCCTCCTTTTTGTTGAACTAGACGTGCACTTTCTTGGTTGCTTTTTTGGACCTATTTTAATATCCCTTTTGATCGCCCCGTCTCTTTATCTTTAATTTACTTACAGACGAACTTGCAAGCAAGCTTCATTGTGATCCTCTCCTTCGTTATTGGGCTGTCCTATTAACCCAAAATAGAAGCACCGCGTCATTTCGCGACTCATTTGTTTCATTTTAAGGGAAACACAAAATAACAAAATACCAGCTTTCGGGTTCGCTTCGATTAAGTAGCTTTGACTCCAGGCCAAGGCAAAAAGAAAATAGCTCGGCAAAATCGGCGGTGTCAAGTACCACGATGCCTAGCCAATATCCCGTCATATAACCTTGGCAATATCGCTGTACCTGCAGGCTGATTGGGAAGTGCACCCGACCGTCTATTTTTGCTCGAATAAGGTGTCGAAAAGAGACATTCAACGACACAGCATCCCGGCTCGATATGTCACCTTACCCAAATAAGTCAACTGCGTAATTACACGAACCGGATGCCCGGCACAATTGTGGCATCCATGAATTGAACAGTGTTTATGCATACATGGCTGGCCACATATTGTTCATGCCCATGCTGCAGGTTGGGTATGTCGAATCGAAATGGGAAAAAGGCCACAAGCGGCTGGCGAGGAAACAGGTTCGCCGACCAGATTGGAGAGCAAAACGGTTCGTTGTCGTATGAAATCGTCTTTCCCTGTGCATGTTCATCTTTCACATCCTTTCGATGCAACACGACATCAACGGACACCACAACGTCGCCGCACTCACGACCATGTCTTTCGACGAGTACATTGAGAAGACGGTGGAAAGCGGCGGGCTATCGGGCGTTGCCCTGTGGGCCAAGGACAAGAATGGAAACACCATCTACAACCGCGCGCTGGGCGTTGCCAGCCTGGAGAACCCAGACCCGGCGCAGCGGCCGCCGATGAGCATGGACACTGTCGTCCGCCTCGCCTCGTCGTCCAAACTGCTGACGACCATCGCCGCCCTGCAAGCTGTCGAGAGGGGTCTCCTCAAACTCGACGACGACGTGGCCGGGCACGTCCCCGAGCTGGCGTCACTCGAAGTGTTGGAGGGCTTCACCTGGTATGGCAAGCCAATCACACGGCCGCGCGACCCGGCCGCGACCATCACGCTGCGGTCCCTCCTCAACCAGACGTCGGGGGCCGGCTACGATTTTCTGCAGTGGCAGCCGCTGTGGCGTGTCCGGTGGTGGCGCTCCGAGAAGGTGGCGGGCGGCAGCAGCCTCGAGGAGCGTCTGGCGCACCCGCTGCTGCACGATCCGGGCGACGGCTGGACGTACGGCAGCGGCGTGACGTGGGCAGGCCGTGTCGTGGAGCGTGTGGCTGAGTGCTCCCTGGAAGAGTGGATGGCACGCCATATTGCCAAGCCGCTGGGCATTTCGAGCTTGACGTTCTTCCCACAGCGCAACCCCGACCTTGCCCGCCGCCTCGCCGGCATGTCGTCCCGCAGTCCGTGGACCGGTGCATTGTCGTTTGTCCCGGACACCGTCTTCCCGGAGAAGAACGACGCCGGCGACGACGTCTGCATGGGTGGCGAGGGCGTCCACTGCACCGTGGCCGACTTTTGCGCCGTCTTATATTCGCTGCTCGTCGACGATGGCAAGCTGCTGGCGCCCGCCACGACGGCCGCCATGTTTAGCAAGCAGCTCGCGCCGAACCAGCACCCGCCGCTGGAGGCGTGTCTCGACCTCCCCGTGTGGATCTGTCGCAGCATTCTCAACAAGGGCGAGCACGACTGGGGCCTGGGCGGTGTCTTGGTGGACGGCACGACCAAGACCGGCCTGCAGGACGGTGCGCTGATGTGGAGCGGTCTGTATCACATTTTATGGTGGGTGGACCGCAAGGCCGGCGTGTGCGGGTTCTTTGTGACGCAGTTGGTGCCAGCCGTGGACAAGGTCGGGGTGCCGAGCATCGTGGCGTTCCAAAAGGAAGTCTACCGGCGGATGGGGTACAGCCTCGACGCTGGAAAGACCCTCGATCCCATTGTTGAGGAGCCAGAGGGAAAGACTGGTATGTTGCGCCGTCCCCAGCATTTACGACCTTTTATTTTCCCTTGCTCTGCTGACACCTTTGCAACGGACCAGATTCGAAGCCGGGTGCCCATCCCGAAACCACAAACGCCAATGAACCAGCGTCGCCCACAAGGGCGCTCGCAGCATGGGCGTCGAGTTTCTGGACAAAGGAATGATTGCAGTAGCTCTTTGGATATCTTGGGAATAATTATCTATTATTATTTTTTGAATATTTTTGGCTTTATATACAAATGCCCCTTTTCGACAACAAATGTCATCCCCAAAATTGGTCATGAGAAAGTCGCGTTGGCAGACATGTCTTTGATCGCGTAGTGCGTCTTGCAACTAGCGCCCGCTTCGCCCAACTCGTGGTTGTCTGTTGGTTGTTTCTCATTGTTTTGCACGCATTTGGTGAAGCGGGCGCTTGGGTGATCGCCCATGTCTTAATCTCTCTTACAGCGCATACTTAAGTTACCTACCGGCCGGACGGCAAGAATAAGCCTCAACAGCAACCTCTCAGCTGCTGCATTGCATTCATCTCATGTACCTCGAGGCGATCGATTTGTCTCCAGCTTCTTCGTCTTTAACAATTGCGCGGCTGCACCGAGACGTTACAATGACATGCAGAGTGTTGCAACCTGCGCGTGGCGCGAGGCTTCGTCTGCCTCTGACATCATCGCACGGTCGACCGCAATCCACATTGATCGCCAACATCTGTCGGCCCACGACGGCGACGACTCACGTCGGCCATTCACGCAGCGCGCCTCGGCGCGTCTACTCAGCTGGCCGCCAGCCTCCGCAACAGAATATTAGCAGTGCATGGGCGTATGGGATTGGTAAGAGCATCTGCATCTGGCGCCGGGTCTCGGGTATTGTGTGTACTAAACGTCATGACAGGCGGCACCGTTGTGGCCATGGTTGCCTTTATTCTTGGACGGCGCACAGCAGCCGCCACGGGGGATGCCAAGGCCGGCATGCCATCTGTCGCCGCCGAGAATGCCGACCTAAAAGAAGACGGCGATGGCGATCAGCCTCTCTTCGCCAGCACCCGCTCCACGCTGCCGCTCCACCGCGTCGCCGAGGTCCACCATGACACCTCGCCCGAGAACCTGGCACAGGCGCGCGCCGAGATCGCCGCCGTCGTCGGCGACGCGGCCGTCACCGACCACCGCGACGAACTGGCCCGCCACACGTCCAGTGCCTGGTCCTCGTATGCCGAGTCCGTCGACGACAACCCGCAATTTGTCGTCTACCCGCAGTCCACCGACGACGTCAGCGCCATTATGCGCATCTGCCACCGGCGGCGCGTGCCCGTCGTGGCCTTTGGCGGCGGCACCAGTCTCGAGGGCCACTTTGCCAACGTGTGCCGCGGTATCAGCCTCGACCTGTCGCGCATGGACCGCATCGTGACGGTGCACGACGCCGATTTCGACGCGGTGGTGCAGCCCGGCGTGGGCTACGAGCAGCTCAATGCGGCGCTGGCGGACCGGCGCCTGTTTTTCCCGCCCGATCCGGGCCCGGGCGCCACGATCGGCGGCATGGTGGGCACGGGCTGTTCGGGCACGAATGCGTATTACTACGGCACGATGCGGGAGTGGGTGCTCGGCCTGACGGTGGTGCTCGCCGACGGCACCGTGGTGCAGACGCGGCGGCGCCCGCGCAAGTCCAGCGCCGGCTACGACCTGACCAAGCTGTTTATCGGCAACGAGGGCACGCTCGGCATTGTGACCGAGGCCACGCTGAAGCTGACAACAAAGCCGGCCGTCGAGCAGGTGACGGTGGCCACCTTTGCGTCGTTCCATGCCGCCTGCGACGCCGTCATCCAACTGGTGTCGGCGGGCGTCCACGTCGCGGCCGTGGAGCTGGTCGGCGCGCGTGCCATGCGGTGGATCAATGATGCGGCGGGCAGTTCGACCGACCGGTCGTGGCCCGAGAAGCCGACATTGTTCCTGAAATTCGCGGGCGCGACCGAAAAGGCCGTGGGCGAGCAGGCCAAGGTCGTCGAGGACATTGCCAAGGCGGCGGGGGCCACGGCCCTGGACACGGCGCAGAACCAAGACGAGTCGGAGCTGCTCTGGGAGGCGCGCAAGCAGGCTTTGTTTACGGCGGCGGGCGCGAAAGCCGACGACGAGAGCGCGTGGATCACAGACGTGGCGGTGCCCATCAGCCGGTTGGCCGACATCGTGGACCTGACGTCCAAGGACATTGTCGCGAGCGGGGTCAGCGGCGGCATTATTGGACATGTGGGCGACGGCAACTTCCACTGTTTCTTGTTTTACAAGCCCGACCAAAAGGAGCACGCAGAAGAGCTGGTGCACCGGATGGTGGAGCGGGCGATCAGCATGGACGGGACGGTGACGGGGGAGCACGGCGTCGGGCTGGTGAAGCGAGACTACTTGGACAAGGAGTTGGGCACGCCGGCCGTGGACTTGATGCGTCAGGTATGTTATATATGTTAACCCCCTCCCCCCTTACATGTACCTGTTTCTTTTGACACGTTGCTGACGGCGACAGATCAAAAACGCATTCGACCCGCTGTGCCTTCTGAATTGCGACAAGGTTGTCCGCATGAAGAAGCCTTTGGTCTCAGCCGACGCATAGTCACTGGTCGTATCTTCACAAGGTCAAGTAGGTTTGTTTGATTTATATACGTCCTCGACACGACATTCGGCAGTCATACAACAGATCATTCTACATCATGTAAAAAATAAGACGATAAGATGAAGGCAAATGCAAACAATTCAAACCGCAGGCCAAATTTTCAGACAGCCCATTACCACCTACTTCTCAGCCTCCCACTTCGCCAGCCACGACTTCAGGTACTTGCCCACCAGCTGTGAGTCGACCATGTCGGGACACGCCGCCAAGGAAGGGCTGTCGCGGCGCGCCTTTGTGATGCTGAAACGCAGGATGGCCGACTCGGGCGTGCCGCCGTAGTTGCGCTCGTAGTAGTCGGCCAGCTTGAGGGCGGGCAGGCGCTTGGCAATGGCATCCGAATCCGAGCCAGAACCAAGCTCGTCGCCACGGGCACGCAGCTTAGCCAGCCACTCGTCCAGAGACACAGACTCAAAATCGAGGCCGGCTGCTTTGAAGGCGGGCAGGACCTCTTCGTTCCACGACACAACGTGAGGCGTGTTGATGTTGTAGTAGCGGGCCTTGGCCGTAGCAGCCTGAGACGTGGCCTGGACATCGGACGACCGCATAGGACCGTCGGCGCTGTTGCGTCGTGGCGTGGTGGCGCTCGCGTCCTTCATGGCGGTTGCAATCTCGATGCAGGCGGCTGCTACCACGTCCACGGGAATCCACTCGCAACGGCCCTGCTGGCCGTCCAGACGGGGCAGCGCTTTCAGCTCAAGGGCACTGCGCACCAGCAGCGGCACGGCCTCGCGGTCGTTCCAGATACCACGGTCAGTGTCGCCCGTAATCTGGCCAATGCGCAGAACGGCGACATTGGCACCCTCGCGAGCGGCGGCCTCGCAGATGCGCTCACCGATCAGCTTGGAGGCGGCGTAGCCCAAGCCCTCTGATGCATCGCTCAGAGACGCTAGCGGAGCCTCGGCCACCACGGCCGTGTCACCGTTGTCTGGGCGCGGGATGTTAAAGGCGGCCGAAATGCTGCTGGCAAAGAGGACGCGAGCGGGCTTGCGCGACGGGACCTGGAGGGACAACTGCAGCAGGTTGCGAAGGCCGGCAATATGGGGCTCGAAGCTTGAGGCGGACAGCCCAAAGTGGACGGGCCAGGCAGCGTGGATGATGGTGGTGGTGTCGGCTACGAGGCCGCTGTAGTCAAAGGCGTCCAGGCCGAGCAGCGGCTCGCCGAGGTTCGGGGCCTCGAGAACAACAAGCTTGCGGGCAATGGCACGCGACGAGCCCAGGTCCAGGCCACGCTCCCGAAGCGAGGCGTGGACGCGCTTGAGGCCGTGCGGGCCACGGACGAGACAGGTCACGCGCTCGACGTTGGAGTCGTAGAGCAGCTGGTGCAGGATATGAGCACCAAGGGCGCCGGTGGCGCCGGTCAACAGGACGGACTCCCCGCCGCCGGCGTGCTGAGACTCGGTGTCAAAGGTCGAGTACTTGTCGATGAGACTCTGCATGACAGCCAGGGGGGTTTGTTCGGTCTCGGAATGGATGCCATTTCCATTTGCAAGGCCGTTGGTTTTATTCTCTCCGATTGTTGCACTGGCATCGTTCGTCCGGATCAGCAGGTTAGTAAAGACGACGGCCAGGTTGGCAGCTGTGCGCGCATCGTACACGACGTTGGTCGGCAGGCGGTAGTTGCCAAAATCCAGCGACTCCTGGAACAGACGGCGGGCTTGGATGGCGCGCAGACTGTCGACGCCCGAGGCAAAGAAGTCAGCGTCGGCACTGGGCAACTCAATCCCCGTCTGCGTCCGGAAGGTGTCCATGACGAACGCCTCGAGACCAGCCACGTCGAGTGACGTGGGCTTCTTGAAGTAGGTGCCGTTTCGTGCACCGTTCGCAGCGCCAGCATCACCACCGCCGTCCAGCCGGGCGTAGATGGCCTCGATCTGTGTCCCAAAGAGGCGGGTAGCGCCGGCGCGGATGACATTGCTCTTGTCGGTGACGGGGTACTCCACACCATACGCAATGGACGCCACCATGTCGCGCGTGATGCGCGCAAACTCGTCGGCAATGCTGTTCGCCTGCTCAATGGAGGGCCAGATGGCACGAATAAACTCGTCCTCGGTCAGAGCGGCGGCCGCCTGGGCGCGGAACACGAGCATTCCCGGCACGGCGCGGTCGTTGCCAAACATGAGTGCATCTTTGACGAGGGGATGCTCACGGACGGCGCCCTCCATGCCGAGAGGCAGGATCTTCTCGCCGGTAATCAGCGTCAGGCGGTCGTCCTGGCGAGCAATGTATTTCCAGGCATTGGGAATGGTCGGATGCGGCTTGAACAGGTCCTTGGCATAGTATGAGCCGGGCGGGTCGTCCGAGTTGGACATGAGCAGGGCTGGGTGCGACTTGAAGAAGACAGCCTCGTACGTGGTGCCCTCGACGTGTTTGAACGTCATGTGCTCATTCAGGTTGGGGTAGGGTCTCACATAGGCCCAGGAGTCGGCATCCTCAGGCTTGCGGTTGTAGATGGAGTCGCCGACGTGGCCGACCTCTGTCAAGCCATAGATGACGCCGAGGTTGACACCAGAGGCAATCAGACGGTCACCCAGCTCGTCGGGGGTCTTGGCGCCGGCGGACGTGACGATGCGGCACTGCTTGAGAACGTCGACACCGGCCTGGTCCTCTGCTATCAAGCTCAGGGCGTATGGCACGCAGTGGCAGACCTCGGGTTTGATGACACGCAGGGCGGCGACGAGGTTGGCAGCCGTGAGGGGGAGCATCGGGTTGAACAGGTGGGCGGGACAGCGCATCCACATGGCCTGCAGAGAGGTGATGAGGCCGTGAACATGGTACCATGGGAGCGCATTGAAGGCGCGCAGACCGGTGCCCGACAAGAGCGAGTTCTGAAGGCTGCGGTGAGACAGCAGCAGCGGCTTCGGCAGGCCCGTGGACCCGGAGGAGTGGGCCATGAGGCAAACCTCGACATGCTCGGCGTCCGGGTCGGCAATCTCACGCACGAATGGCGGCTGGGGCGGGGCGTCGGGCTTGTCAAACTCGTCGCGGGTGAGCATGGGCAGCAGCTGGATGCCGGGCCGCTCGACAACAACTTCGGCCAGCGTGGAATCAATGCGGGCATTGGAGCTGTGCAGCACAATGTCGGACGCGGCGGTCTTGAGCAGGTGCAGACACGCCGGCGGACCCAGACGGGCCGACATGGTCAGGACCTTGCATCCCAGGCGGAAGAGGGCGAAGAAGGTGACGACATAGGACAGGTCAGACACAGCGTAGAGTGTGATTGTCTTTTTGGAGTTGACCACGAGGCCCTTGCCCACGAGTGCGCGGCAGGCTTCGTCCACCATGCGGTCCAGCTCGGCGCCAGTGAAGTACTCGTAGTCTGCGGGATCGTCCTTCCCACGTGGCATACCCAGGATGGGCGTCTGTTCCTCATCGCGGGCCCGCAACCGGACGACGTCGTCGATGGTGTAGCATTTGCCAAACTGCTCGATGCGCTCTGCTGGAGTCGGAGCCATTGTGGCGGAGGGAGGAGATGATAATGAAATAAATATAAAAATAAAGGAATAAAGGAATAAAGGAATAAAGGAATAATTCAAGGCAACACGGTTACAGACAACAGCGTACCAGATACGCAAAGAGGGTAAGGTAAGCGGACGTTGGGACGGGGTGTGAGACGGTGAGAAATGGGAAGAGGAAGAAGAAAAGCAGAATAAGTATGAGATGAAGACGCAGAGAAGTGAAATCAATACAGGGCAGTCATACAAAATGGAGTGTCTTGAAAAAGACCAGCTGTGTTGAAAACGGACATAGTACGGAAATTCACACACACGGCGAGACGAAACACTCAGTACAGGTCACGATAGGACAGCCATCAGAGGACACGGCAAGGGTGGCGATGCAGTAGCAAATGCAGAAGGTGAGGGGAGAGTCTCGGAGAGTCGGAGCTAGCTGGGCAACACAGTCTAAGCACGACTCTGGACCACGGTCTCGGAGTTGGCACGAGGAAACAGGAAAGGAGCAGCGGCGTTGAAAGGGGAATGGCGAATGGTATCATACAAGGATGATACGCCGGGTGGGCAAACAGAAAGCACAAAATTACGTGTCATGTGGAAAATGGAGACATAGGTTAGAAGATGCTTGCCTTCTCTCTCCCTTCAATTTTCTTTTCATGCTACCCTCTCCGAGCAACGAGTCGGATAAGCTTTGCAAAGTTGTGCTGAGCATGGCACTCCATGACGAGAAGGAGGGGGCATGGTAAGATAACGAAACAGAGGAGACTAAGGAGACAGAAGTGATAAAGGGGAGAAAGTGTGGAATAAGGGGTGTGGCGAGGCGAGACCCGTCGGTCTTCCTGCACTGCAACGCTCGTGGTCGTTGGGCCTCTTTTCGGGTGGGACGCTGGTCGGAGAGGCAATATTGCAACTCTGCAAAGTTCAGGACGAGCAGAAACGACAAAGTGGGTGTGCTTTCGTGGATACATGCCGGGGGGGGGGGGGGGGCGGGTTGAAAAAACGAGGACAGCGAGTTGTTGATGTCAACAGAGATGATTACAGTTTGGAGGCGCTCAAGAACTTCTACGACGCAGCGCCTTCCTCACAGGCAGCAGTTGCCAGCTCTCAATCAGCTGACAGGTCTCTTTTTGGCGGTCAATTCATGACAGATATTCCGTAAACTGCAGGAACTGAAGAAAGAGGGCAATCTTTTGGGCCCAAGGTGTTGACCGCAATATGGGGAAAGGGCGACAGTGCGTTTAGTACATATGCTCCGCGGCCGCGATGGCGTGCCAGAGAAAGTGCGACTGATCGGCACAAGCAAACCGGCAAGAGCGACGGACGAGACGAAAATGGGAAGGAGGAGACGGAAAGAAGAGGTGCGACAAAAAATGTGTGCAGTTGACAGTCGGCAGTTGTCTGCTGCGTCTGTGGGAAAACAGCAGACACCGGACAACAACTGCGTTGCATGCATTCTGCAGTCTAGACGAGCGAAACGAAGGGTCCGATCCGGTAGGCGGCCGTGTCTGTTGGAGCGATCATGGTTGGCTGCTTTCGAATTCCTACATTCACTAATAAAGAAGTCTAACACCTTCTGCAATGTTTGGTTGAGCTTTGGCTAACGATACAGTCTACCGGGACGTTGTAGACCTGCAAGTATTATGCGGAGTAATATCCTCGCTGCTTATCGTCAAACGGAGACTAAAACGACCTCCGTTACGTAGATGCCAAGCTCTTTTCACGGAGGGCTACACGAATACGGGACACAGCCATGGACAACGTTGTGACTTACCGTACGATTTACGAAATACAAAGGTGTCGTAATGAGATCCCTGAGCGTCCATTTTCTCATCTATTTTTTTTTCTTTCTTTTACCTTTTGTTTCTTTCATTTCAATGCTCCTAAATACGTCCTCGGTGCCCAGAGAAGTCGAAAGGAGCAATACGGATTACGAAGCAGCCAAGACCAAGCCACATATTGGCAAGTGCAATATTTATTTTCAAATGCTTCGGTGCCGAGAAGAAGCTTATGCTAAGCTGCTGTACGCCATACAAACCAGCGGGTTAAACCAGTGGGTTAGGGAAACCCTGAAAGGGGGCTTGGAGTTTTGCTCCGTGGGGGACGACATCCCGGGAGATGCTTGGCGGTGCTTGTTTTGACAAAAGTACAGCCGTGCGAGACTCTAAGACATCCTACTGTGCTTCCCGCAAACAGCCCACATCGCAACCTTCCTCCACTCTGCACGCAACCCAAGACGAAAGAACCAACCCCCAGTCTGCAACGCACTCTCACCTCACAGAGTCTTTTTGCTTCTCTTAATTTCCTCCGCTACAGAATACTTGTACATGTACTTCCCTTTGGCAAGACACCCTGGTCACGGCCTGGCCCTGTATATCCGGAACAGTGCTCAGGTACTCCGTATTTTGCACTCCACCGAAGCAGCGCCACGGAGAAACGAGCCGCGGAGTTGTGGATACCGTAGAGCGTCTGCGTGCAGGGGTTTTATGCGAAGTGTAATTGCAGAGTGAATTGCAGAGCGTCGGTTTTGCGGTGCGGTCTTGTTCTCGCAAAAATGCGTCTTACATGATCCGCAAGGAAAAAGAAAGCAAAAATGACAGGTGAGTGTTCAGTCTTTCATTACGGATATGTTTCCCGCCGGAAACATCGAAACATGTCACTTTCGATTCAGGACGTTTCTGGGATACGGCGAACACGGTGTAGGATGAAAATATAATCGAGAAGAAATTGGATGGTGAAATATTGGCAAAAGTCAGTAGACGACTAGACGAAAGGAGACAAAACTTCGCCTTCGCAGTCGTCCAATTGATATACCACATGCATGCATCCTGTGTGATACCCACTGAACTGCGTGTTACAAAAATACTCAGCCTGAAATTCCACCTCGGTGACAAGAGCGAAAGCAGTGTCGCCGAATTGCTCGTTCTTCTCTTCGAGGTGACAGGATCAAGCCGAGGCGGTGTATATGGGCAGAATACTGGCTTAGTGCAACAGTAATTGGAATGAGTGCGTCGTGTGCGTATATCGGGGAATCAGACTATACAACTATCGGTAAGAATGTGCATGTGTTCGTCGCGTGCTTCCCGAAAACAGCGTTTTTATACGGAGAGTGTTATCGTGTGATGCGCTGCGTACTTCGTGCAAGTCGATTATATCGTGACGACTTACACTACGGCTATAACGCGGAGAGAGACGAAACACTAGACGACCGCCACAAAACCTTAAACTGACTTTCTGACTTTGCATTTCTAGTTTCAATTCCCGACGCCATGGAATTCAATAGTATTGCACTCTATGACCGCTAGATACAATGCCGAACAACAAAGCTATGCGAGAGCTATGCGAGTGAGAAGGAAAAAGAAAGAAGAAAAGAAGAAAAGAAAAGAAAAAAGCAAAGAAAACAGAAAAAGAAAAAGAAAAAGAAAAAGAAAAAGAAACGAAACGGTATCGAACAGTATCGGAACAGAGCGTATCAAACCTGTAGAAAATCCAGTAGAAAATATAAGCCATCGTTACACATCGCCACGTCTTCGGGCACGATCGTGCCAAGCATATGGCCCCGGCAGCTGCTCACACTGCCGGCGCAAACGTGTTGCCGCGCTTCTTGTCCACCGGCTGCGACCACTCGTCCACGGTCATCTTCACCTCCGTCTTGACGCGGATTCCGTTGCCGCCGTACCCGCCGCTGTCGACGCCGTGGCTGGCTGTCACGTGTGGCGCTACGCCGCCGTGCGCCTGGTTCGGCCCGTGTGACAAGTTCGTGTTGGTGTTGCTGTCGCTGCCCATGCCGTCGCTGCCCGACGTTCCCGGCCGGCCGCCCTTTGTCAGGTTGATCTCGTCCGAGCCGTTGCCCTGTGACATCAGCTCCACGTCCCGGTCGCCGTTCTTGCTGCCCAGCGGCATGCGCCCGCTGCGGCTGGCGCTGATCTTGCTGTGCATGCCGTAGCCCGAGGCGCCTGCGCCTCCTCCGGTGCCTGCGCCGCGTCCGCCCGACCCGTAGGCGCCGTAGCCCGAGTTGCCGCCACTGCTGCTGCCGCCGCCGCGGCCGAGCCAGCGGGCCAGCAGCGGGCGCAGAGCAGGCAGGTTGGCACAGATAAAACCAATCTCGACCTCGACGGTCGACCAGAGACCGCCGCCGACATTCGAATACGTAAAGTCGGTGGGGTCGATTTCCTTGACGGCGAGAATGCGAAAGATGCTGGCCACACAAACAAAGGCGCCGAGCAAGAAGAGGAAACTGAGAGACAGTTTTTTGCTGCGCGAGGTGTGGAGGCCCCAAACGACGGGGATGGGCAGGAACAGAACGGCGACGTCACCGATGACGTTGATAATGGCCGAGGCGAGATAGAAGGCGTTCTGGTTGATGCACTTGCCTTTGACTGTCTCGTCCCAGAAGAGGGAGACGGGAAGGCACTGCAGCGCGAACGAGAAGAAGTTGCCCAAGAAAATGCCGGTGGACAGGCACGCGACGCAGACGACGCCGATACGGAACGAGTGGGTTGGGAACACACGCCAGTAAAAGAGCAGGATGCCGACTTTGACGGAGAACACGCCGCACGCCCACAGGATCATGTAGACGTAGAGGTTCTGGACAATAAGCATTCGTACAAAAGACACGAGGCTCGCGGGCAAGAGGACAAGTGCATGGGACGCGGGCATACCTTGAGGAACGAAGTAAACTCTTCGACGGGAAGATCAGCCTGGTGCTGGCCCGAGCCAAAGGCGAGACCCGTGTAGTCGCCGGCCGACATGGCAAAGCACAAGACCATGACAAAACACATCCAGTAGTCATCGTACCACAGCTTGGCCGCCGACCGTGTGCGAGCAAACAGCCGGAAGACAAACGAAAAGACGGAAAGGATGAGACATGTTGTCACGACACCCAGTGTGAGATTGCGGTTGTACTGCTCGCCGGACGAGATGCCCATGGTGAAGGCTGAGGTGAAGTTGGATGCGTCGACGTGTCGAAATCAAAACGAAACAGTCAATGGGCTCCAACGGTCGAACGGAAAGAATCAAAAAATGGAATACAAAAGGCGACGGTGGAAAAATGAAGAACAAGAACGGAAAGGGCCACGGCCAAGCGAGTGGTGAAAAAACGTAAAGGAGCGACGAGGAGAAGAGGGCCGAACGATGATGTTATATCTCCAGCAACAGTCCATGTGTACTGTGTAGCTCGAAACAGGAGTGCCGTCGAGGTTGGGATGTTGTCGTTGATGCAGATCCAATGACGTTCATGCCTTTGTAAGAACGTCCTGTTCTGGAGCCCCTATGTCTCGGCAACGGAAGAAAACCGATGCAGAAACCAAAAAGTCAGGGTACGACGGTAGCATGTAGCCTCGAGCGGTAGCATCGAGTATTTGCTTTTTTTTTTTGCGTACGTAAAGTATGTCGTGGGTGAGTTAGGGGGGCAGTTTTTTCTGCACGGAGTAGCCTCTACTCTCTGTTTCCGGGGGATTGAGTGGTTCTCGAGGTTTGGTTGACCCAATATAGTAGAAAAGAAAAGGAAAAAAAGTGACAATAATGAAGCAAAAGCAACAAAAAAGTGACGAGTCTCTTACGAGTCTCTTACGAGCCTCTTGACTTTCCTTTCCCCTTGCTGAAGTGAATCTCGAACGGAGCACAAAACCACAAACCGAAGACCGTGTCGCTTTATCTGCGGCGAATCTCTGCCAAAAACAAAAGGCGCTGTCGACCGATTCGGGTGTCAATAAATTACCAAAACAACAAAACAGTGATCCACACGTCGCAAACACTGCGTAGTGGCTGATCGAGACTCAGAAAAGACAATATGTTCCACTCGACACGCAATATCCCGACGATGCGAAAAAACGCAGGAACCGTGCTGGCTGTTCCTTTTCCGTCCCAGGAACGTACTGGGGCATCTGTCCCAGGGGAGTCAGACTGCAACCACAACCCGCATGTCCCTACTCGTCCTCGGAAAAGCAGAAACGGCTGTACCAGAGAAATCCGAAAAGGGGCTCAGGAGTATGTCGTAGATTTGGTCGGTGGGATCCTACCAGAGTACGAACGTGCATAGAACAGAGAGAGAAGAGAGAGAAACAACAGGACGGGATGTTTTGGACGGCCCAGACGAGCTCTCATTCGGTAAACCTCCATCCTCGTTCTGATTACACTGTAAACGAGAACAGCAGGCAGTGTGCTACTGGAAGGTAGATGCAGAGTGAAAACACGGTTCCTCAAACCTGGCATAATTTCTCATAACAGGTCAAATACGAGAATACTAACACTGAGGAACGAATCGCTAGTAGGATGGCAAGTGAATATACAAGACGAGACCGTAGACACAAAACGAAAAGAAAAAATAAACCCGTAGGGAAAGAAAAGAGAGAAACAACAAGAAAGAAGTGCGTGGCAGGATGAGGTGATGCAGGATCACCATCCCATGGCTGGGATGTGGCAAGGGTAAAAGAGGAGACGAGGAACGATCAGTAAAGCAGAGTTTCAACCGGTTGCACTATGTAAGAAAGCGGGACGGCGATCCCTGGCGAAGCAAGTCTAGAAAGGTGGAGGACGATTAGGGGGAGAGACGAATATGGACCATGGAAAAGAGGAAAGAGCATGCTAATACGACAAACACTATCTGCAGATGCACTCTACGTGGGGGAGAGACACAGAAATCGGAGGCTGATTACCGTTCGAAGTCGTATCAAAGAAAAATGGGAGCAATAAAAGACGCATCGTGATACTCTCTGTGAAAAGAAACTACAAGGATATTGGGTGATCCTGGTGAAACGAGGACGGAAGAGGCATCGCATCACCGAGTTCTGTGTAGAAATACGACTCTGTGCAGAGACTATTGGCCGAATGGGAACAAATAAGGGGCAGTGCTGGGGGGACGTTTGCTATTCAAACGTGTAGAATGATAGGGGCAAATGAAAAGAGGCTCGTTTTGTTACAAGTCGGACTTTCTCTCTTTCGGTTTCCGCTTTCTTGCGCCTCTGAAAGTTGAATCCGTACGATGTACGGTGGACATTTGCAATGTGAAGAGAACTGTGAGCAAGATAGAGCAGAAAAAGAAAGAAAACTTCTGCACCAGGGGACGCATCAGTCACAGTTGTAGTTTCAAGACACGTCCACTAAAAGCGGCACAAACAAGGGGCTATAAAACCTGTGCTTGCCAAATCATTGTCCTGAATCCAATTGGTGTTTGCTGATTCGTTGCAGAATATGTCTTCAAGTCAAAAAGTCGCTCCAATTGCCGTCTCCCGATTCTGGAAATCGCTTTTGTTTCTTGACATGGGCCGCGCTTCCAACGATGCTCTACGCAGCGTGTGAGGGTGTGAGCGTGTGCAGAACATTCGGTTGCGTGTATCCAAGATTTGCGCCAGATCCAGTCCACATTTTTTTTGGGGACAAGAAAGTACGTAAGGTCGTCTACAGTCTTCCAAAAATTCGGTGTCAGGCCTGTCCGCCATCCCAAGTAAGAATGTGAGAGACGCGGGGGCAAAAAGGCAATTCAGCCGGATTTCAGCGTTGCAGACGTGTGGTCACCACGATTGACCACGAGCCATCCTTAGCAATTGGTAGACCCAGAGATGTCCATTGATTTTCCTCTGATTTTCCTGTGATTTTCCTTTCTTTAGCCCCCAAGGTCTGCCGAAAAGGGGGTATGGGGGCAGCGAACCACAGAATCGAAACCAAAGATGCTAAATATATACCCGAGTATTTGCAAGTGACAGAACGTGAAGTCGCAGTCTGTTGGTCGTACCACAATACAAGAATACAAAAATGACGAAATCATGAAATCATGTACAGCGAAATAGACTGTTGAAGACATGGGTGAAACAGAAGGACTGACAAAATGAGAACGAATATTCTGTAGGCAGAAATAGAAAATGGAAATGGAAAACAAAATACGAGCTCCTGAAAAGGGGTACGGCCAAAAAGTAACAGGAAAGGAGAACACAGGGGACCCTTACCAAATGCTCATGCAAAGAAATGCAGAACTGCGCAAACTGCGACATTCGCAAACCAATGGACGGCCGCAGCTACAGTTATTTTTGATATCTGATATTTTCTGACGTCGCGTACGCGGACGAATGTTACCAATTCTACCCCCACTGAAAAAGAGCACAGTTGGCGAGCCCAATTGGAGTGAGCGGGAGGGACGCACTGGCTCCCGCCCGGCAGGCAATGGGTAAAATGGCAAAGGACAAAGTGGGCAAGTCGACGGAGAAGCTGCTCACGGCCCTGTATATGCACCGTTGGAAAACTTGACAAATGATGGACGAACAAGGGATAAGCAGAGTTTGAACAAAACTGATAAAGACAGAGGATGCATTGAATAACAGAATGTACGTGCACTCTCGAGTTGAATCATCGACGTTGACGTGCACATAATTTTTTTAGCATGGCATGAGACGACAAAAAGGAAGTCCGTACAGCTACAATGAAAAGCAACAGCCGCAGCGCACTCACCGCTTCTCAAATTCGTTCATTTCAGCTGTTAATGACTTGTCACAACACGGAGGAAAGTGTCCTGTTTGCTCTCGAAAGACAAGGATGGGACAACACAAAACGAAAACCGAAGGGAAAATAAAAGAAAGTCCAAATGCAGGCAGACACGGGGCACAGCACATGGGAACTCGTTCGAAGCAGAGAGACATTGCATGTTGTAATCATTACGACGTCCTCTTGCATATTGACGACGGACGACGGACAACGGACAACGAACAGCGAAACAAATACCGGCCCGTCAAGCGTTGCAACGAAGACGTGGGGGGCCAATTCGACGGAATACGACGTTGGCTGCTTCCTGTAGCCAGTCGCAATGAAGAACGGCGTGCAAAGAGAGCAGGATCAAGGGTAAAAGGGGAGCAGAGGGCAAGACATTCGCCCCACCCTGAATCTGACCCTTGACGAAGTATGCGGCCCCGGATGCGGCCAGGCCCTAGACGCGGCCGTTGTTGTGGCGGTGGACAGGTCTTGTCGAAGAATCCCCCGGTCGAAGCAGCCCCCGCTGCTCCCAGGTTCAGCCAACCGCAAAAGACGACACAAACAGACAGCCTACATGGCCCCACTGGCTGTTCTGATCCTCCAAAAGGGGACTGGACCACACTGTGTGAAAGGACGGAGCGGTACCTTGGGAGCTTGGCTACTTTGGCGTGTCCACTTCCCGCAGCGTTTGTGCGCATCCCCCCGAGCCCCCTCACCAAGCTTGAAGTTGACGTTTTCCTCCTGGGTCCCGCGCTGTGGGCGCCTGTACATGTTGAGCGTCCATTTCGCACTACGCCGCTTTGGTTGCCCCCGTTGAAATCAAAACTTTCGGACCAGAAACCAATGCTTCCGGACGTTGGAACTCAGTAACGGGGCCAAAAAGCGTACCTGTAATTCGTACTTTGACCATATATCCGGCCGGGCATTTTGCCAAGCAGGTGCTAGAGCTAGGCATGCAGTCTCCAGAGCTGACAGCTTGAGACCAACACCAGGGGACTGGTCAAAGTCAAGCTTTTCACAAAGAGGCGTTTCTTGGGCGATTAAAGAACCAACTGTCGGTAACAACTGCCGAGACAGCCACAAGTTGAAGAAATCGTAAACTGTGACTACGAAACACAAGGGGCAGGGAGTGCCAGGAAAAATGGCAAGAAAAAAGGGAAGGAGAAAAGAAAAGACCAGCCGGAGTACTTCGTACAAGAAGATGAAAAATGAAAAATACAACACGCTGCGCCATTGCATATGCAAAGACAAGGCCACATCCCCGTCACTGCAACTATGTATGGCAGAGGGTCCACTGCTGATTTGTGACTTGGGTGTTTTTTTCGTAGGTACTGCTCGTTTTCAGATTCGGTGCGGATTGCGCGCGTTGCGACTGTCCTTTATCGCTAGTAGCCTTCCTATTGGCGGATCATGATTACGGAGTCGTATCCAAAACATGCCCCTGCCCGTGGACGGTAGTAATGAAAGAAGAAAAGAAAAGTAGGCAATGTAAACAAGACAGAGGCAAGTCCGCTCGATGTCGAGCAAAGTGAGCATTCTGGTCATCAAACTGCTATTGACGCTCGCTGTCACCCACAGCACTGTGCTCTTTTCACAGTTCTCCTCTTTCTAGGTCGTACGAAGCGGACGCCAAGCCGTAACGACACTTGTTTCCAAAGCGTTTAAGTACCGTTTTGTCTTGCTGGACCGTTTTACTAAGATATTTGAATTTATTGAGTGCATGTGCGTCTTCCGTACTTCATATACCAAGTTCGAATATTCAATACGAGGATTCCGTATCGTTTGGTTCGGTCATGAACCAAGTGTCCTTACTACATACAGCAGGTGGTGATGAAGAAAAAGCAAAGAGTAGAGGCGATGGGGAAAAGAGAAGCTGTCTCAAAACGGACTCTATGTCGTATATTTAGCAATATTTTCAGAGTCTAGTGAAGGAGCTTGTAACACGGACAGGGCGGAAAGGGACAAATAGGATGTGACCCGTACCCTTCCTCTTACCGTTTCCTTCGGTTATCCCCTACATGGTGTTGAGCCAGAGTGTAAGATATTGGTCGACTCCCAAGGTCTTACCTTTTACTGTCGTTTTCCCCATGCCTGCACTTTCCCTGGTGTCTTAACGTTCTTTGGCCCGCCCAGTCTGACCTGCATCCCCATATTCCGTACAACATAAGGTTGGCACCTGTCTGTTTATGCTGTTCACCGTGGGACGATCCATTGGCAAGTTTCGTGGCGTTCACAATCCATGCTGTCCATATTTGAAAAGAAGCGAGAGAAAGGAAGAGAGTGGGGAAAGACACAGCCCACTTTGGATATTTTACTTTCACAGAGGTTAGGGTGCAAGACAAAATTGTCAATATTGACTCTCATAAATAATTTTCTCTTACCACTTTAAAAAAGGAAGCATTACACGCGACATTCTTCTTGGCGACAAGAGACAGTTACAGAGTGGACAGCATCACTTGCTCGGGTAAAAAAAGAAATGAAAAGAAAAGAAAACGAAGGGGCGAGACGAAACCGCACACTGCTTTCAGTGTCATCTTTTGTTTTTCTCGCCCTATCGTTGTACCCAGTGATCCACCCAATTTCACATATGCTTCCACACGGCGCCGTACATATCCTCACACATGTCGAAATACAGGTTGGACGGGCAGGCGAGGCAGGTTGGCCATAACGTGTCTGGTCCGTCACATAGTTACTTGGCATTTCCACCGTCGTTTGCCTTTTCCGTCTCCATTAATACAGTTTCCTAGACATCCCTCACCTCTCCCTCTCATATCTCATATTGACGCTCTCGAATGCCAAGGACAGTAACGACAGTCTCGATTTGCTTTTCCTCCATGTTGGCTGCCTAGGTTATTCTTCTCCTCTTTTTGCCATACAGAGTTAGTCTTCTTGGTGCTTGTGCAATGTGCATCCAGAATTGGATCAACATGCTCTTGGCCCAAACTCAACAAACCTCTGCACATCTTTATGCACTCCTTCATCCAGGAGCCACACAAACAGTACAGTAAAACAAGTCAAATATACGAATGTCAGAGAAATATCCCGCAAGACATGTCAAAACCACGGCCTGGATCCAAGTCTTGCCTTTTTCTAAGTTCCTCAACATGGTTGTGTGATGCCACACCGCCATACTTTGCCATGGTTTCTACTACGAAGTACTCCGTAGGTATGCTCTCTTTCTTCGTAGTATTTCATGGCTCCGACTTACCAATGCCCAGACTTGAGACCGCACGTCGAACCTATTTGCCATGCTCCCATGCTCCTACCCTTTCCCCTTTCAGATTCGCCGATGGTAATCTTCCTTTTCCTTTTTAGGTCCCCTGGTCTGCTTGTTTGGTCATCTTCTATTGTACGGAAGAGGGTACTTTGCTCGGGACGCGCGCTCTCGCCACGGTTTATTCTTTTCTTTTTATTGAGAACGCAGATCCCTTCTTCTTTCTCTTTCAGCTCGTCGGTCGCTTTTTCTTTTCTTCTCCATCCCTCTCTCTCAAGATAGTGTTTTTCTTTTCAAGGACACTTCTGCCGGACAACATTTAACATTATCCAACTCCGTTCGCACTCGTTTTTGTTTTACAACCATTTTTTGCATTTTCTCTGCTTCTACTTTATAATTCAACAGCTTCAATCCTGTGAGTGACAACGCCCTTCCCAAAAAAAAAAAAAATCTTGCTCTTCCACCTGCAAGACAACAACACCAACAAGGCATCTTTTCTCCCTCCACGTCTCGCACGGCCCATCCATGCTGCATCCCTTTCGTGCATGACCGTACAAAACAAAAATACTGGCCCAAAGTTGGGTTGCATTGCCAACGAGCAGCAAACCCACGTTGTGCTCGTCCAATAAACCGGGTCGCTTCCTCTGGCTCTTTTGGTTCTCTTCTCTTCCCGTGGTACTGGCGACAACTGTCCCCGTACCGAAAGCAATAACGGGTCTGCATAAAAGACAAGGCCCTGTTCACTCCCTCGTCCCTCGTGGCAATTTTTTTTTTTCTTTTTTTTTTTTTGTTCTTCCTGTGTCTTCCTTTTCTCGCTTCTCAGGCCGTCGTTCCCGGTTGCCCTTTTTTTTCTTTTTTTTCTTCCTCGTCGTCACACACCGTCACCCGGACATCTAACGCTTCGCCCGCCTCTCCAGCAAAATGTCGCCCTCCACACCCTCCGTCAACTCCAAGACCGGCGGCAGCAACGACCTCGAGGCCCAGGTCACCATCTCGCCCCGTGACCAGCCTGGCCTGCCGTTTGTCCCGCGCAACTTGGCCAACCCGGCGCCTCTGGGCCTGACCGCGTTTGCGACCAGCATCTTCCTGCTGTCCCTCATGAACCTGCACCCCCGCGGCGTCGCCGAGCCCAACATTATCATCAGCACCATGATCTTCTTTGGCGGCTTGTGCCAGTACATTGCCGGCATCATGGAGTTTGTCACCGGCAACACCTTTGGTGCCACGGTCTTCTCGTCGTTTGCCGGCTTCAACGTCGCCTATGCCCTGATTTTCATCCCCGGCACCGGCATCTTGGCCGCCTACGCGGACCCCACCACCGGCGAGCCGATGCCCGACCTGCCGCAGGCCATCTCCATGTTTGTCTGGGCCTGGTTCATTGTCTGCGTCATCTTCACCGTGGCCGCGACCCGTGCCTCGTGGACGCTGCTGCTGCTGCTCGTCTTTGTCGACCTGACGCTCCTCTTTATTGCCACGAGCTACATGGTCAACAATGCCAGCCTGCTGAAGGCGTCCTCGGCCACCGGCTTCATCTCTGCCTTCCTCGCCTGTACGTTCATCCTCACGCCCCCCCCCCCTCGAGATAAGTATACGTATACCTTTTTGTGTTCTCCCCCTCTTGCTAACTTGCCAGACTATGCCGGTGCTGCTGGTCTCTGGGGCAATGGTGGCACTGCTATCAACCTGCCTGTCGGTTCGCTCATCCCCAAGCGGGATTAAACGCGTGGCCTATTGGAACGGAGTGAAACAGACCTCGATGGCCTAGTATTCAAATCCCAGCGTTGCTCTGAGCGGACTCTTGGTTTCTTGCTGTCTGGTTTAAAAATGTCAAGCATACCAGTGTCCTCTTTGTATCTTCGCGTGGTTTGTATCGTTGGTTGCACGACTTTTGAAAAACGTACGCCTGGTTTTTAATATATACACTTTTTTTCTGCTTCCTTGTCAATAACTCAAATATACTTTATATTTGCTCAGTCTTTTTCCAATGGTTTTGCATCCAATACCGTGTAATATTGTCTCCGTCTATCCTTTATTCAGTGCTGTTATAAACCAATGATGCCTGCCCGCCCAGGCACGTCGTAAATGCAGTGTCGTGTCGATCCTCGTTTCCGAGATATTCATACAGAGTATGTCGTACGTGTCGTCGTACTGTGGATTCCGTCTTTTGTTTCATCGCCGTTTCTCGGTTGACCCGCTCGCCAGGGTCCATCGCACGGTCAGAATTCCTTCATGCGGTTCCAGGTGTTCTGTACCATGTCGTCGTTTGTGCATGCATCCATAAGATGGCCAAGGATGGACTATTTGTGCTTCTTAACTGAGAAGCTCTTTGATGTCCTCGACCCTCTGCAGTTTTTTCTCCTCGTCCGTCATCATGCCCAGCGAGGTGGCGCTGTTTGGTTAGCAGCCGTCTTTTGCAAAAGGAGACTTCGTTCCGTCTGTCAGGCACCACGAAAACTTACATAAACTTCTTCCGGTCCTGGATCTTGAGCATCTTCTCCTCGACGCTGCCCTGCACAATAAACCGATACACCTTCACCTCCTCATCCTGGCCCATACGGTGCACCCGGTCAATGGCCTGCGCCTCTACCGAGAAACTCCACCACGGGTCCATCATGTACACGCGCTTGGCCGTCGTCAAGTTGAGGCCGACGCCGCCGGCCCGCAGACTCAACAACAAGACGGTAAACTTGTCGGACTGGCGAAACTCGTCGAGGACGGCTGTGCGCGCCTTCTGGGCCATGGTGCCGTCCAGCCTCAGAAACTTCATGTTTGAGCGCCGCAGGGCGGGCTCAATCAGCGACATGAACGACGTAAACTGGCTAAAGACGACCGACTTGATGGTGGGCCGCGCGCGGCGCAGGTCGCGCAGGTGCTGGATCAGGCGCACCACTTTGGCGGACGACTCGCTGACGTCGACGCGCAGCAAGCTGATCCGTGGCGGCTGCCCGGCGACGGTGTCTGGGTCGTCGTCGTGGCGCACAACCTCGAACAGGTCCCGCCGGTTGATGACCTCGCGGCAATGGAAGCAGCGCGGCAGGCGGTGGTGGTCGGTCTCGTGGTCAATGTACTTGAGGAGGCACGCCTTGCAGGCCGAGTGCCAGCAGCCCGTGACGGTCTGCTGGATCATGGGCTCTTCGCTGCAAATCGGGCACTCGTTCACAGCCTCGTCGCGGATCTGTCCCAAGACATGGGCCCCAAAGGCATTGGCGTCCGTGGGTTCGTCCGTCGTGGCCGTAAAGCGCTCGACAAGCGACTGCAGGTCCATGTCGTCGGCAAGACCGGCTGCGGCATCGGCTGCGGCACCGGCCTCGACCTCGTCGGCAACAATGTCCATGTTGCGCACGAGCACGGGGTGGCAGCAGACTTGCCGCAGCCGCAGAACCTGTGCAAAAATGCTCGTAAAGGACTTCATGACGGTGCCGGCCTCGACGTTGGCGGTCAGGGACCGCTTGACGCGCATGTAGATGTGATCGTAGATCTCGCGCTCCACCTTGGAGAGCTCGACAGGGACAATCTCCATGTGCTTGGTGGGCAGGACCACCAAGGGTTGCCCGTCGGGCGTCTTCATGTCCTTGGTGCGCCGCATGACCAGCGGCTCCAGCACGGTCTGCACAACGTCGAGCGCGCGCATAAAGTCCTTGGACTCAAAGGGTACTGTGATGAAGGTGCGCCAAAACGAGAAATTGTTCCAGGGCTCGACACGCAAGAAGCGAATCAGGCTAAACAGGTCCTCCAGGCGGTTGACGACAGGCGTGCCGGTCAGGACCCAGCGGTGCTCGGCCAGCAGCGCGTAGCAGGCCTTGGCAGTCTTGGACTGGCGGTTCTTGATGGTGTGCGCCTCGTCGAGGATGATGCGGAAAAAGTTGAGCGAGAACAGGCCCTGGCCCGGGTGGCCTTCAGGGCCGCCGCCCCCCTTGGCCCACATCTGCGTGAACTCGGAGAGGACGGTGCCGTAGCTGGTGATGACAACATCGGGCGCCGTAGCCGCCTGGTCTGGCGCACACAGGGCCTGCAGATTGGCCGACTTGTCGCTGCCGTAGTACACCATGGACTTGAGCGTGCCTTCGACGGACGCGTTCTCGGCCTCGCTCTGCCACTGCGCGAGAAGCGACATGGGAGCAACAACAAGCGTGGTGCATGGCGCGTGGACAACGTTGGGCAGCCGGGTGCGGATGCGGCGCAGGCCGCCGACGAGGCTAGTCAGCTTGCCATCTGCCTGCTGCCGCTTCTGCTGCTGTGCCTCTATAGCGATGGGCGATTTATGCGAGTGGATGAGACTCAGCATCTGGATGGTCTTGCCCAGACCCATCTCGTCGGCCAGGATGCCCCCCAGGCAATGTTGGTCCTGGGCGGGGAAGTCGAGCGACAAATCACCCGAGTACGGGTTGACGTAGAAGCTGGCTTGGTCAGGAACCGTTGGGAGGTCATTGTCGTCCATGTCTTTCAACGGCCATGCGTACTCCTCCCACAGCGGGTGCATGGACTCGCCCCGTTCTTCGACGCTCTCGTCCTTTTCCTTGGACAGCATCCAGTGCAGCGCCTGCTTCTGGTACGTGCGCAGGGTGAGCGCAAAGGTGTCTGGGGGGTCGGCCTCGGGCGTGTTAAAATCAAACGACTGTGCCTTGGCGTACAGTGCATCCAGCTGGTCCTGCTCCAGCTCTTGGCCGTCTTCCGGCTCATCAGACCCCCCCGGGGCTTGACTGGAGCCAATGTCTTGGGTCGGCCTCAAGCCCTCCTTGGCCGCCTCCTTCTCTCGCTTCTCGGCCATTTCTGCCGCCTGCAACAGATCCTGTCGGCCGCGTTTGGCGGCGGCTTCATTGACGCGCGTCGGCAGCAGGTTGACCTCTTGGAACAGCCGCACTAGAGCAAACTGGCGCAGGCGCAGGTCCCGCTCTTCGGCGGTTTCCTTTTCCTCGAACAGACCCGTGGTGCGGTTCTCAGCCGGCTTGAGCGGCGTCTGGTCAAACGCCGAGCGCAGCAGGAACGATCGAAGCTGCAGCACCACAGTGTCGTTGGTCCGCAGCCGCTCGGGCGCATAGACACAGACGCCCTCGAAGCGGCAGATGCGCTGGTCCATCAGCGTCGACACCCAGTTGGCGGTGTCTTTCGACAAACGGCCAATCTCCTGGCCGCTGGTGCTGGTGAAGCGCACAATAACGTCTACGCGCTTAGCGGCAGCCGAGTTGGCGCGGACGACGACGGAGGCGCCGAGCTTGGAGGCCCTTTGCTTGGTCCCGGCAATGGTGGGCAGCTCGATCTTCTGGCGCTCAATCTTGACGGTGTCACCGTGTTTGAGCAAATTGGCGCCGCTGCGGGTGGCCCAGCCCTCGACGCCGAAGCAGCCAATGTAGCGGCGTTCGGGGATGGCAGAGGGGTTTTGCAGGACAGACTTGCGAGGCGACGTCTTGGCAGACGTCTGGTTGGAGATGGAGGGCTTAGATGAGGTTGACAGTGAGGCCGAGGTCGACGCAGATGCGGCCTTGGGCCGTACTGCAACACCATTCGTCCGGCTTGCGGCCGCCTGCATCTTGAGCTTGTAAGTCCCGTCAAAGTACATGTTGACGGCACGCTCCATGTCACTGCCACAGGACTCTCGAATAATCCGCAAAACGTCCGGGCCAACTTCCTGGCCGATAATGCCCGCGAACAGTTCGCTATCAAACGGCACCGGGCCAACAGGCGAGGGCGACGCCGAGAGCGACGGTGAGGAGGGAGTCATCGACAGCCCTGGGCGGGCGGGTGATGACTGTGCTGGTCGACGAGAGGCGGGTGTCGGCGACGAGGGCTTGGCCGGGGTAAAGCTTTTCGTTGGCAACGTTGTGGACTTGACACCATTGGTCGGCATCGCGGCGGGGGAGGAGGTCGGCTGGGCGGCGGTCTGAGGGGGAGGAAGGGAGGGCATGGCAACGGCATCGTCGAAGAAGCGGCGTTTCGGCTGCGGCAGTCGCTGAGCATTCTCCTTTTCCTTTTCATCCAGCCGGGCTTTGCTGCCTTCGTGATCGGCTTCACTGCCGTTATCGGGCGAGAACCGACGCCTCTTGGAAGGCGGCTCTTGAAATTCGGCAGCATCCATCGTCCGGTTAAGCAGGTCCGGTTCCATCCGGCGTCGTTCCAGGGCCGTGTGATGCTGTCCGGTGCCGTGTGGTGCGGCAAATGTTTCACCGTCGTCGCTTCGTTCGATTCGGGAGGCAACAAAGCTCCTGCTTACGAGCGGTGGCACTAGTACATTCGTAGACGCGGTCTGAAATCTCTTGACGCGTCTTGCCAATTAGTGATCGGGGACGGCTTTAAGTGGCCTTGCACGCCCCACTACAGGGACATCCACCACTAAATCCACTATTTAACAGGTCGTACTACAAAATACAGCGCAGTTCGACAGCAAAAGTCCGACTTGATTCCAAAACAGCAATGCACATCAAAGCAATTCATTACCACACATCTGCAATTCCTCGTGTCGTAGCCATTTACGGCACTTCCTCGCTTTGTTGTCTGGCAGGGGCCTCCTGCTGCTCACTGCCCGCAGCGTGGCCCGCCATCTGCAGGCTCGACAGCAGCCGCCGCTGCAACTCCTCGTTTGCATCTTCGCCGTAGATATGATACACAACATCGGCCACCTGTGACGGCCCAATCTCCACTTGGCCGCGTGGGCCGACATGCCATATTACCTTGGCGCCCGCTGGGATACCGCCGCCGGTCGCACCGGCACCGCGTCCGCCAACAGGGCCCCGACCCTCGGCCGTGGCGGGTGCTTCGACCACCCGAAGCAAGTAGCCTTGCCGCACCATGTGCTGGAGCGTGCCGCCGGCTGTGGGCGTGCCATCTTCTGATGGACCACCGACCCCACGGCCGTCTTCGTCGTCAATGTGGTCGCCCATGGTGGCTGCAATGGGCTGCAGGAAATCTTCGTCGGCGCGGGCAGGGGCATTGCGTCCGCCGTGCACGAGACTCAGCAGCTTCTCCAGGTCCTCGTTGGACATTTCGCCACCGTTGAGCGTGATGAGGGCGACAACTAATGTACAGAACCCCATGTAGGCGGCGTCCGGCGCAGGCGGGATGGCCGGCTCGATGTTGTCGGTGGCAGCGGGGTCGGACAAGATCGGTGTGAAGACGCATTCTTGGTATTCGGCGGGCAGCGTCGAGACGAGCAGATAGCGGTCGACGGCGGCCGATTTGGTCGGCTTGGTTGCCTTTTGTGATTTGAGGGCTGCACATGTCAGAGGCAAAGGGTCAAATAAACGATGGGGTGGGAGTACATGTGTGCATACCCTTCCGACGCTCACGCATGGTCATCGTCGTCTTCTCGCGCGCGGGCCAGTCCACCATATTCATGCCAAAGATGCCGCGCAGCTGTTCCTGTGCAATGGGAAACACCTTGCGAAAGTGCTTTCCCTCGTTTTCGAGGACTACACCGGTCAGCAGGAGCATTTTTGTGCTGGGGTATGTGCAGACTGACCTTGCTCTTTCACGGCCTGTCGCCGGATCGGCAGCCGTCGCGGCTCGCTGGCCAACGCATACCGTGCCAGCTTCTTGGCCAACAGTTCGTGGTGTAACCGCTGTCTGTCAACCTGTGCCTGGGTTTCTGTTCCATTGACAGCGACATCGTCGTCTTCGTCGCCATCATCGTCGTCGTCGTCTTCGTCGTTTCGGGCGGTCCGTTGCTGGCGCCGCTCGGCCTCTCGTCGCTTCCTCTGCTTCTCCTTTTGCCGTTGTGCACGTCGCCGTGCGTTCTGGTCCTCTTCTTCCTCTTCTTCTTCGTCCTCCTCCTCGTCATGGTCCATCTCTACTTCCTCGTCGTCTTCACCCCCGGCTTCGTCATCTCCCTCCTCCTCCTCCTCCTCTTCTTCTTCTTCTTCCTCCTCGACTGGCTGGTGGCGACGGCGGTGCCGTGGCGGCTCCTCTTCGTTGTCGTCCGCTGGACGTCTTCGTACTCGTTGCGACAGTGCCGGCATTTTGGTTATGGGAGAAAAACCCCGGCGAACACCTAGAAACGTGCTGATTGTTGCTTGAAGCGCCGTAACCTGAAAGTTTGTCGTCGTTCATTTAGGTCGCCAGAGTGGGGCACCAACAGGTACCAAAAACGCGTGTGAACCACCTGCAACGCGTTCAGTCAGCCGCTAACACGTTCCACTCCAAGCTGCACCTGCGATTAAAGAAAGGATCCAGCATCAATATTCAATGACGTTGTAATTTAAATCCTTTCACTCCAGAACTTGTCGTTTCTTTTGCCTGACCAATCGATCAAGGGACATAAAATACAGAGAATAATATACAATGCACCTGTTTCACACCATACGCCGTCGCCCGCGAAAATCTCGCACAGATAAAATAAAATATACCCAGTGAAACGAACGCAGTACATCCGTGAAAAGGAGCTGTATCCCGGATGCGATTGCTTGCGTGCCCTTCCGTGTCCTTGCTACGTCGGCCGCCCCTATGCAGTCCACGGCAGCGTCAAATTCACTTTGGTCGTCGCGAGGTCCCAGTCCGGGTGCTTCTTCTGGCAGCTGGCCAGCGCCTCATCCAGCGATAGCACATGCTTGCCAATGTCGGCCGCCGTGTAGGCCACCTTGCGCGCGCTGCTGTAGCTCAGCTCCCCCCTATCGTCGCGCGAGTCGGCGCGCATCTCGCGGTTCGGCAGGTGGACCTTCTCGCGGTGTGGCTGGAAGTCGCGGCCGGCGCACCGCTCGCTGCAGTAGACCGTCCCAATACTAAAGGACAGCACGCACTCCCGGCAGAAATAGTACCGCGGCTCTTGACGCGTTGCGCTGGAATCGCCAGGGGGTTTGGCGCGCGTGCAGCGGTCGCCAGCTGCGCACGCGTGGTTCGCCGCGAGGTGCGCCGCATAGTCGTCCTTCATGCACGTCGTCGAGCACCACACCGTCTGGTTCTCGCGCAAGCAATAGTCGACCTCGAGGAAGCAGACTTCGCAAAAGGGGCTCTTTTGTGGATCCGCGGCTTTGCCGCACGTCGCGCACGGCGTGTCGTCCTGCAAAAAGTACGGCACATCGACGGGCTTCATCTTCTTGAGTTTTTGCGCCTCGTGCGCCGCTTTTGCCCGCTTCAGCTCTGCCAGCCTCTTCTGGTGCTTCTGAATCTTCGCCGCGCGCGCGTCCTCGTCCTCGCCTCCATAGACTTCTCGAAGCACGTCACCAAGGCCCCCGTCCAGGCCGACCGTGCCATCCAGCAGCTTCTTCTCGATCGCGCGAACGGCCGGCAGATCCGGCACACCCCCCGGGAACAGGTTGTCGCGGTAAATGGTGCTCTTTTCGTTGCTGTCGGTAGACGCCTGCTGCAGCTTCTTTGTCGCCGTCTGCACATCCGCCACAATGCGCTCACGCTCACCGTTGACCTGGTTGCCCGCCGTGGTCATCACTGCGTGCAGCAGAACGTCCAGCTGTATCGTCGGATCCGCCAGCTGGGCATGGAACGCGGCCTTTTCCGCGTCCAGCGACTCGGCCAGCGTCTGCACCGCAACGGCGTCCCGCAGCTGGCTGCGTAGCCACGCCTGTTTCCGGGCGTTGATCCAGTTGTCCACACTGGAAAGTGGGGCGCGCAGGTTGCGCACGTCGTCGAGGAGCCGACCGACCTCGGCCACAAAAGATGTCTGTTGCGTCGCGTACCATTGTGGTTGTGCGGGCGATGCGTAGGTCTGGTAGATCATGGTGAGGAAGTCGTTGTAGCAGGGTCGGCAAAAAAAGGCCTTCGCCGAGTTGGTTGTCGCTGGCGTCGCTATTGTCGCTTCTTTGCTTGGTGCGTCCGTCATCTCGACATCACCGCCTTGTGTTGCCTTGTTGTTGGTTCCATTTGTTGCGGCCGTGCCATCCCCGGCATGCTCGGAATGACAATGGTCGGCTATCCGTTTCGCTTCTGCTGTGAAGGTGTCTTTCTGCTCCTGCATCGCTTGCAGGAGCCGTAGTAAGTTGCTTTCGAAACTGTCTGTCATTGTGGCATTCGTCGACAAGTATTATGGTAGTCTGTGTCCGGTCGGAAGTGAGAGGTAATCGTCGTCGTGGCCGAGGCGATTAAGTTTGCATTTAAAGGCACGTTGCCACCAGGGGCAATCGCCAAGCTATTTCGCTGTCGGGGCGCCTCGCTATATAAGAAACATGCAGGAATTAAGATGCGACAAAGCTGTGTCCAAATATCGCAAGGCTTTCGGTGGCGTGGCGCAAATTGGTAATGCTTCAAGATCGGATGTGCAGGCGCAAGTTTAGGGAACTTGGCGCACGCGCTGAAGATTGGAAGCGCCTGGCTATCAAACCTTCCAAAATTTAGTGAGTTATCTAAGCAGGCCGGTAGCGCGTAGTTGGTATAGCAGGTTACAGCAATTGTTAGTCATCATTTTACAGGCTATCTATGGACGAGCCTAATTTTTGCGACGACTACTTCGCCTCATCGCGACACAAGCCTCGACATCAACACCATCGTAGCTTCACCAAACCTACGTTCCAAGTCAGAACAACCTCATAACTTTACAATGGTAATCTCAAATCACAGCTTCGCTCATCCTATGCCCTCCCATGCAGGCGCAGCCAGCTAACGCCTCTCCTTTAGGCCGACAAACTTCGCGCACAGCAGGAGCTCGAACGGCTCCAGCAGAAATACATTGGCACCGGCCACCCAGACACGACGAGCTGGGAGTGGAAGTCCAACATTATGCGCGATACATACTCGAGCCTGGTCGGCCACCCGCCGATGCTGGCGTTCCTGTCGCTGGCGCAGGGCGAGCCGGCGGCCAAGACGCGCTTCAAGCTGCTCAAGAACATGGTGCAGCCATGCGGACCACCGCCGGCGCGAGACGAAGATGAGGATTAGGGTCTGCATCTGCTGATTTGAGATTGTTTTGTTTTGGTCTCTATTTGTTTCAGCGCATTGGCGTTATTCTGGGATATCACGAGAACGGCCACTGTTACGAGGCGAGCGGCCATGCTCGACCATGAAATACATCTATGTTGCATGCAATTTACGTTTCTAGTGCTTAATTTTTTTTGCCCCCTTTCTGTTATGCACAAAATTCTTTCACGGTTGTCACGGGTTGAAGGAAGTTTTCTTCTTTTCGGACATTTTATATCGGTATTTAATTTTAAATGTCACCTTTTATTTTTGGCCAAAAAAAAAGATGACATAAATATCCCAAATTTCATTCCAAAGTATGATGTAAATGTGCTATCATACAAAATTCATTAGACGCTTTTACAAACACCCAGTGCTTACCTAGTCTCGGTCGTCGCGCCGGATCTCCGAGATACGCTCAACGCGCTTCACATCGTCGGGCACGCGAGTGATGCACAGCTCGCGGCAAAACAGGCCCCAGTCCGAGCTGCCAGTGGCCTCGCGGATGGCCTCCTGCATGTCCTTGTTGTAGCGGCTGCGGTAGGCAGCCTTGATAGCGGCCATGTGGTGGCCGTCCCAGTGGAAGCGGACGAGCCGGGAGATTAGGAGCTCGCGGCGCAGCTCGTCGCGTTTGGAGGTGGTGAGAGCGTGGTGGATCAACAGAGCGTCGCGGACGGGCTTGTTGATGACGCCGTTCAAAATGTGTGCCAGCATTTCGCCCTAAACTGTTAGCAGTGCAAGAAAACAACAAGAACGCGGGGAGTGGTGGGACTTACAACAAGGTTGCCACTCTTCTTGAGACAGTCGCGGGCAAAGTTGGTCTGGTACTGAGCGCTGTAGATGCGCAGGACCTCGCGTAGGTGTGCGTCGCTGCGCTGTACGACGACGTTGATCATGGCCGTCTCGCCGCCCTTTTCGGCGCGCACGGCGTGGTGCAGCGTGGCGCTGTCCTCTTCGATCAGACCGCGGTCCAGCGGCAGCGGGCGACCATCACGACCCACCTCTTCCATGCGTTGCTCGTCCAGCACAAAGAGCACGGCCCGCTTGAACTTGTCCTCCTTGAGCTCGGTGCGCATACACTTGACGATGCTGTCGCCGTACTTCTTGTCGGTAAAGCTCTTCTTGATGTGGTGGATCTCGTCGTTGGTGCGGCCCATGAGCGACTCGATTAGCAGCTCGCGGCGCGTCTTGTCGCCATGGTACCAAAAGTTGGCCCAGTAGGCCTCGCTCTCCCAGCGACCGAGTGCTGTCGCATAGCACACCTTCATCAGCGCTGGGTCCTCGTCCTTGAGGCGCGCGCGGATGTGCTTGGCAATGTTGACACCCTTCCGCTCGGTGCCCGTCTTGACGATGCGCTTGTACTCCGTGCGCAGCTCCATGACCTGGTCGTGCGTGAGGCCTGGCAGAATCTCGATGAGCGGGCCCGTGTCGGGTGGGTGACGTTCGCCGCGCAGGGCTTTCGCCAGCCGCTGGGCGTCGTCCTCTGGGTCGTAGAATCGCGCACGGCGCCGAATCTTGTCACCACCGTCACCACCACCGCCAAGCCCTCTCGTGGCTGACGGAGAGTCTTCATCGTCGGGCTCAGGACCGTTGATATCCATAACCTGGACGTCTCCGGCACCGTGCGGGCTGTTCGAGGCCAGCATGAGCGGCGACGGCATGGGCGACATGGACTGGTACGTGCCGTGGTAGGCTTCCTGCATGGGCGAGCCCGGGGCAGCAGACAAAGAACCGCCAGGAGCGTGGTGTGCAGAACCAACGGACAGCGTGTTTACCGACAAACGCTCCATTCCCTTGGTCGGCATGGGTGACCGCGACCGTTCACGGCGACGAGGGGGCTCAACAGACAGAATGTTGCTGCCGCTGGAGCGAGGATCACGAGGATCGGCTTGGGGCTCTGCACGAAGATCGCGAGGATCACGGGGGTCGTCACGGTAGTGCCTGGATGCTCGTTCGTCTTCGTAGTGAGGGTCATCTCGGGTGTCATGCGACTCTCGGGAGTTACGTGGATCGCGTGGGTCGCGCGGGTCACGCGGGTCACGCGGGTCGCGGGGATCACGACTATCAAGAGGGTCTCTGGGGTCTCTGGGTTCTCTGGGGTCCCGGGTGTCTCTCGGATCGCGGGAACCTCTGCCGTCAAACGACTCTCTCGAACTGCGAGGGTCGCGAGGGTCGCGACCATCACGAGGATCACGAGGATCTCTGGCATCTCTGGGATCGCGAGGATCACGGGGGTCACGTGGGTCTCTGAGATCACGGCCACTCCGGCCATCAAAGGATTCTCTGGAGCTCCGCGGATCTCTGGGGTCACGAGCGTCTCTGGGATCTCTCGGATCGCGCGGGTCCCGAGGCTCCGCCGTCACAACATGCGGGTCCCGTCCACCGCCCCGGCCAGCACCATGCTCTCGATCATCACCGTAGGACGCGTACCTGTCCGACTTGGCGTACTCATACTGCTTCGGCTCACCACTGTAGCCGTAGGACGGCTTTCCTGCCGACTTGCCACTGGGAACGCCGCCGTGTCCGTAGGCGAGGCCCTCGTCATCATCGTCCGTGTCGTCCTCTTCGCTGCCGCTGCCTCTATGGCGGCGTCCTGTGCCAGGTCCGGCTCCCGGGCGGGTACGATCGCTCGGGCGCTCGTCGTCATAGCCGCGTGGCGGTTCACGGTGGTCCCGAGAGTCTCTGGGATCACGCGTGTCACGTTCCGGCTCTCGGCCGCCATGCGACGATGGCGACGGCTTGTCCCGAGCCGGCCCGGCGGCTTCAACTTTCTTGGCATATTTGGCGGGCAAGAAAGCAAACTTGTCGGCAGCAATCGCAGGCTCGTCTCTGCCCTTGTCCTGGTCACGTTCACGCTCGCGCTCGCGCTCACGCTCTCGTTCGTATCCACCACGCTCATAGTCATGGTCGCGGCTGCTTTCCTTCTCACGGCGACGGTCGCCGTAGCGTACGTCCGCGTCATCGTCCTCGTCATACTTGGATGAGCGGTATCTTGGGTCGCCGCTGTGTGGGGGCGGTCCGCCTCCTCGTCCCGATGAAGATGGTGGCGGCTGGGTGGCGTTGCCCCGGTAGTCATCGTAGTCGAGAATACGAACAGATTTGCGCGGGTCGTCGTCGTTGCCATTGGGGCCGTCATCGTCGCCGGGGAAGGAACCCGGGTAGGGGGCGGCAGTCACAATGTGGGGGTCGTCGCGGTCATCACGCTCGCGATCGCGATCGCGCTCTCTGTCGCGCTCGTAATCACGGTCACGTTCCCGATCGCGACCGGACGGGGATCGCTCGATGCGGGAGGACGAGCGGTCCCGCTCCCGGCCCGAGGGTGACCTGGATCGGCCACGACGGCCGCTGTCGTTGACTTGGAGAGACATGCCGCGGGACAGGCCAAGCGACGGTAGTGTGCTTTGTCTTTGTGTATCCCTGCCCTGCAGTCTTCCGTTTCGCAGAGGGACGTCTCTTTGGAGAGGGAGAGGGAGGGAAGAAAAGACTGTTTCTGATTTCTAAACTCTGGTGACGCAGGTGGCACGACCTGTCGCAGATGACGCTCGTCGATGCTAGGAGGGGTAAAATTTGACAAATGGTAAAGTCGTTGATCGCAGCACGGCAAGTCAAAACCAAAAACAAGCAGGATGTAACTGAGCTTTGTCTCGTATGCTGGCGCTTTTGCTGTTTTGTCTGTTTTACGTTGTTTAAGAATAAGCAAGAACCAGGAACTGGTCAAAAACGAGAAACACTCAGAAAGTGAAGAAAAAGGCTCGAGACACAGACGAAGGCGAATGCGGTTGTTACGGGGGAGGAGGCTGGAACAGGAACAGGGAACAAGAGCCTTAGCAGTGGAGACGAACACGCACCATGACTGGGCAGACGAGAAGAAGAGGCTGCCTGAGTACATTTTCCTATAGCTTTCGTGCTGCGTTTGCGGTAAAAGCGAAGAGGCAGCCCCTCCAAGATCCTTGCTCGTGTTGTTCTGTGACAGGGGTTGGTTGGCAGTTGAGGGGGGGGGGGGTAAAGCGGGATTGGATGGAGGGCCCGAACGAAGAGGCGGGCCAAGGACTGGGCTAGGTGCATTCAGCACACGTAAGATTATGCCCTACAGCCTCTTCTAGTTGCACTTTTTCTGCAGCTTTGGAGGAGGATCGGGAGGGAAGCTCACGTGCAGGCACAGCCGAGCCAGTGAGTTCTTGCAGACTGGGCCTTGTGGCTTGTGAAATAAGACGATATGCTGCCTCTTTTGCTCAACTGTGATGCCAGCGGGGAGTCATTATCATCATCAGCCAAACCCTTTTGCCTCACATTGACGAAGAGACGTCGTACGTGCTGTTGTGGCTAATGTACGTCGCGTCACGCAGTATCTCGGACTTTGCAAGTCGTACGGTCGAGTGCTTGAAGTAAACAAAGCGGAGGTTCGCAGTACTCATGGTGGCGGGTAGCGCCGTCCGTTTTTGCCTTCCGTTTTTGCCTTCCGAGCCTTCCCAGTTCCTTTGGGAGATTATCTTTTTTGTGCCAGTTGAAGTGCCACAAGCGCTCGCTTGCTCCCCCTCCTAGCTCTTGGAGCTAACAAAGCGTTTCGTCGGTAAAAACGGGGCCCACATGGACTGGAGCTCGTGCTCAAGCCGTTTAACTGTGGGACAACGAGCCCGCCGTTTCTCAAACATCAAAGCATTTGGTGGCCGACTGCTTTTCAAACAAAATCAAAACAGGTTGCATGGGCCCTTGCGACGAAAACCGGGTTTGTAGCCGCAGACACGGTCATGGTGGCATGGGTAAGGTATTGCGTGGTCCAGCCTGCCAAGCTATCTGCCACGCCGGCAAGACGCAACGAGACCGATGAGAGATGTAACAGAAAAGGTCGAGGGGAGCCAAACGGTCACCGAAAGAGCACGACAAATGGGTATTGGATGGGTGTAAAAATGCGTGTATCAATGGGCGTTTGACCATTGGTTATGTTGGCAAATGCAATGGACAAAGGTTTCGCATCTGCTGTTGGGCGTTCTTATCGGCTCCTCGAGAGAGGGATTCACGCTGTGCTCTGCATTGCCTGGTTGCGCGAGACGAGTCGGCAGGTCTTTGTCTGATGTGTACGACATATACGGTGTACATTTTTTGGAATGTTCTGCGTGTTTGTCTTTGGACCGTTAACGAGAGGCCGTCGTACGTCGTGCAGTGGAGAGTTGATAGGTTCACTTGAAAGGCCGACGAAGGCTGACTGGAAAACTCATTCAACCCTGGGAGCCATATTGGGATTGTTGTCTTGGCCTGTAATACTGTGGGCAATGCCTCGAGTCCGACATACGCGGTTAGCGAGACATTGCGGGCGAGGAACGAAAATTCAATTCATGGGAAATTGTCTTTTGCCCTTTCTTGGCAGCCCTGTCCACTGATTGAATCCTTGCGGTAAGCTCGCTATATCTCCTCTTGGCTCTCCCTGTCGCTTTGTTTGTCGCCGTATACGTCGAATGCGCGCACGTGGATGTGTTGTAAAGTGCGCTGCTCAGCATTGCTCTGCTCTGCATTGTCTCTTTTGGACAGCAGCCGTTGATCTGGGTAGATCGGATTTGGAGGAGGCCGCTACAAGGCACCGAGTGGAACGCGGTCGACGGCGCCTCGGGGCACCATGACTCTCGGCAGGTAACGTTGTTAAAAAGAGGGAAATGGAAAGACAGCCGGGCACATTCGTCGAGGCTGGAAGAGACCGTTTCCCACGACATGAGGCCCGCTGGCAAATTTGGGTTAGCTTCTTCTGGCATCGTTATTGACAGGGCGAAGCTGAAGCCATCACAATCCAAGGGATAGATACATGGTTTGATGGTAAGGGAGAGAGACAGTGAGAGGTGGGGGGCTGGGGGGAGGGGGGGGGGGGGGTGTTGAACGGATTGGAAGCGGTTCTCGAATGTCAATAAAAGTGACAAATGCCAAAGAAGAAGCCGAAGGAAGACGAAGAAAAAATGCCAATAACTCGACTGGGGTTGTTCAGCGAGACTTCCGTGTATTGCTGCTCGTTCTTTCTTGTTGAAAATGAATTGCCTGAAAAGGCAACAACGCGAATCATGCCAAGCCTTGTCTGTTTTAGTCGTCAAATTTACCTGTAGGGGAAGGAGCGAGGTCGACTCTAACGCAAATCCAACATCATCAAATACGGGTTCAGTACAGAAGGAATGAAGGGAGACGAGTCTCTCGGAGGGAACCCGCTCGTATCGCATGGCCAAGAGACACTTTTGGACACTGTCCAACGATCTACAGGCCGGTTTACTGAATGCTATGCTCTCCTGTGTAAATCAATTATTGGGTATGTTGGTATTTGAATGTTAGTCTAAGCATATCTGATTTCCCAAGCATTGATCGCATTGATCAGCGGCATTCGTCTCTTCTTTCTCGTGCCCCAAAAGAGGAAACGCCAATTCCAGGGTTGATATCAATAAAAAGCCCAATGGCAAACAAAAAGAATATGATAATAAAAATGTATCAGATGCCCATAACACCTCGTTCCTGTCGCTAATGGAATCCCAAGTCGCAATAAAGAAAAATCAAATTGTATCCCATCCCTGCGCCATATCCTCATGCGTTGCGTTGCTACAAAGACAAGTGGAAAGAAAAAAGGCATTCCCAAAGGGCCGGACGATCAGCTTGTAACCGTTGTCCATCGGCCGGATGGAGGAATGCTCATAGTACAAAGTTAACAGTCGAAGACGCGAAAACGCGTCTGCGGAGTAGAGTTGTGATTATTGCTCGGTTGATGTCAGGGAGACAGGAGATGCCTGCACAGACAACGGACGCTTCTCTGAGATCTCGTCGATATCCAGCTTAATGGCACCCACGGGGGCATCCTGTGCGGGTTTTCTGTCATGCGTTAGCAGGTGTATTGCAAACGAAACGTGGAGCGTCGCCTGAGAAAGCAAAGCATCAGGAAAATTAACGTACCGCTCCGTGCTGCTCTCATAGAGCTCGACAGCCACAATAACAAGCAGGAAGATGGCGACCAGGCCAATGACCATCATGTCGTTTTCCCGGCGCAGTTGTGCATACTGGCACGGCACGTCGGTTGCGGGCCGGGCCTTGTGGTGGAGCGGCTGGGACTCCATCTTCACAGACTCCGGAACATCGACATTCAGCAGGGCGGCCTGCTCTGCCGAGTCGAGCGGATCAACGGCCACGGGCGAAATGACGGGCGAGGAGTTGGGCGTGCCGGCAATGGCTTTGGCAGCCTCGAGGGCGGCCTCAACGTCGGCGTCGATAATGACAACCTCGATGCCTTCGTTTGCGTTCTGGAGGCGGATAGGCACGGGCGCGTCTGCCAGGGTGGCGTCTCCTCCTGTACTAGCAGACTTCGTCGTCTTCGCAACACGGGGCTTGGTGGCACCCAGACCCATCAGATACGTCGTCACGATTGGGCGAGGCGTGGCCAGTACGGCTGACGGTTCAGAGTCACCGGACGGAGTGTAGTGGCGGTTGTCAATGACAATGGCGTTCGGGCCGGCCTCATCGGCCAGGGCAGCGGCAGCTTCGGGCGACAGTTCATGCAGACGGAGGAATTTGCGGCTGGCACCTACGGCCAGGCGGCGCTCCCACCCAGCAGACGGGTTGCCAGGGATAGGTGCAGCAAGAACGACGGGCGCGCTGGCGGCGACCAGTAGAGACAGAAAAGTTGTCGTTGACCTCATGATGACAAAGGGCGAGCGTGTGTAGATTTGTTGTTTTGTGGGTGAAAGGAGTAGACAAAGCAAAAAAAAAAATTGGACTTCTTCAGTTGAGGTGAGAGGAGAGACGGTTTGATAAATACCCGACGAGGACTGGCAGGCAAAATGCAAAAGTGGACTGCTTTGTTCCGATTTCAAGCTTTTGGTGGTAGGCTCATGCGCGCAGATGCTGTGTACACAGCCGAACAGACAACGATATCAGCCGCAAAAGAAGATGCAACCAGGAGTGTGGACTGGACTTTGAATAAAGGCGAGCAGGCGAGATGAGACGGAAACAGCGCTCGGCGGCCCAAGGTCCAGTAGAGAGAAATGAATGCGTTTTCTTGGCAACCGGGAAATACTCCGCGTAAATTAAAGGGCCGGGAGAATAGAGGACAGTGCCGACGGACACGTAGGATAGAGCCTTTGAAGAGACGAGGGTGCAAAGCAGAACAATTGTTCGCGGCCAAGATGAGTTTGTGGTCAGTGGGCGGAATGAAGGCGCAGGGCGAGAGTGAGGAGTGCGTCTGTTGCTTTTGGCGAAATTGGAGGGTCAGAGTTGGAGAGAGTACAGAAGAAGAGAAATATACGAATTGTTATTTTCACAAGTAAACAAAATGGAGAGAGGAACAGCAAACAGGAAAGAATGGGAGGTTTGGAGCAGAACAAGAGCCAGAGGCAGGAGCGAGGGAGGAAGTCTATATGTGGTGTGAGGTGTGAGAGGAGCGGCCGGTTGAGATATACGATCGCCCAGACCGTCTTGGGTGTTGACAGTCAAATGCCAAGAACATGGACTTTTGGTGCTGGGGAGTTTCAGAGGACCCGCAATTGCAATATGGAGCTCGTATCTTTGAAGTGGCCTGTAGGTTTGTAGGCTAAATTGAGGCCGGGAGGGTGGAGGTAATAATTGGTGGGTTTCGGGGGGGAATTTGGGCACTTTTAGTGCGTGGGACTTGGGATTGGGTGTCTTTTGGTGTCTTTTGGCGTCTTTTGGTGTTGTTTGGTGATTTATGAATTTGGGAGTAGGGGTGCTAAGCCAATGCGGTTGAACAAAAGAAAGACAGAAATAAGGCGAAGGCAGAAGAACAAACAAGAGTTGTCTCTGCGAAAGAAAACAGCTTTTATGTCAAAAAACCACAGGAAAGGACAAAGTAAGGCTGGCAGGAGGAAGAAGGAAGTGGATGTTGGCCGGAGATGCAGGGTGGTGAAAGGCGTACGGAGTATGTTGTCTGTGGGGGAAAGATGCGAGAGGAAAAGAAGCAACAAAAAGGGCCCGAACGAACCACGCCATGAAGTGGGAAGGGGGAAGACAGCTACGAAGGGGCGGAGAATGCAATTTGTGGCGTTTTGGTACGCAAGGACGATCGTGGTCGATCGGTGACGAAACAGCAAGTGTCACCGGCCAAGACTGAAGCACGGCTGGGAAAGGCGAGACGAGCGAGTGCAGAGGTAGAGGCAGAGAGGGCAGAGGGAGAAAGAAAGGAAGCGGTTAGACGTTTGGGCAACTAGGGGCAGTGCTATGCTGATCGTAACGGCCTTCTTTGTCGCTGCAAATTTCCAAAACAAGGGCGACTCGGGCAACAAAGGACAGTGGAGGACGCCGAGAAAAAGAAACAGCGACGGTCCCGAGCCATAAGCAACAAAGGGGCACAGGCTGGCTGCGAGTCGTGTTCGAGACGGATCTGGACCTGTGGCACAGGCCATTCATTGTAGACAAGTTTTTTCGTGCAGAGGCTTGTCCGTCCTGGCTCTGACATGTGTCTCCGGCACGCACGACGCGCATCACAGGGTGTACTTTTGATGATATGCGCAAGAGCAGCAAGAGCAGCAAGAGCAGCAAGCAAGCAATAATACCGAGAAATGGGCGGCAGGGCGCCGAACCAAAAGTGCAAGGTTTATGCCATGATACATAATGTGTGCCACTGCTGGCACTGCTGGGGCATAGCGGGTGTACGCAGGGATTGTACAAGGCTTCTTTTGTCACTTGTTTTTGTCTTTTTATGCTTTTGTCCTTTTGTCTCTTTGCATTGCTTGTTATTGTCTTTCTTTCAGCCCGCTTCGGATGCTACAGTCTTTCACAACAGCGGAGCGTGTAGTGAGTGTACAGAATATCCGAAAGACAAAAGAACAAGCCCTCGGACCTGCATAACTGCGGCGAAGATTCAGGCACCACGCACATCTCCCAGATGGCAGCGGTGCAGTCGCGGTCCTTGGCCCTGGCCAGGCCTCCAAGCGACGAAAGCGTCAGACGATCAGCGGTGCGCGAGGGGACGAGTTCGTTGTATGCATTTGTAGGGCAGTTCAATGCCCTTCTCAGTAACGGTCGTTTGCCGAATGCTTGCGCACGGCGCGGTTCACGTCGTTCGCGATTTGTGTAGACCCCTTTCGCAGCGTCCAAGGTCGCGTTCGGTCACTAAACGATTTGCTTTACAGGAACAAACCCCTCGGGCTCGTTTTATGGACGTCCTCATGCTCCGTAATTACTCTGCGGCGATTTTATTAACCCAAGTCGTCCACACAAAAACCAAAGAGTACACCGAGCGAGGCGAGGAAGCCACGCCTGTCATGTCCGGTATGGGCTGACGGACATTTCGAAACTGATTTATTGCTCTGGCGCGTTTCCTCCGCGCCGGATTCAACCAAACTCAACAAAGGGCAGCGACCTCGCGAGACCAAATCAGGTCCAGCGTAGGGCCAAAAGGCCGTCATTGCTCCAGTAGCCTCCAGTGGTTGTATTAGCCCGCCGGAGCACCGCAAGGGGCGCGCAGCATGGAGCCAATGGCACACCGCTTCAGCAGCCCGTGCAACCAGGTAGGTGGCGGCGGTCTAGACCAGTCCATGGAACTGAGGGCCTGGCTCAGGTTGGCTCTAGTAGTTTTGGGGGCCGCGATGAAGGGAAAATGTCAAACGAAAAGAGCGCTTTTCCGGCGTCCTGGTTGTGGCGCTTTCTCAATTGGGAGTCGACTTGGCCTCGTCGGCCAAAGCTCGTTCTTGCATCATATTTGCAAATTGGGTTGCAGCTTGTCAATTGGCTGCCATGGTGTAGCATCCCGCTGTGTGTGTGTTTTTTTTTATACAGTTTTAACCCTGTTGCTACTCCGCTGCTGCTAAAGCTCTCCCCACATCGAACACGATAGTCCCCGTTGACGACCTTTCCAATTTAAGTCGTGCTGGCGGCGTGGTCTACACGCACCTTATATCACTTTACCTTTCCGGTCCGCTCGGCGAGCGAGACAAGCTTAACCTTTGACGTGTTTCTCCCTTTAGGACATGATGCAAAAGGCGACCTTGGGATATTTGGCGAGACTTCTCTGTGACGAATTGGGCGTATGGCCCTGACAAGTACGAAACAAGGCCCATTCGTTTTTGGCCTTCAGAACTCGCCTCCAGTGATGACTGGCTGGGAGACGCGAGTGCAGAAACATCAAAGCTGAATAACTCGACAGACAGGATAAACACGACAAGCACGGCACACGCGACAAGCATCAGAGACACTCTCGATACAGGAGACACACGCCGTAGACGACCTGAAACACGGTTGCTGCATCCAAGGGGCGCAAGGGCGGCCGTGAGGGTTGGCCGCGGCTCGTGAGGGAACGGTTTGGGGGGCCATTTCATCGCCGCTCAGGCCCATGCATATTAGACGCCAGGCCCTTCCGTAACCGCTGCTACCGCCGTGTGATTCGTGGAGAGTATGCCATTCTCAAAGGCCTCCGGCCAAAATCAGAGCAGGTTATCTTAAGCATCATTTTCTAGACTTATTCTCTGCGCCTTGGCGCCCAGAGACTGTTGAATTGGTCGTCAAAATATCGAATCCCTCGGGCGAAGGGACGCGCCCCTTTCACCGGATGTGCCTCTGGACAAAATCAGCTCGAAGAACGAGTATCCAAATAGCGATGTAAGCAGTAAGCATCGAGTTTGCCCGTTTCCAACCGGACCTGCCGCTCACGACCACAAAATGACTCGGCCCGTAGGGAGACAATCCATTCGACATGAAGGAAGCAGTATACCCAGATCTCCAGGGGTGTACTCTCGTGTAGACAGAGGCAGCCTGTCTGCGGTACATACGGCAGATACAGCATAAGATCGCGAAATGGCAAAAAAAGCTTCGCCTGCCAACAGGTCCGTAAGATGACAACAGACATAATTACGGCAGCCCAGCAAGGAGGAACGGGCAAGTCCAGAACAGGAAAGTAAGAATACAAAAAACCAACTCGCCCACACGTCCAAGCTCTTTCCCTCTTGACACCCCACATGTGGACCTTCGTGCTCTTTCCAAATAGAGCAAATAACAGGCGATGAATTCCCTGAATACGAGAAACATCAAAAATAAGGATCTGTTTAGCGACAACAAGTAGAACAAAGGGGTCCCTGGGCCCTGCGACCTGCTCCCGTGCCACATCGTCCACTCGTCCACTCGTCCACCAACAAAAGAGGGACTCGTGCCCCATTGTCAATCCCTCGTCGCAATGCAACAAAGACCCGCTCTCGCAACGCCCGTGTGCAGTTTAAGCTTTTCTGGGCGCGCAGGCGCCCTATCCCACTAAGACATAGTGTGCTTATTTTTGGTTTTCTTTCCACCTCTCGGTCGGTGCAAGGGTGCCTCCTCCCGAGTCTCCTGGAAGGCACCGAGAGGATGCAGGCTCTGCCGAGCTTTTTTTCTTCTCTTTCTCACGCTCGGGCACATTACCTGCTCGCGTGTACAACGCGACCGTTCCGGAGGAGATACGAGAACCAGAACAAGGACAAGCGCCTCGTTGTGCCGAGATGGGGTGGTCCAGCATGGCGTGAATATAGAAATCCCTGACTGAAGATGACCCGGCTCCGTTGGGCGAACAAGCCTACCAAGGCATCCCAGACGATAGGAAGCATGCTTAATGTGCAAGTAGTAGTACCGATGACCGCCTATTACAGACAGGCGCCAGACAGATGAAAGAGGACGCAACGGACACAGAGAGAAAAAGAGATTCTGACGTTGCAGACAAATTGCCAAACATCAGAGCCTACCAGAAAAGACTTATCGATAGTATTACGTGAGTGAGACTCGAAATGCCGGTCAGAACTGTGGCTAGTTTGTCGATCATCTGGACTTTCTTAAGATGGAGCCGGGCCCATACTACGGAAACTATGAATCAAGAAACGTAAAAAGGAGATGCGTCAACAGAGAACAAGAGAATGACGTTGAGGCATATGTGAAAATCATGACAATGCAAAGCCGTGGTTGACAACAGGTCTTTGATTGGATCTGAGTAGAACTCATGTAGAACGGGACATAAAAAAAACACTTAATTCCGTGGCCAGAGACGCCCATGTTGTAATTGCATCTTCTACTTTCTGCTGCCTCAAGAGTTGAAACAGGACAAATAGACTTAATCCTGATGCTCTCAACGGTATATTCCGTAGAATACAATTCTCTCTCTTAATGTTTACGAAGCCCACATATGGAATGTAGTGTCATCCGTCAGTGTACTCGGGTGCCAAGAAACCGGTTTTCAACAGCCGTTCGGGCACCAACCGAGACGACGGCACCGGGGAGAGGAAGAGGGCTTTGCCAAGGCAAGGGACCGTCCAGGGGCCGAGCATGGTTTCTTGTTCCCCCGAGCCCCCTTCCCCTCCCTACTCGGGTGGCTGCAGGCGCCGATCATTTGCAATTGAAGAAAAGGCCCAAAAAGAGGGCGGCATAAACTGGTAGGTGGCCTCGGTGGCATATCAAATGGGAGCGTCAAAACTAGTATGAGGAGAGAGAAATGTAAAAATGAATGAAAAAGACAAAAAAAATACTGCAGCCTAATAGTAGAATTATCCTATTTGGCATGGTTGGCGCATCTCCGCGCGGCCAGGCCAGGTTACGGGAAAAGTACCTCCACACTAACGTGAGCTGTCGAGAAAATACCTCCGCCTACAAAAAACAAATCGATCGCAGAACAGCGACTGTTGTTGGGGACATAGGAGATAGGGTATATGATCTTTTCGACTTCTTTCGCTCTCTTTTTGCCCGGTTTCTATTGTTGTTTTGAAATAATGCGTCCGGAATGTTGAAAAAGCCAAAGGGACAGCGTTTGAGGATGTGGAAGGCAGAGACAAAAGTAAACATTACGAAGTAGGAACGGGCGCAATTAAGACTTCATGTGAAGGACGACACAATATGAGGAAACGTCGTCAGCGGTCCAATGATATGTGCGGAGTGCCATCCCCCCTGAAAAGAGCTCTTTGCTTTGGATGCTTAGTAGCAACGCATGTTGGTGCCAGAAAATATACTTTTTCCATTTACAACGTCGCATCTTTGTGGCATCTTTGTCATGTTTGGCCTCACAAGTGGGCAGGCTAGGGAAGTAATTACACGTCGTAACACCAAGCTTTTTGTACCTAATTATTACACGCGTTATGACTTTCCACTAGTTCATTATTCCATTTATCCTCGTAAAACCACATCTCTGGCATACCCAACTCGTAGAGCTTGCACAAATATAATATTTGGGGCAGTGTCGGGCAGAGGGATACGAGGCGCCAGATGGAAGCGCCGGATAAAATCTCAGAGATCAAGATGCTGTTGCCAAGTCCTACGGTTGCAGTGGTTGCAACGACATGGTAATTGCTAAGTATTTGATGAAGATGTCCACCACACGATGTACAATGTATTGTGGCACCATATGCGAGACGGAACTCTCAAAGACAAATGCAGGGGGGAAGACAGAATTTATGAGGCCATAAAGAAAATAGGAGAACATGTGGAACAACACCGGCAAGAAACAAAAGATGCAAAAGGGAGGAGACCACAAAGGAGGAAGGCTCATATAAGAAACAAATATCAATTAACTCACAAAACCAACTCACCTAGCCAAAACATTGCCAGGAGGCCTGTACATGGATTCAAAGACATGAAAGTCTAGACTTCAAGCGACCCAAAATCCGCTCGGTGGCAGCAGCTACCACACGTAACGCTGTATACGCCAACGAAAGTACTGTCTCGGTCAGTCAGGGGGCGGCGCGGCCGTAAACGCAAAGATGGAGGTCACTGTGATGTAGGTTGCCGCCGCGAGACACAGACAGGACGTGTTTTGTGGTCTCTGGTCCGTGGTCTGTGCCAAATATGCAAACATGAACTGGGAGCAGCAGACAAAGGAAACAATTCAACATTTGCGAAAGAAAACCAGACAATTGTGCCCAACAAAGTGCTATGAACTACTATACAAACACCAAAGCGACCAAAACGACCAACCAACTCGGACTGCCGGAAAAACAGAAAGCCACAAAAAAGCAAGCAAAGGGGCACTAAAATGAGACTTGCCTCGTGAATCCCCGAGCCGACCCCATCGGCCAGAGAATACAAAGGACCAGAGACAGAGAGAAGCTGTGATGTTGAGGAGGCTTTGCGCCTATGCTGCTCAAAATATCGTCCGGCTTTAGACGTCGTAAAGACAAGGGCGAGAAGCACGAGAAGCCAGCCCTTTGACCTTTTGATATGTGAATTGCCATGAAAAGATAAACAAACAAAAAAAAGAACGTGAACAAAAAAAGCCGAAGCAGAACGAATGCCGCCCGAATATAATGCTAGCATTATCAAACCGCCCTCATCATCACCAACACCTGTTGCATGTGCCATACGAACGCGTACACCCTCGTTCGTCTCTATGATCTATCCCATTACTCCGTGTTGTTGCTCCAGTTTTTGCTAATACATGGGGCGCGCATCTTGGCCCGGAACATACGTCGCAGACGGCGTGGACGACGCCATGAGCGGTTCCGTCGCAGCGGCCGGCGTGGGCAGCGGCGTCGCCAAGGGCGAAACGGCAGGCGTGATGTGCACCGCAGGAGGGAGGTTGCCGGCGGACACGGACGTGTAGGCGCTGTTGGGCGAGTACGGCAGGTTGGCGGGCGAACCGACGCTGACGGCGGTCGTGTTCGTGGTCGCTGCCGTTCCAATGGCGGCGCCGCTGCTGTACGGCTCGTACTTTTCGTTGCTCGCGGTGTAGCGGTGGCCCGACTGGGCGGCATGGCCGGAACCGCCGTCGCCGTACGCGGCCGACGACCAGGGCTCCTGGCTGATGTCGTCGTGGTCGTGGTCGTCTGAAATCCCGGAATTCCCGCCGTAGGCCATGCTGCTGTTGTAGCTGCGGCTGCTGCGGGCATCCTTGTTGTCGTAGTTGGCGCCCGTGGGGACCACCTTGCTGTACGATGTGGTGGCACTGGCCTTCTTGCCGCGGCCCAGCACGGAGCGGACGCCTTGGGCAATGGCGGCGAAGACCCAGAAGAAGAGGGCAAACTTGAGACCGTCGAGGGCGGCACGGGCATAGCTTGGCTTGCGGTTTTCGCTGTGAGCCGCGCGGCGTTCTGTGCGAGCCAAGGTAACAGGTTAGCACGAGTACATCTGCGAGTGGGAAGAAGTGGGAGGGCGTGATGGCAGCTGTTTGCTACGCGAACCCAGACTCACCGTGCAGGGCGTTAAAGAAGAACGAGACGACGAAGGCGAGCACCAGGGCAGCACCGACACCGATCAGGACCCATCCCCAAATGGGGACATGGTGGTCCTTGGTGTCAAAGTCGTCGTTGTTCCCGCCATTGAAAAAGGAGGTGCTAGCTTTGCTGCCGGTGGCGTGGGAGGACCTGGAGCCGTCGTAGGGCCCGACCCGGCCAGAGATGGCCATGGGCGAGGCGCCGATAGGAAAGAGCATGATGGCGGCTGTCGACGTGGAGGACGTGCTGCGTTGAAGAGAAGGACAAGAAAGAAGAAAAGTGACCAAGAAAATAAAAAAATGAAAAGGGAGGGAGCAAAGGTAGATTAAGAATGAAAGGGGTAGGAGGGGATAGTTGCGCTCAAACGAAGGCAGAAATCAGCATGGCGCTCCTCCCGAGCGGAAGGTTCTTGGGCCGGGGTGGAGAGCCGGGATGTTGGAGTGAGAGAATGAGGCTGAGGTTTCGCAGACGAAACAAAACGAAAGTCTACTCAGAAGATTAGGTGAGCGACAGGGACGTGCTTAAGTGTGCCTATTTTTAAGTATTATGAATAATACAGTGTGCACACGAAAGCGGACGTTGTACCTCTTTGTACGGTGTATTCTCGTATGTACTTGTTGTATATGTCAATACTGTCCTGGATGGAGAGGTAGTAAAAAAGAAGCCGCGAAAGTCTATGAGACAGCGTGTAAACCGGATGTGAAAGGGAGGTCTTGCTGGAAATACATGAACCCAAGAAAAGACTGTGAACAGAATACACGGCAGGTTCAAAAGGGGACTGCGTATGGCTTCTCTGATTACGATGCCATAATCATTCTTCCCCCTATTCTTTTTAGAGGCAAGCTTGGGTCAGATAAGCTTACGCTGACGGCGCGGTGGGTGAGCATTCAAAGTGGATTCGGTTGGGTCGCCGTCAGCCACAGATGATTTGAGGAAACAAAGCAACAGGGGAAGAATACTCGAGAGGTAGGGGAGAGGTTCCCAGATTACCTGTAGGCCCTTCCCTTCAGTGACGAGAGTCGAGTCGACAGAATGTCACGAATGTAGGAAGTAAAGATTGTGTTTGTATGCTGTATTACGAAGTATGGTAATGGACATCTAGTGATGTTGGAAACATAGCCTCAAGCAACAGCCACCCGTCCTCAAGGGCGAGCTCGCTAGTTCTGTTCTGGAGAGGGCGCAGCGTTTTTTTGTTTGTTGGTGTGGTGGTGCATGGGGCTGTTGGTGTTGCAGTTATTTTTGGAGTTGCGGCGCACGGCTCGTTGTCGACCTTTTTACTTTTTAGCCTCACATTCTCTTTCCTTTTGTTTCGTCTGCAGCATGCTGCAGGGCTGTGCATCTGGTCAGACCTGAATCTTCATATGCATTAATAGAAACGTGTAAAGAAGTCACTCCAGGCGACATGGATCACAGCCTAACAGCTTATTTGATGACGACCCAATCGAGGCCAGCATTATCATTAAATAGAACCTTATTTCTCACCCTCTTGCCTCGGCCGCCCGCGTCGCAGGCCATCCGAAGACGGTCGCCAGCCGCAGTCGTCGCGTTGGCAGGGTAGATGATTGGTGGTGGTTTGACGAAGGCAGACGGTGTTGGATCTCGCGACTGGAACTAGAATGCAATAAAATTAAGACGGGGACAATCAAAGACAATCTCACGTCATATTTTTGTGCCCTCGTGCATGCCAACCCTGCAGTTTTCAATTTGTTCTCCGTTGGATATGTTTCATCGCACCGCTATTGAATTTTAGAGCAATGTTGGCCGACTTTTCCGTCATCTCTTCGTTCAGGTTGCAAGGTTTGCTTGCGGCTTCACACCATTGGTCGCTTTAAGCGAATCATTGTCTTTTATCACTTGGAAGCATTGCAACCTTTTTTCTCCAGTACGAAGTAATGATTGTGGATTACTATGGCAGCTATGTACTGAAAAGACTGTCGTAAACGCCATTGCGGTGACGGAATTACATAAGAGAGTAGTAAGAAAGTAGCCGAAGGAATGACGGGTAGGAAAGGCAATGAGCGAAGTAGACTATGGATCATCAGCACCCTCTCATCGTACCAAAGTGTACATTCGTACCCCGGTCCACGTTAGAAACCGTGCACCTTGACAGTCTGCGCGTCCAGCTCGAGGCCGCTCTTCTTGTCGGTCAGAAAGGCCTGCATGTGCTTCCGCTGGTCGCCCTGCAGCTGTAGAATGTCGCCCAGGTCGTGGTCGTGGATGATGGTGCCGTTACAGGCGAACTTCTTCTTGACGACGGCGAGAATCTTCTTTTGCGAGAAGCGCGGCGGGATGCCCTGGACGGTGGTCAGGGTCTTGCGGCCGTTGCGCTGCTGGATGCGAATATGGATGTTGTCCGCACGGCGGGCGGTGGACGTCACGTCTTGGGGGAGTACGGTGTCCTCTGCATCGGCAAAGGGGTCAACAGTCTTGAGGTTTTCGATCGACATGTGATGCGCACGGGGTGGCGTGAAGTCCGATGCGGTGGACGTGGATGTGGTGAAGGACGAAGAAGATTCCGTGATGGGAGAACGAGAAAAAGAAGTTGAAAAATAAAATCAGACAAACGTCAAGGAAAAGACAACGACTATTGAAGGCAGTCAAGACAAGCAGGTGCAAATGGTGTAGGGAACGACAGCGCTTTATATCTCTTGAAATCCGGGGAGGACGATCCTCTGGGAGTCATGTTCTCTCGCGACACGAGGCTGGGGCGAACGATGACAGATGGCGAGAGTGGCGAATGACTGTTGGCGCTGCATTCCAGAAGCGCCTACGAATTACGGTTAGGTGACATCTAGGCGAGGCCGGGCTTGGCCGAGACCAAGCGCCTGGAGTGGACGTCAAAAGGCCTGGCGGCCGCCGTGGCTGGGCGACCTTGGCGAGCATGCCCAGCATTCAGTGGCTACAATTTAGCGTAGTCAGCTTCTGTCGCCCCTCTACCAACAGCCAATCAGCGTGCGGTGTTAACACCGATGAAGCACTTGGCAAATGGCAAGACCAATCCACACCATTAACACCGATGACTGGCATAGCTCCTCGCAACTTGTCAATATCGGCAACACTCCGACGGCATTGCCGTTGATCAGTAGCATCTGGTCTCCTCTTTTGTATCAAACGGACGAATACTAGGAAGCAAATGCCGTTTAAAGTAGTAGAACCATGCCGGACTTACCCTGCAATCACCACTAACACCGGACACCATCCGCGGCAGGCGCGACTCTGGGGTATACGATCTGCGACGATGTACGTGGACGGAAAGAACATTAAAATGCCCTGTATCCTTCCCGTAAGGGAACTTGCGGAGCCGTAGCCGCATCGTTACTTTCCTACGATTTTGCAAACAGACGTCAAGGTATCATCAAAGCACCTGCCGTCATGCCTACGCCCGTCCATCACTCTACAGCCCCTGGCCGGCGTCTGACGTGGCTCATCACCGGCTGCTCGTCCGGTATTGGCCTGGCCCTCGCCCGCCACGTGCTTGCCAACGGGCACCGCCTCATTGCCACGTCACGCAACCCTGCCAAGACGCCCGAGCTGGTGCGGGAGGTGACGTCGTACGGCGACGGCTCCCACCGCTGGGTCGCGCTCGACGCGGACAGCCCGGGCGCGGGCACGGTCGTGAGCCAGCTGGGGGTGGCCATCGACGTCCTCGTCAACAATGCCGGCCATGCGGTCCTCCAGACTGTCGAGCACGCCCGCGAAGCCGACGCCCGCGCGCTCATGGAGACCATGTACTTTGGCCCGCTGCGGCTGGTGCAGGCGGTCCTGCCAACGATGCGCCGACAGAGGTTCGGCGTGGTGGTCTACGTGAGCTCGGGCGCCGGGCTCGAGGCGCGGCCGTCGATGGCCCTGTACGGTGCGGCCAAGGCGGCGGGGGACGCGCTGACCAAGACACTGGCCAAGGAGGTGGCGCCCTTCAACGTGAGGGCATTGTACGTGTCGCTGGGTTCGTTTCAGACAAACATGCCGAACGCGACCGAGGTGCGCGCGTCGACCCCGGCGACGCTGGACGACACGCCGGCATCTACGGACGACGACTACGCCGGTAGCGTGGCCAGAAAGATCATGGGCCACATGGCCAGCGGCGGCCAGGCCGCGTCGGCTCGGGGTGATCCTGCCAAGGCGGCACGGGCCATCTTCGAGGTGGCGACGGCGACGGGCGTGGGCCGCGGCCACGAAGCCGAGGTGCTGCTCCCGCTCGGTGCGGACGCGGCGGTTCGTGTGCAGAAGTGCGTGACACGCTGGCGCATGCGCTGGACGTTTTTGGCAGCGTGAGCAACCACGTCGGCGTGGACGACGAGTGGCCAGGGGACAAGCACGCAGGGAGGAACTAACGGAAAGAGAGTTGTTTCAAAAGACGAGTTGGCTCGACTGGCGGAGTCAACGGACTGTGTGGAATGTCTCTTGATTTCCTGGATTTCGAAGTGTTCTTTTGGCCTCGCTTGGCTTGTTGTTTTCCCTGTTGCTGTTGTACCCTGGCCGTCGGTGTCTCGCGCAAGTTCCAGGCGTTCGTGTTTGACGGCGCGTCTTCCATGTAGCCAGGATAGGGACTTGGCGTATTTTCGTCTCTGGGTTCTGAATATGTTCTTGACTCTTGAAAAGTCGGTGCGTTTGAAGAGAGAAAGTGATGAAGCGGACGAGAGGGGGGAAGCAAATGGGAATGTTTCTGTTGATAATCTTCGTCTGGCTTTGCTTATGCCAAGAGATATTGGACGTGCGTCTGCTCTTGGCGGTCGTTCCTAGTTTGTATTCTCTTCAATCTAACAAACAACTGCCGCTTTGGTACGACGCTGACGGGCGACGGAACATCCCACCAGCACCTTCTTTTGTGGAAAAAGCACGCAAATTCGAGGTCGTCATGCCATTCCTGAGTCGTGAAACACGCCACAAGTCAACTTTCAGCGTCTTGATAAGCAGCCTTGCATACAGCGCCCGGGGGGGTTGACTGCACTCTGATTCCACACCCGCCCGACAGGCTTTGTGGTAATCTTACATTGAATTCTTCGTCTCTCCACAGCATCCTTTTGGTACTCACGGCGTATTTGCAATTGCTTTTGTTTGGTCTAAGAGTCCCCGTCTTGCGCCTTTTGTTTTCTCGTCTTTCTTCCACATGTCGCTCCTTGCATTTTGGTTCCCAATATTGTCGTTATTTTCCCTTCATTTCCCACTATCGATAGTTGGCGCGTCCCGGTGGCGTTTTCCTCCGTTTTTTATGTTCCTCGTTCCAAAAACGTGCCCGATAGTTGTGGCTCTAATAACCATCCTTCGTCTAGCGCATAGTCTTCTTCAGCCCATTTTCAGTCATCGGTTTTTGACCGGTTTTTGACTCCGGGGCCGTGACTTTGTTAGTACATAATTGAATTTCTCACAACCGTATTCCATATACACGCACCGTATTTCACTGAGAGACGTGCCTGTGAGTAGGCCTTTGAAGGTGATCCATAACGGTTCCGTTTGTACCTGAGTTCGTCTGTGTCTAAACACATGTTGGACAATAAACAGAACTTCCCGTCTGCCCTGGTTGGTCTCCCACTAATCATTCAACGCCTCCCACCGTCTTCTGCGCTAGAGCAACCCTTTCCAAGTGCCAATGTCAGTACTGGTTGGTGTCAGTCAATGCCAACGGTGCCAGCTGGACCTGAGCCTCGGAATCCCTGTCGTGGCCGTTCGTTCGCTCTAGAGATGTATTACGAACGTGCGTTTCGTACAACAGTATCTTGCATTCCAAACCCAAGATGGGTCCATCCAAATCCATCACAGTGTCCCGTCTTATCCTCCCTCTACTTCTCTTTTCGGCATCTTTCATAACAGGCAGTAGTACCAGCCCTGCGGGCAGCGTGGAGAGCTCAGAGGATACATGCAACCCTCAGAAAGAAGGAAAAAAGTGGGGGAAATGGCGAAGAAAAAAACTGGATACGCCAGTCAGGCACGCCCAGCTCCTCCATCCACCGTTTCGTTGTCGGCATGCCCCGGTCAGGCCAGCGTTGCCAAGGATCGTCCTTACGCGGGCACGGCTTTTCCATCATTCCCAAGACGCTGCCAGATAAGGAATCATTTTGTGATTCCGCGGAGCTAGATTCTGGACGCACCTTCGTATTCTCAGTCTCCTCCGTATGCGGCTGGACCTGGCCTCCCCCTTTCGTCGCCCGTCGTAGGAACCAATATTGTGAATCCAGACTCGTATACAACATACCACGTTGGTTGTTTGTCCTCCCTCCTAGTCCATCTTGGCCACTCAGCTTGTACTTTCCAATTCGTCACATAATCACCCCCCGTGGAAAGCACGACATTTTGCATCTCCGTTTTTGCCAGTACTCGCTGCTTTTGCCTGCTCCACGTCCTTCACTCTTCAACATTTCCTCTCTTTTATCTTGTATCTTCCTCCCATTTGATCGTCCTTCCTCCCATTTGATCGTCTGTCGACCCGCCCACCCGTTTCGTTTTTTAGCACCGCCATTGGCGCCGTCCTTGTCCCGACCCCCGGAATTCCGGGGCAGTTCATTTTGGCGGAAGGCGATCATTCTGTCTGGCAAATCCTTGATGAGGTCCTCTCCCTCACTCTCTCTGCCTCTCAACCCCTCAACCTCCAAACTGTAGTTGCCACTTGCCAACTCACCACACAGCTCATCCTGAAGGGTCCGCTTTGTCCTTCGCGGACAACCAGTCGGCCTCGGATCTCGACAAACACGAAACTCTTCTCCTCCTCTTCCTCTCGCCATGTCATCCAGCACCGGCTTCCCCTCGCTGGCGATGTGGCATATCAGGCAGGCCTACCGTGCCGGCATGGCATCCATCAGCGGTGGAAAGACAACTGCATCCTACAGCTACCAGCCACTTGACCTGGAAGCATCACCAACCACTACATCGCCACCACTATCGTCGTCAACTTCAACGGCCACTGCCACTCGGCGAGGACCACGAACACTTCTCCAGACACGATGGGGGAAACTCGTTTTGGGCGGCAGTCTGCTCGTTTTTATGATCCTTATTGCGTCCACTACCAACGTGCCGTCTACCGTCCGCCAATTAACCGGCGGTAGAATCACCAACCCGGATGTGCCACCAACACCACAGGCCTCAGACAAGCCCGCCCCCGATTCGCCAGCTTGGCCCGACAAGCCGCCGACAGGTGTGGTTCCTGATGAGACACCCGACACACCCGCAACGCCCGAGACCGACAAGACTCCAGCAACCTCCAACACTCCCCCGCCCGAGCCGCTCACACTTGAGTCGGCCCGCGCGTCCATATCCAAGCAGGAGTACATTGACGCCGTCCTCCGAGACCCCGTCGAGGGGCTGCTGGATGTCAGACCCATCCGCAAAATGTGCGACACCATAAAGTTCCAAGAAGGCCTCGTCTGGCACTGCGAAATGGTCAACGGCGGAATCGGAAATGTCGGCAACATGTGGATCAACTGTGTACGCTATGCCATGGAGGCCGGCGCCACGACCATTATCATCCCGCGCATTGGCGCCCGATCCGAAGACAACTTGAGCCAATTAGGTGACGACGAGCACAGCGTCGAGATGGACACCCTGTATGACGTCGACTATTTCATCACCGCCTGGAAGGAGGCCTGTCCCCAGATGCGCGCCGTCCGCTCCGACAAGGAGGTCGCCAACCTGCCGCCCGTCGACAAGTCGCCCGCCATGCGTGCCAATGGCGTCGGCAAGTTGCCACGCATGGGTGAGCTTATCATTGACGCCACAGGCTGGCGCGCGGCCTTTGAGGCCTGGCTGAACGAGAAAGTGCCCGCCAGCAAGACCATGTCCTCCAAGACCCCGGTGCGCATCCGTCAGCGCCTGGCTCTGTCCCACTGGAACCGCGAGAACCAACCCCACGACTTCGCCATTGCCTTCCCCCGCGTCTTCCGCTTCCCCGATCACCTCCGCCGCCTCGCTGCGGCCACCCTCTGGGCCATGGAGAAGCAGACCGGGGTGCCGATGGTCAGCGACGCCGTCCTGTTTCCCGAGTTCACCATCGATCCCTCCGACACGCTTGACGATGCGTCGACCATGGTTCCATCGCTGGGTCGCAACCGCCTCGCGCCCCAGGGCTTCCTGGGCGTACACCTCCGCGTCGCTGCCGATGCGGCCAAGGCCGGTTGGCCCGGATACGATACGCAGGCACCCGCCTACCTCGACGAGGCCCAACGCCACAACCTCTCGACCGTCTACCTCGCCACCGGCTCCAAGGAGCACCGCAACCGGTTCATCGCCGACGCCAAAGGGCGCAACGTCCATGTCGTGTCGAAAGAAGCACTGCTGGACAAGGACGAGCTGGAGGAGCTAGGCAAGCTGACGTGGGACCAACAGGCCGTTGTCGATTTCGAGGTTCTGATCCACAGTAGCCACTTTGCCGGGTTCGCGCGCAGCAGCTTCAGTTGGATCGTGGCCATCCGCCGGAGCATCCTGCCGGAAGCGGGCAAGCCCGTGATCCACAACCCGCTAAATCTGCAGCACAGGGCAGTCGAAGACCGTGTCGGTCACCGGGGGGCGCACGTCAGGAGAGCCGAGGCGCCAGCGGCAGCAGAAGCGGAACCAGCTGTCGCCATCGCGACCGCGCCCGCCACGCCGCCGGCTCCCGTCACACCCGCCAAAGAGGCAACGCCCGCCGTGCCTGCTACGCCCCCGAAGCAGGAGCCTGTCGTGGAAAAGTATCGTGACGCTCTGAGCTTGGTGATCGGTCGCTTTGATGGCATGACGATCTGTGCTATTTGGCCGTGAGAAGGAAGACAAACTATAGGAGGAGAAGACGCTGAAGCGGCGAGGGCGCGAGGTTGAGTTTCGTCGAGCAAAATTTGAAGGATGTGTTGCGTTCTTGCATTTCCCGGTCGAGGGGGCCGCGTACGGCTATTCGAGCGCGGCTGTTTTCTGCACCTTGGCTTTATTACTTACGGGGGCCACGTTCGTATTCCCTTGGCGTTTTTTGTTGTTTTGTGCGGTGCATGTCGTGTCCTTGCACCTGTTTTCCTTTTCATGATTCATAGCGTTCTTCTTAATTTGTTCGGCCCATGTCGTTCGTTCCTTCCTTCCTTCGTGGTCCAAGTCAAACTGTGAACACATGTGTGTGCGTAAGGATATTTACGGAAAGCGCCACGGCACATGGGATTCATAGTAGGATCGCTAATAGCCAACCCTGGATGCCAAGAGATCGTGGAATCCCTAAGGGGAAAGAACGACCCACTAGTCTTACATCAACTACATAAGGGGAAGGTACCAGCGCACGACGGCAACTGCTCCGAATGCACTGTCAGGAAAAAAATCTTGGGAAAATTATGTCACACAGGACAACATTCAACCTCAGTGACATACCCAGTAAGTCGAGGGCGTTGTGTCGCGTTCCCCCCCCCTCCACCCACACACACACACACACACCACCCAAGTGAAGTGGTCGCGTGAGCTTGGCATTCATAATTGTACGTCGTAAAATGTAAGTTATCCAAGAAACGCCGTACATCTACAGGGGTCTCATCTTGCCTGACACTATTACAATGACAATTTAGAATACGATTCACATGTGTGAGATGCATGTCAAGTATTTCCTATTTGAACTTTCCAAAAAAAAGAGATGAAGCATGAAAACTGAGTACTCCCTTTTTCTTCGAATCTTTTGAGACCCGAAAAACTGCAAGCGCCTTTTGTGGGATATAATATGAACAAGAGTTGTATACAAATGCAGATAGAAAAGTAAACAGAGCATGAACATAAAAGCGGCCTATCACCCCTCATGCCATGTACTTGTTGGTGCCGTCCTGCTTGTACAGCCAGTCACGGTTCGCGTCAATCATAAAGTCGGTAATGTTAAACTCATTGCCAAACGGCGCGCCGCCGCCGTTGTTGTTGGTGGTGCTGTTGCTGTTGTCATTGTTGTTATTGTTGTTATTGTTTCTGTTGTTGTTCACTGCTGCAGCCGCGGTAGCCGCATTCTCGGCCGTGACGGCTCCATCACTGCCTGCGTTGCTGTTAGTCGTAGCAGCGCGGTTGCCATCGTTTGGGTCAGCGCTGCCACCACCTGCGCCGTTGGCTGTGTTGCTAGCATTGTCGTTGCTGACCGTGTTGTTGGAGCCAGCTACGCGCCCACCACCGATGCCGGATACAATATTGATACCGTTGCCGCTCGTCTCCGTTGGCAAGCCAAAGGGCAGCCGTGGTACATTGAAGAAATCAAAAACATCCAGATACTCCAACTCGTTAGGCTGCGGCGTTCGTGCCAGTGTCTGGTTCGGGACGCGGCCCATCGTGTGGCTCCCTATTGCGCTAGTTTGACTGAGACCACCGTTGTTTCCGTCGGCGCTGCTGCCGCTGGGCATGCGGCCATCATGACCGTAGTGGCCGAACTGCTGGCCACTCATGAAGGCGTTGTTACCGGCCACATGACGCGGTTGCCGGCTGATCAGCAAATCGAGATCGAACGCAGTGCGGCGCATGTCGGCCAAGATCTGGACACTGTTGGGGGTCACACTGTCTCCGTGCCGCTCACTGTCACTGTGCTCGTCGAGCACACGCTGCAAAAGCGCGCAGTACCGCCCGGCTACGGGCCAGTAGCGGCCCATGGCACGGAGCGTGTCGACGAAGAAGTACACGCGGGCACTCAGCTTGTGCTCGACTGTCGAGCCATGCACGAGGTACAGGCGAGCAGCGACCCAGAGTGAGAACGCAAATGGTGGGCCGAGCTTGGGCAGCAGGTTGTTGGACACGACAAACTCGCACAGTGTGCCAATGTTCTCAACAGCGCTGTGGCAGCGCTGGCTGGCAGAGTAGCTCGGCGTAAAGATGGGCGAGCGTGTCGTCGGGTAGGCGGAGGAGGAGTGCAGCCGGATAATGGCCGTGTGGTAGGTGATATGCAGCATGATCCAGCCGCAGTTGACAACCTTGGCGCAGTTGGGCTGGAACAACTTGGACATGTTGCCATACTCACCCGGCAGGCCGACCTTCCACGAGTTGAGCGTCTGGTCAAGCTCGCGGTATCGCATCTGCCACTGCTCAACGTCGCTAAGCGACGAAATATCGACTGGCTGCTTAAGGAAATTGTGGATCTTGGTCAAAATGCCGAGGATCTCAATGTAGTAGCTGAAGGCACCCAAATTTTCTGGCTTGCCGTTGGAGCCACTGGGACCGCCCGCCTCGGGCTCAAATCCATTCGCGCCGAGACTGCCAGGCCCTTCGTTGATCCCACCCCGTGTGTGGTCGGTGTGGAAAAGCCGGGTCTCGACCTTTTGATTTCGGGCCCAGAGGTCGTCGCGGCAAGGCAAGGTGCGGTCAATCTCGCGGTCATCGAGCGCAAACTCAAAGGCCGTCGCAATGGTGGCGTAACGATCCAGCAGGTAAATGACCCAGAAGAGTCGTCGGCGTGATTCTTCTTCGATAAAGTCCTTGGGTTCCGGCAGGATCATGGCCCGCAGTGTGTAGATGGATGTGTAATTGGGTGACACGGAAAATGAGTTGGTCTCGACCGCGAGGCCGAGCTGCACGACCGCTCGAGTAATCAGCGCCATAATGTTCCAGCCTGGAGGCCCGTTACTGCTGCCACAGAAATCGAGTGCCAGAATGACCATGGCTTGGAGCGCTTTTACGGACGAATTTTCCATGCCGTAGAGCAGCACCCGGTTCTTGGAAATGTCATGGTAGCGCTGGCGCTTCTCCTCTGTGAGCCGCGCGTCTGTGGAGAAGCGCAAAGTGGTCGCCACAATTGCGTGCAGTAGAATCTTGTTCGTCTCGTCGGTCATCGCCGCGCCAAACAGCGCCTCGATGGTCGGATTCCGCTGCAAGAGCGGGCACCATGTGTTTATGTGTTTAAAGTAAAGGTCGACCAGTGCGTAGGAGAGGTCGTAGGGAGGGAGGTCTTGGTCTGAGCCAAGATGAGACTTGCCACCGGTCATATTCATCATGGGTGAGGTTGTTGTGGTGACGCCATTGCCCACAGCAGGCGGTGCACTAGCTCCATAGTATTCTCGAGCCGCCGGGGTTGAGAGAGGGGACGGTTGTGAGAGGAGTGACGGCGAGATGCCTGAAATAGGACCGCTTCCTGCGCCGTATGTGGCATTGTTCGCATTGTTCATGGTACCTGGCGATGTCATGGTCATGTCCATTCCGCTGCCGCTGCCGCCACGACCGGTCATGACAGGGGGGCCTCCTGACGGCGCCGCACCCGGTGCGTAAGGCACCGTAGAGGGCTTGTGCAGGAAAAGTGCCGCCTCCGCCTGGGGTGTTTGGGCGGTGTCGATGCGGTTAAAGATCGAAGAGGCTGCTATATGCTCTTGCGGTGTGCCGCGGTCCTCACCGCTAGCCAGGCTACCATGAACGCTACCTGGCCGCCCGTTGCCGATTGCGGAAGAGTTCTGGAAGCCGGATGGTAATGGGACACTGACGGAAGAGCTGATGGGGTTGCCGGAGGCGTCGAAGGTGATGTGGAGAACCTCGGAGTGCTTGCGGAGGATCGCTTCGAGCTTGTCGAGCCTTGCTTCCAGCTCGCGTCCGTAGCCGGCCCGCAGACCCGGCTTCTTCCGCTCCTTGTACTCGCAGGTGGCGCCATTGCGCGTGCACCAGCCGCACGACGGCTGGCCACGGTCACATTTCACCTACGTCTCGTTAGTACGCGCGACCATTATATGTAAACAAGTTCACGACCGTCATCGACCAGGACGTTCATGATGACGTACTTTTCTTTGTTTACAGAGTTCGCATCTAGGGTTGCCAATCAGGTTAGCGGATGCATGGTCTCTCTTGACGGAACGCTTCTTGAGAGGAGGTGACTCGTCCGCGCTGTCGTCCGACTGGGACGTGGCGTCGGCGATCTCGATCTGAGCCGCCGGAGGTGACTGATAAGCGGCCGCAGCGGCCATCATGTGCAGCAGGCCGTCCGTCGTGTAGATAAGGATGAGAGTGAGGCGTGCCAGAAGGCTGAAACGCGTGGGGAAAGAAGCGACGACATTGATTGACGGAAAGATTGACGGAGGACTGGAATTAAGACGGAGAGTGGTATCCACGGATAGGCACAAGCGGCCGATGGTAGTGCACGAGTATCAAGTCCATGGACACACCGGGTACAGGCATACGCGAGTCTCGTTGGCAGGGAGGGGGTCGAGATGACAACGGACAGATCCGGACATGTGCAAAGTATAGGGAATGGAGGGTATGGTGTCTGGGGAGTAGGGGGAAGGAAGCTTGGGCAAGCGTAGGAGCTTGCGAGGACGAGGGGATTGTCACGGAGGGCATGAACCCGAGATGCGAGAGACAACCTTCAACACAGGCTCACACTCGGCACTAGTCGAAGGAAGAAGACAAACGGAGTAGTGGTACAGGGAGGGGGCAGAGTTGATGCAGGAATGGCAAACATGGTCCAAGGGGCCCAGAGAAACCAGAAATGAAATAATGCGTGAACGGGGACGAGTTGAATGACCGAAAATGGCCTGGAATCAACAGCAGCGCACAGGACAGACAAAACAAAGAAAAAAAAGAGCACCAGAAAGGCAGGGTCAGAAAGAGGAACAGGAATCGAAAATACGTACGAGACTGAAATGGGCCGCTTCCGCTTGCCGCTACGGGCGCCAACGCCGCCATCATCATCACCGTCAATATCGCTTCGATCGTCGCCGTCGTCGCCGTCGCCGCTGTCTGATTCAACGGCCTGTAGTTGTTGTTGGTGCTGCAACTGAGGCTGGTTCTGACTATGGCCCTGGGTCTGCAAGGTGTGCAGGCTCGGCTTCGAACCTGGCGTTTGTTCTTGCTGCAGAGGATGGTGCCGGAGTGGCTGCCGGCCGTCGGCTCCAGCTGCTCCTGAGATGGTGCCCGCGGCCATCGCGGCGGCGCCTGGACGTGCGGTGGCCAAAGCCGTGCTTCCTGCACTTCCTGCAACCGACCGCATGGGTTGCTTGGTCGCTGGCCCGGCCTTGATTTCGATTCGTATGAATAGTAGTCCGGATGCCGAACCTTGCGGGAATGGATGTGCGCAAACTGTGTGTGCAGAAAGCGGGAATACGCAGTGTGTCAAAATCCAGCTGCACCTCGGGGGCAATTGTCGCAGATAGCTTCTCCTCCTTTCTCCTCACTTTGCCGCTCCTTGTCGATGGGACAAGATGACAGGCCCCAGGTGTGCCTGGCGCTGGCCCCTCGCGATCGGGGGAATAGGAGCACAACACTACTTCTGTAGGGGACAAAAAATTAAACCATAAAAGAGGACAAAAAATAACGAAAAGACATTATGGCCACCGAGCAGGTCACATCACAAGCTCAGTTTCGCCGCGGTCAACCCACGGTCAGACGGAACCTCTGAACAGTGTTCCCCAGCATTTGAAGTCAGAGCGCCAAGGGCCCCATGTGCGAGGCGTGGGTGGGGGGGGGGGGGGGGGGCGTCTGGAGTCGACAAGGAAGCAGGTGAAAGCCGCTGTCGTCGGCAGAGGTAAACGCAGCGTCGTTGGAAAGGATTATCCTGCTGGTCGTCTCGGGTCAATGTTGTAAGCTCGGGCTATTGCCTCACGTTTTGGAGACATCCCGAGGAACACAACTGGTAGACTCAAGGGAAATGGGTCAAACCCACCAGCACCGAGGTCCCCGTGCTAACTGAACTGGCCTGCCTAGCCCTGTCGTTGTATGGCTGTGGAGACGACCAGCCTTTTTGCCTTGGTCTGTGACATACTCGGTTGTGACTGTGTGCAAAAGGAGACTACGAGAACCGAAAAGAGGGTCGTGGATGGCGCTATGCAGCATTGGCTTCTGTTGGGGTCTGTTGTTCCTTCTGCGAGCTCGGCTTACGGTTTAGTGAATTCCGGGCGCAAGTTCTGGCATGTGCAGACCGCTCGCACCTGCTTGAAAAGATCAATTGACTCTGCAAAAGTGGGGATCGATAATTGGTATCCTATCTTCCTAGCATTGCGAACAGGTCTTTGTCCAGCTTAGACCACGATGAGAACGCGCTGGAACATGCCCTCTACTTGCTTGCACACACCCGTGATTCCATGCAAGTTGCTGCCGTGAGGTTGTCCAAAGCCGTAGGTCCGTTTAAGCCGATAGATACCATGTCCCCGTTGCCGCATACCACCATTCTCTGTTTCCTTTGTCCCACCTTTGAGGCTCCTCCCAACGACAGACGGAGCCCACTTTTACTGGCCCTGTTTCTCGTACGGAAACCTGTGAAGGTGGGGTTTCTCTCAGATTGCTCGCCTGTGCGCCGTCGGTGTATCATAGGCCGAAGAAGAGTCGCTCCATCGCCACCGCCTCGCACTTGGAGAAAGGTACAGCAATTTTGAGTGACACGAGGGGGCTCGTTGCTCACGCGTTCCCCAGATACTGTCGCGCCAGCCCCGTAGATGAGGGCTCTGCGTCGGCTGTGCGTGCTATTTGAGAGGTGTGCTTTTACGTTTTAGGCTCCTTGTCGCCGAATTAGATGCCATAGCTTTTGGTGTGATGCGGTCGAAGCAAGGTGCGTTTGCAAATGCCAACAGCCAAGTAAAAGAAAAGGTTGGTACATTGTTTTGTACTCTCCCGGTCTCGTAGTCGCAACTGGAATTCGAAAGCCAAAGCTTCTGCTACATCTACCCGCGCTTTCCTCTTTTGTCTTTCTTCGCCCTCCTCCACTGTCTCTCGTCATCCTTTATACGCTCTGGTCCTGCCGTCCTCTCGCCTTCGGACCACCAGCTCTGTTTCGTTCCATTTCGTCCCAGTCTGTCCCATCCTCCGTCTCTTCCGTTTCACGAAAACAAACCGTGTGGTCGTCAAAATGGCCTCAGTCAAGGAGTTCCCCAAGATCAAGGCCGTCCGGTCTTTTATCATCGACGGTGTTGGTTCCGGTGCGTTCTTACTGCCCTCCGGCTGAGCCGGATACCCGAGCTTTGACTCTCACGGCCTCTTGAACTCGTCGCGGTCTCATTGCTAACATTCATGTGCAGGCGGTGACTACCACAATGTCAAGGGTGGCCATTGGTGAGCCAGCCCCGCAATGTCCCGGTTGACACCTTCCTCTGCCGCTTCCCCTCCCCGGTCGTTTGCTAACATGCGCCTTCGTTACTTCCGCCAGGCTCATCGACACTCCTATTTCGACGCCCTGCTCCGGCTGGGAGAAGTACCGGTCTTCACGGACAAACTGGGGCATTAACGTGCTCGGCTCCTTTTTCGTCGAGATCGAGGCCACCGATGGCACAGTCGGCTTTGCGACGGGTTTCGGCGGCCCGCCAGCCTGCTGGCTGGTGCACCAGCACTTTGAGCGCTTCCTGATCGGCGCCGACCCCCGCAACACGAATCTGCTGTTTGAGCAGATGTACCGTGCGTCCATGTTCTATGGCCGCAAGGGTCTCCCCGTCGCCATCATCTCCGTGATTGATTTGGCCCTCTGGGATCTGCTGGGCAAGATCCGCAACGAGCCCGTTTACCGCCTCATCGGTGGCGCCACCAAGGAGCGCCTCAACTTCTACTGCACAGGGCCCGAGCCGACTGCCGCCAAGAAGATGGGCTTCTGGGGTGCCAAGGTGCCGCTGCCGTACTGCCCGGAGGAGGGTGCTGAGGGCCTGCGCAAGAACGTCGAGTTCCTGCGCAAGCACCGCGAGTCGGTCGGCCCCGACTTCCCCATCATGGTCGACTGCTACATGTCGCTCAACGTGCCATACACCATTCAGATTGTTGAGGCCACCAAGGACCTGAACCTGAACTGGTGGGAGGAGTGCTTGTCGCCGGATGACACGGACGGCTTCGAGCAGATTAAGCGCGCCCACCCGACGATGAAGTTCACCACAGGCGAGCACGAGTACTCGCGCTACGGCTTCCGCAAGCTGATTGAGGGCCGCAACCTTGACATCATCCAGCCCGACGTCATGTGGCTGGGTGGCATGACCGAACTGCTGCGCGTGAGCGCCATGGCCGCCGCCTACGACATCCCCGTCGTGCCGCACGCCAGCGGTCCGTACAGCTACCACTTTGTCGTGTCGCAGCCCAACACGCCCTTCCAAGAATACCTGGCCAATTCGCCCGACGGCAAGAGCGTGCTGCCCGTGTTCGGCGACCTCTTCATCGACGAGCCGATCCCGTACCAGGGCTTCCTGACCACGGCCGACCTTGACAAGCCTGGCTTCGGTCTGACACTGAACCCCGCCGCCCGCCACAAGCTGATCCCGTCCACCTACCTGCTGACGCCGCCGGTGCAGGCGTCCCTGCCGCCACCAACAGATGAGAAGAAGGCGCAGGTTAACGGCACCACGGCGGCAGAGCCCGCAGCCGCAAAAGAGACGTCCCAGTAGTCGACAGGTGTTTATCCTGCTTGAAAACCATAAAAGAAGGAAACCAAATCTCACTTGTAATTAGAATGTTCTCGGCATTTGCATACAGCCAACCCAGAGCAGCGCAGCACACGGTATCATGGAGTCGCCTGTAGCCTACTGTTCTCATGTTTGCTTTCTTTGCATCACGCATAGCTCTTGTTTTGTTAGCTTTTCTCACATAAACTCAAAGTCTTTGCATACGTGGAATTCAACACTCCATCGTTGTCTGTATCAAGTGCCGTTGTGCGCCAAGGTAGTAACACTTGGAGCACCTGGCAGACTCCAATGCAAAGGAGGGTAGGGCGACAAAGGCGTAAGTGGCTCGCACTTCTTTGCGCCGAGGCCGTGTCCCGCTATGGTGGACTACCCTCAACTTTTCACAGGCATTTCCCGGGAAGAATGGGTAAACAATCGCGGAACGATAACAAAGTATGAAATATAAATAAAAAGGAGGGTAGAATATAAAGAAACGACGGGATCAAGTTTTGAGTTTAAGCTGTACAATTTTAGTTTGCTGGGGCTAGACTGTAGCCTGCCATCGGCGGCTTGTCTGCTATTTTCACGCATACAGAGAACAATTGCAAGGCCCCCGCATACGAGTACGACAAAAACCACACCCGGCCGAGATCCGAAATTGATTTGCGGAGAAGAGGGAAGAAACAGTGTGGGGAATGCCTGCAGCGCCAAAGCATTACTCGTACTGCGTATTAAGACAGACGAGCCAACGACCGTCCCACCCGACCTGCCCGATCAGGCAGCTGGGGCAAAGCAGACAGCCAACAGAGAGCAAACGTGTTGAAGGTCGGAGAAGAAGAATTCAGGTATTCTACCCCGGAGCGCCGGATCACGGCCAATTCGCGGCCATTCTGCGGTGCATGGTAGTAAGACACCTTGCGCTTTGCGCCGGACCGCAAGATCGACAGAAAAGGTGCATCGACCCCTTGCACTTCCACACCATATTTATCCCAAAACGTGTCGGCTTGTCACGTTGTGGAAGAGAACCGGGAAGCAACTTTCATCCCAAATCTGAACAACGACATTGCGACGATGTGGACGGCAGATCTTATCATCTTTGGGGGAAAGACACCAGACCTGGCGCGAGTTATGTCTGACTCAAGAGATTTTCGGCGAGAACGGCGGAATGGGAAAGGGAGCACTGGGAATATGGGATACGAGCAAGTTAATTTAAGCTTTAGGCATGGTGCACGCGGTGGTGCGCCACGCGGACAGTAATTTACAAGGTCGCAGACCGGCTGTAGGCAAATCCGTCCTCAGTGAAGCTGTGGAAGGTCCACGTACCTGCTAAAGGCGCCTTCCCGGTACAGAAGCACGCATCAACACTGTCCAATATTCACAGAACACGCATAATCAGAGAAAGGAAGGTGCAGTCCACAGTGCGCTGTCTACGACGTAATAATAAGAGAAGATTGGAAAGAGCAAAGGGGATGTTTATAAACAAGGCGTGCATTGACTGGGCCTTCTTCTCCAGTCCCATGACGCACTCCCGCCACCGTCTCCTCCCTCCATCCGCTACAATCGCTGCAGCATGCAACCATCCATCCGTCGTGCCACCGTGCTTGTGCCGTTTGTTAGACACTTGAAAATCGAATTTCAACTCCTCTCGGCCCACAGAACATGATCAGACCCTGTACATACGACCCCAGCTTTGTTGATCAACCCCGCGACGTGGTGAGCATATCCTTTTTTCGACATGATCACCCAATGATCGACCCCCAGCCATACGACGCAAAAATCTCACAGTTGTCAATCTGAAGCAGGCATCAGACTCACCATTCTGCCTGCCATACAACGGTTTGACTGGCAGTTCGTGGTGCTAGCACACCAGGTCGCGGTGCGTCGGGGGGGTGTACGATAGATATATTTAAGGGGGACCGGTTGTCTGGCCAAGAGCAAGTCGGTCGTTCTGCCACGAGGAAGAAAACGAAGCAGACGGCACGACACATTCCTAGAGTCAACCCCACAGGAGCTCTCCCGGCTTAATCTATTACCCATAGAGGCGGTGTATATTTTGCTGGAAATCTAGACGTTCTCTTCTCTGTGCTGTGAAGCAACTAGCATCATACTTCGACAGAGCAACATGACGAGACGCTCCAAGATCGCCGGTGCCGGCGTGCTTGCCGGTCTATGGACGGCTGGTACGGCCGTCGGTCAAAGTTGCCCGGACTACTCGACATACGCCATGAATGCGCACGCGCCTCTAAGCAACGGCTCCTACCAACTGGGATACATGCGGCCGGACCCCGCATGTCGCACCTTTAACTTGACCGAAGTCGAGTCTACAATCACGTCGATGGCGAGGAGCATCTCCGATCCGGACCTGTACCGGCTCTTTGTCAATGCCTTCCCCAACACGCTGGACACGGCCATCCGCTGGAAGGGTGTGGCAGCTGAGAATGCCGACGAGGAGCTGACATTTGTCATTACTGGCGACATTGATGCCATGTGGCTGCGCGACTCGTCGAACCAGATGCAGTCGTACCGCTCGCTGCTCAAGGCGTCCTCGGACCCCAACAGCCTCGCATCGCTGTACCGCGGTGTCATCAATCTGCAGGCCCGCTACCTTCTTGAGTCGCCTTACTGCAACAGCTTCCAACCGCCGGTGGAGTCGGGCATCGCGCCGGCCACGAATGGTGCCGCCAAAGACGACACAGTCACGCCACCGTACGACTCCACCAAAGTCTTTGAGTGCAAGTACGAGCTTGACAGTCTGGCTGCTTTCCTCGAGGTGTCTTCAGACTACTTTACTGCCACGGGTGACACGGCCTTCTTCGGAAAATTCAAGTGGCTCCAGGCGCTCCAGGCCGTCCTCCAAACGGCCACGTCCATGATGACGCCGACATACGGTGACAACGGGACCGTTCTTACGTCGCCATACACGTTCACTCGGATGACCACGCGCAGTACGGAGACACTCGCAAATAATGGCCTGGGAAGCCCCGTGGCGGCCAACACGGGTCTCATTCGGTCGGCATTCCGCCCCAGCGATGACAGCACGCTGCTGCAGCTGTTCATCCCGGCCAATATGATGTTTTCGCACTACCTTGAGCAGACGGCTAAAATCGTGGACAAGCTCGGTTCTGCCGCGCCCAAGGGTCTTGGCGCCCAGATGCATAGCCTTGCTTCTTCGCTCCGCAACGCCATCCTGCGCCACGGCATCGTGGCCGACACCAGGGCCGGCACCGTCGGCGCTCCAGTGTACGCGTACGAGGTCGACGGCTACGGCTCGTCCATCATCATGGACGACGCCAACATTCCAAGCCTGCTGTCGGCGCCCTTTTTTGGCTTTACGAGCATCAGCGACCCCGTCTACCAAAGCACACGCGCTGCGATCCTTTCCGAGACGCCGCGGCCAGGCCCGAGCCAGTACAACAGCAACCCGTACTTTATGCACGGGCCTGTGATCAGCGGCGTCGGCGGACCCCATCAAGGCCCGGGCTATGCGTGGCCCATGGCCAGCATCGTGCGCATCCTGACGTCAGACGACGACGACGAGATTGTGGACCAGCTGCATACGCTTGTCAGCAGCACGTCCGGCCTGGGCCTCATCCACGAAAGCGTCAACACATTCGATCAGAGCAAGTGGACACGGCAATGGTTCTCATGGGCCAACGGCCTCTTTGGGCAGATGATGCTCGATCTCAAGGAGCGGAAGCCGTCTCTTCTCAAGCGCAGCTACCAGCCATAGAGTGCGAGGCGCCGAGGTGGCAGGTCAGAGATGCAGGTACTGACGATAGAACTAGTGACGTTCGTCAAAGGGATATCAGGTTCACTTATGGTACTGGCGGCGGTAGTAGGTATGGAACAAATGGTCGTGAGGTCGGACATCAAATCGAGGTTGAAACTGGACTGAATAAATCGATGGGGGGGCGTGGGGAGAGCGGAGAGTTCTATTTATTATCATCATCATCTTGAAAGAACCACCAACAGAAAGTAAAATAATGAATAATGTTTTTCAGTTCTTTAATCATAAAGACAAACGTGTTCACTAATACTAACTTTGTGGTAAAGAAATGCATCTCTGCACTTGATAAGGCCGAGGGATGTTTTCAAAGAGAGTTATGTGTCGGCATGACATAGGAGACATTTGACACAGGCTGGCGCACGACACACAAACACTAACAATGTCGCTTTCCCCGCGTTAAAACCCTTCTTCTTGCCGTAAGGCCATCGAAATGGCATCTTGACAGCCGAATATATGGACGTCACGAGAACAACAGGAAAGGACCAGATCAGGAAGACATAAAAAATGCGGGGGAGCATCACCAATAAGTGCAGGAAGCAACCGTCACATTGGATGTTGAAGTGCTCTTTCGCACTCAATGTTTAGACTTGTGGCGGTATCTTTGTCCGCAGGTCTGGAAATCGTGTCCCGGGCAGAGGCGTAGTCCTGTTAAGAAGATCACCAGACTAACACGCAAGCTAACAACAACCCAAACCCAGTACCAACACCACACCATTCATACACACACAGGATAAACGACGACACTATGCAAGAGCTTAGAGCCCGTCCACGTCACCCCATTTCTTATTCCCTTGATAATGGCCCATCGCCAAGTGTTTGCTTGCTGTGACGCGTGTCGCACTTTTCCCATTTCTGTCCCTCCGGCTCTCGTTCTCCTCTCACCAGGCTGAACATGTCCAGAATGGCCCAACGCCTTGTTCCTGGGCAACATGCTCCATAAACCCTGTGACGTTGTTTCCCTGGAAGGAGAAAATGGTTCGTAGACGGGACACGGCCCACGCAAGAGCTTGTCCCGGCGCGGCTGTCGGTTTTTCATTACGCCAGGAGAGGCAGATCACAGCTCCAACGGAGAGTCGTGAGAAGGGCCTGGACGCCCTGCCTAGTAAGCATCGCGATTTGACCCCTCTCCTCCTTGTTGATCGGTTTGTTATTGGAGACGGTGTCTGAACTTGGGACAGCTTACGATCCATATAACAAATGATTTCCGTCTTCCTCTCGCTGCGTCTCCGAGATACCAGTTGTGTATCAACAACTGGCTTCGTGATAGCTTCGACGCAACGATAGAACCACGACACACCTTGCCACTTTCTACATACCTCTCTGCGCAGCAACACAATGGTGGAGTCCAAAGTTGGCATTGTGACCGGCGCCGCAGTAGGTCACGGCCTTCTTCTTATGATAAATAGCGCATCGATGGAGTACTCACTTACACCTCGCAGTCTGGCATGGGCAGGGCGCTCGCCACGTATTTTGCTGCGCAGGGCTGGCGCCTCGCCCTCTGGGACGTCAACGCCAAGGTCGGCGAAGAGCTCGCCGCCGAGCTCGGCCCCGACACCTTCTTCGTCCAGTGCGACGTCTCCAGCTACGAGTCCCAGGCCAGCGCTTACCTCCAGGTCTGGAAGAAGTGGGGGCGCATCGACGCCCTGCTTGCCAACGCCGGCATCGTCGAGCGCTCCTCCCTCTTCATCTTCAAGCACCGAGGCAACAAGGTCGAGGAGGTGCCCCCGGCTCCCAATTTGGCCTGCACCGACATCGACTACAAGGGTGTCCTCTACGGTGTCCAGCTCGCCATCCACTACATGCGCCACAACCGCGACAAGCCCGGCGGCAAGATTGTCGTGACGGCGTCCAACGCCGGCATCCATCCCCATCCCTCGTACCCCGAGTACAACGGCGCCAAGGCCGCCGTCGTCCAGTTTGTTCGCGGCGCCGCCGAGGTGCTGAAGATCAAGGAGAACATTCTCATCAACTGCGTCTGCCCCGGCATCGTGCGCACAAACATTATCCCGCCCGAGATGGTTGCTGCTGTGAGCGCCGGGTCACTGACGCCGCTCGACACGATTACGCAGGCGTACGCAGGCTGCCTGGCGGACGGAGACACGCGCAGCGGCGTCATCCTCGAGTGCAGCGGCACGCAGATCAGCGACATTGACTACTCGCGCCTGACGTTCAAGAACAGTGTGCCGAGCGTCCGTTCCATCACCGTGTGGGATCCGCTGTTTAAGCAGATCCACGGCGAGGCGAGTGAGTTGCCATCAGCAATTCCGTAGAGTTCGAAAGATGGCATCACTGGGTTCCGTTTGTATTGGCCAATGTTGACCTTCGCTACGGGCCAATAATACAAGACGACAACCAAGAGCTAGAATGAGATCAACGTGTTTTGTACTACTTGCTCAGACGTGACATGAGTGCAATATGTACACCAAGAAGAGCTGTCTAATAAATGAATGGGTAGTTGCAGTCAACCTGCAAAAGTCCTAAATCGGTGATGATCTGAACCGAGATGAAATTATGTAAATGAAAGAAACTATGAAAACGGCTGAATGAAGACTAGAAAATACAGATTTTGGAGCAAATACTACGGAGAAGTATACGAAAAGAGTTGGGATATGAAAAGAAAAAAAAATAGGGGAAATACAAAAGGTGTAAGTCACCTCTCATTCGCCGTTTTTGATGGTCCTCTTACTTTTATCATTTTCTGGCCCAGAGGCAGGGCCACCAATATCCCCTTGCCGAATCCCCCTAAATTTGTGGGATCAATGTCAGGAACCATGTACAAAACCAATTAACAAAACCTACTCGATTTGCGATTGGCAACTCAAGTTAAAATACATATCCGAACCAACACTGTCATTTTTCCTTTGCTCAAGAGCATATGGCTCTTGCAATACATGATGAGTGGGCATTCATATATGCTAACTAATGGCCGATGCCCGGACAAGTTCGCAAGTACAAAGCCCACCATAAAACACAAACATGAGATCAACTCGTCGGGGTATATGCATCCAAATCCACAGGGCGCACCGTCCTTTTTCGCCAGCCCCGTGTTTCCAAGAACCATGTTACTAGTGGCCGTTCACAGCAACATCGACATCCATTTTGGTGTCATTCATGACATTGTTGCTCTTGGCATCTTCCTCGGCAATATCAGCGGGCTTTGCCTTGCCTTTCTTGTGGTCCTTCTCCTTGCCTCCTTTGCCGTCGTCTTTGTTGTCGCCTTCTACCTTTTTGTCTGCATTTGCTCCGGTGCTAAGGAACAAGGCACGAAATTCGGCATTCGACTTCTTCGTGGGTACAGGTTCCGATCTAGAAGCGGTCGTCGATGTGCCATTGATGGTGGTAGGTTCACCGTTGCTTTTGGCACCTGTCGATGCCGACAGTGCAGTGAATCCAACGCCCCGTTTCGCACCTTTGCCACCCAGGACAGGGCGCTTCACGCGAGTGGGCATTAATGTTGTTGCGGATACCGTCGGTGTTGCTGCCGTCGGGACCGTGCTCTTTTTCGAGGGAGTGGTCGACGAGGTAGCCGCTTTTGGAGGACGCGGCGCAGGCTTGTCCATCCGGTCGGAGCGGACTTCGGCTTTCTCCTTGAACAGCTGGGCAACAGTGCCGGTTCGGAGTGTGTGTTGGTCGAGTTGCGCGCCTTCTAGCGCCAACTGCGCTTTGCCAGCCGCGACCGCATCCGCAAACTCGACAATGGCGCCGCCATGATCGGCACGAAGCACAAGTTTCGTAATGTGGCCGTGGGGTTCCACCAACGCCCGAACGCGGGCGATGTTGACCGTGTCTGGGATGCCGAGGAGAGCAAACGTCCGGTTACGAAGCGCCTCTTTGTCTGCATCTTTGGCGTCGTCACCGTTCGACCCGTCATGTGAGTCGTCGCCGCCGGCTACCCCGGAAGCTGTTGACTCAGCGGCGACAGACGTTTCTCGTGCCGAAGGTCGGGAATTTGTCGGCACGGAGATTTCAACCGTTAGAATGTGAGAACCCATTTTGACCTGATTTAGTTCTGACACTGCCCGGTTCGCCTCCTCCTTGGTCTTCATGACGACGAAAGCAGAGCCACGGCTGCGGCCAGCAATGTTGCGCAGAAGGCGAACACGATCAACAGCTCCGTGTTTGGCGAAGAGAGTCTCAATGACCTGTTCGTCCGCATCAAACGGAATGTTTTTGGCATGCACTTCGCGGCCTTCGTCTGTAGCCCCGTCTCGTGCCTTCTTAGCTGAAGGGTCGGAGTACTGCACCGACAATTTGTACTTGCCCTCGAGCAACTGTCCATTCAGTTTTGTGGCCTTGGAGGCCGACTCGCTATCGCGGAACGATACGTAGCAGAAGCGACGGTGTGCATTGTACTTCAGACTCGGCCACCGAATGCCGAATATTTCTCCACTTTGATCGAAAAGCTGGTGGATAAATGCATCATCGGCCGACGGCGGAAAGTTCGTGACGTAGAGTGTAATGCCCGTTGCCGGTTTGACAGAGATATTGCTGTCACCAAAGTACTTCCCGTCGCGAATCAGTGCAGACTGCACATCCTCAGCAGACCTGAACTCAATCAACGCAACCATAGACTTGCCATGCTCCTCCTTCTTGAGCTGCATGTTGTTGACGTGGCCGTACTCGCGGAAATATTGCCGCACCTTGGTAGATGTAACGTCGACCGGAAGGTTGGATACAAAGACGGACGTGTTTTCGCGGTCACGTTTGAGGGTATGGTACTGCTGTTGCTCATCGCTTTGGGCAGAACCGTTCTCGCTTTTCGGCCTTTTCGTCGCAGGCCCGGTAGCTTCCTTGTTGGCGTTCGATTCCCACTTCCGTTTCACCCCAGAAGTCGGATCTTCAGGTACACGCTCCGGTTCTCGGTGGCCGGTAATAGCTTCGACAGAAGCAGCGGGTCCTGTCCCTACGTAGGTTCCAGCCTGTGTCCGTGCTTGAGCGTCGGCTTGGGCGGCGGCTTGTGCCGCTGCAGCCTCCTTGCGTTGCTGCGTTATGGCTTTTCGGATGTTGTGTACATCGTCGAGAGCACCGCGAAGAACGTCAGAGCTTTCAAAGTCGTTGCAATGTTGCAAATAGATTTCCATGATACGCTCTGGCCAATTCAGTTGGGGATCGTGCAGGGCTCGGCTGAGAACGCTTGCGGGGCGCGTCGGCGTGCGCGACAATCGTGTTGGGGGTGCTGGCGTTGGGCTTCGGCCGGTTCCTTTCTGTGACTGAAAAAGGTTCATCTCCCACAGATAGTAGCTTAACCAGAAGCTGTAGTCATGGGCGAGCAGTTCCTTTTTAGCCAACTTCTCCCAGTGCTCGCGTGCTTCATCAATGGCGCCGTGCTTTTCGGTCAGGTGGTAGATCATGATTCGTTCGAGGCGGAAGTTGGGGTCGCCCTGGAAGGCGCTGCCGAATCTACGCTCGCCCCAGACCTGGACGGCTTCGAGAGCAGCCACGAGGCCAGAATCAGCAAGATCGACAGCTTCGTCGGACGCGTTCGGATCAATGGCACAACGGCGCAGGTAGCCACACCACGCAGCATACATGTCGACGACCGCAGCCATACCGTCACGATCCAAGGAACTGTTTGTGGCAGCATGCTTTATACGTTCCATGTCGGAGAAACTGAGACTTGCCTGCTCACCGCTGATGATATACCGAACCCACAGGGCGCCAGACCAGGGGCAGTGCTGGACGGCGCGCTGCAAAACATCGAGGCTATTCGGAAGAAAACGCGCCAGTTCCTCGTTGCGGTTCGGGCCGTCTCCCAACTCACTCCGGAGCTGTGAGATAAAAACAACCAGGTCGGACCAAGCCGTGTCGTCTGTTTGGAAGATGCTGGTCAACGCGCGTCCGAAAAGACCCAGCGCAACGCGCATGGCCAAAACCTTGTCGTTCCGCTCGGCCAGGGTGTTTGCCACCTCCCACCCCAGATATCTCGACATGGCTTCGCGGTGAGCCTCTTCGTCGCCGGCACGGATGGCCGCCCGTAATGCCATCTCCATTGGGTCGCGTTGTTCGTAGATGGCTCTTGCAGTTCGCGATTGCTCTGTCACGGCGCGCATCGTGTCTTCGTAGGCGGCTGGGTTGTACTCTGACAAAAAGGAGCTAAACGCCGAAGACGTGTCGTCCCAGGCCGCATGTGGTATTGTCAAGCGATTGCGATATAGGTGGGTTATGCGCCGAACGCCCTCGACGGTGCGCGTCCGGTCGAGAAGGTCACGTTCCAATGCAATCCATCGATTCCAAAGCTCGTGACTGTCGTTGAGGCGGTACTTGGTCGCTTCGTGACCTTCGCTCCAAAGGTGGAGAGCTGCGTCGAGCGAAAAGATGTCGCAAGCAGCCTGCTGTTCGTCCTGAGGCCAGGCAGCAACGCTGCCGCTGCGCTGCATGCATTCGAAATAGAGCGCCCAGAAGTATTCGCAGTAGGCGATCCACACGCGTATGCTGCCAGGCTCGGCGTTGACGGCGGCGCGGTAGAGTTCAACAACACGGATGCGTTGCTCCAGTCCTGTCGCGTTGCGGCGCCGTTGTTCGATGTAGTCAAGCCAGCTATCTTCGCCTACGGGCGAAGGGGCGGGAGGCGGAGAGCTGGCCATAATGGCTGAGGCGTGCGAACGGAGGTAGTAGAATTTGGGACCATCGGTTTGACTCGCAGGATGAACCGAAAGAGAGAGAGAGAGAGAGAGGTTTGTAAACGGCAAAATAGAAAGGAGGCTCAAAAGGCTCAAAAACCAAAGAAAAGTAGCCTCTCGCTTTTGTCGTCCGTCTTGGCTGGCAGCGTGAAAAGTTTATCGTTTTAGGTGGAGGCGGCGCGTGGCGCTGCTAGTGTAAGATAGGATGACTGCGTATGTTATGAGCACAGCGAGACGGGAGACGGCGAAGAATGACGATGCGTGTTGTTGGCTGACTGGCAGCTGCAGACACAGGGTGAACGATGCAGATGCAGGGTAACAAAAACAAACAGTTGTAAGAATGGACCTCAACACCATCAAAAGGAGACGAACAGTTGAGGAAAGAACTAGGATGGGTGGTGTTTGACGGATGGAGCCTGCCCCTTCTGCCTTACGGACGGAGTGAAGGAAGGCGCAACTGGCGGTCGGCTCGGGGTTTGGAAGGTGAAGAGACGTGCTAGAGCTGGTAGATGGAAAGTTTCGTGGTCGCCCTTTGCTGCATCCTGTTTCCGCGTTGCGTACGGAGTAGTTTCTTTGTTGCGACGAAGCGCAGCCCGCCTTTCTTAGCTCCTTGGGAGGCCGGCGGTGTTGTCATGGTCCGCGTGGTGCTGTTTTGTATTGTTTTGTCTCCAAAAGAAGCGAGTTCCAGCGCAATGGATTGGCAGGCAAAAGTGGGCCTGCCTTCCAAAGTGGGCTCTTTCTGTGGGCGGCGTAATTCCCGGCAGCGCCATAGCGACCGCAAGCGGGGCGTCCTACGTAACTGTCGAGATTGTGCTTCAGGGGTGTGCGGCCTATTCCACGGGTGACCCGAGCTCTAATGCTGCAGCGGGTTGCACTCTAAATACCCACGACACTAGATGTTTCTGACGTAGTGGCAGACGGCAGGCGACTTGCATTGGTGACGGCAGGAACGGACGGTCGTTGCTGCGAGGTGCGCCTTCTTGACTCTGGGCGGCCGGTACTTTGGATTTATCTGAACAATATATGAGTACGCGTCCTGGCGTCGTATCTTAACCCCCTTTGCTGTGTAGATTTGGCTGAACGTCTCGACTCCTTCGACATGCCGCCGTTATCACAACACCAGAAGCTTTCCCCACGTTTACAAAGACGCAAAGTCACGGCCACACACGTTCCTTCGCAGATGCCCTTGTAGCACTGTCCTGACATTTCCCATTCCACCAAGTGAATCAGCATCTCCGCGGTTTTGATCTCTGGTGGTTTGTCTGTTTCTCACACACACTACGTCACATGCTGTGCAACCGCTAAAACAGGCCTGGGGACTAGATGCGAGAACTCAACCTCCCGCGGCGAGACACGACAGGAGGGGGAAGATGCAACGAGACGGCAAAGAGCTGAAGGGGGCTAGATCACCGGCTGTGTCTCGCTCCTCCACGCATCGAAAACTTAAATCAAGAGGCACAGCGCAAATAGGGTTGGCGAACTTTTACAGGCAGACGGGCCACCCGAGTGTTAGGATAAAGCGCAAAGGTTGACATGCAGCTCGTCTCTGGTCATGGTTTCTCACTCCTGTGGATATTTTCTCAAGACCGCGTCGTTTTTAGAGGAGCCATGTTCCATGAAAGTCTAGTCATCCGCTGATCGCTACCGCATTTTGCCAAGGATCAGTTGGGGGTTCTGGTCAAGGTTCGCAACAAAAGGAGACGAAAGGGCGCGGAATACGCTTTCATACGACACAATGCCAGGCCAGGCATGCTGAGCTGCGCATAAGAGAAAGCAAACGACGCTTGACAGCCACTGGATCGCAACAACCCACGCACAGGAGAATGGAGCAGCGCCCTCGCGTTTTCCATTTCCCATCTCCACTGTGAGACGGTGCACATACCCCAAGTTCCGGCTCGCCAACTCACGCCTTGACGACTGTCGTTGCTACACCCAGTCTCAGCGGACTGTGGTGGGCTTACAGAGTATTGTGAGCATTTGCCTGGTTAAAACAAATACCTGGGACTCACAGGAAATCAGACCAGTTTTGAAAACACGCGACCGTCAGTGCGTTCTCCGATTTACACCCGGCGGGACTGGCCCTGACAACCAGGGTCAGGTTCAAAACCCTTTCCCTCGCATTTCCTCGTTTTACTCCGTACTTTACCCTCAGAACTTGCTTCAGTTCCCTTATTTTGCCTAGCAATCCAAGGTACACGTGATAGGCCTGGCCAGGTGCCGATCTTGCCGATCGACGTGGGAGAATGGAAGGCGGAAATAGTTGCCCCAAACATCCCAGAGCTTGACATTGTCTTGTGGCATTGAATCTCGCCAATTCGGGAAAGCTCCGTCTCTGTTCTCTTCCACAAAATGATCAAAGAATCTGACGAGACGATTCCCAATGCCATTTGGTGAGAGTGGAGAGACGAAACAGAGGGAGAATGCGCATCATTCGTCTCCTGCGTTGATGTCAAAACTGATCACAACAAATACCCAAAGGGAGCCTGGCGCCGGGCTATCTCCTGTTTATGCCCTGGTCACAATGGCTTGGCGCTGCGGAAGAGCTGGTCGCGACTTATTTCCCAGCCAATCTGGTACTAGAGGACTTCGTAATACCCACGGCTGAATCTTGTAACAGACGGCAGGTCGGTGCAAAAAAAAGGAAAATAGGAAAGCCCCTTAAGCTGGACGCCCGATGACGTCGTCCCGCATTGGTGGCGCCGGAGGGCCCAGCCCAGTCCTAGATGGTTTGTTGTGCTGCATGTTCCAGACCACATTACCCTTATTTAAGGTAGCAATTTCAAAATTTCAGGGTATTCTTCCCCAGCATGTTAGGCGAACCAACAAATCCATGTGCAAAAGAAAGCGGAGAAGTGGATGAAGAGACTTGTCCCAGTCCGGGCTCCATGGGTGGTGCGTGTTTAGATTGCCAACAGGCGATTTTACCAGCTTTGTTGTCCCTGTTCCTCACACGCCTGTTTTCCTCGTCCAGCGCCAAACACGGCTATCCGGCATTCAACAAGGGAGCTTGGCTTGGCCCGACCAGTCTCATCCCTGAACATCAATTTTCTCTCGTTTTCTCTTGCCAAGGGAAGATAGCCATAAAACTTGAGTGAAGAGAATGCCAATAGGCAACCAGGGTCACACCGCAACAGGACGGCTCTTTCATTCATACCAATCAGAAGATTTGGAGTTTTCCCATCAGTACTTGTGCTCGGACTTCGGTCCACGGCGTATCAGCATCCCGATTCGGGATGACCAGTCTGTTACATCTTTCCTAATACATTCAAATTAAATGAGAGTAAACTATGTCGCGTTCCTATCTGGACCGAGTCGTCATTCTCTACTACAGGACTGACCAAGAACAGACGATGCTGAATGAAATCGATTGGGTCTGTTGCCGGACGGGCAGCCAGCAGCCAGCGGCCAGCAGCCGTCTCCTTGATCAACTAAAAAGGCAAAGTCAGCTTCGACCGTCTGTCTCTTGCGAGAGTAGCGGCACGCTTGCACTACAGCACCGCAGCAAATCGAATGTCATTGCGGCAGTACGCGCGGTTGATGCCGCGTGGATGCTTTAGCTGCCGCACCGGATATACCACCGAGTGGCCACAAGAACGGTCTTCGGATTGCCCGTGCGCGTTGCTGTTGGAGGCGATCCGTCATCCAACCGCAACGACCACACACTGCTGAGCCTTGAGCTCTGCGTGCCATGGTGTGATGCAACCGTCAGCCGGGGCTTGTGAAAGGTGGTGTTTCCTGCAAACGGGATACTGCTTCGTCAAAACGGACATATTGCAACAAGTGTTGGGAGCAACAACGATGCTGGGAATCGACGGAAGCGGCTGAAGAAGCGAGTACCAAGGGGGTATTGGTTCGGGCCAGCTCAAATACGTCGGCCTAGACGGCGAACCGCATCTTGCCTCACGTAGCCGCACAGAGCTACGAGCAGTATTGGCTACCCTAAACTCTTGGTCATCTCCAGTACATCGTTCCATATGGCGCAGCATTTGATGAGTTGGATTCGTGAAAGGAAAAGCAGACAGTGAAACATCGGAGTAAGGATTGAAGCAACGGCAAGGCGAGCGACTCGGCAGCCGAGCCCGTTTAATGCCGGCCCACGAGGGCCATACCAGGCATGAAATTCTCGGATACGCCGTACAAAGCACCCGTCCGAAAAATTTACTACCTTTCATAGAAAAAAGGAGAGCGAAACAGCCATAATAAGAAAGACGAGGTCTGAAGCTGGTTCGCGGAAATGGTACGCTCTTGACTGGACGCACTGCCAACGTTTTGTTTGCCTATCTTTTCTCGGAAGCCAGTATGCGGAAAGAGGAGACCAGCGATATTTTAACATCCAACAAGTCACGGAGATTCAGCTTGCCCGTACGTATGCAAATAAATCCCTCTTCTAACCAAAGGCTCATACGCCAAAGGCCACGATGCCCTGATACTGGTGCTCATCAGGACACAAGCATATGCTTCACAGACACTGAATTGAATATCATCGCGACCACACAACCCAAATTTGGTCTACTCCATGTGAATATTGCTTACTGCTATTTCTTCATACCTGTTCGCTTCCTTTGTTTAGCTCTTTATCTTGACACTACAAAAACAGTGCCTGTCTCAGCACGGCCTCTGTTCGCTGCTTTGCCGCTCAACACGAATGGACCAGCCGGTAATGCCTGGGACCCCGACGCAGGCGACGAAGATGCCCTCTGAGCTCTCAACATGATGACGCCAGAGGTTGTTGCGGCCGCTCGTAACGTCTCAAATTCGCTCTGGTACGCGTGTTTCCCTGGACTTGCCACTCAACAATCCATACTTGCCGAATTTTGAGCGCGAGCCATTCCAGCGTGTACTTGAGAACCGATTACGTATGACGGTCGAGACTGAGGACCAGCGGGTGGTCAACGATGACGCCGGTATCTTCAACACGCAGTACCGCTGCCATTTGGGATGGGATCCGGCACTATGGTGATCTTTCCCAAAAGACGGATTCATAGCGATACGCACTACAGACTCTCCGCTGACGTACTTCACAGGCTACCCGAAGACCAGTGTTGAACAACACCAAGACGTGGGAGGAATTCAAATACTCCGATTCTCTGGGCATAGACTGTGACCTCTGTATGTGCCAGAAAGTTCTGGGTAGACAAAAATACACATTCCTAGAAAACCTGCTGGCCTTCATGCTTGTCAAATAGCGTGGGTCGCACAAGGTGGGATCATAGGCCGCGGCGTTCTACTCGACAACGCCGGTTATGCCGGACACCGGGCATCCAGCGTTGACCACTTGTCTTGCACCAGGATGCCCGTCGAGCACGTGCAGGGCAGGACGTTGTGCGCGAGGAAAGGGGTCACATTTGAGCAGGGAGACATTTTCTTGATCCGCATCCGCTGCACGGCTGGTTCCGATGCGGCCATCAGCGATCAGCAAAGGGCGTTGCCGCCGTGCGAGATGGCGCCAGTCATGGAACTCTTGCTCGACAATGGCAAAGCTTCGATGGTTCTGCGAGACTGTGCGGCACTTGCCGGCACCACCATTAGCATTGAGCAGAAACCGTGTACGCCGACCACGTCCGGCCTGGCGCGGCATGGAAGGGTGAGAGCTGAGAGGACGCGATGAATGGTGATGGTCCGGTGCACCATTGGGTGCTGGCCGGCTGGAGTGTGCCCATTAGCGAGATGTTTGATCTCGAGGCTCTGAGGGCACGGCGCGTGGTGCATGACCGCTGGATATTCTTCTTTGCGAGCGTCCCGCTGCGGGTACCCGGCGGCGTCGCAAGCCCAACGAACGGCAGTGCCATCTTTTAACGGGGTATGTGTCCTTGAGTTCCGTGTCCTATGTCTGGTGCAACCTTGGATATTTGTCTTCGATACAGGTGGTGCAGAGCGAAACAAGACGACCCATGACTGCAGTCAAATCTGTCCAGAGACATTCTTGCTCACTCTCTTCACAACTACTTCCTAGTCCTGTGCGAGTGAAGCGTTGCCCTACTTATACCCCTGATGTGAACTCTCCGTCTCTAGTCCTTGATATATCTTCTTTGTTCCATGACCGTAAGTTGAGTGTCTCGTCCACACTGCGTGTCTGGAGATCAGAAAAGCACGATGAAACAAAGACACGCCGACCTTGGTACACTCGCTTGGCGAGTGTACTACCGTCTTGGCGAGTGTGCCACCGTTACACCTCGTGGTGGCTTCATCAGACGAATACTTTTGCTTGTGTTCATTTCGTTTCTGCAACGAAATGGGTCGCGACGTGCATCGAGCCGCAATCCTATCGGGCACACACATCCACTCATGTATGTGCGAACTCGGCATCTGCAAGTCAGAAAGCAAGAAGAAAAAAGGGAAAAGGGCTACGGCCGACGCAAGTGGTATTTTCAACTCAGTATTGGGCATGGAGAGAAGTCAAAAATAGTAACATGAATGGAATGTGAAAGAAAAGAGCAATTGACCACAAATACTAGACTCGTACCTGCATTTCGTCCGAATGCCGGGTGGACACAAAACTATTTTCTGGCTGGGTAGGAGCCTTCTGCATGCATACCGGATCGTGGCATGCATGAGAGGCTGACGACAGCTGCAGCTTCAAGTTGCTGCTGTAGCTTTGATGCAGGCGTCTGGACGCGTCGTGCTGTAGACAACGCAGAAACCAGATTAAAGAAGCAAATTTTTGGAATCCGCATCGGCTTCTGCAGCAATTTATGAGAGTGTGACAAAATTATGCCTACCTCCCAACAAACGCGAACCGCGACACGAAAAAGCCGCAGTGACTTTGTCCCTTTTGAGCTTTTCTGTTTTCTTTTGTTTCATTCCATTTCATCTTTCGCCAAAGGGCCATCGCCTTGCATCAACGAGCCACGTTCATGACGCATGTATTTTCTATGGCATGAATGCCCACTTACCCAAGAGTACGAATACTCCGTACGACGTAGCTCGTCAAATGTCGGTGTTATGTCCATCTGATAAGAGAAAAGTCAGGGAGAGCACTTGACGCGCGATGAAATGTATTTTGTAAACTAATGCAGTTGCACATCGACCAACGAAGGTAAGCAAACCGCCAAAATGTACAGGCATAAGCAGAACTCTTCTGTTACAGCACAACAAATGGAAATGACGAACTCTAAGTCACAGCTACTAAGGAGGTATTCTTTACGACAGACTCGGTTTCTGCGGGCAACTCCGCGATTCCCGTTGTGCTCCGTAGTTGGGCAGTCGTGGCACCACGAAATAGAAATACCCCAGCATCAGAAACCGAATGTCAACGACATTTGATGAAGCGATTGCGAGAATGCCTACAGAATAGAACCGACGACTTCTACCTGTCATCCCTAGACAGCGTGTTACGGATTCCGTCTTTGACTGCCTAGTAATTTAGTACGTCTTGGTTTTTTTCTTTTTCCCTCCAGTTCTTCCTATTCGGCTTTCCCCATCTCGCGTGCTGAATGTGAGAAAGCCTGAAGTTGGTCTTGGCGTCAGGCCTGGTCCTCCTCGTGTAAGGTATTTGCTTGTCAATGTGCGACCGTTAAGTACTCCGTAATACTTGTCGACAAACCCTGAAGAGTCTTCGAGGCTGGTTGTTTTGGATGCGGACTGGGGTTTCCACGCATTGAAATTGGAGGGCACCCTAGTCCCAAGTTTTCACTCAGTCCTTCATCCATATTGCACTGTTTTAAAACGCCTGCTACGTGGCGCAGCGCAAACTGCCCCAGAAGATGCTCAATGTTGACCAGACCGGGGACAGACCCTGAGCAATCTTGCGCGACTTTACGGAGCATCACCCTTGGTTGGATGCCGTCCATGAGCTGCGACGAACGACGTATTCTGTACACATACTCCGTATTCGTCGGATATATCCTGGCCTCCACAGTGCTTGAACATAGCTTCCGCAAGGTAAAAACTTGGCGCACTCCATTGGCGTCAAAAAGAAGCGACGGCCTTGCGAATGCAACTCAGGCGTGTGCCACATAAACATGTGCTCCGCAGTGTGCATAATGTGAGCATCTTTCACCGGAGCCGTGATGTATGCTCTATATCAGCCTGGCAGGTATGTTGTATGACATACGTAGACGCCCAAAAGAGGGATCATAGCGAGCTGTGGGCGATCGTATCTTTTAGGTTCATCCTGGGCAGCCACATGTTTGCTCCTCCATTCTTGGAAATGATTGGCGTGTGTCTCCCTTCGTTTGGCTTCTAACGTTTCTTCAGGCACGCCGTGGTAAAAGGACCCTGCAGAGACGCAGTAGTGGGACTGGTCTAGCGCTGGTGGTCGAAAAGCGGTCGTCGGTGGATCTTCAACACAAGCATCCTCAAACAAGGGTAGCCGCCCTGAACAAAAGCGAGCTGGAGAACAAAAGGAGCTGCGCACCAAAGAGTATCGAGATAGCATAAACCCAGTTGACGAAAGACTCGTCCGCCTATTGCTTCTTTCGCAATCCAGTAACCGGTGTTGAGGCATTTCCATGGGCGACGCTACATGGACGTGTATGATGCCCAAAGGAAAAGAAAATAAACCACAAAAAGTGGATATCAGCGCTCGCTACGAATTATGTGAAGCACTAACGCGAAAAACTTGAGACAAAAAGGACTTCCAAAAGGCCGTCGTTCGCCAGTTTTAGTGCCAACGTCCAAGCAGGGGTAAAAGCTAGAAGAAACATGGAGACTACAAAGAAAGGGGGATACCTGGATACGAACGGTGCGCCAGGGCCGTACTAACATACCAGCCGACCAAGGCAGCCCTGGTTCCTGACGGGGTGGCTGTGGCAGTCCAATCTTCACGCAGTTCCCGGTGTCGATCGTCTGCGGGATGTGATCCTATCGTCTGGACTGACTGGTTGTGCTGGCGGCTGGAGGGCACGCGCAACCGCTCGTAAATAATTTTTTTGGGCATTAATAGTTCGGGTACCAAGGTCGGATTCTCAGTGTCGTGACGACGAGACCGCAAGGGCGCCGAAGATCATTGACCTCTCGGCTTTTTGCACGGAGCACAACAGCCAGAGGTGGGCGGGTGGTGCAGGAGTGGAATGGGCAGACGTGTTGCCACTTGGAAAGCCGTTTTCGTCGCTGAATACTGAACGAAGCTCGACATATTGCACATTTTGCCTCTTTGCGGTCCGATGGCTAGTTCAACTGGAAGACCAAGCCAAGGAGTGACTCTCCAACCTCGCACCTGTTTTCTGCATTATGGAGCGATTCAACGTTTGAACAATTGCCAATCCAGGAAACAGTATTTCCTAGCGGCCTTGGATTCATTGTCTTGCCACATTCTGTGCCTCCAGTCTCTGTCCCTCTGGCTCACTCTCGTCCCTCGTTTTCGTTTGTCTGCTTGCCGCCGCCTGCTCCCTTGACTCTAGAAGGAGGACAACCACTTGCAAACCGGCTTAGCCACCAAAGAGGAACCGTCCTTGCCGCTATGGACCACAGGGGACATCGTCAGATATGCGTGTCGGTCACATTCCGTAGACTCTTTCATCATGAAGGGCATTGGAGGAAGGAGTTTGTAGTGGAGTCGAGACCGTTTTTTTTGTCGTGCCACAGAACAACAGCCCTGGCCCTTCCTCGGTTGCCACTATTCGTAAGAGCGGAACCGGTTCGACACAGCCCACTGTCCTTCGAGTTGGCAATGCAGGCGCCCCTGAATAGTGGATGTTTGTTCCTGAATCGTCCAGTCTCAGTGCACATTGTCAACCACATCATGGCGCATTAAGCTCCTCCCTGTTCCTGAAGGCGACATGGGGACACTAATGCACCATACTTACCTTAATATTCCATACCGGCGTGTTGGTCTCATAGCCTTGAGGGGTAATTACAGAAACGACGGCGTCTGAAGAAAGACGTTTCTCTCTTTGCGCCCTTCCTATTGGGCTCTGTGCTACACCCCTGGTTGGAAGATGCCCAGCCAGGGCAGGGGCGGAAGAAGTATTACTCTCAGGGTTGTTGGCGTACCACGTAGTCGTCTGTTGTAAGATACTTGTACCTCTCCCATCAAAATGGACGATATGAGGGTCACGCTGATGGGGCTTGTTTGAAGAAAGCTTGGATCACGACGAACTGGGTCTCTTTCCTTTTTAAGCCAACTGGGCCCTCCTTCCTTCCCTTTCCTCAGTCCTCCTTCGCTGCTTCCCTTTTCTTCTCACGAAAGTTTGCTCTTTCCCAATTTGTTGTTTTCTCTTCACTCCTTTTTATTCGTAAGCGCTCCTGTGCTTCATACATTTCGTTGTCATTCCTTCCTTTCAGGTCCTTCTTTCCATTCTTTGTTTACTTACGTTCTCCAACTAATTACCTTCTTTCCCCTCACAGCTATCGCATCGCCGCGCACTTTTGCAAGTCACTCCAGCCTCACTTGCGAGATTTTTTTTTAAAGTACTTTATTCCACACGGCTCGTCAGCTATATCTTCATATCTTCTTGCTTTTTACCTTCCTCGGTGCCCTTTTCTCTGGATCCTTCGCCCCGCCCGCCAATATATTCTCTCGAAGCCCTTTTCATACGTATGCGGCTTGCATTCTCGACTCGTTCGATATTAAATTAGTATTCCACGGACGTCTAATAAACAACGACACGTTCTTCGCCGGGAACACCCTCTCGTTTTACCGGGGCCGTCCTCCACACATCCAATTCCCTCCGCCAACATTCCTGGACGCAACCCGATCTTGCTGTTGCTCTCTTCATTTCGCTCGCCCCGTTTGGATTGCACGAGGACTCGGACAAATTGAAAACGCTACCCGTACGGCGGACAGAAACACATTAACGGCACCCCGTCCAACTGAAGCCCAGGACCGGTTTATGCTGCCACGCAACATTCCATTTCACTGCGATTGCGCGTCCTACTAGCAGTCTCGTTTCTTCGTGCATACTGCAAACGACACTATTTTCTCGACACTATTTTCTTGACACAAATCGTTTGCCCTGCTTGCTTCTGCTCTGCCAAGTCGGCAACGCTCTATCGGTCTCTTTTAACCGCTTCTGTCTTGCATACGACTTGCATACGTTTTTATATACGCCGCAAGCTTTTTCACTGCCTTCTTTCCTCTTCTTTTTTTATCTGTCTTCGTCATTGCCTTTTGATACTTTCCACCCTCTGGCCGGTCTCCCCAGTGGCAGCTTGTGTGGGGAGCTTGTATCCTCCACGGCTCGTTTCTCTTCTTGATTCACTTTCTTTCCTCGTCATAACTCTTGTCATTTCATTTTCTTTTGTTTTGTTCTACTCAAAATGCGCTCCCAAAATTCCCTGGTCTTTGTGCTGGCTACCCTTATGGGTATTGCCAAGTCTCAGAGCTTTCCTAACGAGGCCAGCCTCCCCGGATGTGGCGTAAGTTTGTTTGTTTCCAGATATTGCAATGCGTCGTTGTCAGTTCTAACGCATTACAACAGGAAACATGTCTTGATCAGCTTATTGCACAGGCTGGCTCCTTTGGCTGCGCTGCGGACGGAGTCGGTTGTCTCTGCGCAGCTACCAACTTCCAGAATGGTGTCCATGATTGTGTTGTTGGTGCCTGTGCAGCTGACCTCGTGGCCTCGGTTACAAACTATCTCGTTGCCGTTTGCGCAAGTAAGTTAACAGCACCCCATTGAATCCAACTGCGAGGAATCACAGTATACTAACAAGCTACAGCTGCTGCCGTGAATGCTCCAGCTGCCACTTCGACACCAACCACATCTGCGTCAGCCGTCTCACCAACGTCACAGGCTGTAACATCCTCAATACCGCCCACGACACCAGTGTCGTCCACTCCCGCACCTGTCACCAGCAGCTCAGTGGTGACATCGACTCTGCCTACAACAAGTAGCATTCCGAGCAGCACGTCCACTCCGGAGCCAAGTACTTCTACACCGGCTTCCAGCACCAAACCGAGCTCGTCAAGTGATGCACTTGTCGCTACGACTTCAACCCAGCCGACATCCACTTCAGTGCGGCAGACCGCCACCAGCTCTACCACTGGTTCTCCTGCGAGCGTAGGTGATACAGTTTTCTATTTTTTTGCAATGAAGGGGACTGTGGCTTTCCCACTGACATCTGAAGCAGACTACATCCAGCACCAGCAGCTCGACTGCCACTGCCTCGCCCGGTCTGACCGCTGGTGCTAAAGCAGGAATCGGCATCGGTGCCGCCGTTGGTGCTGTGGCTGTTATTGCCGCTGTCGTGGTGTGTGTCATTTCCCGGAAACACCGGAGTCGTAACAATGATCGAAGCCCTTCCCGGTCCCACCTCCAGATCTCGGATCCGATGCCTGGCTCGGGACGCATCTATGCAAATGACGACCGTAGCAACGGTTACGACAACTCTGAGCTGGAGATGAAGTCTCGGCGATACGAAGACATGGTCCCTCGGCACGTACCTAGGAATATGGTTTGAGGGGCGGCTGTTGCACGGCGGATTCCAGCATTTACACACGTCGGCATGACACAGCGAACAAGCTCTTCTTTATTCTCCAAGTAGACAACCTAGCATTGGCTACAGATTACTTTTTCCGTACTTAGTGTCGTACGACGACACTAACAGGTAGTGTACATTGTCATGATAGATGGAAAGAGCGTTGATCGAGAAGCCACCTTGGTTTCCCAACCAACCATACCGAGAGTCGGCCTGGGCACGACACTCGGCACAAGGGATTATTTCTCAATTAGATAGCATTGTTTCAATACCAAATTTTCAAAGCGAAGTCGTAAGAAAACCATCAAGCGGTTGAACAATGATGGACAAGGGTGGAAGACTTCGTGACGTAGCCAATAATTAGAAGACAAAATACAATTATATTTTACAGTGTCTAATTGCTTTTGCTTAATATGACAGGATATGGACAGGTGAGATGGCCGACGGCAGTTCATAAAAGCCCTGGTCATAAAATAATGTTCGCTTTGCCTCGAAACTTGTCGCCAATGTCTACCACGAGTAGTAGGGTCTTTGTGCTGTGACGGGACGGTTGGGTAGGTGAACCCAAGGCGCTTTCTTGGCCTCCTTGGCCAAACGCTCGTCATACTGGCGGATGCGCGTCTTCTCCTCCTTGAGGACGACAGAGAGGACTACAAGGTTGTGTCAGTAAGATTTAAATCCTGTCGGGGATAGCAAAGGGGCAGGAAACGTCAAGAAACATACAGGCTGATGGCGACCATCTTGTGTTGCGGCGGCCACGGGCGCGGTACTCAGTTACGGCCGAGCGCCAAATACCCTTGCCGACCCAGGCCTGGTCAATATACATCCGCGAGGGGTCGGTGATCTCGAGCCACCGGCCGTCCTTGGTCTCGATCTTGATGGCGTTGGGTGAGGACGCTTCTGCGCCCTCACCGTCTGCTTCATTCTGCTTCTGCACACGGCCCAGACCCATACCGCGCTCCACCACGGCCATGTCGCGTGCTTCCTCAAGGTGCCACAACACCTCCTTGGCCATCTTCTTCTTGCTGAAGCGCATCTGCACCAGCGCATCCTCGAGGGTCTTGCCCGAAATTTGCCGGGCCAGGTGCACCAGTTTCTTTGTGCTCGTTGGGATGGGCATCGACTTGTGCAGCAACTGGCGCTCCGTGCGGGCCAGGCGCTCCTCGCGCGTCTCCTGGCCCTTGGGGTCCAGCATGCGTGACACATGACGCACCACCATCTTGCGCTCCCAGCGGACACGGCTGCGCGGGTCCGGGTCGAGGGCGCGCTGCAAGTCAGACTGCAACAGCGACGTACCGATTTCGTTGCGGGCCGCCGAGGTTTTCAAAGGCTTCGAGGCGGTACCGCCGTCCTCGCCCTGCTGTTCTAACTCGCTCGCAAGTAGGGGACTCGCGCTCAGGCCGGGGCTGGTCATGCGGTCCTTGAGCTCCTGGCGGGTTTTGGCCCGACTGAGGTCGCCGGAGAGGCCAGCAGCCACATCGGCAGTGTTGGACGAAGCCGGCTTCTTCTTGCGGCCAAATAGGCCACCCCAGCTAATGGCGCGCGAAGTGGTCGTGTGGAGGGGCCGGCTGGCACCGTTTGACTGTGCGAGAGGTTGCCGTGGTTGTGTGCGTGGCCGCGGCAAGAGGGCAGAATGTGTCGTTGGACCGGCAGTGCATGTTGTCGTCGGTGGCCGGAGACCTATGGGCGCAGTTGCGTTAGAAAAGCTTGGTTCAGGAGTGTAGTTGAGCTTTTTGAAGTAGTAAAACAGCTTACCTGTCGCAAGGACCCTTCTTGAGTGTATGTTGAGCCTCATAGTGGCCGCAATTGCTGTCGCTGCAGTGTAGCAATCCGGGTCACGATGTTACGCATCAACAAAAAGGCTCTGGATGCGCAAACGCTTTCCCCGAGTATAGAAAAAACTGCCACCAGTGTAGATTGCGGGCGTCTGGTTGGCTGGTTGACTCCATATTTTTGGCGGTTGATTTTATTTCCTTAGTCATCAAATTGCCAATGGTTCACGTGATTTTCCGGGTCGCCGCATATTAACCTAGGATGATTCATTTTGCGGGTAAGTTACTTCACTGGCAGCCGTCGCTTGGGGTCTACTGTTTGGCGGGCGCTGAGTGGAGCAAATCATCATCAGGCCATTTGTCGGAGCTTTCGTGGGTTTTCCCTTCCATTCTCTTTTCGCACTTCTAACCCGTTCAGCCAAACGTCCATCACGACAATACCACCCGCACCGCCCAATATCCCCTCTACGCACACGCGATCCGATTTGCTGTCCACTTCGACCGTTTTGCAAACCAAATCGCCGTTCAAAATGGCCATCAAACCGATCACCGGCGTACGTTTGTTCCCATCCAAGGAGGGTTTTTTTTCGCGAAATCTGCCGAGATAGATAGCCCGGTTCCACGCAGAGTGACTCCCGGCAACGACAACGCAGGGCCGTCGGGTGCCAATTAAGGTTGCTCTCTCCAGATAGCGAACCTTGTTGTGCTTCATTGACTACCTGTGGTGAAGAACCAACCTGCTGGGGGCCGGGCAATCGGGATGCAGTAATGCGCAGATAAACTAGAGATTGCGAATTGGACCTTGGGCAGGACCCAAAGGGACCTCATGGAACCCCGTACTAACACGTTGCGCCTTGCACATAGATGCTTCGCCGCACGCTGATCACTGATCTCAGCATCGGCCTCGGCCTCGGCTTCGTTATGGGCAATGTCTTCTGGTACGGCTACCACATGCCGCGCACCAACGCCCGCGACAACTACTACGTCAAGCTCGAAGCTGAGCGCGCCGCCCGGACACAACAGTAAACGCACCATGTCTACCGTGGAGGACGGACGGACAAGCAACTGGAACGAGCGAATGAACGACGGAGAGGCTTCTGCCGGCCTGTGAGGGGCAATGTCGGGCTGAGGACGCAACCGTTCTCCCCTGTATTGTGTCCTTTCCACCGCTGTCTGGCATGCCGTGTATGTGTACATAAACTGGGTCAATGTTGTGTTTTGTCACCTTGGATCCGATTGCTGGGTTGTGGTGAAGCATTGAAGGCGGAAATAGACAAAAAATATCCATAATCAACCAAACTGCTCAGCAAAAGTGTCGGTAATGGTTAAGCGGTGTGATGTAACGATGCCTGCTTTCAATGGCCCACGGCTGTACTACTTACTCATTCAATGAACGTAAAACCGTCAAAACGCCTTGCCCTATGCTTGCATGCACTATGAGTCTGTTATATTATACATTGCTTTCGCGTCAAATGTCCCATCTTCCTCATCCAAACACGCTCAGTGTCTCTGGACGTTTTGGCGGCCCTGCCCCGTTCGACACGGCAAAAGAGCTTGACGCTGGCGAACGTCCTGCAGTAGCCTCTGTGGTTGCATCGGTTGTTATGCTTCCCACCGAGCTGCCCACGCTACCGCGTCGACTTGCTTCGGTGCCTTCCCACGCAGTGGTCTCCACAGTGAATGTCCCGTGCCTATCCTGGCATCTGAAAGTACGTCAGTCATGGGGAAAGGGGCGTTGGAAGCGCATAGAACGGCCACTCAGGTTGCAATATCCTACCTTCGAAACATCCGTTGCATGGGCCAGCATCGTACTGGGCTGTCACGCATCTCTGGGTGCATCACAGAACAGCTATATTGTACCATAGACGACACCAGCGTGCAGTCACGGACGATGTCGATTCCCTGGTGTCGGCTGCCGCGACCGCTGCCTCCATCCGTACCGTCAGACGTACTATGGACAGCATCGGCATTTGTGCGCTGGGCCGATGCAGAGGAGCTCGGCAGCATCTTGCGCTGACGGCCATGAACGTCGAGTTGGACCCGTTCTGCCAGCTCTGCGGCCGGGAATGTGTAGCAGGGCGGCGTCATAACTGTCGACAGGGTTGTGCGTCTCTCCTGGTATATTGTGAGCAGAGCACAACAGATTGATATGAATTCCTGTCGGCCAATTGTGATACGTTTGTTGCTGTGGTGGTGGGTCGATATACGGACAAGCGTTTTGTGAAGTCGAAAAGCCGCCAAAATAAGCTGTGAGAATAGAGGGGCCAATTCCCACCCACGCGCCTAATCCGCAATCTCAGTAATAAAGTCAACCGTACCCACCTCGCTCTTTCTAAACAACACCTTCAATCATCCGGATCGCTTCACCTGTTCTCACCAATTTGGCAAAGGAAATAAAGGAACCACCATGCCAATCAGCTCATGGCCGCCACGGCTGCACCGTCGCCTGCACTGGTAGGTCGCAGGATACTAGGTGAAGTTGAAGAAACAAGCCTCGAAGATGTGTGTTATCATATTGTGCAGTTGTCCAGAAGAAACGGCAGCCATTAACATCCCTCTGCATAGGTGCTGAAGCGCATCCGCGCAGAGTCGGCCGCAAGGGCGCAACACAACACTGCGGCTCGCGGGACAGAAACGTCCACAGGGAAAGCAACTCAGCATGGCTCTACATATTTAGGTCGAACAGTGGCGGGGGCGGGCTCACCTGAGAAGAACAGCCCGGCGGCTTCGTTGCGGCTTCCTAGTTTTCCCATTCCGGCCCTCCAGCAGCTCGTCGCCCGTCACTTCCGCTCTTCACGTGCACCCGAGCTTGTCGTCGGAGGTCATCGGCCGCTGGCTCTTGTTTACCTGCTCGTTGCTACGCTGGTCGCCGCGCCCCTCCGACAAACGGTGGTCGTCGTGGATGTCGAGGCGCGCTTTGATGTGCGCCTGCTGCTGGGCGTACAACCGACAGCGTCAGCAATGTACGGCGCTGACGGTGAAGAGGGTTCCGTCGACGTGTTAGCTTCGCCCGTCATCGACGACGACCTGCAGCACGTTCATGTGTTTCGGGTCGAACCACGGTGGCGTGTTCCGCTAGCCGAGCTGGTGGCTGCGGCAGAACAGCGCGTATTGTACGGAGCACAGCGCCGGCGAGACCGGCCATGGTGGGGAACCATCGTCGTGGGCGGGGCTGGAGGCGGGGGAGTGGCAACCACCGGTGCTTCCAATAGAGCCAGCGACAACACTCTCAGCCATGGCGTGGGTGCAGCGCTTGTTACGGGTGCCTACGGCTGGCTTCGTGTCGACTGCCATGAACCAGATGCTGTTGAGTCTTACAATGAGCGGTATGAGCGGCTGTTGGCACTCTTTAAAGACGTAGACCTGAACAATACCGAACATGACGACGAGGCACCGAATACACTATTGGAGGATGAATCAGGAACACATAGGGTTGAGCCCGTCATTTGGGTTGCACGCTCTCCGTGGGGATGCTTCAGGTTCCAGTTGTCAAAGTCAGCTCGCGGACGAGAAGCCAACGATGATGGGCCGCCCACCTCGGTTGCGACATGATACTTGAATCTCTTGCCTCTTCGAGCTTTTACTTGGGATTTTACGACTTACACACTGTGGATTATGTTATGAAACATGAGCGTTGCGGTATACATTGTGTAATAAATTACGCATTTACATTTATATTCATGACACCAGCTGGCTTGCAAGTTTTATATTTTATATTTACTTTCATTGACTTCAGAGTACAAATTTGAAAATAATATATAACAGTTTCCAAAAGTCTGAATTCAGCAAGCAGAGTAAGAAGATTTAGTCACATCGAAAAGTCAGAATGTGTTTCGAAGTACGATTTGTATTCCCGTGGATTTCAATTCCTAAGGAGCTGGCCCAAGTCTGACTTTCCTGGTTGCATATTGTGCCAAAAGTGTCAGATAAGAAGATGTAAAATGTGCCACGAATGAAATATATGGCCGCGTACAGAGTTCATAACATGGATTATTTCTCTCCTGCCTGGATAACCTTCTCGACGCAATCCCTGGCCCTGAACGAGGCATAGTACTTGGCTAAGCTGGGTACACCCAGCCGACGAAACTCGGCTGCGAGTGTCTCCTGGCTACCAGCGGCAAGCTCCATGCTGTACAACACAGGCCACACAGCATAGTCTGCCACGCAAGGCAACGTGCCGCCGGCGATAAACTCGCCAGTCGCGTCTGTTGTCTTGTCCTCCTTTTGGGAGACATAGCTGTCCCAGACTGTCATCTCGCTCTTTAGTGGTCTCAAAGAAAAGGCCGAAACAGACTCGCCATCCTGAGCTGCCTTGGCCACACTTCTCCACTTGTCTTGGAGTTGCAAAGCCTGTTGCAGCCGCGTGTACTTGCGCGCCGCGTCAAGGTGGAGATGGGCTGATTTGTTCTTATGCGACGTTCCGTATACCGCATCTACGTACAGCAGGATGGCCAAGAGGCCCTGGACTGTCGACCTGTCGCGGTCGTTGTCCACGAGCCGGACTGGAATATCCAGGGACGAAACCGTAGTGGTCGGTGATTCGTCCGAACCAGGTGTTGTGGTGGACGGTGTGTCCTTCTTCTCAGCAACCGTGGCCATACTGCCTCTGGCGTAGCTGATACCAAGCTCGGCCAGCAGCAGCTGGATCGTCATGTTAACAACGGGATCGAAACTGGTAAAAAAGCGTGGCGAGCTGCTCATATGCAGCACGTCAAAGCCCTGACCATAGTGTTTGTCCCAGTCAAACTGGGAACTGTGGTTTTCGATACCAAACGCCTGGAGCATACGGATGGCCTCGTCGGACTGCCCGTTGATGACCGGGCGGGCGTCTTTGCGGGTCTTGCCCACGGCGCCTTGGCCCCAGACCAGTGTCTGGTCGCGGCTTAGGAACGTGCCAATCTGGCGGAACGTCAGGCTGATACGGCCACCATTGTAGGCCAGCTCGGCCGGCGTCTTTTCACGATCGATACGCTTGTCCTGGCGAATGGCGTGCAGCCATTTCATATTTGTCTGCAAGCCCATGCGGCACAGAGAGTTATGTGGTAGCTGGACGCGGCAATTCTGGCGCTTAGCCGAGTCGGGAATGGAGGTGGAGGTTGTAGGCTTGCCGCTCGTCGATTTTTCTTCTTGCTCGGAACCACCTTCAGCCTTGCTATCAACAATGCCGGAGCTCGACGGTTCTGCCTTAAGGGAGGGGTCCTTATCCACTCGCTTTGTGCGGAAGACCATCGTGCGTTCGGCACCGAGGCTCATGTTGCAGACATACGAGTTGGGAACAATGTCCATCGTCTTGTCGCTATGCTCAGAGATGTAGTCGTTCCCGGTGCGGTACAGCTGGATCAAGACATGATTCAGTGGATGCCCCACAATCTTTTCGACCTCGCCCTTGATCTGGAGCACCGTTGGCGTGAAAGCATGCAGTGGCGGAGACTCGTCGGCTGGGTGGCGGTAGATTGGGAAGCTGCCATCCTCGTCGACCTGTCCCTGCACACAAACCAAGCGTGGAACTTCACCGCCCTGGTGCGACATGCGTAGCCACTGTACTTCGTCCTTCAGACGCTCATAGATGCCCTCTTCCAGTGACTGGGAAAGGACATCGTGGTAGATGATCGTGTCGCCAGCACATATGGGCTCGGTTGCAGATGGTTCTTTTGTCGCATCCACCGGCACGAGCTTAGCATCGGTATCGTCCAAGTCGGACTCAGTTTGTGCACGTTCGTCTGACTTGGAGCCGCTCGTGGCGTCCGTTTTGATGGTCTTGCCCGGTGTCTTTGTCGACTCCAAGTCGTTGGACCTGGCAGGGTCTGTAACCGACGATGGCATTACCTTGGCAGGAGAAGACGCCTCAAGACTTGCTGCGGGACGCCCCGCGTTCGTCCCCGCCCCGGCATCGGAGGAGGCATTGGTGGCCATTGTATTTGATGCTCCAGGCGTGGGATTGCGGGGGCGAGTTTCGGTAGCACGACTAGATGACGTTGCAGGAGACTTTCTGACTCGTGGTTGTTCAGGTCGAGAGGGCTGGGCAGAGGCAGCAGAGGTACCGTCTTTTGTTCCCTCTTCAATTCGCTTTTGCAAGGCATTTGCGCTTCGCGTCGATCGTAACCGAGAATATTCTAGAAGTCTCTCGTGCCGTGAAGGAATCGCCAGTTTAAATGAGTCATCCGCGTCGTTATCGTCGCCAGTGTCTTCATCTGGGGTAATTTCGCCAAGGTCGATTGCGAGTGGTTCGATGGCAGCGATGGTTGTCTGCCTTGTGCTAAGCAACTTAGCTTCCGCAGCAGGTGCAGGGGGTGTGCTGGAAGAACCAATGACAGCACCTGCGACCGTCGCGGAGCCAGTACGAGCTGAAGTGTTTGCATCAGTCGTATTCGTCGCATGTTTTATTTGTGGTGCTGTTTTTGATGGTTTCGGTAACACAGCAGTCTTCACTACCACGGCTTGTAGCGGTGGTGACGTCTCCGGCTCATTTTGGGAGACTGCTTTAGCTGCGGGAGACGAACGACTTAGTGTCGAAATCTCATGGGGAGAGGATGCGGACGGGGTACGGGCGTCGGGCTCAACTTCACTGGGCTCTGGCTTTTGACTCTTTGTACGTACGGGTAGACCCCCACTGTTCCCACCACCAACAACCACGGCGGCACCGCCGATGCCACTTCCGCCGACGGCTATGGGCCCGGATGACGCCTGTTTGGCTGACCCCCGCGCCCGGGGCGGTCCATTGCTGGACGCTGTAATGGCGGCGATGGCTGCGGCAAAATCGGTAACCGCTGGCTTCGCATCGGGGGACTGGGCCGCGAACGTCTGGAGGACTTGTTCAGCTGGCAATGTGTCACATCCAGTGAGCTGCACCAAGCTCCTAATGGCGTCGCTGTGGCGGGTTACATCGCGGTAGCCGCAGCAATCTTCGATAATGGTGAGGGTGAGGCCGTGGCGTGCGGCATCCAGAGCCGTGGCGTAAATGCTGACGTTGGTGAGGGCGCCGCAGATGTACAGCTCGGTGACAAAACGCGTGCGAAGGCGCATGAGAAGCTGGGTAGACTCAAAGGCTGAGTAGTGTGACTTGGCAATGACGAGATCCAGGCGGGCGTTCACGGAAGCAGCTACTTGGGGTGCGAGTTCGCTGCCGTGGCTGCCGGGAAGAAGACATTGGCTGCGCTGTTGGTGCTGTCTTTGCTTGTCCTGGGGTGTTGGGCCGCCCGTGCTTAGGAAAGCCTCGAGGTCGGCGTCCGGGTCCCCGACCAGTGGCTCGGGCTCACGCCGGCGGCCTCGTGACGTGCTCTGCCTGGGACCGGCTGTGCTGGAGTTGGCCAATGTGATTATCTGTGCATTTTCGGTTGGACGGTGGGAATCGAACTGGCTGCGAATCCAAAAGACGTCACCGGTTCCAGAGTCGCGAAACGCTTTGGCGACTTTGAGGGCCCGTTCCACGTACCCGACTGGTGCTGACACAGGTAGCGTGCCGCCGGGCGACAGAAATTCATTTTGCAAGTCGAGAACCAAGAGAGCCTTCCTCGTCTGAAAAGCCGGGAAGTTGGCGAGGTCGATGGGTAATGTGGGAGGCATGGAGAAGAGAGTGCAGTGGGCGAACAGGCGTAGCCTATTCGGGGTCAGGGAATATAAAAGAGAGAAAAAAAAAGCCCTGGTACAAGGTATACAGGGGAAATATGAGATGCACAAAACATGCACAAGTCGATAATGTTCACGGCCTCAAGGGGAGGGGAAAGTGTTGCCCGTCGATGCAAGTTGCTGAGATACAAACCGGATGCGCGATGTTGAGATGCGATAAGGAAACAAGTATGACGGGAAATGTTGACCATGAGAATTGGAGATGCTCCGTGGAAAGCCGGACCGGTAGAATATGACAGGCAGAGAGGGAAATGAAGAGAGACACAAGAGGTGCGGGCCGGTCAATGCAGCCGGCCGAAGACTCGAAATTGTGTGTAACACGCACTAGGCGGACGTTTTCGACGAGACGAGAGAGGAGAGAGGCGAGGACAGGCGGGGAGAGGCGAGGAGAGGCTTGGGGGTCCGCCGATGCGGTGACACTACATGCTTGTGCAGCTCTGAGATTGAATGTTGAAGAATGAGGATTGACAGCGGCGAGAAATGAAGGTTCCGTTGTGATGAATGCAGAAGCAGGCACACAGCCAGTTGGGCCGGTGAGAGAGTGTTTTCAAAGCGTCCGACGATATGTTTTGAGATATGGGAAGGGCGGGTCGACAACCGATGTCAAGAGGCACTTGAAAACGAAAATGCCTATGCCAGCCGGGAGAGATGGGAGGACTGCGACGGCAACAGTTGTTCGCCTTGTTCGCGTGTGTACTTGGAGCTTGCCTGCCGGGCTGGCTGTCCCTCCAGTCATCCAAAGAGGTTCAAAGAAAACTGTCAACCATAGGTGGAAAGGGGCAGGTGGGATGCTGGTACCAGAAACGGACCGTCACAAAAAAAGGAGCACGGCACAGCACACAAAAACACAAAACACAAAATACAGACATACGACAAAATAGACACAGCTCTAGTTTGCTGTGTCGTGCTGGCAGTGCTTGTTCTGCCCCTCTCTAAGAACGCCCATTCGGGGTGGCCAATGCCAATGCCAATGCCAATGCCAGCGCCAAGGGGGTGTGATCGACGACGCGGGCAGTAAACGAGGCGGTTGGATTCGAAGTGGAGCCCGGCCCTTGTTTCTGCTTTTTCTCTCGAGATTTTATTTGTGCAGGTGCAGGATGACTTTCATGTAAAAGGCGCTGAAAATTTTTAAAAAATAAATAAAAATAAAAATAAAATAAAAAAATAACACGTCTGTGAGATAATAATGCCACTCCTTTCATCACCTCAAAAATCAAAAGTAATAAAAAGGTGTGCAAGGACGGTTTTGCCTACTCAGAAGAAAGAAATAGATCAGACGGTGTCGGTCGAGAACCTCTGGACACCATTTTCTCGTGCGGCATGTCGGTGACCAGAAATGACCCGCCTTTCCTTCGACTTGCTGAAAATCACACCCTTTCAATATTTTGTATGGAAAGCCTGCTTGATGTCCACGTCTTTATGCACACCTTCCGAATCCTCTGTAAAATAGCACAAATCCTCCAGGCCCGGGGGGGGATGTGTTCGCCACACAGAGTTGGACTCTTCTGTCACATTGCCAAACGTCGTAGGGCACGCACCTCTAACCTAGCCCAATCCCAGACGGGGCATGTCATTCTGGGTGCACTTCGACCGTAGACTTGCCCCCTTCAGTCCGTTTTTATTTTGCATTAGCGTCGATCGAAACATCGAAGCAAACTGTCGGAGAAGCATGAAAAGAGCCGGACAACATCGGCAACTGCATAGAGTAAAACAATAGGCAAATGGAAAAATCAGATGCATCTCACCTTGCAGGTCTGGGCTTTGGGCTTTTTGTCGTTCTTTGCTCCTCTCCTTGTTGAGACGCCTAAAAAATCAGTGCATCGTGCTTCTACGTTCGCGAGATCTGAGATCGGTTTGTCTGTTCCTGCACGTGTCTGCGTTTCGACATTCCATATACCATTTCCTTGATAAGGCTTGACGCAGAAACACGACGAGGACCCCTATATGGTGTAGGTCGTTGTCAACGCATGTAAAAAATATGCAAAATGGGCGGAGACGCCTGTCATGGGTGCCTAATTGCACGAAAGAACGCATATTGCAGACGTGCCGTCTCCTTTGCCTTGGCCCCTCCTTTTTTTTTTTGCAACTACGATCTCTTCCCATCTATGTATTCCGTCCTTTTTTGACTGGCCTCTTCATTCCTGTTTTTAGAGGGACTGGCTGGCTGTGTTACTCGACCTCGAAACTGCTACCTGCGACGACGCGACGTGTAACCCTAGAAAATACCCTTTCAGCTTCCGGGGTCATGATGCCCCGCTCTTTTTCTCTCTCAACGGGTGACAGTCTCCACTTTTGATCCTTGCCCCGCGAGAGTTATCCACCCAGCCATCCCACCATCCTCATTGAGAGGAGCTGTTTTCGATCAGCTTGTGGACGACGGCTTCCTTTCTTTAGGGCCCTTGGCAGGTCTTTTGTTCTATTAACTTGTGCCACGAGGGAGCATTAGCACATTGACACTGCACTTACACGCTGACCGGCTGGTAGATATGTGGCATAACTTGAGAGAGAGAAGAGGATAGCACCAAACAGAAAGATGTTTGGACTAAACTGGACATATTTTTAGGGCTTCTTTTGTTGTTCTTTAGCTTTGCATCTGTTGGCGGCGAGGATGCAGAAGCAGCTGGGCTGAGCAAGGACAATAAAAAGGTAAAGCGGCTGTTAGCAGTGTTGTTGGTTCCGGAAGGATACTTTCGACGACATATCACCAAAGTGGCACGAGATGCATGACGAGGCCGTTTTGAAGTGACTGGAGGGGTGGAATATTGTGAGTCGAGGATGGAAGAATACCAGCATAGACTTGAAAAGTAGACAGGGGACTTCATTGTGACCTTCTCAGAGGGCACGATCCATTCTGCTGATGACACGAATATTCTCTTTAATACCACTCAACAAGGAAGCAAAAGACGCAACACCTTCCGAGAAGAGACCGACAACGGGTGGGCAACTTGGAAGGACGAGATGACATGATGGTAGGAAGCAAGCTCCCTGTATAAACATGAGATTTTCAAAAAAACAAAAATGCCCGTGAAAGATATTGTGTATGCAGGTCGGGACGTTGTGGCACGTAGATTGAGTTGGGCGGCCACAAGATCATCGCGTGTGTGCCCACCGCCTCTCCAGTATAGGCTGCTTCCCGTTGGAAGGCGAGGACGATTTCTATTCCAATCTTTGTAACCACAGCGTCTAGAAAGTATTGCAAGAATAGCCGATGCAAATTTGCTTCAAAGATGCCAGCGGCGCTTAGGCCGAACCGAAAATCAGAAGAGCTAAGACGAATTACAAAAACAGTGCGACAACTACTCGCAAGAACGTTTACGCTTGGGACAGCTGTTCCGTTCTCCCCGGAATGGACCAAAATTACGCCCCGTTGTCTAGACTTTTCAGTCGGCCTCAGATGCTCCGTGCGTCCCTCAGTGTTGGCAATGCGTGCTGTGATATTTGGGGCACGGACAATGAGCCGTTGCAGTACCTTAGCTTAAGGGACTTTTTGCCTCCTGCAGTAAAGATTGTCGCCCTTTGCGAACAGCAGGTAATACATTCGTGCTTATTTATGATGTGATAGCAGGAGACGTGATAGAATGTCCAACTATAGACTTATGGAAAGTTGGAGCCTAGAAACTTTGGCCAAGACCAGCCATTTCCGAGATTATTCAGGTGTGTAATTTTTGAATATCCTTCCTCAAACGGTATTAGTCTCAATACGGTACGGAGAGTTTTCGAAATGCCCTGTCTTGAACTCGTACAAAGTGTGTGACGCTCGTGACAGAGGCCGGCCTGGTTGTATTTCTACTCTCTGCGACCATGGAAGGATTGACTTCCCTACCTCGGTGAAATGGGCAAAAGAAAAACCCAGACCACTTTTCGGCACTCGTGCCTTCGAATCCTACTGTGGTAGATACATTCATCAAAGAGCATTTATTGTTCACGCGCATTTTCTACTCTGTACCGCGTCAGCTACAGACACATGGCTTTTTAAGATGACTGCCGGCCGGGAGGCCTGGCGAGAGACCTGCCTCGGTCTTTTTCTGTGACGAGTTGCGTATGGCACCTGTATGAGGTTGGTTAACGCAACTGCAAATTTCTAACCCTGGCGTCTATTGTGCATCCTAGAATTTTATCTAATCCGTACTTGCAAGGCCTCTCTGTTTCCGGCCTCCACTATATGGTTTCTATATGAAGCATATGCTTTCTTTTAATTTTCTCTGACTGAAATCGCTGAAACTAGCCGGCGACTACAGAATGGCAAAAACGTAGTTTCGTAAGACCTAGCCGGAACGTGAAGTTGTATGATACAGTAAGAACTGTACGCCTTGACTCGTTTGTTGTTTTACCTCGCCTTTGTTGGGCCAATCCCCTGCTATGCCGCTGCCTGGACAGCGGCAAGCTCCTCGACAAGTGTCGAAAAGACGGGCCGGTCTGTAACGGCCGGGACAACGCACCGCGCGTGCAGTCGGAGGAGCCCGTGCCGCACTGACGACGAACCGTCTTCACTCATCAGGCCCAGCACATCCTCGACAAGGTGTGCAAATGCCAGCACCTCGAGCTTCTCCAGGCCGGCAAGGTCATTGACTTCGCTCTCACCCTGGCTATTGCCACTCCCATAGAGCGTCGCGGCGCCGAAATCGCTGAGGATGGCATGTGTAGTGTCCTTGTCTTCCTTGCCGGTGCCAGAGCCGCCCCGCGCCACTAGGATGTTGTGTGCGTACAGGTCACCATGTGCGATGCCGCGAGCGTGCAAGTGCGCCGCCGCAGACGCCACGCCCGAAAGAATGGCCAGGGCAGCTGACACGGGTAGCTTCTTGCTGCCGGTTGCGGCATCGGTGTCGAAGCAGTCCCGCGTGCACGAGTCAAACGATGGTGGCTGGCCCAACACGCGGTATTGTGGCGGAATGAGCTCCATGATGAGACCGCCACGGAATGCTGGCGGCGTACTACTAGTACTTGCTCCCTCGTTTCCCGCTTCGTCCGCGTCCTCGCCCCAACGGATCTGCCCGTGTACCTGCACCAAGTTGACGTGCTGGCCAGCCGCCAGACACGCAGCCATCTCGTCGTAGGGAGTGCCGTCGCTCGTGAGCGCACCGCGGAAGATCTTGACAGCCACTGGGGTCGAGGGCGACAGCGGCAGAGCGTGTCGCGTGGAGGTCGGAGTGGACATTGAAGACACAGCCGACACAGCCGACACAGCCGACAGAGCCGAAAGAGACGAAGACGTTGAGAAGACAGAAGCTCCCGAGACCGACAGGGCAGGCGTTGACGTTCCAGACAGCGACGGAGTGTTGAAGCCAGATGGCCCCCGGCTGTTTAGTGTGCTGCTGGGCCCACGGCTGTTGTTACTGCTGGTGTTGCCTTCATTACTCCGAATGGTGCCCTTGGAGATAATGCCGCTCGCACCCTCACCCAAAACATGGTGGATTTCGATCTGGTTCCAGTCCACGTGAGGAAGGGAAGACGCCGTCGACGAAGAGCGCGCCGCGGCAGCATTGGTCTTCGTCGGTGAGCTGGCCGAGCACGGATTACCCGCGAACGACAAGAACGCCAGCCTGGGCATTGTGAGGAGCCACATTGGCAGCGCAGTCAGCTTGTTGGCGGCCAGTCGGAGCAATGTGAGGTTGCGGCAGTTGGCCATGGCGTCGGGCAGGCCTGTCAGACAGTTGCCTGCCAGCATGCACTTTTCTAGGCGCGCACAACGGCCAATGCTGGATGGGATGTGTGTTAAGCTGTTGTCGGTCAAGATGAGCCACCGCAGTTGGGGCGGCAGGGCCACATCGTCCAGGGTATCGCCCTCAAAACCTTCCATGCCGTTCTTGCGGAAGGCGACCATCTCGAGGCGCGGGCAACCAGCCAATGCGCTCGGGAAACGTTTGAACTTGCAGCCGCTGAAAAAAGCGATGCGCAGACGTGGTAGGCGTGCGCCCAGGTCGTCGGGGAGCGCCGACAGGCCCGTTCCAGAGAGGTCTAGGATCTCAAGCGTGGCAGCAAGGCTGGCGTCGAAGATCTCAGGTGGAAACGAATCGAGTGGCTCCGTGAGCTTTAGCTTGGTGAGGCCAGCGTCACAGTAGCCCCCGGCCCGGAGGGTCGCAAGGTCGTGCATGGTCAGCGAGGGCCGGTGAACGGCGGTGGGTGCCAGAGGAGGGCGAGAGAGAGGCAGGGAGAGGCTTCGTCGGGAATGTGAGTGAATTGAAATCTAGGCAGTACGACGACGGTGATGCGAGGAAAAGAGCAGAAAAGAACGTAAAAAGACGAGACGCAAGATGTCAGCTTCGAGAGCCGGGGGAGAGAACTGACGCCATATCGATGCGGTGAGAAAGGAAGAACGACAGGACCTCCTTCTCATTATCTCACGCCTTCATTCTTCGTGTTTTCGTTTTTTTTATCGCCGCCTCGCAGGGATACAACCATCGGCACCCACAAGGATAAGCTGGCGGACCCACGTGGGCTCCGGCAGTGTAGCCGTCTCACTAATAAAAGCCCAGGGCAAGAGGCTGCACATTGGATGGGAAACAAGAATACGAGATCTTCGCCAAATCAATGCCCTCGAGTCTGCAAGACCAAAGTATTTCAATACGAAGAATCACGAGTAAAACCTCAGCTTTTGTTCCTGGACTACTAGACGAATCAGTTAGAGCCATTACAACGCTACACCACTAAAGTGGTCTTAAATCGACTCCTCCCTTCCTTTGCGGCCAGTAACACAAATACCAACACGGTAGTTGGCCTCCAGTCTTGGCATAGATGACTGTCGACTATTGCAGATTGTTTGCGAATCGAAAGCTATTAATATGGTTTGGTATTTCCATGGTAATTTTGTGGCCACTACATTTAGATCAACAAACTATCTGTGTATATTGTAAACAGTAATTTTTTTTCATATGCTCATCGAGGGAATAGATAATCTCCTCGCTTTATGGGGTAACGGGCATGAATTGAAAAGATTCCCCTGGCAGCCCTTTCAATCCTCGTCTTCCACGTCGCCCTCTAGCCAGATTTCGTGTCCATCGCCCTCGCGGACAAACATGCTGGCTATGAGGCCAATGATTGCCACCGAGCTCAACCCCCAGAACACCGCTCCAACTAAGCCGTGATTCAAACCGAGGCCGTAAAGATAACCGCTTAATATAGGGCCAACTGTACGTGCTAGAGAGCTTGTACTCTGTGCGAGGCCGTGAAGACTTCCGAGGACGGAAGGGTGAGGGGTGCAGTTGTTAACTAGTATCGTCTGTGCCGGCAATGCAAAGGTGCGGCCCGTGACATGGCATAGAAGCACCAGTGCAATTGCAACCCAGATTGCCGCACCGTCCTTGGCATGCGGTGGTGCTGACAGGCTCGGCACGAGACTGAGAAACGGAACAATAAAGTATGTAACTGGGAAACAGCACAAGAAGATGCGCCACGACCTCACGACACCGAGGCGAGCGGACACGGAGGGATACAGCAAGAGCTGCATGGCAATACCGAAGCACCCCAGAATAGCCATGGCCATGCCTACTTCGCGGGGAGGCATGCCGATGCCACCTGTGAACACAAATGGCAGATTTTGGGTGAGGTAATGAGTAGCTTTGGCCGCCGATGACTTTGGAGCCGGTGCCTGAGCGGGATCATACACGGGCGTCGACAAAAACACGAACCACAGCGAATTGAACGAGCCCATGTGGAAAGCAAAGATGGACTGTGCCAGTAGCGTCAGAATCACATTCTTTGTGAATATCCGGCGGAACGGCAGTCGTTGCGAGTAGCGTGTCCTTGACCGCTTCGATTTCTGTGATGACTTGGCGGCAGCCGACGTAGAAGCCTCCTCCTCAGTCGGTACAACTGGCGTAACAGGATCCATTTCGACACTGACGGTGCTAGCATCACTGACGTTGCGGGAGTGGGTTGCGAGGGGTGTGTACGCGATCGAATCGGGTGAGCGACGGAATAGCAAGACAATCTTGCGCCGCAGCTCAATGCCGAGGTCGCGTGTGCCTCTTCTCGAATCAAGTGTTTCTTCTAGCCCCAGCCAGACGCCCAGAAGCGCCGAGAGTAGAATAACCGCACTGAGGAGGTTGGGCGCCGCATACGGGAAGCGGAGGAAGAATGCATTATCGCCAAACTGATTGGGATAACTATGAGCCGGATCGGAGAGGACGCCACCCAATATGGGACCGATGATGACACCGATGTTGAACGTCATGGGTAGAATTAGGAATGCACGGGATTGGTACCTGCAAGGTCAGTGAATAAATCCAAATCCGCGTTGACAAATCTCGACGAATAGGTGGTACGCACTTCTTCTCCCGAATTATCTCGCTGATCCTATTTTTATCAACAAATGTTAGCGAGGCTCGTGGGAGCATCATGTAGGCAAGAGAAACCGGAAGGCATACATTGTGCGGAGGACTCCAACGTTTCCGTTGGTGGCGCCCCCTAACGACCGAAAGAAAAGTGCTTGCCAGAAGCTCTGTGAGAAGCCAAAGCCAAGACAGGAGAGCACTGGGTAAATGTGTTAGCCAAAGGGCTCTCAAGCTTCGGTTGAAAAAAAAAAAAAAAAAAAAAACGAAGACCATACGTACTGGTCCCTGCTAAGCCGATCATTAACACCTTCTTGCGGCCAAACAGGTGCGAGTCGGCCAGCCGGCCCCAAACCATGGCTGTTAAGAATTGGGCGGCCGTAAAGCTGGCATGAAGAATTCCAGATTGGCTTGCAATGACCGAAGGAGGTAAATCAGGCCGGAACGATTGGAGCTGGTAGAACATGTAGGACTGAACATGTTAGGTTTCGTGGATCTGATGAGGGTTCTATTACGGACGGAGTCGTATCTACCTGAAGAGATGTTTGCACAAGAGGTTCGCTCAGCCGTGCGAGAGTGAGGACGGTCAACTGGCCCTTCTCGGGTAAGTCCCGCCACCGGACGGTCTCCTGCTTTGTGGACTTCTCGTTTTTAGACTTTCTTTTGACTGTCTTGCCCCTATTTCTGGCTGGTGTACTTTTCCCACTGCCATTATCGTCGTCCGTGTCGGAAGCCGATGTAGGCGAACGAGGGCCTCCGGTTGCCAGCAGCCTTGGATTCGCGCTACTGTCGCCAGCATCATAGTTGCCATCACCATTTTCTAGGTCGACGTTGTGGTGATCGACTTGCAGCGTTTCATCGTCGCTGTCCATATCGGAGCTGACATCTTTGCCTTTGTCGCCCCGCACCGGTGCCGGTGCCGGTGTCGGGGCGGTCGTCAGAACTCCACCGGCAACGGCATTCCCATTGCGGCTCGTATGCTGGCCATCGTAGCGAGCGTCGATACCCTTCATTTACCTGTGCACAAATGGAAACTGCCTCGTTTGAGAGACGAAACAGTGGAACAGAGATTGTAATTTATCTCAGTACAGCGGGCCCGGGTAAAGAGGCGTCCGTACTAAATATTGCGGTGCGTAAGTAATACAACTCGTGTGTTGGCGGTATTAATATTTGCTCAAGCTGGGCGGCCAAAAAAGGTAACCGGGTACCTGGGCTAGTATTACCCAGGGTTATCGAGGCGATCGAGTATATGGTACTTATGGAATGTGTCTGAATATCATTTATGACTTGGGATGATGTTTACGGGAGCAAGTCAAGCGACAACGCGGAAAAAAAAAAAAGAGGCTGGCGGCGTATGACAAGACGTACGAAACAAAAGATGGGATAAAATATTGGGAGAAGAAAAAACGGGAAAGAGATCTTCGAAGGCCAAAAGATTGGCCGGAGAGATCCAAAACACGACTGGGAGGCATGAGCGATTCGGCTCCGACGGCAACGTAGCGGCATGCCGACAGTGATGAAGGCGAAATGGTGGGAGAAAAAAAAAGTGTGTCAAAAAGAATGGGGACGACGGCTGCCGGTGCAAGTGTCAGGCCCTGTCCTATGAACGAAGTACACAGAACGTCGAGCATCTCTGACATAGAACTCGGCCCTGGCCCAAACAGAAGCCTTTATTTTGCAATTGCCCACCTCTAACGCCAACGCCCATAATAAACAGCCGAATGTTTCAAAGGTCGAACAGAGTAACAGAGCTGTCGAGAAAGCCTGAGCGCTGTGAGACGTTGTGTTTGGCAGGGTGTCATCACGTCCCTCACTTCTCCTGCGGAGTCCATGTAACCCCACGCCACCCATGCAGTCGAGTCGTGTGTCAAGGCCTCAATGGCAAGTGATCGAGGCCGAGAACTTCCCTATTTATGTACCCTTCTTCGTGGGTGTGCTGATAGAGCGACGTTCCCGCCACATGTAATTTTTTTGATACGGCGCACCTTCCTCGTTCATGGCCCGTCCTCTTTTGCTACTCTCCTTTTTGGTCGCGAGCCTTATTGCTGCTTTTGTGGCTATTGTTTCTTTGCCGTTCCAATGTGACGATTCAGTGACTGAAATTCTGAGAGTTGACCCCCACCACGGAAATTGTGCGTGCATTGCATCGCAAGAAACAGAGCGGGGTGCGCTTGCCGTGTGCCGATTCATGGGTGGACTGGAACACAAGGAAGCGGTAAGAGGCGGGAATGTGCTATCGGCATTCCGCCATGCGCCACGATAAACCAAGAAAAGTAGTGTGCCTCACTTCCGCCCCAGGAAGGAACGTCCTGTACGAAGTATTGCAAGAAAGCATAAATATCCTCAGTTGCTGGAGAATGAGATGCCTTCTAATCTAGCCACAACAAAGGGAGGCTACAAAGACAGCATCCAAGTCCCTTTACTTCTTCTCTTCAACCTTTCCAAAATCTTCTTCCTCTAACCGCTGTTACTAGTTTGGCTTCGCTGTGCGTGCGCCCAACCCACGTTCCTTCTGCCGCTTCGTGCGCCACAGGTAGTACTCGCCCGCCGTTGTGACCGGGTACTTGTGCGGGTTCGAGTCGCTGACACACGATGGGATGGGTGTCATGACCGTGACACGATTGAATCCGAAGAAAAATGGGCACGAGTAGCGTGCCTTGCGGCCTGTGTTGATGACGCGGTGCACTGTGCTCACAAAGGTGTCGTTGGTCTGGCGCATGAAGCAGTCGGCAATGTTGACGACGAACGAGTCCGCCACCGGCCGCACCTTGACCCACTGTCCGTCCTTGCGCAACACCTCCAGGCCGTCACAGTCCTGCGTGATCATGGTGAAGTGCTCGACGTCCGTATGAGCGCCGATGCCATTTTGGTCGTCGCGGGACGCCTGCTGGATGGGATAGTGTAGGATGCGCATCGATGCCTCGGGCGTCTTGACATAGTCATCAAATGCCGTCTCGGGCAGCTGCAATGCCAAGGCAAACATGCGCGTCATGCGACGAGCAAGTCCGACCAAGGCCGCTTGATACGTTGCGAGTGTCTTTCGAAATTCAGGCAAGTCTCCCGGCCAGAGATTGGAAACGGGTGGCGGCATCGAGCCGTCTTCGGTTGCACTGGCATCCTCCTCAAAATTCCAGTTATACGCCTCATACAGATCTGTGATGGATTAGCAGCTGCCTTGCAAAGTACTTTCAAGAGCGTGATCTTTTTCATCTTGGAGGCAGGCTGCCCTTACCCTGATACTTTTTGTCGTTGGCATTATACTCATGCATTGGGTGGTAGCCAATGTATTCATTGGGCATAAGGCCTGTGTACACTTGCATCTTCTTTTCCGTCTCCTGACCGAAGAACTCCCTCGCCTGCTTGAAAACCGCTTTGGCAAGTGCCATGTCGACCCCCTTTGCGAGGTATTAGTGAGAACAAGAACAGAAATAAGAAACAAGGTGAGGGAAACAAGACGTGCAAAGACGATACGGTTCGGAATCGAGACAAAACATACGTGGTTCGCAATGGTCAAGAAGCCCACATTGCGCGCCGCATGGCCAATTTCTTTCGCAAGAGCTTGTCGTTCAGAGAGGTCTGAGCTGTACATGCGGGAGACATCGATCACTGGCACGTAGTCGGCTTCGATGGCGTCGTTTGAGATAAACTCGACCACCTTGCCATTTACCAGCTCAAGTGAGCGAAGCTTTGTGGCCGGGGTCGGGACTGTTGAGGTTGTGGCTGTAGTTGTGGCTGTAACCATGACTGCCCTTTTTCTTTTCCAAGATGAAACGGAAAGTCAAATCTACTGAACCGGTTGCCCAAAACCACGATAGGAAGCATGTCTTTGAATTATATACCTAATAACTGATTTGGTATTTCGCTGTGACGCCTTACATCTGGCGGTCCCTGAGGATGTTTGTCTATCGTCGGCGGTTGAATTCGAATCAATTTACCAGGCTCGAGAAGTGCAGGATGCACCAAGACTACAACTCCAAACAAGATTGGTCACGCCTCCAAAGGGCACAAAATCTCTTACGGCAACCAAATCCATTGGACAATTCTGCCGCCTTATCGGAAGAAGATACTGTCAGCCTTGCGAATTTGACTTGGTCTTATTCACTATAGGTGGGTGAATTTGTAACGTCCAACTCGTCTTTTCGACATTTTTCGCCGTAATTTTGCCGCTGATAAGGAATGGTTAGCAAGGTCGGATCCATCATTGAGTTGATGTTCTTTATCTTGGTGGTTGGGCTTGTCACCTAACAACAAACCTCATGGCGCCAGGTCCCTTTATCAGGAACGCTTGGTTGGCGCCCTTGAACTGGTGTTATCTGATTCGCCAGAAGCGGCTAAACAGCATGAATTCGGTCATTGTTCTTGACGACCCCGGCATCAGCCACGACTCACAGGCTCTAGCCCACCGATAGGAGTCCCAAGACTGGAGAAGAAGAACCGGGGAGACAAAACTGCTCGAACTGGGCATGTCATTTCTCGGCATCTGAGCTGCAAGCGCGCACTTCATGTTATAAAAGCTGCAGGGCATCCAGCCAGTTGCCCATGCCGATCAGCATGCCGCAAAACATTTGTCAAGGCAATTCTTCTCGACACCTCACGCGTCAGATTAGGACACGACCGCGGCCATGGACTTCTTGAAGCGACTTCAAGTCGACGTCCGAGAGGACGGCCAAGTCGGCCTGTCCAATGAAGACACTAAGCCACTACCACCGAGTCGGAGAACATATGGCCCTTGGTCGTTTGTTATTCTGTGGGTCATAACGGGTTCGCTTTTTCTGAGCGTCATTTTTGTCGTTATTTTTGTAACGTTTTCATGGAAACCATTTTTCTAACATTAACAGGCTCGTTTAATATTGGCGGCTGGACCACGGGGTCCTCTCTCATTGCCTACGGCCTCAATGTGTGGCAGTGCATGATCACCGTGATCGTAGGCAATCTCATCGTTGGTGTCATGTGTGTTCTCAGCGGCGCGCCTGGCGCAAAGTGGCACATTGGTTTTCCGATCATCCAACGCTCGGCCTGGGGCACTCGTGGTTTTGTTTTCGTCATTATTCAGCGCTTCTTCCTGTCTTGCATCTGGTACTCGACACAGGTCTACTGGGGCGCCGAGTGCCTCAAGACATTCTTGACCGCGCTGTGGCCGTCGTACCAGTCGCTCAACAAGTCCTTAGCCGGTGGCACAATGACGACGGGCGACTTTCTTGCCTTTGTCCTCTTCACCATCTTCTACTTGCCGCTCGTCTTCATCAAGCCCGAGCACTACCGCATCCCCTTTCTCTTCTGCTGCGCCTGCATCATCCCGACTGTGCTCGCCCTGCTCATTTGGTTCGTCTCAACGGCCCACGGCGGTGGTGAGCTGCTGCACGATGTCGCTGCTGCGGGCGTGACTCAGGCGCACGGTTCCCACCTCGCATGGATGTTCGTCCTAGGTATTTGCACCAACATCAGCACCATCAGCGTGCACATCTTTGTGCAGTCTGACTACACCCGCTTTGCACGCAAGCCTCGCGACCAGGTCCTGGCCCAGCTCGTCATGGTGCCGCTGGGTACAATTGTCGTCGCCCTCACTGGCATCGTGTGCACCTCGTGCGCCGCCAAGATCTTCCCCGAGACAAGTGGCACTCTACTGTGGCAGCCGTACGAGCTGCTGACACGTCTACAGCTGCACTACAACAACTCGTCCCGATCGCGAGTGGCCGTCGCCTTTTCCAGCCTGGCATTTATGCTGGCCCAGTTCGGCCAAGTCGTCGCCAACAATGGCGTCTCCGGCGGTATGGATCTGTCGGCGTTGTTGCCCCGCTACTTTACCATGCGCCGCGGTATGTTGGCGCTGACGTGCATCTCGTTCATTGTGCAGCCTTGGCAGTTGATGAACGGTGCCAGCAGCTTCTTGACGGTCCTTGGCGGATACGGTGTCTTCTTGGGCCCTATGACGGGCGTCATGTTCTGCGACTACTTTATCGTCCGCAAGCGCGTCTACAAGTTGTCGGACCTGTATCGCACAAGGTCTGACAGCATCTACCATTTCAGCCACGGCGTGAACTGGCGCGCGTTTGTGGCGTGGATTATGGGCGTCTGGATCACTCTGCCTGGTTTTGCGCGCATGGTCCATGGCGGCCCACCGCTGGACGGCTGGTCCAACATGAACTACTTCAGCTGGCCGTTGGGCACACTCATCTCGATGATGGCGTTTTACATCATGAACTGGCTGCAGCCTGTTCCTGGTTTGGGCCAAGTTGATGATGAAGACTACTTCGGCGTCGACGGTCCACTGACCGCTGTGATTGAGAGCCAGGAATCAGACAGCGGCAACGAGAACATTGATAGCGGCCGCTTCGACACAAAGGTGTAGACACTGTTTTACTGACAAGAGAAAATTTTACTTTTTACCAAGAAGATTCAGCAACAAAATTGCCCGTCTTTGGCTTATGTTTGTTATAACATACATTAAACTTTTGTTTCCCACATCATGAACGTAATTTTTTGGACTCTCTATTAAATACCGTCCTATGACCAATCGATAAGGCAGGGTTGACAAAGACTAAAAAGGAAAGATACTAGGTGTGCACCGACGTTTTAGATTCTAGAATTACTTGCAGTTCTTATCGCAGATGTTATTTATTGGGCGCCTTAGACCAGGCCGAAGACAGCCTAAGATTGATCTTATTTAATGTCCCATTGCATATGTCATACTTCTATATAACGCCTCCCCCAGGTAGTTTCTGAGTTTGGAGGTCTGTTATTAACTTCTTTGGCCCAGGTAGTGTAATTTTATTCCTACCAAAACGCAAGCTACGGACACTATGAGCACCTCGCGAGACAAATCAAAACGAAGTGTGGGACGACGGAGTACCAAAGCGTGTGATACCTGCCACCTGAGAGGGCGAAAATGTCAGGTCGACCGAGAGCCGGCGTTTTGCTTGTTCTGCCGCCATAACGGCCTAGCCTGTACATGGAACCGGGTGCCTGCCAAACGAGGACCGAAACCAAGGAACAGCAAAAGTGACGAAAAGAGGCCTTGTAACTCGGCAACAAATGACCATCCTAGGACCGCATGGGTTCTCGACGAAGTAGTACACGGGTCTAGAGCAACCTTGACGACATTGATCCGCTCATACTTTGATTTTGTTTATCCTATGTATGTTTGCTATCTCTGGCTCCAAACTGCTTAGAAAAAACTCACATTCTGATAGCAGCAACGACAGATCGAATTATGTTCACGAACAGACATTTATGGAGCGGTGGACAAGCCAGCAGATGCCAAGCTCGAAGGCGTCGTATGGTTTACTCATGGCCATGTGTTCTCTGGCCGCGTACCGCATTCAAAAGGGAATCGCACCGGCTGCGGTCGGGTTTGCTCGCCATCTGAAACCGCAAGTGTATCTGCAGGAGGCCATGTCATCCGTCGACTTATCACTTGCTGTGCAGAAGCAGACAGAAGAGCTCCAGGCAGTGGCTCTTTTGTGCGTGACGGGCCTCGAGAAGGGTGATGCAGCCTTGCTACAGCAATATCTTGGACTCTACCACGCGACTGTGGCCAACCAGAGCTTGTATGACGAGAATAGGTGGCCGCCCAGCATGCACGATATGGAAAAGGAGCAGCGGAGACGATTGTACTGGTACATGTACCGTCTCGAAGTTCACACGGCTCTTGTCATGGGCCATCCTGTCCGCTGCCCCGAGCTCGAATCGCTAGTCGCCTATCCCCAGATTCCCGACTTTGACCGTTTCGGTGGCAATTACGGTGATGGAACTGAAGCAATAAACGACAACGGCGAGGTGGAGTGGCTTACTGGGTGGAACTTTGTTACGGACTTATACCGGGGCCTAGAGCATCTATTGGCCAAGTTCCGGCCCCGGCGGCTCTCCACGCACCATAGCCGAATTGGCCCCGGCTCGACCTTGCCGACGATGTTCCTCATCGACTTCGACCCCGAATCCAAGATTCTAATGCCACTCAAAGCTGCATTAAATAAACTGCCTATTCGTTTCAAGCACGCTCAACCGCTGTCATCCAATGTATCTCTGAATCGGTGCGGATTCCAGGCCACAAACATCGTTTGCACGTATCAGGTTTGTTCTGAAGCAGAGTTTATGTGCGGTCCTTTGAAATCAGTGTCTTAAGCTAACAAACCACAGCTGGTCCGTATTATGGTTTATGCGTTCAGCAAAGCAACATTCAGCCAGGCTTGTCGCACCGCTATCGACCTAGTTGAAGACATGGCCTCGATTCCAATGGATTATCTAAAATGGACAACGCTTGCTGCGGTGAGTCAAGTAACGTCATACTTTGCTGGAAAATTAAAAGTACCAGGGAACTAACCATTCTATTTCTTCAACTATAACAGACACAAGAACTCTCAGGCATTGGCCACATTCTGTGCCAGTTCATGCGTCAGGATCTAGTTACAGCGGATTACCATGAGCTGAGAAGTGCCCTGTAAGTAACAGACTGCGACTCCATGCATTCTCATTCCATAGCTAATAGCACTTTAGACTCTGCATCAAGGAATATCTGGAGAGCCTGCAGTCCAGTTTCACGTATGTGCGGCGTGCCAGCATGCGCATGGGAGAGTACGTAGAGGAGATCGACCAGGTGTTGCTCTCGCGAGAGCGAGATGATACCCATCGACAAGGCTCATGCATCCAAAAAGACGATGGAATGAAACAACAGCAGTTATATATGCCGTTTCCGGACCAGGATACTTCTCATGCCTGGCGAGACGTATTCAGGGACTGATGATAACCAGGAGCGGTCGGTCTGCAATTGAGAGTCATGATATTAGCGTTTTTTTTTTTTTTTCTGTTATCCTGTGACGCTTTCCTCATCAAGGTCCTCGTCGGAGAACAATGACACACAGAAGAAGGAAGAAGGGACCAGGAAGGTGCAACGCTCAATCAGAAGATGTGTTGCAAATAGCACCTCCCAGTGTCCCATCAACCTCATGCTAGTTTTCATTGTTGTATGTATTCTTCCTTCCCTGAACGCCTAGAAAAGGGGGTACTAAACTACTGGTCGCAAAAAAAAAAGTGGTATTATCATTTTACCTCCTTTTTCTCTACCAGGGGCTACTTGAACTGATTTCTTTGTCTCAAAACCTTTTCCTGTTCCTGTTGCCGTCCGTACGTTTACGTTTGGTCCCAACAACTCCGGTTCCAAATGTACCAGTCCTTCCCCCAGGATCCCTCGTCTCCTTCGTCACTTTAGGTGACTTAACTTTTCCACTCCCGCTCGGCTCCGACCTACCCGTCCCAAGTTAAAAGCACTTATGCTCTTGACATAACACCCCAGGCGCGGATAATGTTGTCAGTGTAGCCAGCGAACAGGGTCTGGCCGTCGGCGCTCCAGGCCAGGGACACGCACTCAGGCTCGCGGCTCTTCTTGCCGACGGCCTGGAATTCGGGCTTCAGCTCGTCGACCTTGCTCTTCTTCTCCAGGTCGAAGATGATGATGCTGGAAGCAGTGGCAGCGCACAGCCAGTAGCGGTTGGGCGAGAAGACCAGGGCGTGGATCTCGTCACCGGCGTTGAGCGAGTACAGGTGCTTGGACTCGTTCAAGTCCCAAAGCATAGTAGTGCCGTCCTTGCCGCCCGAGGCGCAGAGGGAACCGTCAGGAGAGATGGTGACTGTGTTGATGTAGCCGGTGTGGCCGATGTGGTCCGTCTGCAGCTTGCATGTGGAGAGTTCCCAGACCTAGTAAAGACAAACGCCAACGTCAGTTCAAACGACTCTCCAACAAAAGGTGGGTCTGTGTGCTCCAAAATAAATTCCAGAAAAAAAACCAAGCGAAGCAAAACGCCCAAAAGAACACAATGTTGTTTTGGGTACTACATCAGTGCGGTGATTAGTTTTGTCTCATGGCCGGCCAAAGCCGGCTCTGAAGTAGCAAATACTTTAAAAATAAAGGTGCAAAACATCATATGGACTCCGCTTGGTTCAGGATAATCGGGAGCACAGCACGGGGCGATCGGTACACAACTCACCTTGACAAGCTTGTCCCAACCGGCCGAGACGATCACGGGGTTCTGGGGGTTAGGCGAGAAGCGCACGCAGGAGACCCACTCGGTGTGGCCCTTGTCGGTGATGGTGAACTTGCAATCGCCCAGGGTGTTCCACAGCTTGATCGTCCGGTCGCGCGAGCCGGAGACGATCTGGCGGTTGTCGGCGGAGAAAGAGACGGATAGGACATCGTTGGTGTGGCCGACGAAGCGGCGGGTGGTGGTACCGGTGGAGAGCTCCCACAGGCGCAGGGTCTTGTCCCACGAGGCCGACAGAGCGTAGGCACCATCAGAGGAGATGACCTATGAAAAGACTGTCAGTTCCAACATTCGCCTCACAACACCATCGCGGCCATCTCTTTTGTCCTCCACCACTCCTCATTTCAGGTCGATCAAATAATAATAGTCATGATAATGATGATAAACGTACACAGTCGGACACAATGTGCGAGTGGCCGTGCAGCGAGCGCTTGGGGTAGCCGTACTGGGCCTCGTCACGGGTCAGGTCCCAGATGATGAGTGTCTTGTCGCGAGAGCCGGACAGGAGCATGTTCGGGCTAAAAGTTGAAAACATTGTAAGTATTTGCTGTGCTTGTTCTAGTGACGGATTTTCGAGTCGAACTGCGCCATCCTCTGTCTGCCGATTTCAACCCCCCTCCTTCAATCACAAGCAACAGTTCAACTCTTCCAAAGATCAGTCGCGCCTGTGAGGAAAGGCGGGCAGGCAGAGGTTCGGTTTTCAGAAGATTCGGCGGGCTATTCGCAAAAGGGGGAGGCGTTCTCACTTCTCAATCGACGTGGCCAAGCTGGTGACCCAGCCGCTCTGTTGAACACATACGTGTTAGCCATAACATTCCCAGCCAGGAAGAAAAGAAAAATAAGAGCCAGCAGCAGCCCAAGCCAATTCGTCCAAATCTCAGGCATGAACTCCTCCTCATTTCTGGTCGGCTCATTAATGGTCCAGAGTTTCCAGGCGCCAGTTGTAGGTCTCGTAGTACTTGGACTGCTGGGCCTCGATTTTCCCACCCCGATGGCCGACGACGACAACATTGCGGAGCGTTCATCACAGAAGCTGCTGGTGCAAAGGAGGAGGTGAAAACGTACGTGGCCCTCGAGGGTGCCCTTGAGGATGAGCTGCTCTGACATCGTGATGGTTGATGGAAATTGGCGTCGGCACAAGGTGTTCAATTGTGTGGTGTGTGTGATCGTTTTTCCTGGCAACCAATTTGGAGGGGACGGACGGCGATGCGAAGCAAAAAAAAAATTGACGTGTAGGCAGAAACACCCGCTTACCTTTCGTAGAACGAGGGCTCGACTGGAAAAAAGTTTCAGAGTGATTAGGGCGGGTGTTGACTTCTATGGGGCGTTTGGGCAGAGGGAAATTTTTGGATTATTTTTTGTGCAAGGACCAAAAATTGCCTTAGGGCCAAAGGCGTGTGATGTGGGGTCTGGCCAATGGTAATAGAGATTGCGTCTGTCCGTGTTCCTTTTGCGCTAGAAAGGTTACCATGTGACACGTCACGCATCAGAAATATTGAAAACGTAGCTCACTTGACAGGTGACAAGCAGCTGTCAACACAAGGCTGCGAACGTCATTCAACTAGCAGCCAGGTGCGAACAGACACCAGTGGGATGGTTAGAGAATTTGCTTGCTTGATTGTCCAAAGAATATTCTGAAACTAAAACGATATATGTATGAATAATACCCGTTCCCCCCTGCAACTCCAGGCTATGCAAAGATAGGTAAAACAAACAACAACAAAAGTGAAAACCTGGCAGTCCTAAACAATTTTGCGCGCCTTGCGCGGAATCTCTTTGCGGTGGAACATCTTCTCCGCGTTCACCATCATGCTCTGGTCAGCAATCTCCTCCCGCAACGCTGCCGCAGTGCTCTTAGTCGTCTTAGAGGGAGATGTGTCAATGCTCTGAGGCGCACGTGATACCGCGCCATAACCTCCCGCAGCACCACCGGAACCGCTCTTGCGACGATCCTGTTTCGCTTCCGTAATAAGCTCACGCATTGCTGCTTCCCACAAGGTGTACCGTTTCTTGTTCAGCGTGCTCCGGTCTGCGGCTGCGCGGACTTCCTTCAACTTGTTTACCTTGCTGGCACGCATGAGCCCACGAAGTGCCTCCTCGGCTTGCTTTGCCTCCACAGCAGCGGCCTCGCGTATTCCCTTGGGATCACTGGTCCGGATGGTGCCGTCCATAAGTGGTGCAAACCCCAGGCCGAGGTCGCGATCTTCTACGCTCGCTTTTTCACTCGGGAGCAGCAACATTGAACCGTCGTCGTACCGTAGGCCACTGCCCTGGACAGTCACTAAGTCAACGTCGATTGGCGTGTTGCGGTATGTGTGAATGCTTGGGAAGTCGGGAAAGCTGCTGGGAATGTAGCCTTTGCTCTCTTTTTCAGATCTGCCGCTAAGGGCGTCGCTAAGAAGAGGTAGATCGTTGTAGTCGTTGCGCTCGAGCGGACGACGAGACAGAGAATGCAACTGCGGTTCAGGCAGTTGTTCGGCAAGAGGCCGTTGTGCGAGCTTCGCGGGGCTGATGGGGTTCCGTAGATGTGGTCGTAATGCACTTGTCGCTAAGTTAAAGCGAGCTAATGATATGTCCAAATCGACCGGGATTGGCTGAGTGCGACGAGCGGCCAGAGTGAAGCGGGTGACGTCTTTTGTAAGAGACTGAATATCTGGGACGAGTCAGTACGATAAAAAGATGTCACATGTACAGCGTATCCACGTCGGATACACCAGAGGCGCGCTTACAAGACTCGGTGATGAGCAGGAAGCTTTCCAATGCTTCATTGCTGGCTGACGAGAAACCGACATGGTCCAATGCTAACACCAGTGCCCGACGTAGCCCTTGGCGGGCCTCTTCATTTGCCGACGGCTCCTGTTCCGTGCATGAGAGCTGGTCAACCTCCTCTTGCTCCCTTTCATATTGCTCGCGCAAGCGTTTCAATTTTTGTGGTCGGTGCACCTTGATGTCTGGAGTTGGCAGAGGTGTCGCGTCTGTTTTCGTTGGTGGTTTCTTTTCGCCGATCGATCGTCGGTCGTTATCGTCCGTGCTCCCCATGACGGTATCGATGTCCCTTTTCGGTTCAATACCTCGCGTTCCTGGCGGTGCCGAGGTTGTATCGCTGATGGTTTGTGAGGTTGTTCGAGATGACGTGAAACTTATCGTTATCGCGGAGCCGTTTGTCACATAACGCGAGAGCCTGAAATGTGGGTCGAATTATGTAATCCACTGTTGTCTCAACTAACGGCTAATTTCAGGACAGCCCCAATTCAAAGCATCGAAAGATTCATCACTTTTGATTCAGCGCGGTGATATAGTAGCCGGTTCGTTGTTCTAAAGAAAAGAAACACGTTTTATTTTATTAAACTGTCTCAATTCGTACTAGAGCTCACCGCCTTAAATGGTATCACAAAACATCGAATATGCGTACGAGCACGGTCACGCTCCCGTCTTGCCTTATGAGTTGTTTACACTTGTTTTGTTTAATTTGTTAATTTTTTATTTTTAGTTCTTGGTCTACTGTCTATTCTGTGTTAGTATGACTTTGACATGGTTTGGTTTATGGCTGCGGTGGTATGACTCTCAGGTCCGGTGAATATTTTATAAACATGAGATCAATCTCACACACAAAAAAACCCCTCCCCCCCATAAAACAGTCTGAAGCAAAATTTACATTCAAACTGAAATATACACAACCCACCTATCGACCTCAAAACGCGAAATCGAGACATCTGAACGGGACAAAGAAAGCCAAGAGAGCCAGGTCAGCACGGTGTGTGCAGTATGACACAGCTCGGGGTGTGTAAGTAAACGAAGCGATTGTGCTGGGTGCAGCCCGTATTGCCAGCGTGTATGAGACGGCAATAAATTGAGCCAATCAAGGCTGCTAAGATTGGAAACATTGGGCACCTCATTGTACTAAGTGCGGGGCCGATGCTCCTGGCCCGTAAATAAAACCATATTCCGGTCTGCACTTGAGGACATTGATTTGACTCAAAACAGAGGCGACTTTCTCTGCAAAAGTTGTTGATAACGACACAGAGAAAAGGCAAGGAAATCCTACCAAAGACGAGACGAATTGAAGATCGAAGCCACAGCAATGTGGACCAAGCTGAGCAGCCTTCTTCCGAGGCACCGCATGGTTCCTTCCACCGCCTTTGCCATCCACCGTGTTTACAGCGCAGGCGCCCTCGTGTCGGGCGGTGCTGGAACAGTGCATGGCGTCTTCCAGAGAGCCATCAACGCGACGGCCCCGCGGACGGACTGGACGCGCGCTGAGATCTCCGCCATTTACAACACGCCACTCATCGATCTCACCCATGCTGCTGGCACTCTTCACCGTCGCTTCCACAATCCGGGCGCAATCCAGATGTGCACCCTCATGAATATCAAGACAGGCGGCTGCAGCGAAGATTGCAGCTACTGTGCGCAGTCATCGCGGTACCAGACGGGCCTTAAGGCGACGAAATTATCGACCGTTGAGTCTGTCCTGGCTGCCGCACGCGTGGCTCGCGACAACGGCTCGACCCGTTTCTGCATGGGCGCCGCGTGGCGGGACATGCGTGGCCGCAAGTCTGGTCTGCGCAATATCAAGGCCATGGTTGAAGGTGTGCACGCGCTGGGTCTTGAGAGCTGCGTGACGCTGGGCATGCTAGATGAGACGCAGGCCAAAGAGCTCAAGGATGCTGGCCTCACGGCCTACAACCACAACGTTGATACCAGCCGCGAACACTACCCAAAGGTGATCACTACGCGGTCGTACGACGAGCGTCTGCAGACGATTAGCAATGTGCGAGACGCCGGCATCAAGGTGTGTACGGGTGGCATTCTTGGCCTCGGTGAGAAACCTGAGGACCATGTGGGCCTACTGCACACCGTGGCAACGATGCCTTCACACCCAGAGAGTTTCCCAGTCAACACCTTGGTTCCCATCGAAGGAACGCCTCTATTCAAATCGACTCGAATTCCTTTCGACGCCGTCCTGCGCACGATTGCCACGGCGCGACTTGTGATGCCAACAGCCATCATCCGCATCGCCGCTGGACGTGTGGACATGAGCGAGGAGAAGCAGGTCTTGTGCTTCCTGGCAGGTGCTAACGCTGTGTTCACGGGTGAGAAAATGCTCACCACGGCGTGCTCGGGCTGGGAAGAGGACCTGGCTATGTTCAACCGTTGGGGCCTTTTCCCGATGAAGGCTCACGTGGAGCCCGTCCTTCGCAAGGATGAAGAATCGCCCTTCCAAGTGAACAATTCGCTTCTTGCAGATGTTCCTACTGCCTCTCACCAGGAGACTTCCACCACGGTTTAAACACCAGGCTGAAGAATGGTTCCCAATAAGGCAACTACAATCAACGCAGAGAGAAGCCGCATCCTTCACATGACTCGTCGGTTTGCCTGCGACAGTGCTATTACGCCATCGCAGAGATTGCGCCTAGGGCCGGATACGGGAACTGGAATGACAATGCTGGAAACGCTATCATCTCCCCCACTTGTGTATCGGTTCGTTCATGGCGTTCGACCTCATCGAAGACGTGAGGATGCGGCTTGGAGAAACCCGAGGGGTTGGTCTCGCTTTAGAAAAGAGGGTGTAAATTCGATTCGAAACACAGCTGTTTTAGTAAGATAGAATAGAAGGTGCATTCCGGTCGGACTAAATGGTTCTATGTTTGATGGCGATAACGTGAAGGGTAAAATAAAGCGAGGCCCGCGTAGTGTCATTCAAGACGCGACCACTGCTCTCATCTCAAGTGAAAAGGTTGCCATTCATAGCCATTTTTGTCAAGTGCTTATGGTGCTGCCAAGCAACTCCCATGTCATCCAATCCCCCCAAAAAATATCGTGGTATTACAATCAAAAACATCAAGAAGGCTCTCATTAAATCCAAAAAGCAAGCAATGAATCGCCGGTCGCAGGATAATGAGTTGCTCTTAGCCGCTGTTTGCTCTCTCTACAAGCCATTCAGCTGGTTCTGAGCATCCATCGCCTGACCAATGGAAATAAAATCGAGCTGGAAGCGTGTCAGTGGATGGGCGGGATTGCCAAAAATGACGAGACAAGAAAACAAGAATTGATCGAAACGAACTAATGACTTTACATACCAAAACAAAATTAGGAGTACGCCCGAACGCGTTGACACAAAGGCTTGTCTGATCAGTAATAGACGAAAGCGAGTTCGTAGTACCGGCCTTAATCGTGTCTGGGATGAGAATGACTTCGCCAAAAATATCAATCTCGACGTCAAGGAAGTGGTTCACCAGACCCATGCGGCCGGAGGCGCTAGCTCCAGCAGGACGGTCGAGTGTGCACTCAGCGAAATTAGGATCTGTGGTGTCGTATGGAGTTTCGTAGAGGTATGTGAATTCGTCAAGAATATAGTTGACCTGCGATGTATCCGCATGGTAGTCTAAGTCGGTTTTAGCAGGACGCTATTGTGACAAAACTAAGTGAGAACCACATCGAAGTAGAACGCACCCATAAAAACAACCAGCCGCTTCCCACTCGAAATCAGCTCAGCTAGAGTTGGCCACTGGTCGAGGCTCAGCGTACCCGAGGGAGCATACGCGTATGAGTCGAGACCCACGGCTGAGAACACGGTCCCAAACTGAGAGACGGGAATGGAATCGCCATTTGTAAGAAGAAGAGTGATGACTTCGTTTGGGTTGACGTCAAGAAAGCTCTTGATGGGGGTCAAGTAGCTAGCGAGCGTCCCAGCATCCTTCTCGAGACAGCTAGTGTGGCAGAGCTCAATGACACCGTTCTTGTTGTGGCTCTGGGCTTGCAAGAAACGTACTCCCTGGCCGAGCTGGCTGGCCACAGACGTGAACTGGTTATCGGTGGGCAAAAGACCAACGAAGGCTGAGTCGTGCGAGCCAACGTAAGTGACATCGCTATAGCGCCGGCTGCAGAGTGACGGTGAGCCGTTGCAGCTCTGATCCCGCCGGTCAGACTGTGACGGGGCCGCCAAAACGGCCACGGCAAGGACAGCTGCCGCGACAAGTAGCTGGTTCAAAATGGAACGCATGCTATACAATTATTTCTCCACAATGTATTAAATGGAGGAAAAGACAACCAAGAAGAGAAACCAAATGATGAAAGGGCCAGTTGCTAACAGGTGGCTTTGCTGACAATTTGGAGATGTACCTGGGACGAGGCTCCTTGGTGAGAAGAATAGACTGACCGATTTTCGAAACGATGACGAAGGAACCGAATAGGGAGCCGTTTGGCCAGCTTTTACGTTTCGCAATGTTTGGAAAATCTTGCTGCGGGAAACGATCGTCATGGGTGGAAAGGGAGAAAGGGAGGGCAGGCGGCTGCCATTTATCCTAGACGCTCTGGTGTTCATGAGGTAAAGCAAATGCGTAGCTCGACGTTTGGGTAGCTGCGACCCAGCCATCGTTCACTCGGACCCCTTCTCTTTCCATTTTGAGCTGTATTAGGGATCTAACAGAGGAAGACGACGACAATCGGCCACGCACTCCTTCCTCACCAAGTGATCGTTACTGCGATGGTCTTGAGAAGGGATCGGTCGGCAGACTGACGGTCAGGAGCCATCGTGTTAAGGCGTGACCTCCAATAGGTTACGGAATGCAACCCTTTGAAAACCAATGAAAAACCTCAGTACTGGCTTCCGTTGAGATGAAGTACAACGCGTGGCGCTTTTAGCTCATTACAGTCTCGGAAGTTCTCACACCCAAACGGCGGCGAAGGAAACAGATTCGATCATTTGGACGACGACTTCTGGGCTCGCTTGCATCCCTAGTTGAGGTGGTCATGGCTCTCTGGCATGTGATTGGTGCACGAGGGAAATCTAAGTTCAGCAAAAATCGACCGACCAACGGAAACAGATCGGCCTCTGTCGCCCTGCATACTTCGGGGCCATCTGCATGCTGCGACCCTCCATTGACCAACAGGGGGCAGAGGGGCAAACCAGCTTTCCATCGAGCGTTAGCACCAGTACTTTAGGGTAATAATTATCGAGGACGTATTAAAGAGAGATTTGATAGGCACTGGAGGGAATGGAAGGTTGGCTTTGTTTATTCTGTGAGTAAAAGGAGAATCGGGACTAAGTCACTCGAGGAGAAGGATGATAGACGGGAGAGTCACGAAACGAAAAAAAAAAAAAAAAAAAAAAAAAAAAAACGAAAAAAGAAAAAACAGACAAATGTATTCGCTTCTTGCATCGGAGGATAAAAGGAACAGATGTTCGCACCGACCCCAGAGTTGGTGTCAGAGCCTCGACCGACACAAAGTCTGGCGGATCGGCCGCACATCGCTCCACTGCAACGCTATCGCCCTTGCGCACATCCCGGCGCTACATCTACTCTGTGGTTGGGCAATCTTTTCGAACGATCGATACCTTCCGGGTTAGGAGACATCCCCGCCTGCACGTCGTAAGATTGAATGTATTTGTAGAATCAAACTGACAAAGACCGTTTGGCATAAAACCTCATACTGTTGATTAACAGCACGTATAAAGCGTGAATAGATGCAGATACAACTCAAGGCGCTTTACCTTTAACGGGAAGTGTGTTGACTTAAAAGCGTGAACGATGGTTCAGCACTTTGCGAATAAAGCATGTGCTTATGCAGATTGACACCGCCGAGGCACGTTCTATTGCCACAACATCCTATTTGCGATGAAGCACCTTGACATATCCTCATATGTCCGCAACATGCGCTGCTTCGAAATGCACTGTGTATAGATATCGTTTCGACCGTGTGGGTGAGACACCTTGAGAGCCAGGAAGAAATTAGGTATACTTTGCCGTCGAACGGAACGGTCATATGACACGAGTGTCTTACAGTGAACCGCACACTTGCGGAAAATCCAAGACGATACTAAAGTCAAAGATATGAACCAACAAGACAAAGCCTCACTTGTCCAGGATGAGCGTCGACATTGCATTCAATATTTGAAAAGATGTAACGGACTTTATTTTTTATTTTTTTTAGTAGAAAACCAAGCCGCATCTAAGACCCGGACGCCTGTTTCGGTGGTTCCACCGTTGGTACCGGTGTCTCTGGTGCAATAGTAGGAGTTGACGCACCAGTTTCGGCCGCTGGGGCTGTTGTAGTGTCTGTGCTGGGGCCTGCGGCACCCGTCATTATGGAGTTCATTTCCTTCTTGCTGACTGCATCATCTGCTTTTGTATCCGGCTCTGCCTCAAAACCGGGAGCACCTGCGGCGCCCACGAGGTCGTCTAGTTTGCCCACTTCAGTCGGGCCACTTGCGCCGTTTGGCGGCAAGGCCCACGCAGGGAGTGGACTGACATAACTCCAAGCACCATCGGCAGCCTCATATCGCAGGCTGTGCAGCCATAGTGAGAGCTCGTGCGAGCCCGGGTCCGTGTATAGCGGCGTGTCACACTCCTCGCACACGTGGCCCGACATGCGCTCGGCCTTGCGCTTGTGGTACTCGTCGACCATCTCATCGTAGTAGGCAACAGCCTCAGCGACATCTTCCTTGCCCATCCGCGAGAGGCGGCTGATAATGTCCTCGTCGGTATGTACAGAAGCATCGGCATCGCCCTGGCCTAGGTCAAAGCCCCACACTCTCTGGTTGGCATAGATGGGATCGTTCTCGATGGGGTGGCCGAGATACTGTAAATGCACACGGAGCTGATGCGTGCGGCCAGTGACTGGCAGGCAGCGAACGATAGAATAGCCTGTACGTGATTCCGGTCCTTCAGACGGAGACGCATCGCCCTTCTCTCCATCCGGCCGGTAGTAGGCAAGCCGTTTGAAAACGGTACGCGCAGACCGGCCGTTGGCCCGTACGCGGTTAAGGCCCAGCTTTGGCGAGATCTGCAGAATGGGCTGGTCGCAAATAACCTCGCCGTCAGGGAACCGACCTACCACCCGTGCCAGATATTCTTTGCGGACAACACGTGCTTGAATCTGCAGACTCAGTCGCTTCGCTGTCGCAGGTGACTTGGCCAAGAACATGATACCGCTCGTCAGGCGATCCAGCCGGTTGCAAGGGTAGGGAATAAACCCAGGTCCCCGCTCATGCTTTAGGATCTCCACCACCGAGTTGTATTGGTAGCGACCAGCTGGGTGTACCGGAACACCTGCTGGCTTGTTTATAACCAACATATCATCATCCTCATGAATTATCTGAACGGGGTCGGCGGTGACAGGCGGCTCGTGGCGGTGGAGGGTATGCGAGACACGTTCACCGTTTTTCAGCACGTGATCCGGACCGACAATTTTCTCGCTGACTTTTACGGTACCCGACTCCATGGCTCGACGGTAGTAGGCCAAAGGGCGGTCCCGAAATTCACTCTCAAAAACATCCAGCAGAGACCGTCCCCGCCAGCGTTCCTTTACCCATGTATTATAGGTGTAGTAGTAGGGTTTGACTCGGCGCAGGCCGCCCTCCAGGTAGTAGCGATCCGGCCAGTTAGCGGCGCGGTCATCGCGGACAGCATCGGACGAGGTTAAAGACGGCCCAGCTGGCGCTGCAGAGGATGATTTGACGGTTTCTTCTACAACCGCCAAGATACCTCTGTGCGATGCCGTGGCAGCGTCGTGGCTTCTATCCAGCTTCGCTGCCTTTGCTTTTGTTTCCGGGGTGTCGTCGGTCGCCTGAGACGGTTCTGACGGCGCTGCCTGGGCCACGGTGAAAGGATTAGAAAAATCTGCTTCGGGCGCCTTGACCACTGCATTTGGACCCATGGCATCTTGAATTACCGCGGATGCAGCCGCCGATGCAGTTCCGACTTGCTGCGTGTCCGACATTGCTGGTGTAGAGCCCGACCTGGGCAAGCAGGCGCTTCTGAAAAGCGTATATGCAGTTGTAGCTCTCGCCCCCTTTGTGGAGAAAGTTCGAGGCGGGAACAGACGCAATAAATAATACGCCAGTTTGAATCTTCTGATCTGTGGGCGCGAGTGCAGGGGACGGACGGATCGCAGTGGAGTGTTGTCGATTGGCGAATCTGGGATGGAGGGCAATTTCAACCAAATGCTAGTTTCAAGGGGGGCAGGAATTGCCAGCTGATTTCTCCGTAAGGATTAGTATACGGTGTACAACCTGAAGTGGTCCTCAATACCTTCTCGTTTCGTAATAATTGCAAGCCGAACGTTTTGGATGTATGCAGTGGTGAACATTGTCTGCTTGGCCCGTCGCAGTGTCGACGTTGTCTGTCAAAAATTTAGGCGGTGAGACACTCTGGATCTGGCAGAATTTTGCGTCAGGCTGTTTTGTTCAGAGGTTTCAGTGGGGACCACCACAATGCGAAAAGGCAGACCAAAAAAAGGAAAGTAGCCCCCCCCACCCCCCGCAAAAAGACCTGGCAAGGTCACTTTGAATAGAGAGCCGAGGCTGACTATCCGCTGGAGGCCAATGCCCGTATCTCACCCGGGACATTAATGCTGGCCTATTCAACCTGGTTTGCGCAACCTCACAAGCTTTAGTTCTGTTGTTCTCATTACCATTCAATTGTAGCTTGATAGTATTTTGAGCTCATCGTCGCACCCTCAGTTTTTATTATTTCTACAAAGTAATATACACAATGCCTTCGCTAGCCCCCCTCAAGTCCCGCAAACGTGAAGACTATCCTTTTATTCTCGATTACCGTACACGATGGTGAGCGTCGAAAACCCTGCAGGACTGTTGTCGCATATTTTACACAAGGCACGTATAACACTGGGATTTCTGGCTAACTCGCCCAGGGCCGATAATGATATGTACGCGCACATGAACAACAGCATCTACAACTTCCTCTTCGACTCAGTTGTCAACACATATCTCATCCGCCACTGTGGTGGCTTCGATCCAGCTCGCCGTACGCCTCAGTACGGCATGGTAGTCCACTCACACACTGACTACTTTGCATCCATATCCTTCCCCGATGTTGCCGAGCTTGGCCTTCGTGTTAAGAGGCTCGGCCAGTCTAGTGTCCACTATGAAATCGGACTTTTTGCCCAGGGCCAGCCCGGCGTCCGCGCAGTTGGTGTTTTCGTGCAGGTGTTCGTCGACGCAGCCACAGACCGGCCCAACTCCAAGACAGGTATGCACCCATCATTGCGTGAGGGGCTAGAGCGCATCATCACGCGGCTCCCTGGCGACGATGAAGTAGAAGAAAAGCCGAAGGGCATGGGTGGAAGTAGCAAAATATGAGGCACGCCGGCTAGCATACAGCGGTTCATACATAACCGGGTGAAAAAACAAGCATAGCGAACGACATTTGTAGCGTGACTATGTTATGATAGTCAAATATATAATGCGGTAAAGTGTCGAAATGTCACATGTTCGTTTCGATGTATGGCCTGGTGCCTGTGTATTGCCATTCGATTCGGCCGATATTTACTACATGTACTCGGTACCATATACAATAATATGTGCATATACAAATAGGTATATGTACTTTTTATCCTTTCTCCATCGCGGAATGTAACATGACCTTTTCGTTTTGTCGAAGGAAATTTTGCTCCGCTGAGCAGGATTGATCGATAAATCGCGAACCAATGTTTGGAATAGGTCCCAATAATATTCCGTCTACCTCCCAAAATCAAACGTGAGGACGTAACGGTCGTGATGCTTGCGCTAAGTAGTGAAAAAATCGAGACACATAGAAAAGAAAAGAAATAAAACGTATGTAGAAAATGCACTTTTAGCCGTCCACATCCATGGCGCCGTTTGTGTTTTCCTCGTTCTCATGCTGTTGCAAAGCAGCTGCTGCCGCAATAGCAGCCACTGTGATAGACTGAAGCCCTGAGAGATCTTCAATCTTCGATGCTGCGACAGGCTTCTCCCCGGAATCCGCCCCACTCGGTGGGCGAATGTTACCGACCTGTTTGTCTTCGCTAAGGCTGCTAATGGCAGCAGCAGCAGCAGCAGTTAGGGTATCTACTGCAGCAATAGCAGCATTATCCACAGTACTGACAGTATTCGGAGTACTCGCATTCTCATTTGCCGTTGACACGACCTCTTTCGTTGGACTCCTTGCTGGTTTCTCGGTCTCCTTTACTGACTTCTCAGCTGAGCTGGGTTGGAGCTGGGTTGTTGGCTGGGGTGGCGTTGGAGGCATGGTCAGCTTGTCGGTTTGCTGAGGAGGCAAGCCGTTCGTGTCGGTGACGGGGTTTACGACTGATATTTGAGGAGAGGCGTTGTCTTTGGCACCGTCTGCATTCGTACTTGGTGGAAGAGAGTTGTCGTCGTTGGTGCCAAGGTCGATGTTTCCATTCCGACTCATATTATCGTTGCTGCTGGTGTCAACAGTGTTGACCGTAGTGGCTGTACTCCAGTTGTTTCCGCTACCATTTCCATTATTGCTGCTGTTGGAATTGGCATTGGCGTTACTGCTGACACCGCTGTTGCTCATGTTTCCACCGTTTCCGTTGCTTCCGCCACCAGTCCCACTACCCATGGGGTTGCAGAGGCGATAAGTGTTGTCTTCAGTCCGAGAGATGATTCCCTCGTCCAGGGCCCACGAGATAAGAAGATCATCCACTCCGAGAAACTCGCCCTCGCCATTCTCCATATGACGACCAACGTGTTCAGTCCATTCATCCCAAGCACTACGGCCTTCAAAAAGACGGTTACAGTCCGGTCTGGGACAAGCAGATCGTTGAGGAGGGAGTCTCCGAACGATACAGCAGGACTTCTGCATATCTTTGACGTACTCTTCCCACTCCGTCTCAACCTTTGCATCTCTCTTCTGGATAGCTTTCCGGATGTAGGGCGGCGCGTGCATTCGACGGAGGTGTTGTGTAAAGAGGTCCTTCCGATTAAATTCGTTCCCTTTACCATCTATAGATCCTTGCGAGCAGTCCGAGCAACGGTAGTATTGGAGGCACAAATGCTGCGAAGCAATGTGGCGCTTCCATTCGTTTTTGGATCCAAACGTGCTCGTACATCCAGCAAACGAGAAGGCACATGGGAATGGCCTAGTGTGCGCTGAAGCAACGTGCTTTCTCAACGAAGAGTGGTCTTTAAACGGTTCGTGGCTGCACCAGTCGCACTGTACTTCGGGTTTCGAGGTTTGAGACTGCAAGCTTGGGAGCGACTGAGAAATATCAGATTTGGACCGAGATCGAACAAGCTGCCCATCTTGTGACTTTGCAGTTTTAAACCGATAGTCCTTCTTTGGCTTGCCCTTTTTGGGCGGTGAAGACGTGTCCTCTTCTCCGTTTTTCATTTCGGTTTCCTCTGAGGCAGAGTCGTCAGTCTGGCACTTTATGACGTCCTGTGCGATCTTCAACAGATGGCCACTCGCAGTAAACGGGGGTGGAGTATTGCCGTTCGTCGGGCGGACATGGCTAAGTGCTTTCAGTTGCTCTGCAGCCTCCTTCATTTCCTCGGAATCTTCTCTTTCGTCCTTGGGCAGGGTGGGGCTACCACCTCGCGAAACAATGCGAGGAAGTGAAATACTGTGTGCAGGGGGCGTGAACCGCTGATTAGGATGCTCTTGTAACTGTGGAATCGAGTCCCGCCGGATGGAGCCATTTGCCTCGTAATGACTGGTAGGACCCAGTTCGTGAAAATGAGCAGTTGAATGCACCTGGGAGTTTTGACGCTGAGGTACTGGTAAAGGCAACGGCTGATGGGGATGTGCTATTGGAGTTGGTAGCTGTGGAAGCTGCGGAGTTAGCAACGTGGATTGGTGTTGAGGAGAGGAGTGGAACTTCAACGGCGATTGTTGGTGTTGAGGTTGGTGATGTTGTTGTAGCAGTGGTGGCAGGGCGCCTGGCATTTTCTGAGATTGCTGCTGTTGAGTCTGCGGGGCTGCTGGCTGCTGCTGGTAAGTATGGAAATCATTTCGGTAGGTCGGCGAAGTGTTGACAGCCGCTTCACGGGCCTCAAGAAGCGTCCTCCCATCCTCAATGTCCCTAGCTAATGCAGTAGGGTGTGAATGTGGTACTGTTGTGGATTTCATCAGGCCGTTGTACAGGTTGATCAAGTTGTGCGAGTTGATATAACCCAAGGAAAAGCATATCTTGGCGTCTTGAATGACAGTCCACAAGGACTGTGGGATGGAGATGAGCAGGACTGTTGGTGGGCCAAGAAACATGCCCTCGACGGCGACCTTGGAAGCCAAAGAGGGTGTGTTTGCTAACCATTGGTTAAAGCCAGTCATATCCGGACCAGGGTCACCCACAAACGTGGTACAGACCAACAGTCGGGGCTCGTTAAAGACCATATCGGCAACAGCAGCAGGACTGATGACTGGTGCATCGCGGCTCTCAGCAGACTCGTGACCGGCAGCTTTTGATGTAGCATTGGCGCCATTTTGTGCTTGAGGTAGCTGGTGGCCTCTTGGCATCGGGGCCAAATCAATCGTGGCTTTAGCAGGTGTCAAGTTGAAGAATATCGGTGCATGAGGCACAATTGTTGTCGGCTTGCCATTCGGGCTGTACTTCACTCTGGGCGGGTAGTGAAGGTCGTAGCTTTGTTGGATATTGACAATGTCGTCGTACAGGTGCTGTGCGCTGAAAGGTCGCCCGTTACCCAGTTTCTGTAAAGATTCGGCTAGGTAGGATGTGAACGTTCGCGTTCCGAGCTCTCGCAGGCCGGCATCGTATGTAGAGGCTGCGATCGCTTGCTTCGCGCCATTGCTTCCGGAAACAGGCATATGTCTTGGCGCACAACTGTCGAGAAGGAGAAGGACATCGGAGTGAGAGTCCTCGATTGTGCTCCGTATGGTGTTCCACTTTAGTCTCGGAGAATCTTCACGAGCATTGCTGTATCGAAGGAAAAGATAACATCAAACTGCGGTTAGCTGTCGTCCATACTGATCACCCATAAGAGTACTTTCAGACAAGAAGTCCGCGGTGGCAGCGCAATAATCGCTCGGCTGCCGCTTGACACGCAACTATAGGGTTTATTGCCCGTGGCAAGATTAACTCACCAGGACCAGTACAGCTGATTGTCAAGGCTGTTGTGGCCATGGCCGACGTAATATATGATCAACAGGTGATCTACGCTCGCCTGATCCAAAAAACTGGCGATCCGGGATTTTAGGCTAGCACCTGGGTCGATAGAAGTAGGAATTCCCCAGTGCTCTGTGCTGAAATTGTAACGGCTGCGGAGTACGTGCTCCAGCGAAGTTAGGTCGGTCGACGACGTTACGTCGTCTTCCCACTTTAGCAAAAGCGCGGAGACTTTGGCGTAAGGAAGCTTTTGACCCTGACGATAGATATACATAGCGGCATCTTGCAAGTGTTTCGCGAATGTCTCGAAGTCGTGTCGTTGCGTGTCGGCTCCGGTTTCGACATCGCGAGCATCGGTTATCGGGGTATCGTTCGAAGTTATTTGGATCTGAAGGTTTGGGTTAACTGACTGAGGTCTGGTGAGAGTGGGGGGTGGCAGGCAAAATTTGGTAGGTGACTGTAGGAGCAAGGCTGAAGGCGGAAATTGCGCGCAAAGCCCCAGGCCATTAAAAATAGGCAGCAAAAGGCGCCGAGTAGCCCAAGCAGCAATTGAGGCAACGGCGAAACAATTGGGGTGGATCTAGGGGATATGTACCTGCTCGGCGCCGGAAACTGTCGGTTGCGCTGCCGCCTTCGCAGGTGTAGTTGCCTTTGCAGCCTTCGCCATGTCCGGGGAGGGTGGCGGATCTGGGAGCTTGGGCGCCAGTCGGCGCCGCTTGTTGGGAGGGTCCATTGCAGGCGGGAAACGGCAGTCGGACGGCCGGATCCGCAGCGATGACAACGTTATTCTCGATGCGTTATGTGAATTGTGCGGCTGCGTGCATTTGTCGAGGACATACGGTCTGGGGGAGGGATGCGACGGGGTCGGCACTGAAGTCCGGCGACCCGGAAGAACGCGGAAAGTAGAAAAGCGATAGAAAGGCGCGCAGCGTGCAGAAGGCAACGAAATTTGAAGGATAAGAAAAGGAAAGCAAGAAGTGCGACACATGCGACGGCTGCGAGCGGGAACAAATGCAAAGCGCAGCAGGTGGTTGTGAGGAGAAGAAAAAACCGAGGCGCGGGAGGGAGGAAGGCTTTCGGAGGCAGTCGTGCAAGGTAGCAAAAAAAGAGGAGGCAAAGAAGTTGTGAGGCAGAGGGGAGGGAAGTCGCGGCCCTGGCCTTCTCGGGGTTTGTGGCCTATTTTTTGCGTTCCTATTTTCTAGCCCTTCGTCTCTTCGTTCTAATGGAGAAGGGGCAACGTGTGTCGTCCAAATCAGCAGGCGCGGTCGGTAAGGCTGCGTGGACAGCGCTGGGCTCTCATTCTCTGATCGTGCTTGGCGGAGGCAGGTGGACCCTGGTAGCCAATCCGAGGCACCGGACTGAGGATCCAAAGCCTCGCAAAATGCACTAGCGTTGTTTCTTGAGCTGTGGGGCATATTTTGTACCTGTGGAAATTCCGGCTTTGTCCAGGAGGCCCCCTCGAGTCGCTCCCTGCTAAGATACAACCTGGTGTTGTTATAGTGCGCGGCGTGACTCCGGGGAGAGTGCGCTTCAATTGGGCGGTGAACGTGTTCGAACTATGCTAGCAGGGGCGCGTCTGAGTGCTGTTGGCGTTCTCTATTTGTAAGTATGGATGCCTTACGCACCACTCAAGTCGCAGGGCCAGGCCACATATAGAAGGCCTCGCCTGAGCCAAAGAGGCCTAATTTTAGGCTTAGGTCAGGTCCTCAGCCCAATATAACTGTGGTGCCGTTGGGCGACCATCGGTGCAAATACAAAATCCCTCCCATACAGTTCTTTGACAGGCGAGAGCGAAAGAGCGCGACGAATGTTACGGATGATTATATCGTATTCAACGGTCACTGGTACTGATCGGAAGAGTGCAATAAGAAGTAGGTTACGAAAAGTTGGCGCACAGATGAACATGGACAACACTGATCTGGCGATATTTTTGAGGCGGTGTATTTTGTATGCGCCAGGATGATATTTTGTACAGAGCCACTCTTTAATGGTCCTCTCGATCTCTTTGGCCTAGGTTCTTTGCGTTATCTACGCTGGCATGGCACACCGAGTAAGACACGCTGTCGACACGCCACGCTGTCAAAAAAGAAAAGAAAAGAAAATAAGAAAAGGAAAGGAGAGGAAAGGAAAGGAAAAAGGAAAAAAGAAAGAAAAGAGAACACTCTTACTCTTCATGCGGTTCCAGTGATCGATAGTCTTTGGACAAGGATGACGGGTCCACAGATGGTTGTCTCGTGGGCCCCGTGAGAGTACCGAAAGCGGACGCAAGCCTCCATGGATGTCCAATGCCGCGTTTAGGGCTTCCAACTGTTCTTTTATCACTCTCAAACGTCCACCAGGCATCTCTTACACATGGTCTTGCCTCAGTCCTCCCTGGACTGCTTCTCTTTCCGGTCTCAACCTGAATCTCTGTTTCCTCTTGCGGACTAGGCCTTGTTTGCGGCCTGCAACACCGGTGCAAAAGATGCGGCCACCCAGCTTACCCTTCAAGAGGCTATTCAGGCGGCGAGGCTGTTAGCATAAGGTTTTGCATCTGGTAATTACAAAGCGTAAGTAGAGCCCAGCTCACGTTTATTTTTGACAGTGTGCTGGCTGCTTTCGGGTCTGATCCTATGTAAGAAAGGAAAGGTCAGAGTCTCGCCGTCTATAGACCGAAGCAGCCTGGTATGGCCGTTGGAGGACAAAGTCGCCAGACTGCGAAAGGGAGCTTCATGCGCGGATAGCGTACCTTTATCACGTCCTCCAAAAACTATACACAAAACTCGGTTTTTTAAGACAAACTGCCACGCTCTGAACAATGTCCGTTTCGTTTCCGCGAACTACTTGCAATGTTTTAGCACCAACCAAGCCGAGATCGCCCACAAAGGCTGTCGGTTATACCGGGTAGCTTCCTAGCGTTGTAAAGATGACACTCCGTTATCCCGTCTTTTCCGCCAAGCTCTCTTGTTTGTGCTTCTCTGTTGGGCCTGTGAAGGACCCTATTTGGAAATCAACTACGGGCTCAGGCGACACAAAAACGCATCAAAAATATTATGTGCTTCATGCTCGTGAGTGCTCTATTCTAAAGTCAATGTGTGCACCATCAGTCTCTGTTCGGCGCATACGTATGACGTTCACGGATATAACCCAACTCTCCCAACATAAAAGAACATTCTCAAAGCGAGACAACTTTGATGCGGAGGCGCCGCTCACACCACCACAAATTGACCAGTCCTGGACCAAAACAACAGGCCATAAATTTGTGGTATGCTCGCTGGTGTCCACTGCTCCCACGTATGGGGATCATCGCTGAGCCATCTAGAGTCGACCTGGCGGCTTTACATAGTTTCCTTATTCAAACTGTCGGTCGTAATGAAAAAATGTTGGAATAACGGCGTGCATACATACTGCGTAGTGTATTCTACGAGTCTTTCAGTTCATGCTGAGGGCGAAGAAGCAATCTTGACAAAGAAGTGCCACTTGGAAATATTCCCGCTGTAACGGTATTCTCAACATATGCGTGTGCGCATTGATGTCTGCATTAGCTTTTCTAGGTCAATACCATGTAGATAGATGTCAAAATACATGAGGGGCGGCCCAGGCCTATACGCCGATAAACAGGGGACGATTGCGAGTATCTGAGTGGCTGCCTCCTGTCGTTTCTCCGTCGTAGTGATGGCAGCAGAGCACCGGGCTCCTTTCATGCCCTGTCTTATTTCATTCTTCGCACATAAAGTATCCGAAATCTCAGCCTTCCTCCTCACCGTTTGTTTCCTAGCCTTCACGTACGGCATCACAGTATGTGAAAAGTTTCACCACAGTTCCCCTGCTACGTAGGCGGGAAGCTGATGATTTCCGAGCGCTGCTGCGGCATATTGGGCGGATGCATGGGCAGCGAAAAGCCAGCCAGAGGTAGAGCAATGGCCTACCAACGCAGACTGCTGTTCCCCATATGGTGGAGAAGCTCGATGTCTCGCTTCATTTGTTTCGTGATTTTGGGTACAACGCATCACATTCATTCATTCATAGAACGAGGAGCTCTGTAAGGAGGCTATGAAATGCAGCAGACTTCAACAGCTAAAAAATATATTGTCCTTACTCCAAAATAGCCTACTTTTCTACGCGGCTGTCTCCTTGTCTTTTCACTCTCATACGACGTACATGTTCCATAACGTCTTGTTCCTACGAACAAAGTACTGCATTTGGTGCTTCCATCACCTCGTGTGGCACTTCGTGCAGCACGAAGGTGGCGGAAGTGGCGGGATCGACGGTTGCAGCGGGAGTAGGGAGAATTCCGAGGTAGATACATCGTGACCACTGTACCGTTTCTCTCGTGGCACCTGTTATTAAAATACCACAACATACAAAGCCACGGCTTGCTAAGGTATTAAAATTAAGCCAGCGCAACCACAACGCTCAAGGAACCTCACAGGGTAGCAAGCCCCTCTTAAATGTGAGTTCGTCGAAAGGGACATCGTTGCGTAGGCTCCTTCTGTAGGGCCGAGTGATTCAAAGTGGCTCAATATGGCTTGATTGTGTCTATTTCAGCATGCCTTCCACCTTTCCTCGCCTCATAAGAATCTAACCTATGACAAGCCCTGCGGTAAGTAGTGACACGATCCCTGCCCAAAAACCAACGAAAGCAGTAGGTCTCTGGTAAACGAGAATGCACCCAATAACAGGAAGATTACCAGCGAGGGGGGGCCTCCACCAGAGTAGCAGAACATTAGTTTCATATCTCTACCGCAGCACTCAAACAAGTGCACCAAATAGGGAGGAGGAGAAGCGATGAAAAAAAATGAAAAAAAAAAAAACAGATAGAGGTGTAGAGACGCAAACACTGTCGCAGGCTCTGCCCGAGTTGTTTCTTGTTTGTAGAAATCGCTGCTGTTGCACATGTTCCAAATTGTGGCCAGGTTTCGGCGTGATCTTCGGTAGGGCGAATGAGAAATATGTTTTAGATGTGCGCTGGCCGACATCTCTGATATTTGCGTGTTTCTTTGTTAATGCGATTTGGGACCCTCTGTGGCAGATGTCACGCAGGGCAGACGCTCTGACTGCTCGTGTCTTGACTTAGAAGCCATCAGCGGGAAGGCTTGCTAGCGTGTGGCTGGTCCTGTTTGCGCGGAATGTCGATGTGATCACGACAGTGCCGCCTCCGCTACCGTAGCCCGTGCCTAAACAACAGCCGCTACTATCACCAATAATGCATACGAATTGTAGTGGAACTTATATCAAGAGTCGACGTCAGAGTTATATTCTTGTTCGTCGTGGCAGCCGCTGTTGGCATTTCTGAAAGTTGCTGCCATTGGTGGTTCTGGTTTTGATGATGATGATTCTCTTGACGCATTGCGGCGGCGTCTCAGTGCTCTGGCTTTGAGTGAGATGTCGGCTATCTTGATGAGAGCCGAGATGATCTTGAAGATGTCCTTGAATGGAGCCATAAATTCGGAAATAAAAGGAGAGAATAGACCACAAAGCGTGTGATATGGTAGGATCATAGGTTACAGAGTATAGGTATGGTAGGTAGGTGATGTATGATACATGACGGAGGGGGGAACGTCGTGTCGCACGATTCCGTGATTTTCTATTTACGTATTTCCTTATCAGGGCGTACACTGTATTACCCATAAAAAAGGTAAGAGTGAAGGTGCGCATCTAAAGAGTGCGTATCGCGCTTTCCCTAGTATGAGTACACACCTTCACAGCAATCTCTAGATCTATGCTACGATGACATACATTTTGTGCTCATTTTATTTATTTGCTTGAGAGGTCTCCCAATAACATTCTTTGGTTGGTCTGCATTCGAAGCAACAAGCTCGCGATATGTGAGCTCTCCGGCGTGTTAGCGGCGCTCTATTAGACAAATAGGAATTATCAAAGGTCTTCTGCCGACAAGAACCTTACTTCTGTCAAACAATTCGTGGGCTTTTGTTTATGTCACCATTGCTGCCCGTATGCAGTCATTTAATTCTATCCTGGCGGGAGCAACACGATCTTCAGGCTAGTGTCCGATTCACTTCTGGTGACAATATACCTGGTTGGAAAATGCGATACACTGTGCCAGGGTGAAGAACAAATATTGAAATAACATGAGGTGCTGAAAGCCTCAGTCCACTCTGTTGCGGAGAGGTGCGGAAAACTGCATTATCGCTACATCGTGAGCCCACACAACACGCCTACGCACCATGTTCCGGCGGCAAAAGGAAACACGAGTGGACCGAGTGGTTGGGCACCAGCTTCGCGTGCGTTCTCTTGAAAAATTTCAACAAAACGTCTCCAATAAGGACTGCTATCGTAGAAATACGGCTTGTGTTCAAGTCTCACTCTTTTCAACCATTTTCCTTTTTCTTTTATCAACATCTGCTTTTTTGCCTCTAGACTTGACCGAACCATTCACCCTCAACACGATTTACTGATTCCATCCTGGGAATATCGCATCTCTATCTCGCAGCTCATGGTGCTCGGTCGTTGAGAAGCCGGATACGCCATGAAGGACGTACTCTACGGTCTGGGCCAGCCCGGACCGAACCTCTTCTCGTCCCATACTACCACCTGCACCAGCGCCTTTCTCGGGTTCTCCATTGCTCCCATCTGTGTCACCGAGCCACACATTCAGTCGCACGGCAGCCTTGAGCGCGCTGCCAGCGACATCCCAGTTCGTTAGACTCATCTGCACAGAACAGATGCTCAGCATGCTCTTGACAAAGAGGTCGCGTGACGTACCACGTGCACTAGAAATAATTAAAATTGTCACCCACATGAACACGCCCAGCAGAGTCTTCCAGGAAGTCAGCGAAACGCCCCAAGCGGCGGTCCACAGGTGGAGAAATTCATAAGGCTGAACGACCTCGCCGAAAGGCCGACGCCTAAGCACGGCACGAGCATAGATGATTGCAGCCTGTCGAACTACTTGGTAGAGTGGATCTGGTGCAGGAAGCGGGTGGCTTTGTGAAGATGCAGCGGTAGTTGCAGGGGCTGCCGTCGCCTGGCAGGTTGCGTTATTGGTTTGACTACCAGTCGACTGCCCGTACACAACGGAGTGCGTGGGCCCATGCCGTGAGTTGAATGCACTTCCGCCGTCGCTTTCGTTTGCAGGTATGGACATGGATAGTAGACTGCCGCCAGCCAAGACTTGTGGCGTTGGTGTCGGCTGTTCCTGGTACGGACTGCCACCACGCCCTCGATGCCCTGTCAACGATCCAGGCGATGCAGACGACGTATGCTGCTGCTGAAGATCTTGGTCAAAATAAGATGGCGATTGGGCAGTGAAATGTATGCTCTCTTGATGGTGTGGCTCTGCGTCGGACAAGACAATGGACGGACGATCGTCAGCTATACATTGCGCCTCGGCGGCGAGACTATCACCCTCTCGGTGGATTTGAAGGAGTTCCGGTGAATCCGCCGGCATACGATGGATGCGGTCATGAATCCACTGTGCCGTTGTCTGCACCTTTTGCAAATCCTTTATCGTTGGGCGTGCAGGAAGAGCCAACACCGCAGTAATTAAGAACCGCATGTCGTCGAGTATAGATGCGGTCGTTGGGTGAATGTCTAACGCCTCGGCACATTGTGCAAAAGATGGCTGTCCTGGAACTAAAGGAGTATTTTGAGAAACGCGGAATGGTGCCGGTGAGACATCTTCGTAGTCAAAGAGACCTTGGCTGGTCCCGTGGCTACCATTAAGTACTGGGCCTGTTTCCAGCACAAGAGCCACAGCCTGGTCATTACCGTGGATGGCGGACAGATGCATGACCCTGGATTGTTAGAACGGACAGCAGAAGAACGACGTTACTTGGAAAAGAACTTACGCCATAGTTAGCTTGCTGATCAAGCCGTTCATTCCTAGGTTCCGAAAGCCGCCACGATGGCGAATCATTTCACAGAGGCAACGCAGGTGTATGTTTAAATTTTGTGTTTGACCCCAGTACCACTCAGCCATGATCCGGTGGATGACAGTGGTGATGGCATCATCAGAGGTGGATGTAGACGCGGGCCCGCCGTTGCCTCTATTAGAACTTCTTCCTTGAAGCTGTGCGTTGAGCATGTCAATGGCACGACCCTTGTGTGTCAGGGTAACCGCCTTGTCGAGGTGACCAGTCTCATGCAGGAAACAGGACGACGTGTATATGGCCACCTGGGCCAGAAGAGGAGTTTGTAGACAATAAGGCGCATAAGTGCGCGTCCAAGGACTCGAAAGATCTTTATTGCCGTCGAAGCAGGACTTGAACCGAGATAAAAGTTTCGCATCTGTAACGCAGTGTCAGATAGAAGGACAACAACAGAGATGTAAAAGTAAATGAGGAAAGTTAAGTAAAAATAAAGAACAAGGTGGCCTACATATTTGGTCAGCATCATTATCGGCACACGTCACTTCCGCTGGTTTATGTCCTAAGTCGGCAATCCGGTCAGATACTTGGGACAAGTTGGTCCCATGCAGCGAATTGCCACTGCTTGTGCCACTTTGGCTCCCGTTTCGGCTCCTGATCTTTCCATGACCGTCGGCACTGCTACTTCCGTTATGTCTATAATTGCCTGGAGCAGTCCATGTCAGAATGCGCAGCCATGCATAAAAGTCATTCATTTTGGCCGGGCTGGGGTCGTTTGTGCTGCCGCCGGTCAGTAGCCCATCCGGGTAGTTGTAGCGTGCATATAACAACTGAAATGCACTTCTGAGCACATCATGCTGTATGATAGCTGCGTGGTCGAGGTCTATCAGAAACACGTTGCCATTATTGCTGTCACTATGTCCTCCAAGCCCTTCGCGGTTGGTTTTATCGAAGTGCTGCGTGGGAAATTCAGTTTGAGGGAAGGAGCCACCAAGAGCAGGCACGTGGCCCAGATCAATTAGTGTTGGTAGGACACTGTCCCCCTCGCTGTGATCCCTTATCTGTGCATCTGCCACGGCTATACGTATGCTCGATGTCGAGGCATCTGCATCCGGATAGTCGTCGGTCGTCATCAGGTCTAGTTCCTGCCAGCGGTCAAGTATTAGATCCGGTCCCAGCATGGTACTACCTGCAGCGGTTGCAGTTGCTGTGAAAGTATCCCATTGTTGTAGCTGCTGCCGCTGGTGGTCAAGTGAACTCGCTATAAAATGTACCTGGTTCGGTATAGGATGTGCCGACGGAAGCAGAGGCGGCGACTGGAGGAGCGGAGAAGGGAGTGAATTCGGGGAAGAACGCGTCATGTCATATCCGAGCCGCGGGAGCGCGTTTGGTCGGGTTTGTCTGTGTCGGAGTTGGGTCGGTCGAAGCATCTGGCTACGGCTGCCGCAAAACTTGGCGAAGTCGTAATCTTGTGCCGGGAGGACAACCTTGAATGCCGGTTCACGAGGAACGGCCGGATTTCGCCGTCTATGTGCCCTGTTAGATATGTGGATATAGGACATTTTCAAAACAAGGGCGGCAGCTTGTCACAACAAAACGCACTTGTTCTGCTTGTATTCGCATGCTGGCTGTGGATACCGCTTGATACAGTTTCCACAAGGTCGGCCTTGGTCGCACTTTTGCTTCCGCCGCCGACACTCACTGCAACTGGTCGTTACACGCTCGGCGCGTGGTGTCCGCACGCACACTTGCATATCTTCGGGGGCGGCAGGCAGAAGAGATGGTACCGGCATAAGCAGTGCGTGCGACATGGTGCTAGTGTTCGTATTTGATATCGAGAACTGGGACATGGGAAAGGATGAGAGTAGGATGGCTGAGCTTGTCAGGTCGAGAGAGGATTTCTGTAACTCGTCCGTTGTTACTGGCAACACTCTCCGGTCACAGTCCTTGAGGTTTTCTTGCATTGTTTCACAGGCCGGCTGCTGATAGAAGGTAATGTGGCGGAGGAGAAAGAAAAGGCAAACCCGAGGGAAAGGGGATACAGAGAGCAGAGAGGGATGGTTGAAATCATAAGAATTGGGCGAGCTGGATTTATGGTGCCGGCTGTGGTGAGGTTATATGCACTTCTCCAGTCCATCAGTGTTTTGTGTTTACCTGCGAAGACAACCTGCTAGATTTGGCCGCTATGGCATGGGCCTGCCTTATCGTCGATTTTGCCGCGTTCCCGTTCTGACTGTAATAACATCTTACATTTTGTACAGCTCTTCTGGGCTTATGTGTCTTTTAAACTGTGTGCCTCTTTTGGTCCTCTTTCCATATCTTCAACGTCGTGCTTTGTGGTTTTTTTCTTTACCCGCTAATTTACCGTTTGGGTTAATTGTTGACATTTTATTTCATTTACTGTCCACGCCATCCCGGTTAGGATGTTCCACAGCCAGGCCCTCGCTAAGAGCCGGACTGTCCTTGGCTCTAGTTCTGTTCGTAGGGCTGAAACGTTCTATTCCGCATCCCTCCCCCCACATCAAGACGCAAGGCTGTTTCTTTAACACACCTTGTCAAGGCAGGAGGTCAGTTCTATCGTTGTTGACTACGCGAAGCAGCCTTTACCTTGGCGCACCTCTCGACGATGAGCTGTTAGAGCCAGGCTAGTGTCAAGCTTGGCTGGTGGATTATTACGAGGCTATCTACAAGGACAGATTGAGGGTGGGTGAGCAATGGTGCAAGAAACACGCAGTGGAGAATTGGCAGTAACGAATAAGGCACGGAGTACCGTCAGAGAATGGAATAATTTAACTGTAGGGAAAGTCGGGAAAAGGCAGGCAATGGTGTGACAAGGGCGCCGCTGCTATGCACATTGTCGGATTTGGGCCAGATGCGGCTTAGCAAAAGACATTATGTGTTGCCTCGGTGGCCAATGAGACGGAAAGCAATGATGGAGGGGCCAGGTACGGTAGACTAACAGCGGACTGAGAAATAAGAAACGTTGAGAGTGATGGAGGCCTGTTGTGAGATACTTTATTCAAAAATGGACCAGAGATAGTTGCATCATTGAACGAAAGCAATAATGAGGTAACGTTTACAACGTCGCAGTTGACAGCTTTGCAGTGAGGATTTGCCACCGTCTGAGAATTAAAGTTTTCGCTGTTCCGTTGGCGACGCTGACGTGAGATCCTTGGTCATCCGAAGAGGAAATCGGCATGAGAGGGACAGATGAGGGGGACATAAACATCACATAAACATCACATAGATACTCACAGGCATCAAAGAGGCATGGCACATACGGTAACGAGGTGTAAGAGCATGGTCACATACGGAGTACTGCACCATATTTTAGGAGACTGTGACAAGGCAAACTGACTGCAAATTTACAAGGGGTCCAATGACAAGCAGCAATGATCAAGTTCGTCGAAGGAGCCACCGGTGAACGTAGTAGTCGAACTCTCACACTCACCCTGCAACACTAGAACATCCCCCAGTATCACTCTATCTATGTGGCTGCAACTGCGGACGGTCTAGACCAAGCTCTGGCGGACCAGGACCACCCAATCCCAAAATTAGACTTCATCTTGGGGCGGGGGACGATACAAGGCAGCTCGAAAGGAGCATGTGACAGCCACTGACTGTGTTCTAGATCGGAGCATAAAAAAAAGAAACTGACAAACCAAACGAAATAATAGTTCAAGGGATGAGAAGCACAGCCCAACGGTTCCAATAGGCTTCACAGTCCAGGTAAACGAAAACAAAATATGCCTAAAAACGCCACAAAAGCCACGAAAGCCACATTTTCCAGAAAAAACTCATTACAAAATGTAAGAATAACCGAAAACCACCCAGCTGCCGACCTTGACTTAAGCGAGCACCGTCAGATGTGTCGTCATCTGGAAGTGAGACGGCGAGTCCTGCACACACCGACAGTCCAGTGTGTTGGTGCATATCTACGGTCATGAAGCGTTCGGCCCATATAGGTCTATGCAGTCAACTGTCGTTTTTTCTTCGGAAAATGCCGACACATCCATCAAACCATGATCGCAAACATTGTCACGATCAAAATGGCATGCAAAGGGACTGACAAGACCTGGAAAAAACACAACGAACAAGGGGCTGTCAAGACCAGCCATTGTTGTGCGCGCGGTAGCCAAATTCAAAGGCCTCAAAAGATGGGCGGAAGCTGTCGAACGGGGTAGCTGTGTGTATAGTTCTGTTTATTATTGCAGGGGGAAGCGTACGTCTCTCCTGGTTTGATGGGCTCGCAGGTGGGTTCAGCAAGCTAGGTTGACGGTAGAGCTTTGTCAACGTAGGTAGTATTCTAATGGTGAGAAGTCCTAGTACAGACAGCATTGAGCAGTCACACAAGACGAAACAAGGGGCTTACTGGTAAAAGACTAACTAGAGCTTTTGATCAGGTCGATTTCTTGACTTTATGCTAAGAGGGTAGCTGTAAAATAATAAACCAATACGAAATGCTTAGTGACAATATCTTCGTGGGTAAGCACGTACACTCATGTTGAAAGTACAGCATCATGTTAACGGACATGCAAGAAGAAATATGGCTGGACTCATAGCAAATCGCATTGCTAAAACCGTTTACCACCACAGCTCATGACCTACAAAATACAATACATCGCGATAAGGAAGGAAACACTTTGCGAAATGAATGGGTCCTTTCCCCATCGGCAGCATGTATTGTCATCGATGCCAGGCTAGAGTCCTATCGGGTAGGTATAGTGAATAACGAATTAAGGAATGGAATATGAATAATACGGTGCCGAATAATAAATAAGTGAAGAAATATCATGGCGATGATAACGTCACACCAAGAAATATTTGAAGTACAGCATAGTTACTATTGCGTTTACGAGTTGCCTGGTGAGATGCACGGTAGTGTTCGAGCTCGCCATGCCACGTCTTGGCTGATTGGAAAGATTTATTAGTGCAGAGTATGGCATGTAATACAACAGAAAAACGGCAGCGATCGTATTCGACCCGCTGCCCCTGGGTATGTGTGCGAGATAAAAGTATAATAAGAAAAAACGACAGACCCAATAAATAAGTATCGGGCCGCAGCACACTGGGCAGCACTCATTCACAATCAATATTTACTGCACGGAGTAAAACTCAAAAGAAAACACACACACACACACATATATATATATATATAAGAAGGGAAATGGAGACAGGAGAAAAAGCGAAACAATAAAATGCTTGATTGCAAAGAACATATTCACTCCGCTCCTCAGCTGTGCGATATGCCCCGTTTGACACCCGCGTCTCTTGTGGCAGCTGACGCCCAGCCCTTGGTATTGAATGTGTGCACCATAGTCCTTCGCCTCGCGTATGTCCATGCCTCCCTCCTGGAATTTCAGCCCCGTGGACGGTATCCTGCTCCAGTTTCATGTTGTAGGCTCCGGGCATGCCCCTTGCTACAGACTACGGACTCTTGTTCCCCAAGTATTCCTTTCGGAAGCCCCCTCCCCCTAAGAAAACAATGAACACCTACGCCTTCCAGTTTCGATTTTCCTACACTAAAGAATCACGTTCCACGACGGACCAATAAACCAACAAAAGTATTGTACATCGGAACGTAAGAAACTACCGTGAAACATCATCCAAGGTAAGTATTCTCTGCGAAACGTACAACGGATGCAGCGCCTCGAGAACCAGCAAGCGCAGATCTTCATTGGGCACTATTAATAACGTGCAATGCCGCATCGTTTGTCATGTCTGCGCCCCGTCGAACAGTTCGTCAAGTTTGCCATGTAATTAGGGATTTGTAAAGCTTGTTATACGGGCCTTGATCAAAGCCAAATCAATATGCCCGCCCTCTCTTGAGTAAAGTTTGGCTTGTCCGCCGACTAATATTATTGCAACAAACGTGACGTGCCGCGTGGGGGCTTTCCAGAATGCGATGATCTTTGCCATTCCGCGCGACTGACAATGTATTGCAATTGAGATACAGGAACAAAATAAACAATAGAAAGTCGAAGGAAAAGTATTGGAAAATTTTAGTTACAAAACATCCGTTATATAGACTATCACTATGATCACAATGTACATTTAAAAAGTCATATTCAAATCACCAGTCCGCTCAGAAAATGCAACGACATGTTCCATCACCAGTCTATGTTACTCGAACGTACCGAGATAGTATCGGGAACGCCCTGGCTGCCTGGTAGCCAACCGAGTAATTTTCCAAGTTGCGGATGTGCGCCTCAAAGATTGGATTCAGCGCCAGCCGCTTTCCATCCGCACATTCTATGAAAGTGTGTGCCTCAGTGAAGGGCCAGTTGAGTGACAGCGTGTTCCCGATCACGAAGCGTAGGAGTTCAAACGCACTATAGTCGCCGCCGCGGATGAGGCTGTCACGAACATCCGGCCAGATGATTATGTCGACCCATGCCGGGTGTGGAACACGGCGTTGCAACTGTGTTGGTTTCAAATAGTCGGGAATAGCTTCGTAGTTTTCCTTGGTAGGGCAAAGACACCATCGCAGATATATAGCCAATTTATATAGGAAAGACAGGCGGCCCGTCAAGTTCTTCAACGGGGACTTCCAAACCACATGGGTGGCCACTGCGGCAAGAACGGGTCGTGACGCAATTACAGAGGCGGCTTCGCCGTCTCCATCAGAGGACGAGTCAGCTAGCGAGGGCGGGTTAGTAGCCGCAGCAGCTACCGCGGATGCTCTGGCAGCTGCTGTCAAAGATGAGGCAGATAAAATAGAGGACGCGCCCCCTGCCGAAGCCGCTGCTAATGCCTGGAGCAGTTCCTCTCCCATCACGCTATTACTCAGTGTACCACTGGAGGCTGAGCCGTTACGGGCTGACCGCGGCCTGTTGTCTGTACTCAGAGGCGACATGAGACCCTCGATGCTGGGAAATACCGGCTGACAAAACTCGTTTGTGCTGTAACGCTGGACAAGTGCCTGGCTTGTGATGAGTACCAGTTTATCCAGCTCTGTCGCTACAGGCATATTAAGTGGCAGCACCATCCAATCTGGCATTCCGGACCTAGATGCAGAGTACCGGCTGGCAAGATAGTAGGGCATGTAGGACAAGTTGGTCAAGAACGGCGAGGGTGGGGTTGCCCCGTACAAGGCTTGATATCGCTGGATATTTTGGCGGTAAAAAGGAGCTTGGTTCCGTTGCTCGTGCCGACGTTCGCTCTGGTGCTGCAACGGTTCGTGCTGATGGTAAGTATGGTCGATTGCGGTGGGAAAGTCGGCGTAGAGCGGCTGCGCACCGAAAACATCGTCAACATCCACGGGAATATGCCCGTCGATTTCAAGGTTGTCGAAAAGCTGGAATGCTGTGGTGTCAAAAAAGTCGAGCTGCACGTTGCCAACCGAGTGAGGAAGTGAATGACCTTCAGATGCTGTGGACGACCCGCTCGAAACCGATCTCAGGGGTGTGGCTCTATACGGTATCGTATTGTTTCTAGCTTGGCTCGTCGCCGGAAGTAACATCGGCAGAAACGACACCGCCGGGACCGCAGACATGTCCCGAACCGAGACAGCGCCGCAGAGGTCCTGCGCCGGCGATGTTGAGCCCGCGTCTTGGTCTGCTCCTCTGCCGTTGTCATTGTTGCCCTCGAGTACGCGAAGCCTGGCATGGCTTACATCGAGGCTGTCTTTGAGCCGTGCAACCTCAGCTTCAAGTTCGGCAATGTAGAGTCGCTTTTTCTGGCGCCAATGTTGCTGGTTGGTGCGGTCAATTGCACGCTTTTTCTCGACCTGAGAAGGCGTCAGGTTGCAGACACGCCGGCGGGCGCGAGCCGCCGCGTTAGTGTCAGCGACGCCGATTTTTGTATCGTTACCGGGCATGGCCGTGGTCTCCAACACAGATAAGGCCGTGGCCAGCGTTCACGGGTGCGTTGTATGGGATGTCGTTGAAATGGCTGTGGGACTGAACTTCGTTTTATCCATCGGTCATGCACTAACACAGGTCGTGATTGCACATCACGGAATACAGGGTCAAAGCAGGGGCAAGTTCGATAAGACAGATAGGATACGGGGAGAATAAAACCAGTGCCGAGGAGATGGCCGTCGAGAAGTGACGTGGAGCAAAAAAAGAAAATAAGGAGGGAAAGCGAAGTCTTGAGATTGGCCGTGGAGGCCGGGCGAGATCTTGTAGACTGCGTCTGTCGATATCACGCTTATTGAACTGACCTGACTAGACTGCAATCACGTCTTTGCGTTTTGCGAATGCTCATGCAGCAAGACATTACGTGGGGTTGCACATCTTCCTCTTCTCGAAGGCAAGTACATCGTACAACATATTCGTTGGAGACCTCAGCATAATCGGTGCAGATGGCTGAGGCACCCCAGCTTCTGGAAGTCTCTTGTTGCTGTTTTCCCAAAGTCCCAATTGTGCAATTGCGGATCATGTTGACGAACGTGGCCCGGTTAGGTTAAGTCGGGTCGACATCTGTCATGTGCGTCTGAATCGCTGGGTTGTGCTCCACTTTAACGGCGTGCGATGATTGCAGACCTGCGTAAGTCGAAAGGATAAACTTTGGCGCCGGTCCAGTTGAGCGCAGACGTGTGTGTTGACAACCACAAACATTTGGTTGCAGACGAGCCTACCGCCGGTAGTCTGGGCGCGTTTCTGGGGGAAGGGGGGGGGGGGGGGGGGGGGTCTCGTAGGATCCCAGAACTTGGTACAACACGAGCTTTTACCGTCTTATCGACATCGCGGCAGCTATATTCTGAGGGATGAGAAAATGACTGACGTATAGTAGAACCATAGAGTTAGATATCTGAGACGGTTATGGGTGGAAAGAGGATGATGGGGAAGCTCTGAAATGAACAGCCTGAGGTGTACGACAAATGCTATCAACACTACGTATGAAAGGAAAGTAGACACAGTCCCACGAAGCCGACGAGACAATGTCCAACGAAAAACTACTTGTTCCAATCTCGTCAGTTTGGTATATTTCCTCACTTCGTGCGTCCGGTTATCAAGCATCCATTGGCAGTTAAAAATGAGTGACACCCTACCCACTCCCAATTGGAAGGCGCAGTCGTAAAGCACGCTCTCTGCTATCGGGGCAGTCTTTTTCGCCGAGCATGCATGCTGCCGCCGAGCAGGCCAGTACGTTTTCCATCCCAACCGATGGTATGGACGTGTGAGTTTTCTACTCAAGAAGCAATTAAGCGAGATGCGCGATGGTGATATGACCATCCTCCGAAACAGCCACCGACTGACAAATCAACTGCATGGAGGCCATGTACTTCTGCTCCGGAAGCACTTACGATGTAATTAACGACGCCGTAGGTCGCACGTCGAGCTCTAGAGCGGCGGTGCCGCAGGTACGACGAATGTTACCAGCGTTATAGATCTTTCTCTCCTTATCTTGTTCTCATTCTCTCTCGCCTCACCCAACAACATGTGAGAATGACATAAACATTTAAAAAGAAATAAAAACCAACCCTGCAAGCAACATGCCCCGCACTAACCCGGTAATTAAAGCTTAAAATCGTAACGTACAAAAGATAATTATGAACCGCCTTATACCGGGAGTAGTAACAAGTCTGGCTTCTGTACTACGTCCGTACACGCGAGTATAAATTGGTATCGTCGTAAGACGGCGCGTCTTCCCTTCGTCAAAATTCTTACCAGTTATGATCGACTCTTCTTTCCTTTTTCGCTCCCGTATGTCAAATATAACCCCTCCTTCGTCTTTTTTAACAACGAACCAAGAGTGCCTTCCAGAGTGCCTTCTAGAGTGCCTTCTAAACGGGTATTAGAATCACAACGGTAACGTTGTCATTACCCAAAATCCGAGTGTAATTCAGTATGACGGTACTAAACACCTATAATCGCTGCCCTGGTTTATTTGAACCTGCTCTTGTAGATTAGCTAGGCCGTAACAAGGAAACAGAACAATACCGAACGGAAAGGAGACGCCGAAATGCATGCCAAATACCGGATTCTTTAGCCCCAAATCTCCGCAAGCTTCTCAAGCGAACCGCCCGTCCTTAGAAGAATCCGTGTGTAAAGGTAGTCATACCTCGTACGACGTACTCCGTACGACCATTTCTAGTACACAATGCAGACGAGTAAAAGACAGTTTGACACCCTACGTAACGCTGTTAGTTTGAAGAACAAATGTTCAGTCACCTTTTCACGTTGGCTTGCCTTCTTTTGACCGTCTTGCGTGCCCCTTGCGCTAACACTCCCACTTTTAACCAGTGACCAGCCAGAGCTTCAGGCGGGCTTCCAGGTCGCCTCGCCCTTATTTCCCTGAAAGCCTGACTCCGCTCGGTTCCCGCCCACCATGGCTACCCCTCTTGCGCAGAAATCCCGCCAACCCGGTTCACGGTTAATGCCGCGGGTTTCGAGTCCCAGGGTGCTGGGACCAACAGGTCAAGTCGCCATCACCAACTCGTACATCCGTCTCGTGTCGATTTCAACCTGGTATTTGCTTTGGCAAACGGCGGGCGAGAACATGAGGCAACTAGCTGCTCGACCAGGGAACTCTGCACAACCTGCGTCTCGGATAGACACACCAGGAACAAAACGGGCGACATAGGACCAGTAATAACAACATTAGAAAAGTACGGCGTAAGATCTAGCCTGGAGACCATGGATGCCCCGCTTACCCATCTCCCCCCCCCCCCCCCCCCCCCAATCTTCGGCCGAGAGTCCATGCCGCCTTTTTATCCCACCGTCGTTCCCTATGTAGCGGATGAACCCGGTGCTTCTCAACCCAACGTCAGCTGCTAGCGGGAGTTCCTTGCATTGCAAATATCTTTGCCACCCAAGACTCATTCTACTCCGTTCTTCAAATACAAAACGGAAACATCTCCATGCTCGAGATTGACGCCGCGCGAGGCTTGTGTTTCGTCAAAGAGCCATCTCCGAGCCCGCCCCCAACCTTCCATTCACATCTACAAGCATGGCTTCAACCGGGCCTGGTTCCAAGGTGGCTATTGTGGGGTCCGGCCTGACCGGCCTCCTCGCTGCTCACGGCTTGAAGAAGGTGGGACAGACCCAAGCTTCCGGACTTTTCAGGGTGACACCACAACAGCAATAATCCGCTGCAGGTGCAACGAAAGACTGAAACTGACTCCCCATGTGAACGCGCACCCGCGCTCAACAGAATGGCTTTGACGTCGCTATCTTTGATAGCGAGACGCATATTGACGCCCGCACCCGCGACTGGACCATTGTCCTGCACTGGGCGTTGCCCGTCATGCAGGCTCTGCTTCCTGACGATGTTGCCGCGAAACTACCGCGCGCCATTTGTAACCCCAACCTAGAGTTTGACGCCAATGCCGAAAGCTTTCCTGTGTACAACGGCGTGACTGGTGGTCTGATGTTTGCCAGCCCCATGCCCGGGTCGCGCCGCATTTCGCGCCAACGCCTACGCAGTGTCTTAGCCGAGGGGCTCGATATCCAATGGGACAAGAAACTCCAGAACATCGCCAGAAACAGCAATGAAAGCAAAAACTCTCCCGCGGCCCTGACGCTTGCTTTTGAAGACGGCTCTACCTTCGCCGCGGACTTTGTTCTGGGAGCAGATGGTGCACACTCCCGCGTACGCGAGATCGTCGTCGACGATGCCGAAAAGGCCCGCAGCACGCTGTCTGGTCTGCTATTTGCCACGGCCATCGTCAACTACGGCGATGCCGCCAAAGTCAAGACTGTCACCGACGCGCACCCAGTTGCCGCTGCCGCGATGGGAACCGACGCCGTTGGCGGGTGTGGTGTGCTGTACGTTAACGATGGCTCCGACGGCGCCGCTGTGCGAGACCCCGCCGACTGGACCACCTTCTGGGTCAAAATCTGGAAAGGCCACCTCGATAAGGCCATTCATGGCCAGGAGGCCATCGATCTGCTAAAAAATAGCGAAAGCTCCAAGAAGCTAGCGGCGCCTTTCAACCAGCAGATTGAGTGGACACCGGAGGGCTCTGTATGCTACATTGATGAGATGAAATACTGGGTCCCCGTCCCATTTTCCGGTACTGAGGCAACCCAGGACGCCCGCGTGACGCTGGCCGGTGACGCCGTTCATCCGATGCTGATCTACCGCGGCCAAGGCTTCCAGCACGCCATCACCGACGTTGACAACTACATCAAAGCTCTGGTGGCTACGCGAGACGCAAACTGGGACGCAGGAATGCGGCGGCGCGAGATTGGCGCCTACAACGCCGAAGCCATTGAACGCGGTGCCAAGGCCGTCAACCAGTCTGTCCAGGAGGCCGCTCTGTCTTTCGACGTTGAGAAGGTGAGCAAAATGCTCATGGCGCGACAGGGACATGGCCGGTCAGCATAATGCCTCGGGTGAACAAAAAAAGGCGGCGGAGGCGGCGGAAAGAATGGTTGGCTTCCTGACACTGGTCAGCGGCAGTTTGTTATTCTGTTCTTTTAGTCTTCTTTTTCTTTGTATACCTCTCAGCTTTCGTCTCCTCCTTGTTTTTTTTCCTGTGCCCGCTCAGCTGTGGCCGTAACATGCTACCTATACCTCATATAACAGTGTTATTACAAAGTTATAAGAATAAGCATGTCGTACAGTTTGGTGATCATTACTTATTGTATCTTTGGCTTTCGTAACGAATCTGTCCGTGACCTATAGTTTTCGGCAACTCACTTATTTAAAGAAAATAAACAGTAACATAAAGTCGTAAACCAGCTTCTCCTGGAAGCAAGGGAACTAACTAGCTACCAAGCCTAAATCTCGAGTTGTCAGCTCACGCCTTCTGTCTGGCATTGTATTAAAAGACGACGAGCTACCTCATGTCAGCCGTAGAATCGTGAGACAATAACTATGGATCTGACAAGGTCGTGGTGTAGCCACCTTTCAACCAGCACAAGATACGGAATAGAGAGCAGGTCATTGGGCGACGAGCTCCATTGACACCGAAACGCGTTTCCCAGTCTTTCAGACGCCAAAGGCCTACTAGGGTCTGAGCGTATTCCCTCGAGCATCAGCTTGGGCTCCTTATGTAAGTTCCAGTGCTGTGTGGTTATTTCTCTTGAGGTCCTGATGCAATTGCTTGATGATGCCGTCGACGTCGGGAAGTGGAATATCTCTATTTGGCACAAACTGACAAAGTCCCTTGACGTTTTCAAGTGAAGGAGTACATTTTGTGGTCCGTTCGGCTTTGTTTTCCCCCTCAACGGAAAAAATACATAAAAACGTACTATATGCCAGATTCGGGGTGCTTTCCCTAAATACAAACAGAAACCGTGTCAGTCACGGGAGTTTGCATTTATTTCCACCTCCTCTTTCCCGAGGTCTATGTCGACGTTTTTTTTTCATGCAACTGCAATCGGGGCCCGAACACGCACGCTCGATGCCTTCCGCAAATAGTTACCAGGTCTGCCCATTTGCGCAGTTTAGACACACAAAAAGGTCACCAGCTGCACTTTCTGGCTCCCGCTAGATTCCGCGCAGACGCCTGCGCTGTGTCCGTCTTAGCCGAGACAGGTCAATTACTTTGTTTGACAAAAGAGGATTAATCCAACACGCTGCGCTGCTGAGTCTCAGCTCTTCGGCAAGACATGTCACTTCAAAAAGGATCGGTGTGCAGATCACAAGCCAAGCACTAGCGTGAAGTTTCGCTCCCCTCATCGACCAACGACACATCATTCGTAACAAACGGGCGGAGAAGAAGTAGCAACGGACGCTACGGCTTCGCTGCCGCTTGGCCTTTTCTCGCCTCGCTATTCCATGGCGCCGCGCCCCTAACCTTCATCAAGGTTAGTGTTGAAAGTCGTTGGTCGACATTTGACGTGTCACAGGTCCATTCAAGTCTGGCCGCCGAATTTGTACGCTGTCTCGGCTATGCGTCGCAGTGCTGTTCGAGGTGAAAAGGCCCTCTTGAAAGAGAGTGTGTGAGAATACGAGAACAATCAGACAGAAATGGCCTTTCGTGAGAGGAGTGGAAAGATTTCCTCGTTGTTTCGACGATGTTGTGGACCACAGCAACTGTCAGTGAAGAGGTTGGTGGGGGGGGTGGTGTTGCTGCAAAAGAAATGGAAAAACTCCAGGATGATGGCAGCCAAATGACCAAAAAATATGACAGAATTTCTCTTAGGAGGCGAGGAAAATGACAGACGAGGCAACTTGGTGTGTAAGAGGCCTCGGCACTGCGACAGACAACAATCTTGTTTTCTATGCCTCCAATTTTGTTACTCGACTTTCGCCACTCTGCATGTGTTCTGTGTTCCTGGGCCGTCCGGAGCAAGTACGTCGTTCACATTAATCTGCTCCGGAAGCAAGCATTCCCTCGGCGAGCATTAGATCTCACGTAGATGATTGCTAACAAAGTATCTCCGTTCGCCATACGGACAAGAGGGAAAGCGTGCTCTCCGTGCCCGCTAAATGTGCCTTCTTTGCGCCAATCTATATTAACACTGCGCTTATCGAAAAGTTCAGAGCCTGTCAACCAATTATCGCGCACAGAGGTTTGACAAACACCTTGTCAATGTGTGTCTCTCTACAAAAGGTTAGCATGCTTTGTGTATCGACAGGATATCAGCATACTATATCTTGTAAAAATACAGACATCGATATGTATCCTGGTGCCGATTCCATCAGACATATCCGGTGTGTTACTACTTGTCGAGTCGGAAGCCCACTATGATAGAAATAAACTTTACGAGGGTCTTCGTTGTGGTTCTTTCCCTTGACAGTCTTTTCAAACGACCCTCCCTGCTTCTGTAGAGAGTCCAATGCACGTAGAGTGTAAAGTTTAGGGGTGGCGGCAAATCCGTCCTCCGTAACAAAATACGGCATGTTGCATCTATGTAAATGTACTTTTCCCGCCATATTTGTGTACCGTTCATCAGCAGACAGTGGTAAAGGGTAAAGGTAACATACGGATTATTTTATTAGGCTTTATTTAGTCCTAAACAACGTCAACATCAGGTAAGTTTTCAAGGTTCATGATATTCAAGATACCCGGTACAATACACGCCTATGATCAGGATTCAGCTGGCCATGGCTGTGGATTGCAGTGTGCAGCGGTTGCTTGAAATTTCGAGACGGTATCAGGAAAGTGCGATGACCTGCGAAGACCCTTCCTAATAAGTACGGCATATGTCGTTGTATGTGAACACACAATCACAAACGATCCAGACAGATGGACCGTAAACCGGAGCCTCTTTAATAGACACGGATTTTGGCCTCCCTTCAACCCACTCCCCCCCCCCCCCCCCCAAAAAAAAAAAAAAACGAAAAAACTCCCGAAAAAAAGCATTCTTTGACCTACTCCGGGCCTCTTCTCATTTAAATATCTTTTCTGCCAGTAGGCTTGTCTCATTCTTCCTATAGCCCGCCAACCTCCAACACGGCCGTTGAAGCTAAAAGACCAACGATCGTGGCTGGCAGCAACTAACTAGCGCACACCCTAAATATGTCTGGCACCGGTTTCTCTGTACTCCGTAAAAGTGTGCCTGCCACCCACCCTCGCTCTCTTTCAATTTCCATATGTCCCAATCCCTTCCCGCCCGCTTCCCCCATGGTGTCCCAACTTCCTTGTGCAAATCCTACTTGCGCTCTCCCTCGCCCACAACATCAAACAGACGGGCTGCCACAACATCGCGCTTTCTATCAAACTACTTGCTACTTCTTCAACCTCACTAGTCGCCATACGGCCGCACAGTCTCGGCCTGGCCCTTCGAGCCCTTCTGAACATCATCCCTCGGTAGCATCCCGTGCAACAACTCTACGACCATGTGCGAAGACGAGGCGGGGGATGGAAGAACGCCCGCTGCAACCGCCGCGGCCAACACAGACCTGCCTAGCCAGCCGCCATCGATGGCAAGCTCAGTGATCGAGGCCGCTAGCCAACCGGGCGACGAGGATGAATTCGACCCGGTAGAAGGATATGAAACCTCCAACTCGCTTGCCTCTACCAGTGCCACATCTAGCATCTACGCGCACACCTTCGAGAATGGGCGACGCTACCATTACTTCAAGAATAGCCGCTATCCGTTACCAGACGACGATATGGAACAAAGCCGCGAGGACATGAAGCACGCCATGATGATGGAGCTAACGGATGGAAAGCTCTTTTATGCTCCTGTCGACGACAATCCCCAAGAAATTATTGATATCGGGACAGGAACTGGTGAGTCTACCAAGCATAGAAATCGCAGCCATTGCGCCAATTCTAGCAGCGTATATTAACGAAAGCTAATCATCTCCAGGAATCTGGGCCATCGAAGGTAAGATCCTCGACGAGCAGAAGCTCTCAGGATATTGTGCCTTGCAGCCCCGTTGCGCGTCTTGCTAAACCGGCAGCCGTTTTATATATTCGATGTAACTAACAATACGACCTGCAGTCGGCGACCAATACCCGAGTGCACATGTCCGTGGCATCGACATGACACCAATTCAGCCCGTTTGGGTGCCGCCAAATGTTGACTTTCTTGTGGATGACTGCTCCAACGAGTGGCTAGCTACCAATGTTGACCTAGCCCACTTTCGCTTCATGGTGATGATCCTTCGGGACGTACCGAATATCATGAAGCACTGCTACAAGTACGTCGACGATGAGCTCAACTTCCATTCCTCAACAAAGTTGTGTGTCTGCTAACTATAATTAGAAGCTTGAAGCCCGGCGGTTGGGTTGAACTGCAGGAACTTCTGGGTGAAGTTATGTGCGACGATAACACAATGCCAGAAGATGACCCGCTCAAGTACGTTTATCAGCTGGCCGACCAAGCTTTCACAAAGTTCGGCATGAATGTGAAGCTAGCACGGGAGTTGGAACCTGTTTTGCGCGAGGCTGGCTTCGTCAACATCCAGTGCATTGCTAAAAAGGTACCCATTGGGGTTTGGGCGAAAAACAAAACACTTCGCCTCATCGGACTGTACCAGAAGATGGCTGTTGCCGACATCTTGGGTGCTGTCGCTGGCCGACCGTTCGCTGCCCTTGGAATACCTGCCAATGAGCGAGAAGTAATCATTGCGCTGGCACGACGCGCTATGGAAGATAACAGCGTGCATCGCTACTTCACGTACTACTTCTGGTATGCACAAAAGCCAGTAGATGGACCTGAAGATAGTCCGCCACATTCACCGTGATCTCACAAGGCCTTGAAATACTTCCCGGCTAAAATCACAGCTGGTGAACGCATAGTGCACTCATGATGAAAGAGACGCCCAATTCTGACGATATTTCCCATCCAAAACGCTTCACGACATAAGCACCATATTGCCACAGCAATCGTTTCAATAGTATTATTTATTTCGTCCATGGCTTAGGTATAGCTCATTTGATATGTCCCCTCTCATTTTCTCTATGATTCGAATTTAGGTTGGGTATAACTATTTAAGGACTTGGTGCTTGTGGAACGGTCCTTAGGTAGGTAAATATCGTGGCGTTAGTCGGGATATCGGGGTGGATGGCCAACGATGTACTTCGCCTATCCACATAATCCAGGACAAATTTTTTTGCTCGACTGGTCTCTCATTCCGGTATAAAGACCACCCAAAGTATAAAGTAGACATAAAAGCTTGGTTGCGGTGTATTTAGTGCACAAGGACACAGTTTCACATCTAGGGGTATCGACGCTCTGAGAAATAAAATAAACGTCCCCGACCGTGCAAAATCGCTCCGTTTAGTTCATGCTCTTTCCGACTCACTACCGTCTCCGGTACTCGGGCTTCCTCGCCTTGTTCACGGGAGGAGGTGGCGCTTCATCGTCATCAATCGGGTAGGGAGCGCCGCCCATCGGCGTCGTGTATGAAGGTGTCAATGGGGACGGACTACTGGGAGCCGGTGGTGGGTCCGGCCTGCGCCCGCTATTACTAGTCGTGCGCCCGTTGCCTTCTGGCAACGGCGTCTTGGGTGGGAGTGGCGGTGGCTCTATGCGATGCGTACGGTAGTGAGCTTGGGGTTGTGAAGGGTGTTGATACTCCTGTGATTGCTGATTGTAAGATTGTCGGGTCTGTACGTGCCAGCTAGAGCCTGCAGCGGCTAGATTAGACGCGTTGCGCCATTGCTCAGGTGTCGGGGCCGATACTAGTAGGCGATCGTCATCGGCAGCGGTCCGCCCACCCCGCTGTGGGTGTTGCGGTCCACTCCCGCTACTGTTGGCAAGAGGTAGGGTCGGTGGCAGAGCGTTCTGGCGCGGTGGTTGGGACAGTGAGGAGCTGTCGGGCACTTCGGCGATGGCTGGATGCTGGTGCGGAGATGGCGGGGCGTTATACGAAAAGCGGTCAGACGAGCTTCTGGGTGATGGGCTGCCATTTTGGTGAGGTACGGATAGATGGTCAATGCCGGAGTCGTAGGATTGTCGTGGGGAGTAAGCTGCTGGACCTGGCGCTGCGGTACTAAATGCTGTGGGCATATCGCCAGGCAGTTCAACAGCGAGCACTTCTGCAGCAGGGAGAGGCGCCTGCCCTTGTAACTTTTGGATGGACTCGGGAACGTCGGCAAGTCGGTTATGCCGCTCATTAGCACGATTGATCTTGGCCAGTTTGGCGGCAGCACTCTGAACCATGTTGCGTTCAGCAGTTCGTGATAAATATCGCTTTGTGTTGGTGCTGATTTCAGCCAGGCGGCCCCATTCGTTCATGCCAAACTCGCCGACACCAACCTCCACATTTAGGCGGTAGTAGTTTTCAACGTTGACGCCGCGCTTCAACAGGTGCTCTTGCTGCATATATTCGTGGATGTTTTCGCAACCTTCGATCTTGGAAATAAGTCGGCGGCGAGCTTCTGCGAACTCGCCAAGAAACCCATCATACCACATGGGGTTGTTGTCACTGCCGCGAGGACGCTTGCCGGTGCCTACGCTGACAAAAACACCGACGTCACGGCCCGGCCACTCGTTGATGGTAGCCTCATCAAGGGCATGGGGTGAGGGGTTAAAAGAGCCAGAACCGTCATCGTGAAACATGGACTGGCCGATCTGAATGGGCTTAAAGGCAAGGCCAATGGCGCAAGTTGCACGACCGGCCTCCCAAATACGGCAGTCAAACTCCGGGGCCGGCTCCCGCCTAGAGTCGTATGACCTCAGCATGACGGGCTCTTCGCCTCGTGGTGCGCCTTTGTATATAGCAGTGACCACCCTGTGAGAAAATCGTTTAGCCAATTGTGTACGGTTCAAAATAGAATGGTGGTCGGTCCAGTCCATAATGCTGCCAACTCACGTTTTTGTGCGGAATTCCCTCGAGTCATAAAGTAGCGCGTTTGGGTCGCCACGGTTAGAGGAGTAGTATGGCCTCGCCATCTGTGCGGCGGGGCTTCGCGCGCTGAAGCTTACGACACTTGCATTGCTCGAGTGTCGCCGCGGTGCAGACGAAGACGAAGCGCCACTGGCGGGCCGGCCGGACGTTGTGGTAAGGGGACTGGCGATGCTGGAGAACGAGTCTTTGCCCTCGCTGAGGGCCACGGTATGTTCGCGCACAGCCTCTTTGATAGCGTCTTCGAGGCGTGATGCCTTGAATAGCGTCGGACGGGTTGGGATGCCGAGGATGGTCTTGTCGGTCTCGAAAACCATACGTGTCATGCGCACATAGAGTTCTTTGCACGTCTCGATATCAAGGCGTAGGCGACCAAGCATCAAGGCAATCAGTCCGCCGGTGCCGGTGCCAACAATTAAGTCAAAATGGTCGGCGGGCTTGGGGATCTCGTTGCGGTGGGGAGCGCGACCCTCAATCTCGACAAACGTCCGGTGCATAATTTCTTGGAGGATGATGAAGATGCTGTAACCGCGTACACCACCACCATCTAATACAGAATAATGAGATTAGAAGGGTCGGGATCCGGGGTAGCGTATACCAAAGAGGCAGACATACCAAGAGATAATATACGAAGGGGCGGTCCCTTGCTCGTATCTTTTCGTTTTAGACTCGAGTCCATGACGGCTAGTATATGGTAGCGATCGAGCAGGAGATGCCTCTCCTGCCGTATCAGAAGATTCGCGGCTCCCTAAAGGAAGTGAAGAATGCGCTCCGTTTGAAGATACTCTAAGCCAGCTTTTGTCTATTCGCCGGTACTTGAGTCAGCTTTGCGATCGAGGAGAGTGCATTAAAAGGATGATGTAAAGGTTGCAAGATGACGAAATGTGGACGGAGTCCTATTCGCCCGCTCGTTCAGATAGCTTGTTCAGAGAGACAAAACAATGTAGCAATAAGGAGACGAAGGCGCAATCTCAGCCGAGTGCGGAGAGGGATAAAAATTAGTCGTATTTATTTTGGTTGCTTGTCTTGATTGTCAGGAGTTTGCGATGTGTTCTGTACGTTGTACCTTGGGATTTTGCTCGTTTCGCTGGTTTCGTCGACGGCGATGACGGTAGAGCGGGACTTTCGTGCCTACCCTCTTTTCCGTCCACTCGCGCTGTGGCTGGGATTGGCTAGGCTAGGACCATCTAAAAGCGACCGTGTAGCAGCGGTGCGGGGCGAGCTGTGCTGGCCTTCCTAGGGCCTGGTGCCTTGGACATGCCTGTTAATACATGGCAACATGGGCGGGGGCATTGGGCTGTACCTTTTTCTCCAATTTAGTTGGGTCGGGCCACTCCGGACGGACTTGAAAACAAGTTGCAGGTCCGCCAAGTTATAGTGCTGAACGGTTACAGCACCAGAAGAAGCCATCTTGTTGTTGTCGGTGGGGGGAAGGGGGGCGACTTTCTCTGCTGCGGACGCGAAACGCGTAACCACCACAGACTTCGGGGGCTCGGAGGTAGCCTAGCCTGTGCCTTGTGTTCCAAGGTGTGGCGAGGCGCCAAGTGTGTTGGAATCTGACTGGGTAATCTATAAGAAAGGCATGTCCGACTTGAACGAAGAGAGACGACAAGAGAGAATAGTGGCTGGGCAGCATAGTTCACTCGTGTGCGGAGCATTTCTGAAGAGTGTTCGCCTGGACGGTGTGTTGTATGACTTGACAGGCGCCGAATTAGTTTCGTTAGTTTCGTCAATTTGGACTGTAATTATGCGCAAGGGTCGAAGAAAAGAAGAGCACGGCTTTACCAAAGGTAAGATATTAATACTCCCCAATACTGTGCGCGTATCAGCTAGTGCAAAGTGGCTCCAGGCCGCCAGGAGTAGCTGCTGCCAGTCAACGCCGCAAATGAAGGACGACGAATACAAATACGCCAAAGATACGACGTACGAACTACGGAGTATGTCGTACAGCAAGTACAGAATACAAAAGTCGGATCCTTGCCCAAGTCGTTGTCGCTGGCCAACCACGTAGATGGCTGAGGAAGAGTGGCCGTGCCCAGGTATCAAGCCTGCGCGACGGAGATAGGAATCTTTTCAACTATGTTCGTAGATCAAATGGAAATAACTACGGCATCTGGTCAGACGTCAATCCTGTTCCTTTGGCCAGCGCGGTGTCTAGCTGGACGTGAGCCAAAATAGTCAGGTGCAACGACCAGCCAATACAATAATTCCAACTGGCTGGCGTGAATATTTTAAAAGCTATACATATTAATAATAGCCCTTATCCAAGACAGCAGTGTGCAATGGTTGGATCTTTATTCTCGAGTCATTTGCGACATTCACTCGAATTTTAGACACTTTGACATGTGCTAAATACACTAGAATGGAACAACTACCAAACCTGAGCCTTGGGAACCAAGGACACAGCAAAGTTCTTTACATCTTATTAACGAAACCGGCCTTTTTGCCTGAAAACGAGCAGGGTGATATGTCCGCGACAGCGGTGAATGCTTTGATCATCTTAAGTTCCGTGTTCTATGCCGCTGCAAGCCGCCGATATTACAGAATAACAGGGCAGCGGATACCGCCCTCGGTAACGTAGCTTCATACAACTAGGAGCCGTTGACGTCTGTGTCTAGCGCGGCCCAAACCGGATGTCGCCGTTTCCCAGGTTGTTTAACTTGCTGTCGTAATGTGTGATGATCGACCACTACATCTTCATCTTATGTCGTACGGAGGCGCCCAATGCGCATTATGGGCGTCCCATCGGGGTGCCTTGGCTGGTACAGGTAGTGCGATTATGAAGTTTACAAACATACCGGATGCAAATTCAGGGGCTCACAAAATACACGTTCTCAACCTGCCATACTTTGAAAGACATCAGATGCAAGACGGTATTCAATAATATGTATGTAGTACAGCGAGAGCTTCTATTATATGGGCCTCTTGGGCGGCCTTTTCTTGTGCATATATTCGTCAGTACCCTAATTCTTTCTTTTGAAGCCGTGTTTTCAGTTGGACTGTACGTGAACGCGATAACGAATGTCAAATTCCCCAGGACAAGGTTCTCACGCGCCTTCTGATAAGAGAATTGCGCGGCTTTCGGCGCCGAATCTGCCAAACAACGAAATGTATCCGTACAATTTTCGACTTAGACAAGTTTTGGACTTCAGCTGAGGTTTGGAAAAGATAGAGACTCGACTTAAGTCTCGATGAAAGACTCGAGAAGTGAGAGAGCGAATATTGATTTTCATAATACATCGTCTTGTTCAAGACAAGATGCATTTTGCACAAGGCGAGGCTCACTACATGAGGTTGTGGTCTTTTCTCAGGAGGGTCGTTTCAGTGCTTTTTTTCTTTCTGTATACAACCTGTAGCGCCAAAAGCAGCTAAGCGTCAAGTTGGTGCGCTAGGGGCTTACCTGGGAGCACTGACCAACTCTCTCGTAAAACTGCGTAGCTTGAAATTTAGCTAAATAAACCAAACATACTCGTGACAACAAAGCCCGCCTCGACTCAACACCACGACAGTTCTACCCAGCGCCGACCCTGGTATACAGGATATAAAACTTACCGACGAAATTAAATCGCACACAATGAATGGCCTTGGCGCAGGCAACGTACAAGGCACAGGCACCGGCGCCTTGACTGGGGCAGGGGCCGCCGCCGCATCTGGATTCCCAGCGCCTGCCGGCTACACGGCCGAGCTGAGTTATATTCACGCTATGGTTGAGGAGCTTAGCCGGCAGTTGTCCGAAAACAAGCGTGTTCTAGATGACGTTGTAACTGGCGTGGGACGTGTGCGGAGCCGTGCGCGCACTCAACAGCTCGGAAATGAGGCGTTGATTGAAGGGGCAAGCGAAGAGCTGCAGGGTATGCAGTCCTCAACCAGTCACTGGGCGGGGATGAGACAGGACAGGACTTGTTTACTATGCTAACACTTTCTTACTTATGTTCCAGGTCAAGAGTCCAACATGGATGCCACGATCTCTGTCTTGAGTGAGGCACTCGATGCTGCTAAATACGCCAAGGACGCCAATGCCGCCCTCCTTGGCCAGTACGCGCACGTCCTCGCCGGGATGCTCAAACAGTTCCACGAGTACAAGCAAAAGCACGTTTCTGATGTTGCCGCCTGGCACCGCAGCTACCGGCACCAGCTAGCCGAAGCCCGCGCCGAAAACAGCCGTTTACGTGATCAAATCTGGCAGATGCAGGAGCGCGCCGGGCGTGCCAACGCTAGTCTACGAGCTTTCCGACGGTCCTTCGATGAAGACCCGGCGAGATGGGACCGTCGTGTTACGGACAAGGCGCTCCGTCAGGAACTGCGTTTTTGGAAGCGAATGGCGATGCCTACGGTGGCTGACGACGATCTTGCATACTGGAGCGACGATGATGATCTGATAGACCCAACGGAAAAAGTGCGGTTGCGCGACATAGAGCAGAAAGCAGTCGAAGAACAACAGCGAATGCTACAACACCAACAGCAGCAGCTCCAACACCAGCAACATCAGCAGCAGCAACACCAGCAGCAGCAACAGCAGCAGAACCTCCACTACCAGCAGCAGCAATACGAGCAGCAAATAGGATTTGCCGCTGCAACAGCTTTATCATCCGCCTTGTCTCCGTCATCGCTCTCGCCAGGTTCGGGCGACATCGGTGAAGGTCTCGATGATTTGGATGTTGACACCAATCGGCACAGAAATGAAACCAGCAGCGATCCCGTAGATGGTAGAGACATCGATGGTCTGAGCCTAGATAGTATGGTACTTTCGCAGGCAGCTACGTCGGAGGCTCAGGGAGGCGATATTGGGAAGAACGGCCAACAGAACGCCGATACTGATGGCGAAGAAGACGATGACGACAACGAGGACCTTGACTTAGACGACGATCTCGACCTTGAAACCGACCTGCCGTCACGCTTACCCGCTGTTCCACAGGCACCCTCATCAGCCCCAACGCCGGCAAGCATCAGCCGCGTGGGTGGCATCCTTGCTATACAACGAGATAGCCCTGTGGCATCAGCACATGGCCAAGGAACGGACATAAGCCCAGACATGGCATCTCAGCCAAGCGGCTCGCGTGTACGTGAGCCATAGGTGGGCAAAAAGGCGGGCAGTCGGGCAGGCGGACCCTCGACCGACCAGTTCATTTTGTCCCCCATCGTATGTCTTTTATGTTTGCCCTATATTTAGACTCGTCACTCGAAATAGTGCGATTGACACACAGGTGATAGCGATCTGGGAGCTTTATGTGTCATAGCCATTAACGCCCAAAAAAGAATCTGCGCTATCGAATATCACTATTGTACTGCATATTGATCTAAACAAGACTTTGAACGACTCTGCTCACCATACAAAACCCTAATACAGCCCCAATGTTAAAAGGCATCGTCACGAACATGCCAATCCAGTGCCATAATTGCCTCGCTTTATCCCCGCTCCGTTGCCTAAACTAATATCCACTCTGTTCTCTCCGATTGTCATCGGATCGAGCGGCTTCACCAGCTTCACGGATTGCCTGCTCGTCACCTCGCAGCTTTGCAAAGTAGGACTTGATATCTTCCGCTGAGATTGCCTGTCCGCTCTCAGCAAACTGCTGAAAGAAAGGCTTCAGCTTGTCCTTGAGATGATTATATGCCATCACACCCTCAATTGCCCGCACCCGGTCCACGTTGCGTAGCGCGCTTTCGCCGCGCTCGTAGAGACTACCGCTTCCGTGCGACCCACTTCCAGGGCCGTCACCCTCCGCGTTGCTACCACCGTCGTCAGAAACTGGCGGCTCATACGTTTCTTCCTGCTCAAGCAGCTGGGGATGGGCAGTTAACAGAGGAAAGCAGCTGGCGCAACGACATAAATGATCGCGAAAATTTTCTGTGAAAAACAACGAGAATCGACCACTGGGTGGAGGTGGAAGGGTTGCTCTCTTGCAGGTTGGGACAACAGGGGCCAGAACAGTTGGCTCCATAGTTGATACAGTCTTGTCATTTTCAATGTTGGTCGACATGTCTTCATCGGCGACCGCTTTATCGTCAGCCCGAAACCTCTTAGCACCTGTCTCAGTATCGTCGTCGGCTTTACGCTTCACCAGGCCCTCCGTAGATGGGCCTGGAGCTTGTGCTGGCGAGACGTCTTGTTCGGTTCGGTATAGTACAGCTGGTAAGAAGCCGGGCGATCCAGCGTACTGTCTGATCCAAGGATATGCGTCGACGCATTTGTAGCAGATAAAACCTTCGAAAGCATCCTCGTTCGGAAACCCGGGCGGCATGGGTGGATCGTCTTCGCCCTCTTCTTCACGATCGCCACATCCATCACCCTCAACAGCTCTAGCGCCTCCAGAACTGTGAACCGCTTCAGTTACATGTTCGTCGTACTCGACAGTCTCTGAGATGGTTGGCAGACAATCAGTTACTCCACGTGCAGGTGATTCTTCGTCTTCGTGCGAAACCTTAGAGATCTCAGGTCCACGCTCCTGGTATGTTTCTGACTCCTTCAGCCCTAGACCAACGACGCAACTAGGATGCCACCAATCTTCACCGCAGCCGCCAGTATCATGCGTGCCAAGTCCCAGGCACTGGAACATAGTGCCCCTTTGCTGGAACGGGTCATAATCCAACGCACACCCACAAAAGCGGTTGCGAAAGTTCTGGTTGTACTTGTTGCCTCTGTCGGGTTCCTCGGAGTGCACGGCACCTTTGGTATTTGTTTTGGGATCAAAACGAAGGCGGCATGGGCTTGTAACAGGGAACCTGGTAGTACCGCAATCGCATGTGAAATTTCTTTTGTTGAAAATTTCAACTAACGTATGTTCACCATGGCACTGTACGGAGCAGGCGTAACAGATACCGGCCGCGCCGTTGTAGGACTGAAGGTGATCATCGGTTGAGGTTGAGGGTGCTGGGTTGCACGTCAGACAGGCAAAAACCGCCTGGCGAAGACGCCCAAGAGGCTTTGTACAATTTTCGATGCTCTGCAACGTTAGTGGGAGCGACGTGCACAGGGAGACTAGGTGGCCTAGAACGTACATAGGGCAGAGCCTCACGGGCATCGGCCTCAAGTTGCATCTGCGACCGGATGAAGCTGAGAAGATGTGATAAGTAGCGTGCCGACGAATTTATTAACGGGGAAATGGTACAACGTACTCCAGTGCCGTGTGCGAGTCATCCGAAGCCTGTGAGCTATGCGATGAACTCCGGCGACGTGCCGTCGATGTGTGCAATCCATCTTCGGCTGACTGGACACCATGGCGCGATCGTGAATCCATCCTCGAGGATGGTTGGCGCAGCTCTGGCAGAAAACCACGAGGTTGTCTTTTAAATATCTCAACAAGCAGAAGGCAATGGCGAAAATGGAGTCAAAACGCTTTGTTGGATACTGTGTGAATTACTTGGACAATTTTCCGGTTCGCCTTCAGTGCCTTCATGTGTCCCCGCGTCACGCGTTTTTGTTATTTGTACGGGCCCGTACACCTATGGGAACCAAAGCAACTGCTGACGTAATTCAAAAGTTTTCCCCTTCTCCAACAGGATTGGTGACAACAATTTTAGTGGGTCATATGCGACCACTTTAAACTTCCTTTACACGTTGGCTATAAATGGACTAGTTCATTTGGAGTTACGCGCCTTGACGCGAATTTGGACCGTGGTAGACGCGACACAGGGCGCACCCCGTGCGTTTGAACTCCCGCACTCATTTAACTTGGCTTCTTGTCGCCAACCTCTATGACTCCCCTGCTTCACGTCTAAACCTATTTCTCATCATCTTCATCTTTCGTTTCCCTCCAGTTTCTTCAAATTTCTCATCTCTATCACCTTTTGTGACAACTTGACAAAACAACTTGCCGACAGAACACAACAAACTCGACAACCATATAACATCACGATACCCCTTGTAGACACTCACGCCATGAGGTAAGAAGGGAAATCGAGCTTTGCCCAGTACCCTGCTAATCGTCGCTGCGTGGAACTAACAGCCTGTACAGTTCTCCACTGCGCCCTAGTATGGCTTCTGGGAACCGCGGTGCGGCGCCCCGGCTCAACCGCAAACGCTCCCGCGGCGCGGCGGACGACGGCGGGTCGTCCGCAGGTGCTGCGTCCAGCCCTATTCCATCATCGCCACCCGGGTTTGATATCGTCCATGGACAGGACGACGATAACGATGATATCGAAGAAGATGTTGAGATCCAGGACGACATTGATGAACTCGACGAGTTGGCCGAGGACGATGTCGACCTTTTCCGCGAAGGATTCGAGCGTGACTATCGCGAGAAGGATGAGACCGATGTCTACGAGGGCATTGACCTTGATGACGACAATGATTTCGACACCATGGACTTGGGCGACCGTCGCCGGCTTGAAGCACGGCTAAGCCGTCGTGATCGCGAAGTTGCACGGCGCCAGCAGCAAGGCATGCCGACGGCGTTTTTGCCAGGAGATGATGACGACGACGGCGAGGGCGGTGGCATAGATTTGACGGCGCAGCCTCGGCGGCGGCGTCACCGGATGGATGAAGACCCGGATGAAATGCTTGATGGTGACATCATGGATGAAGAGCTTTCTTTGGAGGCGCTTCAGGACGTGAAAGCAGCCAGCCTTACTGGGTGGGTGTCGCAGCCGGCAGTGCAGCGTACGATCAAGCGTGAGTTCAAAGCCTTTTTGACCGAGTACACGGATGAGAGTGGCTCGTCGGTGTACGGCAGCCGGATCCGAACGCTTGGCGAGATCAATGCGGAGTCGCTCGAGGTGTCATACGATCACCTTTCTTCGGCAAAGGCTATCCTCGCATACTTTTTGGCCAACGCTCCCACAGAAATGCTCAAGCTCTTCGACGACGTCGCCATGGATGTAGTTCTGCTTCACTACCCAGATTACGAGCGTATCCATTCGGAGATCCATGTTCGTATCTTCGACCTACCTGTGCACTATACCCTTCGCCAACTCCGCCAGTCTCACCTCAACTGCCTGGTTCGTGTGAGCGGTGTGGTGACTCGGCGCAGCGGTGTGTTCCCGCAACTGAAATACGTTAAATTCGACTGCTCTAAGTGCGGCGTCACTCTAGGGCCCTTTCAGCAGGAAGCCAATGTTGAGGTGAAAATCAACTACTGCCAAAGTTGCCAGTCGCGTGGCCCCTTCACCCTCAACTCAGAGAAGACGGTCTACCGCAACTACCAAAAGCTTACCCTGCAGGAGTCGCCCGGTACCGTACCGGCAGGTCGCCTACCTCGTCACCGCGAAGTCATTCTCTTGTGGGACCTTATCGACAGGGCGAAGCCTGGCGAGGAGATTGAAGTAACCGGCACATACCTCAACAACTTTGATGCCCAGCTTAACAACCGGAACGGGTTCCCCGTTTTTGCCACAATTCTCGAGGCCAACAATGTGGTGAAGGCTCATGACCAGCTTGCTGGGTTCAAGATGACTGAGGACGACGAGCAGGCAATCCGGAAGCTCGCACGAGACCCACAAATTGTGGACAAGATCGTGCAGTCGATGGCGCCCAGCATTTATGGCCATGACGACATCAAGACGGCTGTGGCATTGTCGCTGTTCGGTGGCGTAGCCAAAGTCCGTAAAGGTGCCCATCACGTCCGCGGCGACATCAACGTGTTGCTGCTAGGCGACCCTGGTACCGCAAAGTCGCAAGTTTTAAAGTATGTCGAAAAGACAGCACACCGTGCGGTGTTTGCGACTGGCCAGGGTGCGAGTGCTGTGGGTCTTACGGCGAGTGTGCGACGCGACCCGCTAACAAGCGAGTGGACGCTCGAGGGAGGTGCGCTGGTACTTGCAGACAAAGGCACTTGCTTGATCGACGAGTTTGACAAGATGAACGACCAAGACCGCACGTCGATCCATGAAGCGATGGAGCAGCAGACAATCTCAATTTCGAAGGCCGGCATTGTGACGACGCTGCAGGCGCGGTGTGGTATCATTGCGGCGGCCAACCCTATCGGATCACGCTACAACGCAACCATCCCGTTCGCGGCCAACGTGGAGCTGACGGAACCCATCTTGTCGCGTTTTGATATCTTATGCGTCGTGCGGGATACGGTCGATCCGGAAGAGGATGAGCGGCTCGCACGATTCATTGTTAACTCGCACAGCCGCAGCCATCCGGCAATTGAACCTGACTCCATGCAAGCGAACACGTCCCAAGACGATCAGACCCAGAAGACTGCCCAAGGCTCACCTTCGTCTACCTCTGTAAGCAAAACACCTGACAACCAGATCCCGCAGGATCTGCTCCGCAAGTACATCCTATATGCCCGTGAGCGGTGCTCGCCCAAGCTCTACAACATGGATGAAGACAAAGTTGCGCGTCTATTTGCCGACATGCGGCGCGAATCGCTTGCCACGGGTGCATACCCAATTACAGTGCGCCACCTTGAGGCAATTATTCGCATTTCAGAGGCGTTCTGCCGTATGCGACTTTCGGATTACTGTACAGCCCAGGACATTGACCGTGCAATTGCCGTGACGATTGAAAGCTTTGTCGGTAGCCAGAAGGTCAGCTGCAAGAAGGCTCTCGCACGCGCATTTGCCAAATACACGTTGGTACGGCCTGGCCAGGGATTCGGTCTCCGAGCGATGACAAGCGGGAACGGCGGGCGCAATGCTCGGTCATCGTCTGTGACTGTTTAGGATGGAGAGTCGGCAATCTGAATGAAGGATCGGCAACAGCACCGATTGCCGTAGTCAAGTCTCCTAGGAGCAATGCTCTAATGAAAACAATGGGGGGGTGACAATGTAGATGGGGGTAGTGCAAGTCAAGGCGACCTCGATGGAAGATAGTTGTCACGGGATTTTGTACGGCCACGCCTCTTTTTACATGTATGTTGGGAAGTATTTTCTTAGATTTTTGTTATTTTAACTGTACTCGGTTTTTGTTCTATGACACATGCTTGTCGTTCCTGAACGCTTGTTGGGATAGTATGTCTCGTAGGTGTAAAAGGATAGGGGGAGGAGGGAATATCAACCTGCACAAAATCAAACGGCAAGAAACCGTACTCGTGGGGCGGATGGGGCTTGAAGGAATGAAAGAATGAAGAGAGGCGTAAAACACCACATGGGATCACATGACACTTTGCACCCCTTGTTTTCCTGCTTGTCTCACCAAAAAGGTATACATCTGACTCGATTCTCATGAAAATTATAAAACCCGCCGCTTTCCAACATAACTGGGATCACGGCCACCACCATCAGTCGTCGGAGCTAGACGAGTCATCAGACTCTGCGATGGTCTGCGATTGGGCTTGGATATCAACAGCCTTACCGTCAGGCGCACTCAAGGTACCGCGCACCTGCACCTCGACGACTGGCGGCAGAGGCCGTTTTGCGGGAGGGCCGTCAGGAGGATCTTCGCAAACAATGCGCCAAACGCAGCGAAATTTTGTAGGGTCGGACGGGTCGCGTACGTAATCACGGACAGTAAAGCGCACGAACGTGCCCGAATTGGTGGTCGAGCGTCGAACCCGGTTTACGGAGGCTATGAGGCCATCAAAGTCCATGGTGAATCCGTCGATGGTAACATGCGAAGTACCCGGAATATAGAGGTCGAGGAGACCTTCGCGAATGCGAGCGTCCTTGGCCTCAAGTGTGTCGGTGGCCGGATCAACAGGCTCAGGGTTGAAAAGGCGCTGGAGGGCAGCGCCCCAGGTCTCGGCCGAGCGATAGACAGACATGGCGGAGAGCCAAAAGAAAGCTGTTGCGAAATGAAGAATAGGAGGGTGGACAGGCAAATTTCTAGAAATGCTGGAATCTTGCTTCTGTTAAGGAACGGCAACCGGAAGCGCCCAAATGCGCCCGCAAGGGTGAAAGATGTGAGCTCCGCCTTCGACTTGTGCGTGGGAAGCTCCGAATCTGCTCTGTCGGGCAAAGAGAAAAGGCTGTTGCAACAAAGACCACATTCGTCTTCCAAAGCACGTACTACATAAAATTGGCAGGCTCTTGCCTCCTGTTCTGGCCAGGCCCAATCTTGGCAGGTCAAGCACGTTACTCTTCCACGGGGAGCAGAATTTGCGCCGCACCACCCAGACAGTTCAATATGCAAACTACTCGTAGTTCTTGCTAAAAGCATGTAATTGCAAGTTTTAAAGGTGTGGTGAGACCCCCTTATTTTCGCTTGCTGGCTGGTCCGGCTTAATCTCTCCCACTGGTCTCCCCGGGGTCCACCCCGGCAATTCCCACTTGCCCCGTCCCAGCGCGCCCGAGTTCGTTCAAACATGAGGAACTAACACCTTGTGACCCACCATTGTTTGTCAACCTGGCAGGAAGTGCAAGTCGGCCGAGCCAAAAGGTTCCGCCCCTTCCCTCTCTGCCAAAAAGCCGATGGGCTGGTAGAGCAGATGGGGAAGCAAAGAATGCTCCGTGAGTAATTTCGAGAATAGTCCCGGAGTATTACATTCTAATTTCTGTCCGTCTTGCCGAGAATGAGATCTGAGACGAGAGGTGCTCCTCAAAGAAGAGCCCAGACTTGGCACGGCCCGGCATTCCCTCCCGCGCCGTTAGGGCAAGTTTAAGTAAAGTGTGCCTTTCGCTGTCGACCCCTTTGCGGACCAGCTATATATGGTTTGCTTGACTCCCCATTACAAGCTATCGCTAGTCCTGGTTGCCTCAACGATTCCGTTCAATATCTTACATGTGAATATTTCCCACACAACTCTTCCGTTCTTCCGTCTCTGCCTGGCTCACCGTCGGTGTGCTTCCTTTCAGCCCCTGCTAGATTCTACGCACAGTCTCGAACCGTGGTACTGGGGCACTTAATCCTTAATCGTTTGCCAAAGTGTGGCCCCCCAGTAAGACTCCTTGAACGAATTGGGCGTATTACCTTGTAGTGTGTCATTGGCTCGTAATGCTTTGTAATAACTGCTTGTTCCATATCGGCCACCGTAGCTTTGAGAACACAAAGCCGCAAAGGCAACAGCACTGTTTCCGCCAGTATGTCCAACCGGATGCTTCATCCGTCTTTTGAGGAAGGACGGCACATCATTGTGCTTTGGTATACAATGTGAAGATGCTATCGGGAATGTGGCAACGAAGGCTTCGCCTAAACTGCGGGGTAGAAACATTTATCAAAAGTCAGAATAAAAGGTGGAAAAAAATGACGTATTTCGTAAAGGGACCCAGTACCAGAACCTACCTGTAAATGTACAAGCAGGCCAAGCTTTTCGTTAAGCAGAGCCTGTCCTCAAATTTTTTTTGATCATATCTGTCCACGTTTCAAAATTCCCTACGGCGTAGAGTAAGCCGTGTACTAACCAACGACCATCCCTAAGCCCACCAGGCTAACCCCACACGGTAATTACGGTCTTGGGACGGGCCAAGCTAAAAGCACCTAGCTGCGCGACGACTTTGTAGTTGTCCACACGACGCGACGCGAAACTAGCATCGCGACAACCAACCTTGCGATATGACTGTCAGCCCTATCGCCTGCCTTCTCTCACACCGCGCAGACATACCTACATGAGTTAAAGATGGATCCCCCGACCGTCATTGCCATTAAACGGGCTTTTCTCGAACTTGCCACGCGTCAATTGGCCCAGCCGCTCACACCATCGCGCACCTGGCAAAGGAGAAACAACTCGAGAGGAACCATACGTGGTCGCGATGCAGTAGCTATCGAAAACAGCACCGGTGACATCGGAGACGGTGGAAGGCGCATACCTCCCAAAGTTATCGACGAGGTCCTTGTGCGCACCAACCAGTTACTGTTGCTTCACTCTCGCCGTGTGCACACCTCAACGGCTGTCCGCCACGTTGCCGAACAACTGGACCAGCTCTACCAGGCTACTAGCGACGACCTGTTGGCCCTACCAAACGATGCTGGCAGTGAATCTCTTGACCGAGGATCGGACTACAGTATGCCTTCCACAACGAGTCCTCCCCGTTTTCTTGACTTTCTTCATGGCCGTCCCTGCTAACAAACAGCTGCGTCGGCGACAATTTTTCACCTTCCAGTAGCCTGGGACGATTCCCATGAGGCTGACAGACTACCGCTCGAGGCCCGCCGGTATACAGAGCAGGTGGTGCAGCTGCAGGCGCTTGCACGTCATCGGGCAGAAACAGCAGCACGTGTGCGGCGCCTACGTGGGATAAACTCTTTGCTCGACGGTGTCTCGTCTGAAATCCTTCCTGCACAGCGTAGTCTCGTAACGCGTGATGGGCCAGTGGAGGGCGAGCTAGGGCGGATGCGCCTACTTCTCGCAAGAGTGGGTGACCGTGTTGCAAATTTACCCACTCCGGATGTATCGTTGACAGGATCAATAGACCGGCCAGACATAAACGTGGACAAGATTAACTCAGCGACCAGGGACGTCGAAGAAATAGGGCGTCTACGAGCCCAGGCGCTACTTGAGCTTTGTTGAGAGGCAGGAACATCGGGAACCATCCAGGGCACGCATTCCGGTATATTATGTAATGATTTCACATGAGCGGCGATGTACGGAGTATTCCATCGTTATTTCCCATTAATTATCCAACTAGTGAATAGCTCCCGCTCGATCCAACCAGTCAGTGTGAAATGCTCCCCATCTTAAAAGGCGGTCAGATTAAAGAGCGGCAAAATACGCTACTTCGTGTCGTAATAATAATCCATAGTCCGCTGTTATTGGGTTTTTTTTTCCTCTCCCCCAATTCAATCCACATCACGCCTGCCACAACATCCGCTCTCCCTCGTTTCCTCGAAAAATAATTGCGACACTACCCAAACAGAAAATAAAAATGGTTCAAGGGGCAGTTAAGAAATCGGCTAAACCGGTGTCCAACTCTCGCAAAGCAAAGAAACAGGCCATCGCCTCCGGTTCCAGCGGCGCGCCAAAACGATTCACTCGGGTCACCAAGGCACCTCGGTCTGCCAAGGCGGTGAAAGCACATGCAAGCACAGGCAAGGTGATGAAAAAGTTCTCGTCCGGCCTCGCTGCAAAAACTGAGGCGATGCTCGGCGACCGCGCCGGCCATCTCGAGCTGATCGGCCCTGGCAAGAAGAAGGGCGTCGACCGCAAGAGCGACAAAGCGCACCAGGCTGGCTCGCGGCGGTTTGGATAGAAGACGACCTTCCCTTACGAATCTCCTATCGCGACTGCTTTCCTCAAAACTACTTCGACAACTTGCAGGTCTCCCTCGGCCACCCGCCAGCTGCTCACGGCGATACGGCAGGCTGGCCGGCCGCGCCATGCCGTTGGGCTGACGTACATTTGACGGGAAGCGTTGATGCGCTCGGCCAGATTAGCGTTCAGGGATTCGTCTTTGGCCCAAAACAGCACACCTATGTGTGTGTCGTCAACTAGATCGCCATCCTTGCGTGATGCATCCTCATCTCCAAATACCTCATACTCTGGCAACCTATGCAATATCTGCCGAACGCCACGGGCCGAACGCACCATGCGGGCCAGCATCGCAGCGAGCCCCTCTCGACCCTCACTGAGCAAAACGGCATAAACAGGTAACGCACGGAAACGGCGAGAATTTTCAATACCCATGTTCATTGGGCTGGGAACAAATGGACCGTCGCGGTCGGGTAGCTGACCGATCGCTCCTCCGGTCAGATAAGAGGCGTTGGTGTTCTGGAAAACCTCTGTTTGTAAACTGGCGTGTCGGGAGAAATAGATACCCGTATCATACGGCTGTAGTACATCCAAGTTTAGTTTTGCGTCCAATGTTACCTTATACACTCATGCAAAGTGGTTCTTTTGTTGTTGTTTACTCACAACGTTCAAGAGCTTGTGGCCATCCGACGTGATACTGTCAGCCAGCTCCAGGCCATCCGTGTATTGTCTAATGCGAGCAAACTCAAGTGTAGAGGGCAAAGCTCTTGTAAACAATCCAAAGGCTGTGTATGGCGGGCAAAGAAAGAGTAGTCAGCAAAGAAAAACTTGAACGGAAGTTAGCGAGCAAGGGATGGGAGTCGCACCCGCGTCAACATGAATCCATGCGCCGTATTTGTCGGCAAGTGCCCGTAGTCGTTGCATATCCTCCAGCCCTGTCGTTGCAAACCGACCAGTGTTAATCTCACCGGCACTAATGCTGATGATGTATGCCACAGAGGAGTCGGTTTGCCTTTCACCACCCGCGGATTGGGACGCGTCTGCGAGTGTCTGCTCGACAGCAGAAATATTGAGACGCCACGGTTCAGCCTCACTGTACGGCAAGTCTATAATGGCGGCACGGCCCAGCCCAACGATGCTCGCGGCTTTATATAACGAACTGTGACCCAAGCTTGTGAGGATGCGGATGTCGGACACGCCTGCCTCTTGGCACGCCTTGAGGAGGCCCAGGTCGGCCACGGAAACGGGTGAGGCCGTGGAACTGTCAACACCCTTTCCAGACAACCTACGCCGCTGTCGCAGTCTTGTGTTTATAACTGCCTCTCGGCCCATGGCCAGTCCGAGCACGTTGCTTGCCGTTGCGCCGGTGGTGAATATACGACCTGTCCAGTCGCCATCGTCCAGTCCGAAAACGTTCGCAAGCATCTGCAGCGCGGCTGCCTCAACAGCCGTACTAACTGTCTGCGCCGGTAGATGCGCATGTAGATTCTGGTCCAACGCGGTGACGATGTTGTCGGCGGCCTCGGCTATGGGGAGCACGCTGCCAGTGACAAATCCATAATAACGACCGCTTAAGTTTTGGCCATTGAGCGCAGGGATGATGGTGTCGAGGATGTGGTCATGGGCCACGCGGGCGCCGCGTGGCTGGAGGTAATCAGACTGGCCTGGCCTGGGTATGGCCGCAAGTGCTGCCTGAACCCGTGCTGACGACGGCAGTGTAGGGACGGCATTGTCGGCGCCGTCCTGCTTTGTAAGACGATCAACAGCAGCGCGCAAGCGCTCATAGCCGCCAGAGAGAAACCCAATGTCAGTGATGTTCTCGGAAGACATTTTTTTATAGGTCGAAGGTTTACGGGAACAAATGGCGAGACCTGAGATGAGTCGAAACGTAGCATGCTAGGCTGACTGACGCTCCGCACCGTAAGTCACAAAACACATTTCATAAAAGCAGTTCAGCCAATAATTACCCACCAAAGCCCAGTGCAAAACAAGCTCCAGCCGCTAATGCCATTCTCGGCGATTTCTCGTGTGCGGAAACCGCTAAGGTTACTTACCCCTTTTTCACTCAGACAAGTTTGTAGCTACAGTCGGTGGTTGTCTTGTCCAGGCTGGCAACGACATACCGCGCTGCAATTCAAATGACCTAGCCAAGTGTAACACGCCATCATTGCATAAAAATTGGCTGTGCAAGATAAACATCGGGGTAAAAATGTATTGTACCTAGGCTGTCCTCTCGTTCGCAACGCTCCGTAAAATACATATTCAAAATAAACAATACAAATTAAGAGGCGGCGAAAGATTTATGGCGCATTTTGTGTGGAGCAATACTCCTATTCGTACTCTATCCATCACGGTCCGGCCTGGCAGACCCACAGTCTATTCAGACCCCTGATTTTTTCTAGGCCAAGGCCACACACGAGCCTTCTCTTTGTTGGGTATGAACATCTCTCCCCTTTTCGTCGTTCTGCCCCGGTGAGAAGCTGGCGACAAAGTATCTAACGAAATATTATTTGGTCGTGTACAAATCACCTTTCCCCTCCGCCTCCGATATCCAATCCCGCGGCATACGCCGACAGACAGAATACGTATCTGCCTGCCAGCATCCATCGACCAGAAAAAGCGAGCCATATCCGAAAAGAATCCAACTCTAACCGACATATTGTTCGGAGCTCCCTTCCTGTTACAGTCTATGCTCTCGTGCTGCAAACCGACTAGCATCCGTAGACGGCAACTCAGCACGCACGCATGCACATACAGACACGCGGACAAAGACATACATGTCTGCGCGCGCTCCCGCGCTCCACTCATCATATAAACTCACGTCGCTGCTTTGCTTTGCATTACCGTTCGCTTCCGACGCGACTGTGCCCTGAACTTCGAAACAAACAGTTCTGCGCCTGCAACCGCGTTCTGCCCGCCGCTTGATCCGCAGCTTTCGCCTTCGTGGCTCTCCCCTGCCCACTACCAGTCGCCATGTCCGGTCTACTAAGCAAACGCCAACAGGCGCGCAACGAAAAGTATCTTCAGGACCTTGTCCAGTCGGTGTCAGGCAACAATGTCTGCGCTGACTGTCAGGCGCGTAATCCAGGTGTGTTATACCGCTGTCCTTCTCGCACTACCGGTATCTATGCAGCTATATCACCCGCTGCCAAGCAAATGTAATCTTGCTAACTCATATCCCAGCGTGGGCATCGTGGAATGTGAGCTTGTTCGGCGTCCAATCCCCGGCTTCTGGCGGACCCCCAGGGGAGACTACAGCCAATATCCTCACTATTTGCGTTTATGTCCTCTTTATATGCATGCTAACCACTCTCTGTCCGAAACCACAGCTTGGCATCTTTCTCTGCATGCGATGCGCAGCGATCCATCGCAAATTGGGTACGCACGTATCCAAAGTCAAGTCTTTGAGCATGGACAGCTGGTCCAACGAACAAGTCGACGTACGTCCATCCCTCACGTCCAAATTTGCTCCTCGCCGTGTTGGTCTAATTTGCTGCTTCGTATAGAATATGCGCAAGGTCGGTAACGCTGCATCCAACAAAGTGTACAATCCAATCGGCCGAAAACCCGCAGTTCCCATCGACGCCGACGAAGCCGATTCAGCCATGGAGCGTTTTATTCGCCAAAAGTATATCAACTCTGCCTTTTCCAAACCTACAAACGCTGGCCGTCACCGCAGCACCGACAGCTCTGGATCCGACGATATACCACCACCACTCCCACCCAAGACCCCTGGCCGTTTAAATGTACGCTCCGTATCCTCCATCTTTCCCCTCCCCTCCAGGGTCAAAGACAATGTTTCTGCCAATATTGTTGTTAATCACAGCACTCCGGGCAATCTTGACAAGCGTAACCCCACACCGACCTCCCCACTACCACGTGCCGTGTCATACCCGCGGCCAGAGTCATCCGGTTCTGGGTCAGGATCCAGGATCCGCAGTAAAGTTTCACAAGTATTTGGCTCCGACAAACACACCGATGGCGGCGAGAGCCTTGATGGAAAGCTAGCAAGGTTGCGTGATATGGGTTTCTCCGATGACCGACGCAACACCGTTGTGCTCAAAGCAATCAGTTGGGATCTAGACAGGGCTATTGACATGTTGGTGCGCATGGGTGACGCAGGTGTAAGCAATGGTCGACTCTCAGCCCACCCCCTTGCGTCACCGCGTGATAGCTCACTATCCGCACCGACCCGCACCTTTAATCCAACAGCATCAATGATGACCACCACGGGACTGAGCGTTCCCTTGCCGACATCTCTTCGGACACCTTCATCGCCTTCTGCGAACAGCGGTATAAATCCTTTTGATACACTGGATATTGCCCCCTCACCAGCGCCGCCGCAGTCATCCCAATCGACGGGTACGCTGCAGAACCAAAAACTGTACAGCGCTACAAACCCGTTCGACATCGTTCCAACACCACCGCAGCAAGCTACGCCATTTAACCCAACTGTCACGGCGTCTACGTCCGCCTTCAATTTGCATCAAGCTTTTCAGACACTGGCACTGAGCCCGCCGCAGCCATTATTTCCCCACCACACCGGAAGCAGCATGCAACAACAACAGCAGCATCAGCACCAGCATCAGCAGGCCCTCCAAGCACAGTCTCCGCTCAGTGTCTCATCAGCAGGTCAACCATACTTTTCTTCCACCTTTCCGGCCGGCCGATCTCACCAAAGCATTTTACCGCAACGAGTAGAGTACAATAACCCGTTCATGAATGTTGACAACGCATCACAGCAGCAGCAGCTACAGCCACTGCCGCATGTACAGTATCAGCGACTCCAGTCCCCCATGCAACCTCAACAACCGCTGTCTGTCGTAACATCTGAATTTCCTAATGGTACGCTTGGGAATAATCCATTTACACGGTCACCCACTCGCATTCAATCCCCAAACGCACTAGGACAAATCCCAGAGCAGTCCCAAGCGAGCTACTTCACAACCTTATCCCAGTCGCACACCTACCCACTACCTAATGGAAACCCGTCCGGCGCCTCCCCGTCGTCGTTGCAAAACCCCAACCCGCAGCTACCCCAGCCACCTCAAAGGCCGATGAACAATCCGTTTGTGACACAGCCTCCACCTCAGCCGCAGCCTCCGCGGCTACACAATACAGCCTCTATCATGGCATTATACAACATGCAACCGCTTTCCCCCGTCGTGGCACAACCAATGGCTTCTCCGTTAGACACGCCAGTTCTAAATTCTCTCCAACCACCTGCGCAGCAGCAGCCATCTAGAGGCGAAAGTCTCTTTAACAAGAACGAATCATCGCAAACTCATTTGCCTGCCACGACACGGGTTGCGAATAATCCGTTCCTTACCATGTCAAACAACACCAGTATGATATCAACACATGCCCAACAGAATTCACAATATCCAACCACGCAACCATCCTTGTCGTCAGTGCAGCGACAACCCCCGCCACCTACAATGGCATCGCCCTCTGGTACTACCATGGCAGTATACCCAGCGGACTTGTTTGTTAGTGGTCGCAGCAGGGATAGCATAATGGCGCTTGGCATGGAGTGGAGCAACGGGAGGCACAGCCCGGACGCATTCGCAAGCCTCAGCGCCCATCATTAGTGTGCAAGACCTCGAAATATTCTATCCTGCCAGTAAAAACTTACTCGGCTTCCTCAATACTTCGTTAATTTTGCACAGCATTACAAAACGTATATTTGCTTTTCGTTGCCCAATCAGAGGCTCTCCCAACAGTCTCGATCCAACCTTATAACAACTTCATAAGCCCAGAGGATCGATAGTTACCAATATAATAATAACGATGTACCTACATAGACAACTGCGCAATAGTTAATAATAAAATCAACAAGCCTTGGTGGATGTCAAGTTGGGCGTCAGTGAAATATCTCCAGTTGTCCCGCGTGTTGAGAAGCTCGGCAATTCTCCGAACGGCCCCCCTAAGCCTCCCTACAGCGGCTGTGCTAGACGGGTCCTGAGGTTGACTCGCAACCAGGCTTTGGTAAATAAAAGATTGTCCTGTAAAACATGCCCAATATTATTTAACCAGGCTTCGCCGTGAAGACATCTTCAAGTGCCTCTAATATCATAACAGAATCTTTGAGGCCAGTAAAGTGTAGCAAATCCGAAAAATACGATGTTCATGGGTAGGCTTCCCACCGATAGCTGCGAGCCTATCAGCAAGGACCCATGAATAGGCCCCTGTTTGCCCTACCTCGCAAAGGACACCAAAAGAGGTTGGAATTGGGACACGATGGAAACAGGGTGTGGCGTCTCCACGCGATCAATAGATGTGAATGTTCTCAGCCCACTTGGACACGTCGTTGGCCAGACGCACACTGCACAACATTCCCCACGTCCCATTTTTTGCAACTTCCTTTACAGAGACCCATTCACTCGGTCTCTTTCTTCTTTTCGTTTCCTTTTCCTGTTTATTCGGCTGCGTTCCTGATTTCTGTCCATCGTGGACCTGCCTTCGTTCCATCCTCCTTTTCGACCTCTCCACAAAGAACTACGAGAATCAAAGTAATCAGGAACAAGAGCTTCATCCCTTCGGTCGTTGGCCTTGCCACCCTCGACTGCTAATCCAGTGGCTGCCCAGGCTACTTACTATCCGCGGTACAATGTCTGTATTGTCAGACCGCTTCAGTTACCTACACGGTCAACCCCGGATCATCATCCACGATGAGCCCTCTCGACCTGCCGCCGCTAGCCTGCCAAAGCTCCGCCCACCACGCCGTGCAAGTGTACACCGCGCGCCTCAGGAGGTCATCGATGATTTCTGGGCCGAGTTCTAGTCCAAAAGGCCTGGCAAACCTACTTCCATCGTTCCCCAAAAAGCCTACGCCGACAAGGCAGCACACCGTATAGCCACCCAATCCAACAATGGCGGCCAGTCTACTACCGCTTCCTACGCTGAGGCCGCTGCCCAGTGCCGTGCAAAAGTTGCACACATCGTCAAGGAGTGTCGCCGCATCAATCAAAAATACCGCGACCCACACTTTGACCTGGAACTTGATATTCAACTAGATCGCCGAGACTGTCTAGAAAGTCTGTCAAATGTCTGCATCATCAACTATGGTCCTCCACCTAGCCGCAGCCGTGGGCGTCGCACACCAAGTGTTCCTCTCCAGCCAGTCTACATTGCGCCCAACTTCAATCCTCAGGCTGTAAAGCGTGTCCCTGACATTTTTGACCACCCCGAGTTCTTCATCGACGGCCCAACAGCCAACGACGTACGTCAGGGGCGCGACGGAGATTGCTGGCTCATGGCTGCTCTCTGTACTCTGAGCAACAAGCCGGGGTTGATTGAGCGTGTATGCGTAGCACACGATGCTACTGTTGGCGTGTATGGATTCGTTTTCCATCGCGACGGCGAGTGGTTCAGCGAGATCATTGATGACAAGGTACGTTCTTTTCTTTCCTAGCCATTTCTCTCTTTTGTTCCGTTCCCAATCCCATACTTATACCACCATCCGAAACAGCTATACTTGACTAAACCGAATTACGATGAAAGCCGATCAGAGCGTAATATGTTAGAGGACCGTGTACGCGTCAACTCGGAGGAGGCGTACCGCAAGATCTACCAGTCTAACAGTGGTGCGCTCTACTTTGCGCAATGCGAGAACCCAAACGAAACGTGGCTTCCTCTGCTTGAAAAGGCATACGCTAAGGCCCACGGCGACTACGCCTCCATCGAGGGAGGCTTCACGGGTGAGGGCATCGAAGATCTTACCGGGGGCGTCACTTCAGAACTTTACACAAGTGATATCCTAGACAAGGAACATTTCTGGAATGAAGAGCTCCTGAAGGTCAACGACACATTCCTGTTTAGCTGCAGTACAGGTGTTTGGGGTAAGGGGCGAGGTGACCGCGGCGGCATCGTAGAACAACACGCGTACTCCGTTATGCGTGCGATTGAAATGGACGGTGTGCGCCTGGTTCTCCTCAAAAACTCATGGGGCCGTCATGAGTGGAGAGGTGCATGGAGCGATGGTTCCAAGGAGTGGACAGCAGACTGGATCCAGAAGCTCAAGCATCGTTTCGGTGACGACGGCTCCTTCTGGATCTCATATGAGGACCTCCTGCGGAAATACCAGGCCTTTGATCGCACACGACTATTTGGCGATGACTGGACCACGGCGAGTATATGGACGACCATGACCGTACCCTGGACACTCGAATACAACGATACTAAATTTTCCTTCGCACTTGCTCGCCCAGGCCCCGTTGTCCTTGTGCTCAGCCAGCTTGACGAACGTTACTTTCGAGGGCTTGAGGGCCAGTATTTATTCAGCCTGAGCTTTCGTCTTCATAAAGTCGACAATGACAACGAAGCACAAACAAACGAGGCAGACGATGCATTCGACTACATTGTCCGTAGCCAGCCAGGTTACCGCATGTCACGCTCGGTCAGCGTTGAGGTTGACCTGGACGCTGGGCGCTACGTTGTTCTCGTTAAAATCGACGCCCGACGCGACGATCAAATCTTACCCGCCGAGGATGTTATCCGCGACAACGTGCTCCTGCGCCGTGAAAAGCTTATCCGTATCGGTCTTGCGTACGACCTTGCGCATAGCAAGGGGCGTATCGTAGAGACGTCCTCTGAGAAAAAGGCACGCCGAGCCGCTGCTGCGAAGCGAAAAGCACGGCAGAAGGAGCGTCTCATGAAAGATATTATGGAGGAGCGTGCTCTAGACTATCTAGCAGCAAAGATTCGCCTTAAGAAGCAAAGAAGGGGAATGGCCAAAGCCAAGGCAAAGCGCAAAGATCGGGATGTGAAACGTCGAGCGCACATGAAGGAGGAGGAACGATCAGCCGAGAAGCTTACTCGGGGAGAATCCGCAGGACGAGAGACAACCAGATCCGACCGGCACGATGCGGAAGTAGTGAGCGTGAAAGACAAAATGTCTCGGCAAAATCAAAAAGATGACGAGGCGAGGGAAGGGGTGCCAATGACTGAAATGCCGGTGGTGGGTATCCTAGCAGGCGCCTCGGCCACCGTCCCTGCAGGCAGCCCAACAAACCATCCAACCCATGCCATAGCCAGCAGCAGCGACAATGGGAGCGTTGGTGATCTCACCAGTGAAGTTGTCCCAGCCTTGACCGGACTAAACCTGTCCCCCACCAGCACCGTCGGTACCGCCAGGAACAATAACACTCCTAAACAGGAACTTAACGAGGCCAATTCTCCACGCTCTATAAGAGCAGGTGTTGAAAGAAGTGGGCTGTTGCAATCCACCCGACAAGACATTAACCACCCATCGACGACTTACACACGGCCATTCTTGGAGGGAGAGCACAGGGAGAGTGGCAACAGCGGCCGTCATGGGACACGTTCCCCATCCCATGGCTCTCGTAGTGCTCAGGATGACAACCAAGAGCGGATTGTCTCAAGCCGCGATGGCGATCGTGTTGACAGTCGACAACGTCACGGGCGTGCCTCGCGGCCAATGTCTCCTATATACGCACCGATATCCCGTGGCCGCTCTGTTTCGAGGTACCCATCGCCGCCAGTATTCGGTCTCCGCTACTCTGGAACACCACCGCTGCTGATTCCCGGTCAACCTCACCTGGTCCGCGGAGATGATGATATCCATTCCTGGAGTCATCGCCATCCTCCCCATCACCCATTTCACCTCAACGATAGGTCGGGTAATGACGAGTCTGGCCTTTCTAGCCCGTCCAGCCCGTCCGACATCAGCGATAGCGAGTTGGAGTTCATATATAAGGAGCAGAACCATCGCGCCGTGAGAAACGGAGGCGATCGTCCTGGTAGAGGACCAGAACCTGTCAGGCACCGAGAATTGAGATCACCGTCCCCGGTGCCTGTTGTTTACGGCCGCTGTGGGAGCAATGACAGTCCTCGCGGCGACTACGGGGCGGGCGATCCCTGGAATGCCGTCGCCGTCGTTGGATTGCGTGTCTACTACCAGGAGGTTGATGGCGATAGGGAGAGAAGCGACAACATTATACGACTTAGTGTGGAACGAGCACATCCGTTTTCCCCGACCCGCAACCATGGCACGGGCGGTAGGACACGTAACGACGCTTCGTCGTCGGGAGCTTCGGACGATGATAGTAACAACGTTGTCGATGACAATACGGGTGAGTGTGGTAGTAACTTAAGTGGGTGTGAAAATATATTCCTAACCGAGGAGATGATTCTTGATATAGACGATAACCTAAAGGATACGACCTCCCAATCACTTCTATAAAGCCTTTTAGGCCCTCGGGTGATAAAAAAAGACGGTAGTTAATTTTATAACTTAATATCACTTTAAGTTTTTAATAATACTTAGTTAGTTAATCTTTAAATACTTTATAGTTTTTTTATACAGATAAAAAAAGTGTAAATTAAGTCTATAATCCTAATAAGGTATATAGTTAATATTATAAATAGTCGTAAGATAAGTCTTTACAATTAATTGGTTAATAAAAAACATTAGTTTCGAGGACGAAGGTGTTATAAGTGATTGTAGGATAGGTCTTCACAATAAATTAGTTAATAAAAAGTATTAGTTTCGAGGGCGAAGGTAGGTGTGTATTGTAACAGAGACTAATTCTTACCCCTTTTTCCCTTTAAGAAGAAGGGAGTCTTCTTATTTAAGGAGAAAGGTTTTTTATTAACGTAGTGTTAACGTGTGGTTAAGGACTAGTTACACCGTATTTTATTATATAAACTTAGTTACTTAATTCGTAACCTTCGATTATAAATCGATTATAATAATTATCCTTTTTTTTCGATAAATTAAACTTTAATTCTTTTTACGACTTTTTTTAATCTTTTTACTTTTACTCGGGTAAAGAGTATTAAAAGTTATAATTAGTCTTTTAATTATATACGATAGTTTATTAATTCGTATACGAGTTACTTTATAATTTTTTATATTATATAATAGTTTAGTCCGTCGATTATTAACGTAATATAAAACTTAAAAGTATTAAACGTATTTAAATTATTTATCGTTAAACGTTAATATTTAAATAAATATTCTCGTTTTTAATTAAATACCGTTTAACGTCGTTATTTTTATAAAGTATATTAATAATTATATAATAAATAAATAACGATAAGTATTTACGGATTATTTTTACTTAAAACGTTTATTTATAAATATTACTCTTTTTATAAACGTTATTTACTTTTATCGTTTTTTTCTTATATATAAGTATAAAACTAGTTACTCGGTTAAACCTTTATTATAACTCGTTTTTATTCTTTTTACTTTTTACTTACTTTTAACTTAACGAACGTTTTTTAAGTAAATTATTTTTTATTTATAAAAAAATCGTAACTCGTTTTCCTTTTTTTTTTAATACTTTATAAAATTATCGATTATTTATCGTTTATAAGTCGTTAGTCGAGTTTTTTTAATAACTTTTTTTTATTTATTAATATATTATAATTTATTCGTTCGAAAGTCGTTTTTAATTAAATTATTCTTTATTATACCTTTCGAAATACTTAAACGTTATAAATATAATAAAAATAAGTCTTTAAACGATATTATAATAAGAATTTTATAGTCTTTTTTTTTTATCTCTTCGTTTTTACGTAATAACGTAAATAATTTAAGTTTAACCGTTTAACGTTTATCGACCGTATTAAACCGTACGTTTATTTAACGTATTACGGGTTCGTTTCGTCGTTTACTTACTTTTTTTTATATTAATTAACTTACGGTATCGAAGGTTAAAGAATACGTTTATATTTATATTATCGTTTAACGTATCGATATTAATTCGTTTATAAGTCGTTTAATAATCGTTAAGTTTTTTTAACCTCGACTTAATATATTACGGTTTATTTAATAAGTAACTTTATTACTCGTAAAAAATTTTTAATTACGTCCGTTTTTTTTAAGTTTATCGTTTAACTCGTTTATAATTTTATTTATTTTATTTTTTAAGACTACTTTTTTTATACCTCGTTTTTAAGTTATAAACCTTTCGGACTCGAACCGTTTTTAACCGTTTAATAACCTTACGTTTTACGACGTAATTACGAACCTTTTAAATATTAATTACCTTTAACTCGTTATAACTCCCGTTACTTTTACGACTCGACTACGTACTATTAATAATACTACTCTCGTTTCTTTTATAATATAAACTTTATTTATAACTTTTTAACGTTTTACTCGTAAAATACCGGACTATAATACCTTTAACGATATACACTTAAATAAAGATAGTAATATAATAAATAATAAATCCGACGACGAGTCGTTAAAGATTTAAAATAACGACGACCTCGAGTCGGAGTTTACTACTAACCCTTAAGTTTATACGTATATTATTTATTTTTTTAACGTAATTAATAACCTTTAAAACGTTAACCTTTATTAAACTTTACGTTATATACGTAAAGTAACGACAAAATATTAATAATACGAGACTCGTTATTATTCTTACGAAAAGGTTTTTACGTTACTTATAAAAAACGTTTACGTTACTTTTTACGTTATTACCGAAGTAATCGACCTTTCGTTAAAATTAAACGAAAAAACGTTTTTAATCTTATTATATATTATAAACGAATTTATATACCGATTAATAATACTCGTACGAGACTATAAAAAAACTTACCGATTAACTATTAACCTTAATAAAATAATAAGTCGGACCGTTTATAAAAGAATCGTAATAAAGTTACGGACTACTTACAACTATATTCTTTTCGTTACTAATAATAATAAGTCGAATCTTAAACGGTTTTACTTACGACTCGGACCCGGGAATCCTTTATATTAAAAGTGGTTAAAGAATCACCGTATCTTCTTTAACTTAATCGACCGAAACGCGACCGAAAAAGGCCTCTCTTTTACTTACGTAAAACGTCGTAAACGTCGTTTCGACTCTTCTTTTTTTTAAAACGCCTTTATTATATATCGTCCGTTTATCTTTATTAAGTCGTACTAAGTATTAATAATAGTCTTTTTTTAAGTCGAACGTTATAAATATATAATTAAGTCGTTTACGTACCGAACCGTTCTTTATATTCTTTTAATTAAATAAACGTCTTTAACGTATAACGTTTATATATTACTATAAAGTCGTTATTTAAATCTTTTCTTTATTAAGTAAACGTTTTTAACGTACGTTATATTTACGTTTTACCGTAAAGTCGTTAACCGAATTTAAATAGTAATTTTATAAATTTACTTTCTTTTTTACGAAGTAATTTTTTTATACTTTTCCTCGTAATCTTAAATAACCTTTTTAATATATTTTATATTTTCTTTAAATACCTACTAGTTATATTTTACGGACTATTTTACTTATTTTATTAAGTAATAAGCCTTTTTATTACGTTTCGTTTTATCTTTAACTACTTTTACCTTTTATTCCTTTTAGTCCTTTTCGAGTACGAGTAACGATATCTTTTTTACCGACTCTTTTTTTTAAAACTTTTAAGGTTTTAATAAAGAGACTAAGAATATATTATAAATACGGTTATATACTTATAGTAACGTTAGTTTATATACTTATAAACTAATTTTTTAATAACTTTAAAGGGTTTAATAAATTTTGGTGTTATTTTCTTTTTAACTATTTATAGTTTAAGATTTTACGTCGATAATACGACGAGATCTTTTACTTTAAAAACTTTTAATTAATATTTTTATTATAATATTTTTTATACGTTCTTTAAACTTTTCTTTAATAATTCTTTACCTTTTTTTTTAAAGGTATAAATTTTCTCGATTTTATTTACGATAACTAATACTTTTTTTTTATAAACGTCGGTTTTAACGTTAATATATATATTTAAATTATATCCGTATAATATATTAAAAGGTATAACTTTAATAGTTACGTTAATAATATTATTAATTATAAACTTTACGTCTTATAAAAGTAACGGTTAATTCGACTACTCGTCGTTAAAGAATATCCTTAAATAATATTTTAAGGTCTAGTTTATACACTTAATTTATTTATCGGTTTAAAAGTAGTATACTATTAAAAGTCTTCGACGAATTAATAACGTTACATATATTTTTAACTAAAATTAACTTATAAACACACTTCCTTTATTAAAGATAATTCCTTTAAGTATCCCGTACTAGTTTTTAATCTTAATATATACTATTCGTACTAGTCTTTCGGACGTAATAATAGTTAAAACTAAAAGGAAACGATATATTTTTA